GGAACTCGGACAGCAGCTCATTGATAACTGTCAAGAGGTCATGAACGTGGCTCCTGTCTATAAGGATGTTGCTGTGCCTACCGGTCCCCAGACCACCATCGATTCCCGTGGCAGCATTGGCTACAAGGAAGCTCCTCGTGCCAGCGCTCGCAAGCTCGAGCACTACGTCAAGCACATGGCCGAGGGTGGCCCCATTTCCGAGTACAGCAACCGCACCAAGGTTCAGCACGACCTGAAGAACGTCTACAAGATGATCCGCAAGCAGCACCGTCTTTCCAAGTCTTCTCAGATCCAGTTCGACACCTTGTACAAGGATGTCCTGCACGCTCTTGGCATGAACGAGGGTCAGATCATTCCCCAGGAGAACGGCTCCGCCAAGAAGGGTCGCAACGGTCTCAAGCGCACTGCCACTCGCCCCGGCAAGGTCGAGACTATCCCCTTCCTTCACCTCAAGAAGAAGACCGAGCACGGCTGGGACTACAACAAGAAGCTCACTGGCACCTACCTCAATGTGCTCGAGTCTGCTGCCCGTGACGGTCTCACCTTCCAGGGTAAGAACGTCTTGATGACCGGTGCCGGTGCCGGTTCCATTGGTGCCGAGGTTCTGCAGGGTCTCATCAGCGGAGGTGCCAAGGTTGTTGTCACCACCAGTCGCTTCTCCCGTGAGGTCACTGAGTACTACCAGGCCATGTACGCCCGCTTCGGTGCTCGTGGCTCCCAGCTCGTCGTTGTTCCCTTCAACCAGGGTAGCAAGCAGGATGTTGAGGCCCTGGTCGACTACATCTACGACACTAAGAAGGGTCTCGGCTGGGATTTGGACTTTGTCGTTCCCTTCGCCGCTATCCCCGAGAACGGTCGTGAGATCGACTCTATCGATTCCAAGTCCGAGCTTGCTCACCGTATCATGCTGACCAACTTGCTCCGTCTTCTTGGATGCATCAAGACCCAGAAGCAGACCAATGGCTTCGAGACTCGTCCCGCCCAGGTCATCCTGCCTCTGTCCCCCAACCACGGTACCTTCGGTAACGACGGTCTGTACTCCGAGTCCAAGCTTGCCCTTGAGACTCTCTTCAACCGTTGGTACTCTGAGAGCTGGAGCCACTACCTCACCATTTGCGGTGCCGTCATTGGCTGGACCCGTGGTACTGGTCTGATGAGCGGTAACAACATGGTTGCCGAGGGTGTTGAGAAGCTCGGTGTCCGTACCTTCTCTCAGCAGGAAATGGCCTTCAACCTTCTCGGTCTGATGTCTCCCGCCATTGTCAACCTTTGCCAGCTTGACCCCGTCTTTGCCGACCTCAACGGTGGTCTGCAGTTCATCCCTGATCTCAAGGGATTGATGACCAAGCTCCGTACCGACATCATGGAGACCAGCGATGTCCGCCAGGCTGTCATCAAGGAGACCGCCATCGAGCACAAGGTCGTCAACGGCGAGGACAGCGGAGTTCTGTACAAGAAGGTTGTTGCCGAGCCCCGTGCCAACATCAAGTTCGAGTTCCCCTCCCTGCCCGACTGGGAGCAGGAGGTCAAGCCTCTCAACGAGTCTCTCAAGGGCATGGTCAACTTGGACAAGGTTGTCGTTGTCACTGGTTTCTCTGAAGTTGGTCCCTGGGGTAACTCCCGTACCCGTTGGGAGATGGAGTCCAAGGGCAAGTTCTCCCTGGAAGGTTGCGTTGAGATGGCCTGGATTATGGGTCTGATCAAGCACCACAACGGTCCCCTCAAGGGCAAGGCCTACTCCGGCTGGGTTGACGCCAAGACTGGCGACCCCGTCGATGACAAGGATGTTAAGCCCAAGTACGAGAAGCACATTCTCGAGCACACCGGTATCCGTCTCATCGAGCCCGAGCTGTTCAAGGGTTACGACCCCAAGCAGAAGCAGCTTCTCCAGGAGATCGTTATCCAGGAGGACCTCGAGCCTTTCGAGTCCTCCAAGGAGACTGCTGAGGAGTTCAAGCGTGAGCACGGAGACAAGGTCGAGATCTTCGAGATCCCCGAGTCTGGCGAGTACACCGTCCGCATGCGCAAGGGCGCCACCATGCTCATCCCCAAGGCTCTCCAGTTTGACCGTCTTGTCGCTGGTCAGGTTCCTACCGGCTGGGATGCCAGCCGCTACGGTATCCCCGATGACATTATCGAGCAGGTTGACCCCGTCACTCTGTTCGTCCTGGTCTGCACTGCTGAGGCTATGCTCTCTGCTGGTATCACTGACCCCTACGAGTTCTACAAGTACGTCCACCTTTCTGAGGTTGGTAACTGTATTGGTTCCGGTATTGGTGGTACCCACGCTCTCCGCGGTATGTACAAGGACCGCTACCTTGACAAGCCCTTGCAGAAGGATATTCTGCAGGAGTCTTTCATCAACACCATGAGTGCTTGGGTGAACATGTTGCTCCTTTCCTCCACCGGTCCTATCAAGACCCCCGTCGGTGCTTGTGCCACTGCTGTTGAGTCCGTTGACATCGGTTACGAGACTATTGTCGAGGGCAAGGCTCGCGTCTGCTTCGTCGGTGGTTTCGATGACTTCCAGGAGGAGGGCTCTTACGAGTTCGCCAACATGAAGGCCACCTCCAACGCCGAGGACGAGTTCGCTCACGGCCGTACCCCCCAGGAGATGTCGCGTCCCACTACCACCACCCGTGCTGGATTCATGGAGTCCCAGGGTTGCGGTATGCAGCTCATCATGACTGCCCAGCTCGCTCTTGACATGGGTGTCCCCATTCACGGTATCATTGCCCTGACCACCACCGCCACTGACAAGATCGGACGGTCCGTTCCCGCCCCTGGCCAGGGTGTTCTCACCACTGCACGTGAGAACCCCGGCAAGTTCCCCTCGCCTTTGCTTGACCTCAAGTACCGCCGCCGCCAGCTTGATCTCCGCAAGAAGCAGATCAACGAGTGGCAGGAGTCCGAGCTCCTCTACCTCCAGGAGGAGGTTGAGGCTATGAAGGCCCAGAGCGATGAGACCTTCAACGAGTCCGAGTACTTGCAGGAGCGTGCTCAGCACATTGAGCGCGAGGCTATCCGCCAGGAGAAGGATGCTCAGTACAGCCTGGGCAACAACTTCTGGAAGCAGGACACGCGCATTGCTCCTCTCCGTGGTGCCCTTGCTACCTGGGGTCTGACCGTCGATGACATCGACGTTGCCTCCTTCCACGGTACCTCCACTGTCGCCAACGACAAGAACGAGTCCGATGTCATCTGCCAGCAGATGAAGCACCTCGGCCGTACCAAGGGTAACGCTGTCATGGGTATCTTCCAGAAGTATCTCACCGGACACCCGAAGGGTGCTGCCGGAGCCTGGATGTTCAACGGCTGTCTCCAAGTCCTGGAGAGCGGTCTCGTCCCCGGTAACCGCAACGCCGACAACGTCGACAAGGTCATGGAGAAGTTCGACTACATCGTCTACCCCAGCCGCAGCATCCAGACCGACGGTGTCAAGGCCTTCTCCGTTACCTCCTTCGGTTTCGGTCAGAAGGGTGCTCAGGTCATTGGTATCCACCCCAAGTACCTGTACGCCACTCTCGAGAAGTCCCAGTACCAGGCCTACAAGACCAAGGTCGAAGCCCGCCAGAAGAAGGCCTACCGCTACTTCCACAACGGCCTGATCAACAACAGCATCTTCGTCGCCAAGAACAAGGCTCCTTACGAAGACGACCAACAGAGCAAGATCTTCCTCAACCCAGACTACCGCGTCTCCGTCGACAAGAAGACCTCCGAGCTCAAGTACTCTACCACAGCACCCCAGGCCAAGGAGTCCGAGGCCACTCGTCAAACCGTCGAGTCCCTCGCCAAGGCCAACGCCTCAGCGAACTCCAAGGTCGGCGTCGACGTCGAGCACATCGACTCCGTCAACATCGACAATGAGACCTTTGTCGAGCGCAACTTCACCGCCAGCGAGCAGGCCTACTGCCGCAAGGCCCCCTCCCCGCAGTCCTCCTTCGCCGGCCGCTGGAGTGCCAAGGAAGCCGTCTTCAAGTCCCTCGGTGTCAGCAGCAAGGGTGCTGGCGCTTCCCTGAAGGAAATCGAGATTGGCGTCGACGCCAACGGCGCTCCTACCGTTAACGTAAGCTCTCCATCCTGCGCCTTCCACCTAACCATTCCACGATAGACCAAAAGCTAATTTAATCTCCAGCTCACCGGAGCCGCCGCCGCCGCCGCTAAGCAAGCCGGCGTCAAGCAAGTCAGCGTGAGCATCAGCCACAGTGACTCGCAGGCCGTCGCCGTTGCCGTCTCGCAGTTCTAATTTGAGTTCTAGCTCTAGAACAAAGCTAGGATAGATGAGAGATGGCTGTTGTGTTGTTGTTTCGCATATAGATCCTTGAGATCGGGCATTCTGTTGACTTTTCTTTTTGGAATGTGGCCTGTTGATTTAATCTCATGGGTCGAGACGTAATGATTGTGATTTATGCTTTTTCTTAGATCTCCAGACTGGGGTTTGTCTGGCTTTTTTTTTTGTGTTTATAATGGGTGTTATGAATGGTATTTCTTATTGTTTATTTGATTTTGGATTGGAGAAGGATGTAGTTTGATACTGTAGATCCATGGATGTTAGTTAACGATATAAGGGGTTGTTTGGTTAGGGTTGGGTTGATTCCCTCTACCCATTAAGTTACCATTAACTTATCGTTACGAGTTAACTTGAGTTATATTTCAAGAATTGAGTTTCAACAATTGAGTATACATGAACATCAATCTCAACATCGATCTCTTCCATCTAAACCAAAACCAAAGGTCGACACCCTACACATCCCACCATCCATTCTTCCACTCACCAAGAATAATCCGACGTGCCATGAAATACCATGAACACAGTACTGTAAATGTAAATATAAATCTCTCCAAGCGGGCACAACTACAACAATACACATCCCATATCTAACTCAATACGAACAATAGAATGAGACACGAAAGACAAAGTAGAACAGTAGTACTAAATTCCATATATACAACTCCATGCATAAGTCAACTCAATATAAGAAAAGAAAAGTAAAAAGAAATCACGACTTTCCAGCCCGATTCAACGGACCCCAATTCGCGCGAGGGTTAAGCTGGTACCGCACAATCCTCTTGCTAGTATGCTGTTCCGAAACCTGTCTGCCAAGGTCGCCATCGAAGGTGACTTCAAGGGTACTAGGATGGGGAGGTTTAGCCGGGGCAGTAGAAGTAGCAGCAGAAGTAGTAGTAGCAGTAGAAGCAGAAGCAGTCCCACGCGCACCAGACCGATAAAGCGCAGCCTCGACCTTCGTAACGAGATCGGCAACATCCTTGCCCGCCTGAATAGCAGCGAGCAAGTCATTCTTCAAAGACGACAGGATCTCGCCATCGGCAGCAGCGTCTCCGCCAGCGGCGCGCAGCTGCTCACGACTCTTCGCCATGATACCGGCGCCGGCCGTGCCGGGCTTGAGAGAGGGAGATTTATTAGGGGCGTGCTGGCGGACCCATTCGCGCATGATCTCCCAGACGACGGCCCAGGGGGCGTCAGTGCGGACGGAGTTTGGTTTTGTGTGGCTGCGTGTGGAGCGGTAGCCTAGGTGGGCGATGGCGCCGCGGAATTCGTCGATGGGGGGAGTTGTTGTGTGCAGGACTTTGGAGAGGGCGCTGAGGGAGAAGTAGAAGGGGTGTTCGGGTTTGGGGGTTAGGGGTTGGCGGGGGATTAGGGCTGGGTAGAGGGATTTGTCGGAGGGGGAGTCTTGGGGGGCAGTTTTGATGTTGATTTCGTCGTCTTCCGGGTTGGCGGTTGGAGAGGAGGGGGCTTGGGATGGTGGGGATAGATCTAGGTCTTCTTCCAGGGCTGTGGTCAACATGCCTTCGATGCGGGCGGTGGTTTGGTAGGTTTGTTTGTCGGCGCCTGGGAGCATGTCTAGGATCTTTTGGATGAAGATTGGGTTGTGGAGGGGCCCTGCCCACATTGGGCCGGCCAGGTGTGTTTTCGTGCCGCAGTGGTCGCAGTATGGGCCGGAGGTTGGGCCCTTTGTTATGCCATGGTGGTAGAAGGGGTTTCCCTTCTTGTCTGCGCGTTCTTTTGTCGAGCCGATGGGCTGGGTAGACCACGCGCCGCAGCCGGCGTCGCAGTTCCATACGAGCATGGTGTTACCAGCGTTGAACTTGACTTGGGCGGGAGAGCGGTAGACGCGCACGAAGACACGGGCGTAGAAGTCGATGGAGAGAGACAAGAGCGGCTCAATGGCGATTCCATATTTGGAGGCAGACATGGCCAGACTGTTCAGGATCAGGCGGAGGCCACCTTCGTGCGAGTGTTGGCCTTTGACGGGAATACCGCCGTACAGGGCGAATGCCTTCTCCGAGTAGCCAGTTGAGGCCCAGACACCGGCGTCCGTGCAGGTAACGCAGAGGAGACCGCCGTCTTTGGCAGCTTGAACGGCACCGTCCAGGAATGGGCCTGCTGTGCCGTAAGGGTCAAGATCGATCACGTCGAACTTGTCAGCGTGGTCGAGTCCGTACATATAGGCGCGGGCATCACCCAGATTAGGCTGGATGCGGTCCTCGAGCTTGTTGTACCCAATGTTGGTCTTCATGGACTTGATTGCCGACTCGGACATGTCATTTCCCACGACCTTGGTGACGAAGGGAAGCTCCGAGGCGTAGCGGAGAGCACGCAGACCTGTTGCCGACAGGGCGTCGAGAACCGTGAAAGCTGGCGGAGAGTGTTGCTTCTCGGTGTTTGCGTCGGGTTTCTGGCCGGCTTGGACAGAGACGGGCTGCTCGGTCTCGTCCGCATTACCCTCTTGTTCTCCCTCCTTGGGTGCAGGCCTCGGGGCCTGTTCGCTCTCGGCCTCATCGTCTTCGCGCTTACGTTTCTTTTCACCATTGCCCGCGCGCTTTTTCATTTTCTGGTCCGTCTTCTTTTTCTTCAGGTCCATGGCATGTTCGCCATATGCGCGAATGGCCAGCACACTCAGGTCGCGGTTGAATTGCTGGATTGGGTTGTAGAAGACGGACTGAGATTGGTCATTCTCTGTCAAAAACTTCTTTGGTCCCTTGGAGGCAGCTTCCTGGGCAGGAGGATTGAGAATATGCGCGAGTCCCTCCTTGATGACATTGTACTCGGTGCCCTTGTATTCCACCTGGCTAGGTGTTCCGGCAGCAGTGTTCTCCATGGTGGAAAAGAGTCGCGGTTGTAATACTCGAGGTGTTGATTTCGGACGAATGAATTGGGCGAGAGCAAGGGTCGAGCTCGACTTCTTAAATACGCATCGTACAGTTGAGCGAGAAATCCAAAAAGTGGGCATAAGGGCCTGTAGAAAAAGATTGTCGCATGAAGAGTCGAGGAAAAGATGCGGCGCACGGACCAAGTGGGATTACATTAGTTGGATATCGACTGCTTCATACTTCTACTTCTTCTTCTTCTTCTTCTTCTTCTTCTTCTTCTTCTTTTTATATACACAAAAGAGTCAGAACCCGATCATAGCCAGTTCCCAATAACAGGGACTTGCATGTACATCTCGTTCCATCCCTTCGCTTCCCACCCAACACCCTCACCACCACGCCCAATAACACCAAGAGCACCAGCAAGCCAGAGCGACGCGCCAGCAGCAGCAATGCCATTGACCACCCACCACATCTTGCGCTGTCTCTTTTTCTGACTGGGACTCTCCGTATAACCAAGATACCCCTCCAACGAGCCCTTCTGACTGCCCCGTTCCTTCCGCACCGTAGTAATCCTCCACCCCATCCAAGTCGCCCACCCACCAACGAAATGCCAAACACTGGCAGCAACAAACAAGACGTAGAAGACGTTCCAGAAGACAGGGCTGCGGGCAAAGCCATGCGCAATATATCCGAGTCCCACCCCGGAGCTCCCACCCTCAACCATAACCGGCGTTGCGCGGTTCACCAGCGCATGCAATCCAATCAGTGGTGCCACAACGTATCCCGAGCGAGCTTGTAGAGACATCCGCGGCCACCAGGAGAGCTTGTCGCGTTGGGCGCGGGTCTCGGCGCCGTATAATCTTGCGCGACGTGCGGCGCGGATATTGCGTAGGGCAATGCCAGATGCGATGTGGCCTAGGATTGGGAGGGTAAGGACTAGATGCTCGATTCCTGGGGCTTGGTAGATTGGTCGCGTGAGCAGGAGGTAGGGTTCGCTGGCGGGTACGGAGCGGGTTACGAGTGGGATGAGGGAGGTATTGGCGAGGTGGAGGATGAAGAAGGCTGTTGGTGGGTAGGTTGAGTATTTTTGGATGCTGGTCACTGAATAGATATGTTAGAATCAAATTGAATATAAGGCAGGGTGGGTTTGAGGTTGAGGTCGAAGTTGAAGTTGACGTACGCCATGTATCCCAGCGGTGGCCGCGGAGGCCCAATTTGGGAATCAAGAAGCCTGTTTCATGTTGTGGCAGAGGCTCAGTTGGAGGGAAGTAGTTGCTGCTTTCCACATCTGGTGTGTCGGAGACTGGCGAGGGTTCCAATTCTTGCATAGACAAGATGGATTTGGTGTCGATGTCCTCCGGTTTGGAGGGTTGAGATGACATTATGATTATGAGGGATATAAACAACAGACAGCAGACAGCAGACAAAAGAAAAAGAAAGGAAAAAAAAGAAAGAAATTCGTCAGTTCAATTCAGTTCAGTTCATTGAAGGAAGAAAGTTGGGGTTGACGATCTTGCTGATTCCCGCAAACACAACGACGGTGATAGGCTCTTCACGCTTTTCAACCTCACTCCAACAAACGATGGCTCCGGTATGCTCCTCAAGGCGGTACTCTACATGATTCATCTACAGTAAAAGACTAACATTCAAATAGCGAGGCTTTACCAATCCCGCTCCAAAGGTGAGCTCTCAACTCGTCACATACAAGCTTTAAGCTAATCCCAACAGACCGAGTCGGCACGGTCAGCGCTGAGCGCCTTTACCTGCACTCTCTGCAACAAATCATATTCCCGGCATCCTGAGTATGAAGCACATATCGGTTCATATGATCACCAGCATCGGAAGCGGCTTCAAGATCTGAAACAGCTCTCGCGCGATCCAAATGCCGCTGAGAAGGCTCGGCGGGCCGAGCGTAAGGCGGACGCTGAGGCTGGTCTAAAGGTTATCGAGACTCCTGATGCTGCTGCATCAACTCCTGTGGCCAAGAGTGGTGGTGGCTTTAAGAAGGGTGGGTTTAAGAGCTCTTTTGCTGCTGTGAAGGGTTCCGCGGCTCCTGCTGCTCCTGTGAAGAGGAACGTTCTAGGGGACGACGATGATGAAACTCCGAACCCCGTGGACAGTGATTCGCTTGCTGTTCCTAATGCTGTCGAGAACGAGGATCACCGTGATGATGACAATGCTGAAAGCGATTCTGATGAGGGATATTCACACGGAAGTGGTGCCTACTACGACCCCCGTCGACCTACGGATTGTTTTGCGGGATGTGCAGCTCAAAATCCAAAGGTTGCTACGTGATGCTGAGTATCACATTCATTGCTGGTTAGGGCTTCTGCATGGACGGCGCTGGGCTGGTGTTTACAGGTTCTTCTGGGTGACTTTATGCACGGAAACAAGAATTGCTATCTATCATTTTGAGGAGTTGGGAAATATCAAAGCACTTTACGCTGGGAGGACAGACCCTCAGGATGTAATCGTACATAGCTTTCCAAGAATCTGTCTAGAAAACACACCGCAGGAACATAATGGAACAACATGACTTAAAAATGGAACAGATGAAAGGGTACTAGGCACATGGCTATATTATAACGAGCTCCTCGCTCGTCTCAGTCCGCTGACTTACAAACGCAAGAGCTTGGCGGCCTGGCTGACAATGGTGTCCTCCTGGGGGAAGGCCATGGTCTCGAGGCCAGCGGCGTAAGGAGTGGGGACCTCAGCACCGGTGACACGGATGGCAGGGGCGGTCAGGTAGTCGAAACCGTACTCCATGGAGAGAGCAAGGATCTCGGAGGCAACACCGTACATGGGGTAGCCGGACTCGACACACATGAGGCGACCGGTCTTCTTGAGAGAGGCGATGATGGTCTCGACGTCGAGGGGCTTGATGGAGCGCAGGTTGATGACCTCGGCCTCAACACCGTACTTCTGCTTGAGCTCAGCGGCGGCAGTCATGGACTGACCGACACAGCGGGAGACGGAGACAATGGTCAGGTCCTTTCCGGGACGCTCGATCTTGGCCTTGCCAATGGGCAGGACGAAGTCGTTCTTCTGGGCGGCCTCGCTCATGGGGAAGGCCTGGCCGTACATAAGCCTAAGGGATGTATGTCAGTTTTCCGTCCAATTTTCCGATTGCCAATTTCGGGGTGATGTGGAACTCACTCGTTCTCCAGGAAAACAACGGGGTTGGGGTCACGGATAGCGGCCTTGAGCAGACCCTTGGCGTCCTCGGAGCTCCAGGGGGAGACAACCTTGAGACCGGGGATGCTGCCGTACCAGGCAGAGTAGTCCTGGGAGTGCTGAGCGGCAACACCGGCGGCGAAACCGTTGGGACCACGGAAAGTGATGTTGCAAGGCTGGATACCACCGGACATGTAGTGAGTCTTAGCGGCAGAGTTGATGATCTGATCGATGGACTGCATGGCGAAGTTGAAGGTCATGAACTCGCACTAGATTGTCTAGAATCAGCATGGCCCAACAATTGTCTTCGGTCTCCGGTTTCCGGTCTTCGCGGAAAAACTCACAATGGGGTGCAGACCAGCGAGAGCAGCACCGACGGCGATACCGGTGAAACCAGCCTCTGTGATGGGAGTATCAATGACACGCTTGGGGCCGAAGCGGTCGAGAAGACCCCTCGTCACCTTGTAGCTGTAAAGGGATCAGCATGATGAATGATTCAACGATTTCACCGGCCTAGAATTCCGCCATCTCATGACTGGAATCAGTCCGCGATTGAGGGATTGCTCACGCTCCGTTGTACTGTGCGACTTCCTCACCCAGGATGAAAGTCTTCTGGTTGAGCTCCAACTCCTCGGCCAGGGCCTCGTTCAAGGCATCGCGAACGGTGACCTCCTTAGTGCCATTCTCGGTAGCGTATCCACGGCGCAAGATCGAGGGAGCACAGGCGGACTGGCGGGTAGCGGAGCGCAGAGTGGTGGAAGCAAGGCGCGAAGAGAACAGACGAGCTGTTGGGCGGAAAAGTCGGGGAGCTGCCATGGCGGGAATTATGATCGATCGAGTCGATAAGAAATAGAAAAGGCAAACGAAAGAATCAATTGAAGATCGCGAGGAGAAAATCAGCGACGGGGGAATGGAGCAAAGAAAGATATGCCCTGCGGAGATCGAATAATCTTTGAGATGCAAATCCGAAGATGTTGGGCTTCACGTGACCCCCGCAACTCACCGGTACTGTAACGGTCCATACACATCTTATCGTCGTCAGGGCAGCTCCAAGGGTCCTTGATTCCCCCTCGAGAGCTTCTATTTAGCTTCCACTTTCGCCGTTTTAACTGATGCTATTGTCCATTTGATTCTCTAGTTGTTGAGCATGTTGCCCATCTTCTGGCTACTTCCGTCGGCGCTCGCCGCGCAACCCTCCGCGCCCGAACCCATCTCCGCTCCGCTTCGCGCTCTGGATTTCGGGCAACTGAATTTCTTACATACGACTGATACTCATGGCTGGCTGGCTGGTCATTTGCAGGAGTATGCAGCTGTCTAGCCTATCCGGGAAGCTTTGCCAAGCCATACTGATCTAGATTACAGGTCGTCATACTCTGCAGACTGGGGTGACTATGTATCGTTTGCAACGCGCATGCGGGAAAAGGCAGAAGCTCAGGGACAAGACCTATTGGTCATAGATACCGGGGACAGAGTTGAAGGCAACGGCTTGTACGACTCGTCTGAGCCCAAGGGCATCTTCCTCTCGGACATCCTCCGGCAACAACATATCGACTTGTTGACGTCGGGAAACCACGAACTATACAAGCAGAACACATCCGAGGCTGAACTTCTCACCACCGTTCCTAATTTCCAAGGCAACTACCTGGCTTCCAATATTGATATTTTCCACCCTACAACCCACGAGCTGGTACCTCTTGCGCCCCGATACAAGAAGTTTACTACCAACAAGCAGGGTATCCGTATTGTAGCCTTTGGCTTTCTTTTCGACTTCACCGGAAACTACAACAACACTGTGGTCCAGCCGGTAGAAGAAACGATCAAGGAAGACTGGTTTCAGGAAGCTATTCGGGATAAAGAGGTCGACCTGTTCCTCGTGATCGGTCATGTGCCCGCCCATTCTCCCGAGTATCGTGCAATCTTCAAGACCATTCGAGGCATTCGCCGGGATACTCCAATCCAATTCTTCGGTGGACATCAACATATCCGCGATTACGCCAAATACGATGACAAGGCCTTCGCTTTGGCAAGTGGCCGGTTCATGGAGACCGTAGGCTTCATGTCCATTGACGGTCTTACTACCGGAGGCAAATCCGGCCTACTTAATTCCGTCCCTGTGTTTAAGCGAAGATACATTGATAGCAACCTCTACTCTTACCAATACCATACTGGTCTCGACCAGGATGCGTTCCCCACAGAGAAAGGTCAGAATGTTTCCCGATTGATTGCCAAAGCACGCAGCGAGCTTGAACTAGACAAGGTCCATGGCTGTGCTCCCCGCGAGCTTTGGATGTCACGGGTCAAGTATCCCCACGAAGCCAGCATTTATACATGGCTTGCGACTCAGGTCATCCCCGACTCGTTGCGAGATGATTCTCGAGCGGATGTACCTGCCCTGGCTATTGTGAATACGGGAGCCATGAGATTCGATATCTTCAAAGGCCCCTTCACGCAAGATTCGACATTTATTGTCTCACCATTTACCAGTGGTTTCCGCTATCTGAAGAACGTTCCATATGACAAAGCCCAGCTGATGCTAGAGGTTTTAAACAAACAGCCACAAGTGCTGTACGCATCGCAACATGGAGGCGAGTCATCACATACCACACTCGCACCTCTTGAGCAACTTGCATACCCCGAAGACGTGGTAGTCGATGCAACAAGGCCATCGTTCTTTGGTTCCGGGTCTGCCCAAATCCCCATGTCTGGTGATAAGCCCACCAAACCACTTGTGCCTGGTTATACGACAAAGGACGATGCAGGCACGGATGGCGATGATACCATCCACGCTCCGATTTCCTTCTATCGAGTTCCCAATTGTATTCAAGCACTCGTATCTGCTAATTCGTCCGAGACCCCGGAGAAGGTGGATCTGGTCTACATTGATTTTATTGAGCGTTATATGGTGCTCGCGGCTAAATTCGCTGGTCTCGAGGTCGACTTTGCGAAGGAGAGCGATGTGTACATGCCAGGAATGACCATGACGAACCTGATTCTGGATTGGGTCAAGACACATTGGAAGTGCGATGAATGAATAACATACGTTAATGATAAATGAGTTTTGCCTTCGTTTATAACACCATACTTTTGAATCCATTTAGTTGATCATATCTGCATTTGGCGTAGAAATGAAGTATACCCACAAACGACTATGAAAATGGGCCCAATATATATCATACATCTTAACTTGATCCTAAACTATTCATCGCCGCCAGTGAATGTGAAAACGCCCTTTCCACTGCGATAACCACCTAGAGTACCCTGTACGGCCTCAGCAAGCTCAGGACCCTCAGAGTCCCAGTTCCACTTGACATCATCCACGGGAATATCCTGGAATTTACCAGCCCGAGTCAATTGAAGCACATCCTTGATAGTGTTCTCCTTCAGCTCAGGGTTCTTATCACCCCACCTGCTAACCCAGAACCCATCAAACGAAAGGTTCTTAAAGATCAACAAACCAGACGGCAAAGCAACAGGCTGCTTCGACATAGCACCATAGGTAACCATATGCGAATCCGGTGCCAGAGTCTTAGCTAAAGCAGTAGCATTCTTTCCACCAACACAGTTCAACGCAAGACGAATCGGCTCCCGACCCTGACGCGTCAATTCATGAACCATATCGCGGAACCGACCATTCAGCATCTCCTCCTCAGTAACAACAGCAGTAGCACCCAGCGCTAGAAGCTCCTGCTTCAGCACCTCGGTCTCTTCAGGCGTGCTCCGCTGCCGAACAACATTAAGCGTCTTAATACCCCACTCCCGTCCAAGTTGGATAGCAGCCCGACCAACGCCGCTGTTCGCGCCATTTTGAATAAGCCACTCTTCGCCCATGCGCATCATATCCCACGCACAGAAATCGCGGATCATACGGTATGCCGTGACGGGGTTGACGCTGACAGTGCCGACCTGTAGTGGGGTGAGTCCGTCCTTGTTCTCGATCTTGATGAGCTGAGATTCGTCCAGCTGGGCGTGTGTGCGCCACGCGCCCTGGCCGGTGCGCTTCATAATGACCCAGTCGCCCTTGGTGAGGGTTTTGACTCCTGCGCCGGTGGAGAGGACCTCGAAGGCGCCTTCGTTGCCGCCTACTGCGGCGGGCTCGGTGTTTCCGAGGGCCGTTTGGAAGGGTGGTTTGCTGGGGTAGACGCCTTGAATCTGGTTCACGTCTGCTGGGTTCATTGGGGCTGTCATGAGGCGGAGGTTTACTTGGGTTGCGTGCGGCGCAGAAATCGAGTGCTTGTGAAGGCTGTGCGATTGATCAGTTTTGTTGGCTCTTGGACATGACTAGGAGCTCGAATTGGTTGTTTTTTACCGGAGGACATCTTTGGGCTCGCCATATTTGGAGTACATCAGTGCTTTGGCTTGGGTATAGCCGTAGACTGAAATGTATCTCCGGCCGTATCCCGTCGGAGCTTTGCCAGAGTGCACCAGGGTAGGTGCGGCTCGAACAGGGGCCCCGGCATGTGTACCCTGAGCTACAGCTCGTAATGCGCTTCGTGAAAACATATTTTGGTGAGGTGGTTGGGAATGAAGTAAGAAATTAACGAGCCATGCGGATGACGTCGCTCGGTAATGTCGCTCGGCCCGATGGAAAGACTCACATGACTGTGATGGGATCTTCATTTCTTCCGAACTATGAATTCTTATAAGTTTCATTTCAATATCGAACGAGGATATAGTCCAATTCTATTGATTCTATTTTCTCCTATTTCATGTCTCATACGAGAATTTGTCGTTTGTCAAAATTTATCTTCGAGAAACCTGAAGATGTCTCGAATCCTAAATGGTTCGAAAAAATATATAGAGCTATGTAACTGCTTGAAGTTTTTTACTCATTAAGCTTTAGTATATAGTCCCTTGAATTCTTCAACTCATTTCGAGAAAAGATTCTAAGTCTACTAAAAATAGGCTCAGGGCCTCATGCATATCCATCGATTTCGAAAGGAGTACAAGCCAAGGTACTGCAATATGGGGAAAAGAAGACCTCAGCTCAAAGCAAACCAGCATACGAAGTAACATATTTGCTTTAGGACTTTGTCATAGACTATACAATACCAAGCCCCTAGGGGAATTTAAGTAGATTCATAATCATTGGTTTATATAGCGAACGCACTACATACTTAACGCAACGAGAACCTGCAAGGACTGTGAGTGACCGCCAATGCGGATTCTACAAAAGCACAACAAATGAAACGAGAGACGACAGTCATAGTCTAAGTAAGGCTCAAGAAAGTCACAGCATCTTTGATGTCGTATATGACCTTGACTCCCTGAATGGCTGCTATACACCGTAATCCTGATGAGGCTCGTCAGACTAAACTCCCACATTGAACTAGTGTACATGACTGGAGCTCTTTTGTATTATGTTTTGATATAAAAGAGGACCTAAAGAGGTAAAAAATTCCGAAGAATCATTGCGGAAATAGATAATATAAATATAAAATCGCTGTGATACTGTTCAACTCCGTGGATGAAGAGGACGTGTGCGAGCAAGACAAGTTAGATACATATGTGCCACAAGCATTGATGCTGAGTTCTGTTAGTTTGAGGTTTTCCAACATCCATGACACTTCGTTGCATCAATTATATATGCTAGCCTTCTGATATCTTCACCTCTGAAAGAATGTGACTTAAAGGAAGCCCTACGGAGCGGAGCGTCACATTTGATTCAAGCTTTACACCTTCTAGGTACAAGACAGAACTCAATCTTTCTCCAATCCCTTAAAAGTTACCCAATAATTATATTATCATCTTGAGGCAATACACATAGTGTCTAAACAGATTGGAAACAGTTTATGCAAAATGTGTTCATGTTCCGCTGTAACCAGATCCATAACTATAGGAAGTAGCGGACGGGGTTCCAAGGCCTAGTTTGAAACTTGGCTCCTAACCTTCCTCATACTTAAATATGTATTTTACTCATAGGAGTAAATCAAGGTTGCTTTTTGAAAATTCCCCCGCTTCCCACCTATTTCCAGTGTCAGGCACACAGCCCCTATCTAGAAACGAAAATCGCGTCTATGCACTATCTTAGTAAAAAGAGAGAGAAATGCAGAACATACTAGATACTAATCAGAAATATATTCTATTTTCTATACATAGACTTCTTTTTTCTTTGTGATCCCACATAATTGAAACTAAGTTATAAGTTAGTTAAGTTAAATAGTTAATCTAAACCGGAGGTTTATATAAGAACCTCTATGTAGCGCACGGACCAATCGGGGAGACTTGTATTTCCGCGGATCTTCCACCAACAACCACACCACACACCCCAAGGCCTAAATGTCCCTATTGCGCGAAGCTGAGAAATGTGTCGCTAACCAATACACACATGGTATCAATGCATTCATAACACCGCTATCACGCACGGGGCCATGGCTGGACCGCGTGAAGGAAGCAGATGCGCGCAAGGAATCAGGTAGCTCCCATTGAAGTCCGCACTCAAGACCAAGACTGACGACTGTATTTAAATAGGCAAGCCTAAATCCGCCGTCGATGGCCGTTTGATCTCTATCAAAGATAATATCTGCACACGCGACATGCCAACAACATGTGCATCAGGTATCCTGGATAAATTCATGAGTCCGTTCAATGCTAGCGTTGTCGACGAATTGGAGAATGCCGGTGCAATCGTTGCTGGGAAAACAAATCTGGATGAGTTTGGAATGGGATCCAATTCGATCAACTCGCATTTTGGTGCTGTTAAGAACCCGCGTCGTGATGGGAGTGGGGAGCACCTCTCTGCTGGTGGGAGCTCCGGTGGAAGTGCTGCTTCGGTTGCCGCCGATCAATGCTATGCGTAGGTGTTCATGACACCATGAGAAATTACCTTGGCTTACTGGAGTTAATATAGCTCGCTGGGTACAGACACTGGAGGCTCCGTCAGACTTCCGGCTGCGTACACCGGAACAGTGGGCTTCAAGCCATCATACGGCATGATCTCACGGTGGGGTGTGGTAGCGTATGCCAATTCCCTGGATACAGTTGGTATTCTGAGCAAAACCACCGCTAGTGTACGGGATATCTTCGGTGCGGTTCCATTCCTAAATCGCTGCCAGCCAGCCCGCTAACAGGACTATAGGTCTCCTGAACAAGCACGACCAGCGCGACCCAACCAACTTATCCATTCAATCTCGCGCACGCATCAATGCGTATCACCAAACCCCACGCCTCGCCTCACGACTAACATCAGCGCCCCTCCGAATCGGCGTACCAATTGAATATAATGTGTCCGAACTAACACCGTCGGTCCGGCGAGCATGGATTCTATCTCTAGCCCACCTCCAGAAACAAGGCCATACAATTCACCCAGTCTCTCTACCTGCCACAAGACACGCCCTCTCGGCATACTACATCCTAGCGCCAGGCGAAGCATCCTCAAATCTAGCAAAATACGATGGTGTCCGCTACGGCACTCGCGCCGAAGGCCCAGACGGCGACGGCAAGCCAGAAGGGTATCTCTACGCCAACACGCGCGGGCAGGGATTCGGAACCGAAGTCCAGAGGCGAATTGTGCTAGGCACGTTTTCTCTCAGCGCCGATGAGATGGACAACTACTTCATCCAAGCCCAGCGTGTTCGGCGTCTTGTTCAGCATGATTTCGACTCTGTTTTTTCCGCTCAACATCCGCTGCATGTGACTGCTTCTCGGGATGCACAGGACGATTCGGAAACGCACCCTGATGTGGATGTTTTGATATGTCCTACCGCGCCTTCTTCCCCGCCGCGCTTGTCGGATTTGATGGATCCTAAGAAGAAATCTTCTCTTGATGCCTATGTCACTGATGTATTTACCGTTCCGGCCAGCCTGGCTGGTCTACCTGCCGTTTCGGTGCCTGTCACCGTACCTGGGCAGGGAGATGAGGCGGAGATGGCGGGTATTCAGGTTGTTGGCCAGTATGGAGATGATGAATTGGTTATGAATGTGGGAGAGATGTTGGAAGGGAGGCGTTTTGATGAGGCATCGTGATTGCAACTCAAGTGCTGAGGGATCATTGGCCTTTTCATTACTTTGTACCAATACTCCGTACTTTGTCTAGATAGACATGCTTGCATACTTGATTTAAGTTCGAATGTGGATATTTTATTCAACGGCTGAATTCATAAATCCGTATATACTCGGACTCTGGTTGAAATTTGGTATCAAAGCTATTGTGCCACTCCGAAACGCCTAGTATATATCATAATCCACGCCCAAGAAGCAATATCTGTCCAAGACTCCTCGAGAAGTCGGTCATAGCAAACTCGCCTTCACGCTTCTCCCGAGTTCTCACCAAACGCTCAACTCATCTCAACATCCCCATCCCCATCACCCTCCGCATTTCCCACAATCTCAACAGCCAACGGCGTCCCAGCCGTTCCAACACTAACGCCATCATCACCAACACCAGCAACGGGCGTCTCGCGGTTACTATTAGCCGCAGAATCAGACGCACCAACCGTGCCAGGCGTATTCATAGAAACAGACTCAATCGCGGCCCCAACACCACCCTTGAAAACCTCCGCACCACCTACAGCCCCAGGAGCAGATCCCTCCTCTAGCCCACCATCTCCAGCAGTGTTGTTGTTCCCAATAACATCACCGTCAACCCCGCCCCAGGTAGTCATGGCCTCGACTTCATCGACAATATCGGCGACGACGTCTTCGACAATTTGATCGTTGAAACGTTCGCCCATGGGCCGGATACTGGCTCCCGATTCCGTTGTTTGGGGCGGTCCTACCCACCACGGCCCCTCGAACTTGCATTCAACCGCGCCGCCGCCGTAGCAGCTCACCGCTGGGTAGTAGCCTATCATTCCATCGTCGGCGTTCTCACGCTCCCCGATGCCGAGGTTGTTGGTGCCGCTTGCGAGACGGCTAGCTGGGGGGAGGAAGGCGTAGAGCTCTTTAAAGGGTGTTCCCATTTCCTTTCCGTTCTTGAAGACCGTTATGCTTGATCCTGGGAGCGTGCGGAGCGTTGGGTCTTCAGCGTTTGTGGGTGATGGATGACCGAAGGTAGGCGTTTCCTTGAGGTTGAATGCATAGTCGCGGAGATGTTTTGTCGAGAACACGTTTGATTGTTGCCAGCAGAAGTCTGATTTGTAGTGGAAGGGGATTCGGTCGCGGATGATGTTTGATGCTGTGGGTGGGTATGAGTGTTGCGAGGAGTGGTGTTTTGGGTCGTCAGTTGCTGGGTCGTATGTTCCTTCTACTATCTTCTTGTGGAGGGATAGAGAGGGGAGGGTGATTAGCATGCCGATGACATCGCCTTCGTTGATGGCTTCGCCCTTTGGGAAGAAGAAATCGCAGCGCATGCGGTTTACCACTTCGCCGTTCACGTCACGGATGCCATAGCCGTAGCAGTCGACTCCGACGTTGGCGTCTAGGTCTGCTTCGCGGCGTGCGAAGCCCATGCGGACGTGGCCGCGTGGTGAGGTTGTTGATCGGCCGTTCTGGGGTGGGTTTTCGGGGTCGTTGACTATGCCGCTGATGATCCGGGCTTCGTAGTAGTATGTGCCTTCTCGGGCGCAGACATTCGCGCGAGCTGTATGCCATGCGTCACCGGTGGTTACCGCAGTCGCGGTCTCGGAGAATGTGATGGCTGCAGGTGAATCTTCGAAGCTGAACCGAGCATGGTAGGGACGAACGTCTGTCTGTCGGTATTTGATGTGGGAGAATTCGGGGTCCGCAATGGCGTAGCTGTAACGGAAGCCATTCTTGTTGGTAAGTTTGTCGACGACCTCGTAGAAATCCCAGCTTTGACCCAGTACGTCGGAGGTTTTCCTGCTCACGTGGTTCAGCTGGCGAGGCTGTGGAGGGTACATGTCGGTGGACTTTGGCTCGGCGAGGAGCAAAGGCCGGAGGATTTGCAGCTTTGAACTGGGGAGGGCGGTGCTTGGTGCAGCTGTTGAGCGCTTCTTGGCTGGGGGAGCACTCTCAGTGTCCAGGCCCTTGGCTTCCCTTTTCTTGCGACTGTCCCTTTTGTTGCGCTTTGTCCGACCATCGCCTTGGAGAGATGCGACACTACCAGGGGCTGGGGATGACCTTGGATTCAGATCCGAGAACTGCGTGTTGAGCAATGGCCCGCCATTGGGAGGTAAAATCGGGGAGTTGATGTTGGATGAGGGTGCTGAAGACCCAGGAGCTTGACCGGATGCCATATTGCAGGCTAGGTAATGTACCACGCTTGACAAATAAAGCTCAGTATTTTGCTTTTATACTGCTGTTATATTGATGATTATATTGCTGTCGGGATGCGGTCATTCAAAAGTTGGTATCTGTATCGAAGAAAGTCAATCAATGGAACCAATACCGCTTCGATGGGATTCAGAAAGGTGTCTAGAGCTTTCGGTCCATTCAGTCAAGGCAGGGTCCAATTCAAACTTACCCAATATAGAAGGGCGCGTTGTTTCAATATGCTGTTCGCAACACGCTAGGTGCGAGGCGCGTCCACCCGGAGATACCTATGTGAGAGGTCTTGGCCCTTGTAATTTCGCAATAAAATTCACAGGCTGCCTCTTAATGGAATATGTTTCCCTGATCTGCAGCAATGAAGACAACAGTACGTATATCTTCAGCTGATTTCAATCATGCACGATGATCGATCTCCTTGAGCGGAAAGGCGGTGGCACATTCATGGCAGAAAAGTGACGGCCATGAAGGCGGTGTGTTGACGGGCGGTGGAACAATTGGGGGGCACCGCCTGGCAGAAAAAAAATATGACCACACAATTTCTATGTGGGCTTTGCTGCGAGGATCCTAGGAGCTATTCTCACGTTTTCTTTTGGGAGCTATCTGTCACCAGAAGTCACATTCACTATGCCCAAGGCAGGATCTTCCCGGGCCGCTGCTGCGGCTCGCCGACACAACCCTCTCGCCGAAGATATTAGTTCCGCGGGGCACCTTCGGACACAGAGCAGCAAGAAGGGCAAGGGCAAGGCTGGAGACGACGAGGATGGCGAAAATGGACAGGGATTCATCGATGCAAAGATGTCGCGCAACATTCTACAGATGGGTCAGGAATTGGCGGACGAAGATGAGGCCGAACAGACCCTCGCCCGGGGCCCGGCCAAGTCGAACGGCGCATTTGAATTCGATACTCGGTTCGAGGAGGAAGAGGAGCCTTTTTCTGACGACGAGGGCAAGTTTGGAGCCGATGACTGGGTTGATGATGAAGTCGAGGAAGTTGTAAGATATTTCCATCTCCAAGATCATATCGACTCATGCTAATATATATGTACAGGAAGTCGATCCCAATGATCTAGATATGTTCAACAAATTCATGCCAGGTCACGAGGAAGATCCTATTTTCCATCCCCGGGACCCCAACGCCAGCGGCCAGACCACAAACCTTGCCGATTTGATTCTAGAGAAGATCGCCGAGCACGAGGCCAAGCAGGCTGGTGAACACAGCGGTGGACCATTCATTCAAGGTGGTGGATTGCCCGAGGATGCTGTCCAGATCCCGGCCAAGGCCATTGAAGTATACGAGAAGTATGTGCTTCAAGTGCCACCAAGTAATCCAAGCTAATCTGTCTAGGGTCGCCACGATTCTTCGCCGCTACAAGTCTGGCCCTCTCCCCAAGCCCTTCAAGATCATCCCCACCGTACCACACTGGCAAACCTTCCTGGAGATCACCGAACCCGCGGACTGGACTGGCAACGCCGTTTACGCCGCAACCCGAATCTTCATCTCTTCCAAGCCTTGGGTCGCCCAGGAGTTCATCAACATGGTCCTCCTGGAGCGCACTCGCCACGAGATCCGTGAAACCCGCAAGCTGAACGTCCACACCTACAACGCTCTGCGCAAGGCTCTGTACAAGCCCGCTTGCTTCTTCAAGGGACTCCTATTCCCTCTCGTCGCCAGCGGTACCTGCACCCTGCGCGAAGCCCACATTGTCTCCTCAGTGATTGCCCGTGTCTCCGTTCCCGTGCTGCACTCCGCCGCGGCCCTTCTGCGCATGTGCGACCTCGCCGCCGAGCAGTCCATGACCTCCCTCGAAAGCACGGGTGCCGTCAACATGTTCATCCGAGTCTTCCTGGAGAAGAAGTACGCCCTGCCGTACAAGGTCATCGACGCCGTCGTCTTCCACTTCATGCGTTTCCGCGCACTCGACCCATCGGAAGCCATGAACGACGGTCCCAACGGCCTTAACTCCAAGACCTACAAGCTGCCCGTTCTGTGGCACCAGTCTCTGCTGGTGTTCGCCCAGCGGTACCGTAACGACATCACCGAGGATCAGCGTGAGGCTCTGCTCGATCTGCTTCTCGTCCGTGGCCACAAGGATATCGGTCCTGAGGTCCGTCGTGAATTGCTCGCTGGTCGTGGACGTGGTGTTGTCGTTCCTGATCCGGAGATGCAGAGTGCTCTCGATGCTGGCGATGATACGATGGATGTCACTATGTAGGGTGTAGATCCGATCGACGGATCTTCCACTCCCGCCCCGCATGTCTTCGCTTACGATTTGACCATGAGCACTGTTGCACTGTTTCTATGGGATGGCGTTTCATATTTATTTTCCTCCTGTTTTCTTTTCTCTTTTGCCTCGGATGGTCTGCATATAATTCCCCTGGTGTCAGGTTTCCAAAAAATTGGGATGAATATAAGCCGAAGTCTACATACTGTCACTCCATCTTGCAAGTAGAAGTAGCATCTATGGATACTGTAAAACTTACTAAACATAACAGACTACTCCAGGGCTGTATGGACACTCATATGATCAGTCCGGAGAAGACTTCAATCAAGCTTCACTTTCGGCTATTTCATCTCTCTTATTCTGGAGTACTCTTTGCCTGGTGATATTGTCCATGCTTACATTCGACACGCTAAGAGGGATTGAATAGCCGAGAGTAAAAGAGAATCTTATTTTTCAGTCTTCTTCGGGCAAATCCTAATGAAGTGGTATACTACAGCAATATCGTGTCTACAGTAAATGGTGTATGATCCTAGGGTCCGCTAGGAGAAGACCATTGCTTCAAGTATAAACATCCAAAGAAATCACGCACTATCCAATGTCCATGCACCATCCCATGCACATGTACAGATTCAATAGAACGCTGCAACATCTGAAAATAGGAGTGACTCCTATTCCAATGCGAGACAAACCGAGGGGCCCATACCATAATAAACTCCAACTCGTTTCAGCCCCTTCCCCCATCCCCTCCTCCCCCCTCCCCACCTTCCGCAACGTTCCAGACAATTCGATGTAATCCCCGAGAGACTTGACAGTCCTTTGCTTTCCCTCGAATCTCTGTTTCACTGCTAAGTTAGTGCAGTACGACGTTAAGACTGAGGGGGTGTGCCGCCAATTCCACCAATCCCATTCACCCCTTCATAGTCCGTGGACATTGACCGTAGCAAAGCAACAATCACATTCCATGTCCCTCAGGGGGAGCCGGAGAAATAGATTGACGTGCCTAGATCGCTGATTGGTCTCTTGTGGGACATTCTGATGGACTGGCGAAGCTGGGTCCACTTGGCTGTTCGAGACTGTGTGAGTTGGGGACCGGACTGGACTGCGGGCTCGGAGGGGACGAAGTCCGTGTGGTATAAGTTACGGGAAGGAAATGCACATTGTACTGTAAGTTAGTGGAGGGGCTGAGGGCTGATGTGATATTGGAGGTGTTGCATTTTCATGTGGGACATTGATGTGTACTGTAGGAAGATGTGTCGATTGGATGTGTTCATTGATGATTTGTCGGGTTACTGTACGGAGTATACAGGAGTATTAGAACCTGCACTGCACCGTAGGCATACTCCGTCCTAAGTATAGGGATAGGGGGCCATGGGGGGCCTCGCCTATAGATAGTAACAGGGGCTGTGTGTAATGATACGTACACAACTAGTAAGACGATGGCGAATGTTTCAGAAGCCATGCCCTAATTGGCTGGAATGGATCTGGAACCATGGAATGCAGGGGGAAATGATGCGTAATTTACACCATGGGGGTACTTGGTGGCGCATACAGTCCATTATGATAGGGGAAGTACCCCCCTCCTCCTTTGTTTCCCCCTTCAGACCACGCTGGCCTCTACTTAAGTCTGCCACTTCTGCCACTTCTGTCACTTCCTGCAAACAGACAGTTGTCCTTTACTTTCTCTTCTTGCTGACTCACCCTCTCTGACTCAATTCTCCGGAGTCTGGATCTCCGGTGCCGTGATGACAGCGTGGCCTTGACAGGTTAACATCCCTTACCTCTCCAAGTGTCTTGTCCTCATCAGAAATCACAACCTCGCATCCGGCACCGGTATCCAATATCATGGCCGACACTATCAACCCGTTGGATACGTTGCCAACATCTCCTGATCCCGACATGTACACAATCTCCCCCGCCGACACATCACTGGACTCACCAGAGCCGGAAGATGACATCAAGGAGGAGGATGACGAGAAGAAGCCAGCGAAGAAGAGAAAGTCGTGGGGACAAGAACTGCCAACCCCAAAGACAAATCTACCTCCTCGGTATGTGCTGCCCCACACCGTTTAATTGAGGAATCCATGCTAACAGGATTTAGCAAACGCGCTAAGACAGATGATGAGAAGGAGCAGCGTCGGATAGAACGGGTCCTCCGGAACCGCGCTGCGGCTCAAACATCTCGCGAACGCAAGAGACTGGAGATGGAGAAGCTCGAAACCGAGAAGATCCGCATGGAACAACAGAACCAGTTCCTCATCCAGCGCCTATCACAGATGGAGACTGAGAACAACCGCCTCAGTCAACAGGTGGCTCAACTCTCCGCTGAGGTCCGCGGATCGCGCAGCGCCACTCCCAAAGCCAGCTCCCCCGCCATCGAATCTCCCACCCTCACGCCGACCCTCTTCAAGCAAGAAGGCGACGAACTCCCCATGGAACGAATCCCATTCCCCACCCCCTCCGTGACCGACTACTCTCCCACCCTCAAGCCTTCCACTCTGGCTGAAGCCTCCGACGCGACACAACATCCTGCAGCGGTGTTGTGTGACCTGCAGTGTCCGTCGGTGGCCTCGAAGGAGCTGGAAGCGCCCTCCCTCTCTTCGACCTTTCCGAAGAACCTTCAACTGCAAATGACGTTGCAGCTCCTCTTTCTGACGATGACTTCCGTCGCCTGTTCAACGGTGATTCACCCGCTGAGCCAAATCCTTCTTTCCCTGAAGACGGGTTTGCCTTTGACGTTCTCGACGGCGGAGATCTATCAGCATTTCCCTTTGATTCTATGGTTGATTTCGACCCCGAGTCTGTCGTCCTCGAAGGCGTCCAGTCGTCCAGTGTTTCGGATGAGACTTCTCACCAGACTACTTGCTTGCAGCCCAGCCTTGGCGCGTCCACTTCGCGATGCGACGGGCAGAGCATTGCAGCTAGCGGTTAGTGAGCATTTCTCCCAAAACTGGTCGGCCGGCGCCCCGGAGGCACGATCGAGTTGGGAGTTGTTGTTGACCATGGCCTGGGCAATTGATAGTCTCAGTCTGTCACAACATCATGGTGGTTTGAAATCCGGTCGGCGACGTATTAACGGAAAGCATCGAGGTTCACGGAGTTTCAGGAGTTCTCGCAGATCACTGCTGAGTAAACACTGAGGGTATTTTTTTGGCTTGTATACTAGTTTAGCAATTTGACTGGCTCATTGCTCTTCACTTTATTCTGAGATCCATTGTAGACCTGGTAGATGTAGCCACAACAGCGGAATCTGCTGCCTAACCTGCGAACTACACACGAATAGACTAAAACAGACAAGCCGAGTCTTATCGACCAAAATAAATCAACGCTAAAAATGCACCGAATGCGGTAAGTGACGTTTGCCACGCGCCATCTCCAATCTTCCATCTCCAACTCATTCTCTTTCTCTCTCTCTCTCACACACACACGCCAAACACAACCGCCACCATGGTTCGCAAAGACCCCATCTTCGAAGCCCGCACAAATGTCAAAGTAAGCAACCCCAACCTCCCATCCCACCCAGACACCAACTCCCATCGAACTCCCCGCACTCCCCCCTCGACCCTCCACCAACACCAACACCAACACACCTAACAACCACAACCCAAACCCATACACTAACAAATATCCAGCTCCACTCCAACCGACTAAAAAAAGAAGCCATCCGCGCGGAATCAACCTACAAATCAGAAAAAGCCAAAGCCGACAAAGCCATGAAAAACCACGAATTCCAGATCGCCCGCATCCACGCCGCATCCGCAGTCCGCGAAAAACGGCGCCAAGTAACACTCAAATCAGAAGCCGCGCGAGCCGACGTAATAATCAACGAACTCAAAGCGGCGCAGAGCACGCGCGACACGTCGCGCACACTGGCGCTCGCATCGCGCGGGCTGGACGCTGCGTCGCGGAGTGTGAATCTCGAGCAGCTGGTCGGGCATGCGAACAATTTCCTGGCGAGGAGTGAGGACTTTAAGATTGCTAGCTCGGCGATTGAGGACGTCGCGCAGGGTGTTAGTATGCAGGAGTATGGGGCGGAGGGGGAGACGGAGGTTGATCGGCTTATGGAGCAGCTTGCTGATGATGCCGGGGTTGATATGAGGCGCAATTTGGAGGAGAGTGAGGCTCCTAAGGAGGAGGTTAAGGTTCCTGAGCGGCAGGGGGTGGATGCTGAGGCTGAGGATGGGCTTGGGGCTAGGTTGAGGGCTTTGAGGGCTGCTAATTAGGGCTGGATTTTTTTTGTTTTAGGGTCTTGTCTTGTGTTGTGGCACTACGAAGTTATGGTTGTCTTTTCTTTTTTTGTTTGCGTTTGTTTTTAGTCTTGGTCTCTCGATTCTGTTGTTTGACACTACAGTAGACGTTGAATATATACGTGTGTACAGCGGGATATGTGCTTCTCCGTATGATACTCTACTGATATCCGAGATTGTATGCGAAGGGTTCAGGATGTTATCCCATTTAGCTATGACCTCACCTCCGTTGGACATCTATTGTTCTTTTTATTGGAGTATATCTAACTTGCATTCTATATGTTGAGAACCGGAGAATTTGACTCTCGACTGAAAAGCAACACTACTTAATGGATTCAGGCTTATATCTTAACAACCACAAAGCGTTACTTAAATGATGAAGACCCTATCTGACATCTTCAGAAGAAAAAAAAAATCAAAAAATCAAAAACATACAACAGTAAGGATTCGCTAGTGGTCACCCACCTAACTACTAACTTACCGGCGTGTGGCTTAAGTACGGCTGAGCGGACGGGAAGCCCTGTTCTCCACACCCTGTGGTCGTATGTACTCAACATAGTTGTTAGAAGAAATAAGTATATAGGAATAGAATGGTTGTAATCGTGATACTATTCTGGGTGGCCTTGTCTGCAAAGAGGCTCTTCTTCTCTCGCGGGATTCTCCTGAGCCTCATCTTCAGGGTATTTTCAATTTCACTAAGGACATCATATTCATGGGAACTCTCTATTAGGGAGGTTGGATGGCCGACTAGGCAGACATACCAATTTCGGCACTTGGGCTAGTAAAGTCCACTAACAAGTCGTTGATCACGATCTTGGAGACAGATAACTAGTTACTCGAGGCTATACATATTGCATTCTTGTCTATGATACGGAAACCGAGAGAAAATAGCAAGTATCTAGAGGTAATATGCTTCTTTGAAGCAATACTTTTGCTTATATCTAGGCAGGTCGTACCTAAAGAGTCAGCAACTTTCGTAGGTTATAATTCAATTAGCTTGCATGCTAACCACCGCGATATGGTCAAATTTGTTTTCGTAGAAGACAATGGATTCAAAATAGTACTTAGCGAGCTCGCTAGATAGAAAGGATAAATTGAAACTGATCCCCTCCACAAAATTGGTATACAGTCCCGCTTTACGTCGTCCACACGTAGCTTCGGCTGTTAATATCACTTTATAAGAATTCGAGCCTTAGAGTCTACACCAAAACAATATCTAGAATACTAGAATTACAGTCTCTAAGAAAGTTTTAGAAGATTGGTTTAAACCTCCGGATTCCGATTTTACTTTTATCACTATATAGAACATACATGATGGACAAATAGGCTAGTGGTTTCTTAATGACAAACTATTCCGTCTCTAGCTAGAAAAGGAATCTTCTTTTCTTTAGATCAATAGGTTTGTAGGATGCGGCAAAACATATATATGTGCTACTTCTATTAATCATCTGAGAAATCATCACCTACGACAGAGAGAATACGTTAAGCTAAGAACAGGAGTTGCCTTTTCTTCTTCGACTTCAAGCAATCATCATAGTAGGATGACTGTGATATGTTACGTTCTCTACTATGGCAACTTTCTAAGGGGTTGAATGATACGCAAAAACAACTCCAAGAGCTTTATGCTTCGAAACAAAGTCTTATAAGGAATGTGCTTCGCAATTGTCTTCATAACATGATAAGAGATTTTTCGAAAGTCTTTGTTTTAATAGACGCGTTGGATGAAATTCCAATGTCTACCGTGAGGACTACAGCACTATCAACCATCGAAATAATACGAAGTTGGAGTCTACCTTGTCTTCATCTTTTGGTCACAAGCCGTGATCTCGGAGGCATCCGCGATTCATTGAATCCCCATCAAGACCAGATACTGATAATGAAAAATGCCGCGATTCAGCAAGACATTGTGAACTATGTTGGGGAAAACCTTCAGGCCCATCCGGTCCTGAAAAGATACAAAGAACGCCACCGCGAGATCCAGAAGCTCATTTCAGAACGTTCCCAATACGCGTAAGTACTACTGAAATATGCAGTTTGAACACTACTCACCTATCTTGCCCCTAGATTTCGCTATGCTTTCTCCTTGCTTCAGCATATCAATAATGCTACAAGTCTATCTCAATTGAAGTGATTGGTGTCTTCGTTACCTGGCTCTCTCGATGATGCATACGAGGATATTCTAAGCAAGATACCGAAGGGACAAGCAAATGATGTACGGCGCATTTTAACGATTCTTTGCCTCTCAAGTCGACCCTTAACAGTGGATGGGCTGATCCACGCGCTTACGGTGGATCTTGGTCAAAAGAAATATCTCGATATTGAGGGCCGACCATTTCACATCAATGAAATTCATGTCATGCTTGGTTGTTTGATTGAATTTACCTAGCAAAAGGGTGAATCCACTCAAGAATACAATATGATCCAGATAGCCCACCTCTCTGTGCGAGAGTACTTGGAGTCAGACAAAATCCGCCAGCAATCAACGGTATCTATGTTCGCGATAGAGCATAATTCTTCGCATATGGAGATTGCGCAAACATGTCTTCTCTATATCCTGGAGCCTGAGATTTCACAGAGAGGAAATATCCAGGATAAGCTTATAGACTTTCCATTTGCTTCATACTCTGCCAAGGAATGGCTCTACCATTATCAACAGTCGGGAACTCTAAGCCCCATCCTCTAGAAACTAGTGGTCGAGCTTTTCACGGATCAAAGCGGTTGCTTCAATACTTGGATTGAGCTTCGTGATCTAGGCAGCTCATGGAAGCTAGTTACAGACTTCACAGATACTACAGATAGCCGTCCAACACCTTTATACCAGGCATGTTTGTTAGGAATTGCGGAGGTTGTTGCTGAACTGGTCACTCTCTACGATGTGAATGCACCGGGTGGGCGGTATGGGAACGCATTACAAGCAGCGATATCCCAAGGCCACACCAATGTTGTATACACTCTGCTAGATGAAGCCCCCAGTTTTGATTCTAGCGAAGAAAACTTGAAGAGTACAGAGTAGGCAAACTTGTGTGAGCGGCGGGCGACAGTGATACAGAAGTTGCCAAAAACACAAAGTCCTATCGATGTCAATGCCCGTGGTGGAGAATATGGCACTTCTCTAATTGCAGCATCCTACAATGGCAAGAGAGAGCTAGTATTGATGTTGCTACGCAAAGGGTCAAACATTAATGACCAGGTGGGTCGGTACGGCAATGCATTGACTGCAGCATCACTCAGAGGCCACATCATAGTGGTGCAAGAATTGTTAAAAAGGAAGGCTGATTTCAATGCTTCTACTGTCGGTGGGGATTACGGCAATGCCCTCATTGCAGCATCCAGTGCGGGCCACCTAGAAATAGTACAGACATTACTTCTGCTCGACAAGAACGCAATGCAGTATTCTGGGAGTGAAACTTTTGCAAACGCCTTCCATGCTGCCTCATATAGTGGTCATGAAAATATTCTGCAGGCTCTTGCAAACGCTGGAGCTGATGTCAATGTCGAAGATGGTAGATTCGGCACTGCACTCAGCAATGCTTGCCTCCGAGGCCATATGCCAACAGTGCAGAGACTGATCAAATACGGTGCTACAGTCAATGCTTCCTGTAGGAGATTCGGAAATGCACTTCATGCTGCGTCTCTCGGGGGACACATCGACCTGGTCAAATATTTGCTCGATGACGGGGCCAACGTCAACGCTTCTGGTGGGAGATTTGGCAACGCTCTTCAAGCCGCATCATTTGGCACCTATGATTCTATGGCTCAAGCTGTACAACAGCTAACGAGTAACATACTTTCAGAGGATGCGCCGGATTTTCTACGGGACATAAATGCACTAGAGCTTGCATCCTTGGGTGCGTATGAATGGGATAAAGAGACGCTTGAAGAATTGAGCGAAATGGTGCTATCAATGTTGTTCGACAAACCTTCTACTATGGATTCTGGAAGAAATGATTCATTCCTACATGGATCACTTGTGGACCGTGGGCCATTGGTACAGCTGTTGCTGGATAATGGTGCCCACGTGAATTCCCCTAGTGGAGAATATGGCTCTGCACTTCAAGCCGCATGTTCCCAGGGTCTTGACACAGTGGTAGAAGTACTACTAAACGCCAAGGCAGATGTTCAGGCCTCAGGTTGAATTCATGGTAGCGCTCTTGAGCTGGCATTCAATCAAAACCATGAAGGAATAATAAAGATGCTGCAAGAGGCTGATCGTGGCTTGCGACCTAATGGTTCCCCATACTGATTAACATGGCCTGCAGCTGTCATTATGACTTTCTGTAAATAATCAATTTCAAACCGCTAAAGGTCCGTCATTATCAAGCAAGGAGTTATAGCAATCTGGCAAGCTCTATTATTCACATTCAACGTACAAAATCCTACATAGAGAGAGATATATAGTTGCATTTTTCAGCCTGCCAGGCGCTAGCCCACGGTAATCGATGACTATATCTTCGTATTCTGTCTTCATGTGTGAATCCACATGATAAAGTCACTGCATGTAGGATAGACTTCCCAAGTTCCTTTTAGCAATTATTTTGAATAAGGGTAAGTTTAAAAATCAGGTGAATCAAAGGTATATCATACATTAGTAGAGTAAAAGAAGGTCTAGAGCTCGGAATTATATTTGAATAGAGCGGGCTAAGTGATCTAGCCCCTGTACCCCCCCGCCGTCTCTACACCTCTCACCTATCCTCTCCATCGCAGTGCACAAGTCCCGGCAGTCTTTGGTCTCAGTATGCATACTCTTTCATTCTGTCATATAGTAGAATCAAGGCTAACACGTCAAATCATCTGCGTTTGAATCCGCTGCCAAGAAACTCGGATTGACAGCAGATACGGTGCCTTTGAGACTATTGCCCGGGTCCTCACAGACGCACATTTCAAATGTCCGACATATCAGAGTGCGCTGAGTACTTTGCGCAACGGTAATTAGGCATGGTCTTATGATTTCGCTCACAATTCTGCCTGTGCATGGCTCAATTCGCTTATTCCCATCGCAGACGATCTGTCATTCCTTGGAGCCGCTCATATAGTACTGCCGAAATCCCATTTGTATTCAGCAACTTAAATTTCAGCTACGCTGAAGAGAACTACACCTTCAGTAGCGCGCAAGCTAAGTGCAAATTGAGCAATGAGATAATAAGCTTGTGGAGTGCGATGTATGGGTTTTTTTGGCATTATTTTGTTGCATTGCTATTGATTGACCTAACACTCCTACTTTCAATGTAGGAATTTTATCATATCAAGCTTCATATTTTCTATAGCATACACAATCATTCAGGAAAAAAAGGGGGAGAAGACCCTTCTCTCGATATTTTCACGCGTCGCATATAGATTTATATCCGATATTGCCGATGTCCACCAAGAAGTCAGAGGGCACTCACGCTTATTGATTGAGATAGTTTCTCACATTTGTCCGATGTACGGATTTAAATGGATTTAAAGCAAAAACAAAGTCGAAACCAAATGCTTGAACCAATGTTTATTTGGAGAAAGGAAAGAATATCAAAAAGTACCTGGACGATCGAGACCAGCCAATGAAGAATGATATTAAATTAACCGCATTTTATTAGTTCCTTGTCTATATATCACATTGGTACACGTGGCAGCTGATTGAATGGAAAGCTCAACGTCTCAAACACTTGCTAACCATGGAATCAACTTGATTCAACTTCGCTTCAAACAAACTTCCGAACCCCTTTATTTCTTCGTCCTTCATGCCGCGTCGAGAGGTAGCAAGAGTATCGTATCGAAAGGCATTCAATGATTCATCACTAATACTGCCAACTGCAGCACCAGCGTCAAAGCCCAACAGCATACCGAGAACCGCCACAGGAGCACTGTCAGGGTTCTGCACCAAACTGTAGATATCGTAGCCTTCATTGGCGACGGTCCCCGTCAAAGCGAGTATCGCATCAAAGCCTTCAATGACATCCCCAAGTCCCGAAATCGGACCCAAGAAAGGCAATGCCATGAATACACCACCAATGATCTCCAGTATTTTCTTTTTCTTCTCTTCAGCCGCAACCTTTTCACCTATGTCGATAACATTGTAGATGCGATCGACTAGCTGACTTAGCGTGAAGACAGCGGTGGATATAGTCTGAACAACATCATCTATTACGCCGCTAAAGCTTCCGGTAGCAATGCTAAGTTGGGTTGAAATGATCGAAATTTGGAGATTGGGGATATTTGGCAGAGCCTTTTTCATAACATCGCGAGGGTCAGTGACAGTGATGTCCTTGGCTGGAACGGGAAATCCCTGCCACCAACGGCATCTGTATCCCCAACTCACAGGAACATTGCAGTCAGGCTTGCTACCATAGTAGGGTTCCTGATTTTCTCCAAAGAACATACCACCGTCCAGGGTTACCCAGTCAGCCTCCACGCCGCAGTCAGCCGTGAGATTGCTGAAGAAACCTTCTCGGTCCAGAATATCATAATAGGTGGTATGGGTCTGGTCTTCCGATCCAAGATAGTCGGCCGGACAGGCGGTAGTTGACTGGTTCACACCTGCAGCGATGCTGTATGTGCATTCGAAAAACGAATTACCCACGCCACTGGGCTGACCAATGACCTCACTGACGTTCATAAAATACATGAGTTGAGGTTGGACCTGCTCTTTCATGTACTTGGCATACTCTTTGAAGTCTTCGTCGTAGTTGGCTGTTTCAGAAATATCCGTGTAGTTGGCCAAAGTAGTCTCCAGTTCCCCATACAATGCACCAAGCATATAATAATCGACGCAATAAGGATCCAAGCTGTCAAGGTCTGCATCTAGATCCTCGAGAGAGGAGTATTTAATGCTGAAATCGCAAGGGGAAGTGGCAGTGCATTTCGCCGCAGTGTCATCGTCCCAGCTCTCACAAGGGTCATCATCCTCCTCCTCATCATCATCGTCAGAGGTCGACCCTAGACATACAGGCGAAGGACAATAGTCTCTGGTACAGGCAAAGTTGCAAAGGCCATTGTCATCAACATCTGGCGCCCAGCCGACAATAGAAGTGTTTTGAGCGGGAGGTACGTTCAAGGGACCCGTTGCGGTGCAGGTACAATTGTAAATGGGGCAATAGCCATAGTTACAGGCAAAGCTGCAGAGACCGGTCAACTGACCCTCTCCAGAGCCACTCACACATGTGTCCGCGGTGAATGGGGAGACTGTGGGAATTGTCAATGGAACTGACACAGTTCCGCAAGCAGTTGACGGGCAGTAGCCATATTCACAGGTGAAGGAACACAGACCAGCATAATTGGCGTTCTTGCCTGCAGCTGGATAGCCGACTATGCCTGTGGCTTTGGGCAATGTTGGATGAGGTCCCAGCTTGGTGCATACGCACGCTCCAACTGGACAATAGCCCAAGCTGCAGGCAAACTCGCAAAGCCCATTGAAATCTCCCATCCCCCATCCCTCGATACAGACTTCCTTGTCAAGGTCAGGAGAGGTTCCGCTGAGTGGGTTTCCCATGGCGTAGCCCACCCATGCGTTCCAATTTTCGACTTCGTCGCCCATGGCACATCCACTGCTTATTTCGGTTCCCTCAACTTCGAGTAAGCCACTGGAAGTAGTCAAGCTCAATATCACACCTCCAGAATGACCGGTAAATGAGACACTTCCATGGTAAATGCCGACATTGCCACTGGGGGTGTTGGTCCAGGTTGCGCCGACATCCACGCCACCTATCGTCACAGAGATACCTGCAGGCTGTGACAATAGTGCTGAATAGAAGATCTTATCTTGCACCACATCTTTGGGCCAATACTCCAGCTCGAGCTGCGAGACGGTATTCGCAGTTGTGCCACCATCAGCGCACGCACCTGCTGCATTTTGGCGATACCATGCAACAAGGCCCTCTGTTCCTGAGGTTGTGCTGTTGAACTTATAGAGGTCAATCAGGTAAGGCAATAATTGTCTCCAGCCGCTGTGATCGAAACTTTCGACATAGTTGTATGGGGCATCCCCAGTATCAAATGCCGTGTACATCGAGTCGGCTAGCGAATTGTGGAAGTCAACCGTAGGGCCTATATAGTGACTCTCACCAAAGTCATTCCAGGAAATGATTTCGATGAATTCCGGGGCCAGATAGAGCGCTTGTTGCCATCGGGTATACCAGAGATCATCACCACGCCAGAGCCAGTTTTTATCATACCCAGGCAGGTTTGTAAAGAACCAAGGTGAGATTGGCATCATGTAGGGCTTTGTTTCCAGGTATTGCATGTAAGAGGCATCAACATAGGTGTTCATGTCATTTGGCCCATTGGGCCATGCAGCCCAGCTAAACAGCCCGTCTGCAACACCGTCGCCCAAAGCCATGGCAGGTTTGGCCCCAACTGAGGACCAATCCGGAACAAAGAAGAGGGACATTTCTGATTTGAGATACACCCAGTCATCAGCATTTCCAGGCCCTTCAAATGTCGAGACCAGTGGAATTTTCCCGTGGAGGTAATAAGCGCCACTGGAAGTGTATTTGTTCAAGAGACTCAGGACGTCGCCTTTATCCCATGCTCCATTGCCTGCATAGTCGAAAGAGAAGAAAAGAGAGAATTTAAGATTTTCGGCGGCTGTAAAGGCATTTGGCATGGAGCTGGAGGTGGTGTCTTCTCCGTTTGCGATATTCAAAGCGAATGCGTCGATATGGGCATCCTGCGCGAGCTGGATCTCATTTTCCCAGTCAGAGACCGAATATCCGGCCGTATTTGAGACCATGAAATGAGCAAATACAGCACGGGCATATCCCTGGGTGTATAAGAAGCATGAAAGGAAAAGCATGCAGCGCCACCAAAGGAATGAGGCAGGCATTTTGCTAAAGTATGGAACGAGTCCAACTTGGATGAAAAAAAAAAGAAAGTAATGATTAAGGAATGATTTTAGCTGATAAAAAGGTTATCAGAGAAGAAAAATGAACGGCAGTGACTAGGAGAGCATGCTTCAGAAAGTTGAGATGCTATCTTCTCTTCTCGTTGACATATAGTTACTTGTCAACTTTTGGCCCCAATACCACTTCATTAGCGCTCTACCGGTGGCGGTTCTCTTATAAGTAATATATCTCAGTGGGCCCAAATATTAGCCAGTGTCTCTGATAAGTTTTGCCGTGATCCGGATGCAATATTACTTCTTGACGAAAATTTATATACGGCATATCACCTCCTGGATACACAAATCTTATACAGTATAGATCTTCATTATAAGATCAGCAAGCATCCGAAGGGTCAAGAACATTTTATTTCAGATTTGATTGGATCTCTCAAATCGCATATAGAAGTCAATCGTACCTCGGTTAGGGATAAGCGTCGCCAATGGTTTAGCTTTGCATCCGGAGATTACTTCATAAAGAGACTCAGTTTCCGAGGTGCAGTAGCTCGTGGGACGGAAAAAAGGCCTTGAGCTCACTAATGGACCCCTAACTTATATAGTAGGGTGTGATTGGGCTTGGCTAGATAGCAGCGCCGTCTGAAAATTAAATGAGGCTAAAGCTTAGTGCTTTTTTAGTGCAGAGCCCCCAATACTGGCTCGGTACGCCTTTGTGTAATATTCATACCACGCCGAATGAGTACCATTTACATTCTTTTAGCTGATTATACTTGATGTCTTCATAAAGTCCATTTCTCGGTGTAGTTTCTTCCTCTGCTACTGCGACTCATTCTAGTTTGACGGACACTCCCTTGTCAGCCATTCACTCCATCTCAATGTACTGCCTGCTTGGTGTACATCATTGCATATCTACTTGATTTGCTGTGCCATCCTTATATCTCATTGCCTTGAGCTAAGTCTCAGGCCTCATCCTTGTCCACCCACTTTAATTCGCCTGCCACTCTTTCTTTTTCTGTCGACATGAAGACATTCAGGCTTCTTCTCTTCGCACTCCTGTCCCTTTTTAGCCTTGGACAAGCATCTAAGCTCGCTGCCCCGAGCGAGATGCTCGCCATGTACAACGCATATGTTTTGGATTTTGTCAAGAATGGAGCAAAACGTACCCTGGGACCGCAGCTAGGCAATGATGCCTTGGTTGACTTTGGGACCTTTACGGCACACATCTGGAAGGATATTAAGTTTGCTCGAAACGGCCTTTTCTTAAGCCAAGCCCCAGAGTACGGGAAGAATACCTTGAGCCAAATCACGAAAGGCCTGCCAAAATACCCAAAATACAACCGAGATCAGTTGGTAGAAGATTCTTCTTTGAAAAATCATCAGATGGTCCTCGAAAAGCTTCGTCATGTCGTTCAATCGACTCGAGGTAGCACCGCGTCGGGCTTCTCAGACGCTTGGAAAGTCCATCTTCCCGAATTCAGGCGGGCTTTCGCAGGGACCCAAGGAGCACGGCTAAGTGAGATGTTCTCAGTCGGACTAAAGCCATTGTTTGAGGACGAGTTTACTACTTTGAAATCTTCATCATATACAGTACTGGACACGGACGTTTCATACGATTACCAGAACTGGGGTTTGACAGCGGCGTCTGAGGATAATCCAGTAGATGCAATGCAGAAATATATGGATTGGCATCGTGATCTTGACCCAGACCAATATGAGTCGAAGAAAGCAAAAGCTGTGAAAGCTTACCTATCCCATCGGGATATTACCGCGTCGATTGGTAAGGGCTTGAGTCAGTTGGACAGCCTGGACAGCTGTGATTAGAGGGTTCTTTTATACAGGACAGGCCGGATAGTAGCTCAAATCTGGATATCTCTGGGACAACTGTATGATCGGGACTTGCCAACTATACAAAATTCAATCTATACTACCGGCTTGCTTTCCATAATGCTCGAATTTATCAGAAGGAAGTGGTATTTTCTATATCATTTTGTACATATGGAGATCCATAATAGTAAACACTTGGTATTCTAGCTGCTAGCATCAGTCTCTTGTGTTTGGCTGTACTCAAGTAATGTAAACTTCCGAATAGTTGTGCAGCAAATGTCCGCGTTCAAGGAAATCCTTGCTTATTCTGTCTCTGTCTTGCCTCATTTGGTTTCGAGCCTCGACTGCCTGCGTGGATGTCATTAAATCATGTTTCGCCACGTCCTTCGTTGAGTGTAATGTCTCGACCCAGCTTGGATCCTGGGGAGGCACATTCTGAGTTGAGCAAATTCGATAATGCGGGTCTACCAACCACAAAGTTGCAAATCGAAGGTGCCCCGGCCGCAATGGATCTGCCAAGCCGAAAGGCTCGGCCTTAGACCGCAGTGTACTTGGCCAAGCAAGAAATTGCCCATTCCGTAAAATGGGGATAGACCCCATGGCCTGTAGAGCCTCCGGATAACAAGGATCATCGCTGCGGAATGGCCAGCTCGGAACATCAAAAACTCGATCCATAGCGGTATATTCCGCAATGTTGAAATCGTCGCTTTCGATATGTGTCTCTTGTTGGAATGAAACCTTTGCATCTTTGATGTTGTGCATATCGAAGTAGCATACGGCTGTAGAAACAATGTGCTCATTGAGGATACCAGCAACGTTGTGATGAGAATCACCATAATAAAATGGCTCTTCTGGGGTGAGCTCAATAGTTGACACTCGAACTATGATCTGCAAGCCCTCGAATTGATCTTGGAGAGATATCGAGTAGTACTGATGATCTGGATCGGGAATCTGGGGCGTTTCAGGCTCATCAGGGTCACTCCATTTGGGTATGATTGCGCGGCCTGTATTTTCACCAGTCTTCCATTCATCGTATGTGAAGGAGATTCCTGGCTCAATGCCTTTCACGGCGTATAATCGCCTGCTCTTTGCAACGATCAGTTTCTCCAGTTCTTCAGAAGAATTCCACTGCCATGGCTGCATACTAGCGATGAGATCATGGTACCCAGAGTCACGCAATATACGGTGCCGCTTTTCGGGCTCAGGGAGACTAAGATATTCTCTTATTCGTGATCGAATGCCAGGCCATTCTTCTTCTGTGATGGGTGGTGTTCGTCCCAGTCTCGCCTTCTTCATGTAACTAAGCAACTTGGTCTCGTCATCACCGCCTTCCACTTGGAAGTCATAAGTTCTGATTCGAATCGGTGTCCGACCCTGATCTCCAAGGATAAGTATCTCGTTCCACGGTTGAATGGCGGTTGAGATGAGTCCTTCGAGCGCTGTGTATATTCTCCTTTCCTTTGGATGCACACCATTGACATAGGAAGTAATCCTAGCTCCTCCTTGCTCGTTAAGAGAAACCTCACAGGGAAGGCATTGAAAGGCATTGGACCAGCGCTTTCCAACGTATCGGGAATCCATAAAGTCTCTTGCTTTTCTCTCTTCGAGATGCATCTCATCGTGTAAACGAGCTGGTTTCTCGGGAATCGGAGAAATCTGGGGCTGTGATGATCTCCAGGACTCAGGTCTCTCCATATCAACTTTGCCTGCGTCGGCAAGGACTCGAGTTTGCCCATAAATGAGAGGATACATCAAGGGATCAATCACATCTCGAACCGGACTCTCCGAACCACTCTCATTTGGATCTCCCGAGGCAGTAGACGAAACGGATTTCGATTCCGAAAATAGCGACGACATGGATTCTTGAAGCTCCTTGAGAAGATCGTCATGGACCTGAGATTTGATGACTCGTGAGTCCGCATCAAACACAGCAACATAGCCCGTGCGTTTGAAGTCAGAGGCTTTGTCTCGCAACTCCTTTACACACCACTGCCATGAGGATTCATCGAGATCAAAGACCGAAACGGCATGCCGATGCCATTCTTCCAGTGTCTGCGGGTCTTCGGACTTGCTTTCCCAGTCCAGCTGTTCCGTGACATACGACATGAACTGTAGCATGGAAAGCTCTACCAAAAACAATTGGGGAGTTTGTCTCCAATCGCAAATTCCATGTGCAAACCGATTGTCTTTCGGATGTTCATAGAAAAGGGGTACACCATTGAAACCAGGGACTCGCAAGGGGCCAGTGCCGCTGTTGTCCAACTTGATAGATGGAGGGTCCATCTTTTTCATTTCCGAGTAGCAGCGAGATGAATAGAAGGGGATTTGGTTCGTTCTAGCACGAACAAGTAGTCGGGGATGAAAGTGAAGTCGTTGCAGGATATTCGCCATTGAAAAAGAGCGGTGTATTAATGTGAGGACGATGCCATGAGAGGTGAGATGCGACAGATGAAAGAAAGAGAGCGAGCGCTATAACGTTCCAGGTCCAAATGGGGCGGACCAAGTGAGTGGTAATTTTGATACAGGGCATAACAGGACGTGGGTGTATTCCTGAGGACCCTTGCGATCTCTTGATTTTAGCGCGGGCGCTAAGCTTATCAATGGCTTCTATAGCTTCCGCGGCTCATTTAGCGAGGTACACTATTGCTTTGCCACACCGCGGAGTTCCGAAAATTGATTAGTTCTGATTCTTGATATTAGCATGAGACATTGAACTCGGAAATTACCAGACGCCACCGTCATATCCATGTCTGAGACTTCCATATTGAACCCTATAAAAAGTGACAGATGGAATAATCTACTTCGCCTTAACATGCAATTCCACTATCGAGCGAACATTCAGAGCTGTCAGAAATCATGCAACCAACTTCAATCCTTGTTTTCACCTTTTTGCTGGCTATACAGGGATTAATTTCCTCCGTATCTGCCTCTTGCTTCTCCAGCGCCCAGAATGAAACCATTGGGTTCTTCAGTAAAGCACCTCTGGCCCACGGATACACTCATCTATCGCCATCTGAATGTGCTAATGAATGCGACAGCATGAGCACCTGCCAAGCATGGCTTTTCATTATCAACGCGAAGGAATGTCAACTCTATCGTTCAGCCCCTGTGGCACAGGCAAAGAGTGCAGGTTTCATCATGGGATCGTGTGATACAGATGGCACCCGAGCGACTGGATTGGCATCAAAAGTGCCTCTGCTAGCTTCGTCCTCTGTGATACCTGGTTCACAGACTGCTCAGTCCTCCCCTTCCAGCGTAAGACCATCCTATCTGTGGACATAAGTCTATCTTTACGGACTTCTTCCTAACAAACGATCCAGATCCCAGGACATACAAACCATCTGAACCGGCATAAGCGTGGTCATCATCACCTTCATCGAGAAGACTAGTGAGCTCACAGCGACTCGGTCAGTGAATTTTACGCTTATGTAACACCTAGGGCGAGCAAAAAGTGGCAAGGGGTGAGCACTCAAGTGGCAAAGCGAAAGCCATGTTGGCTCAAGATCCGGTGTATATGTGCTGGTGGCCTAACAGTCCTAGCCAGTATGTCAACATGAGGATTAGAAAGAAACTAAAGTCAGAGCGCAGAAAGCGTGGTTCTGGCTAGATAAATATGCACAAGAAAGAACCTCAAACGCTTCGATTTCAGCAAACTATAGGTAGACATGCCTGCTGTGAATGAGATTAAAAGGAAGAAGCTATCAAGTGACCAGTGAATGCTATTTTTTTTTATCAACAGCTGAGTGCCTTGCCATGAACAAGCTTCTGGAGTTCGCCTCATGCTCCAACTGGAGGGCAAAATCAAAGAAAAGTGGTTTGATACCAAGTTATGGGCTGGACACCAGTATAATACTTCTTTATGATGAACCCGCTCGCTTAATATCAGTTCTTAGTCTCTGCCGCACTTGGTTCTTACCCCCTACTGTGTACTATCACTAGCAAATAGATAACCATCATAGGATCATATGGAAACCATGCTTTACTGATGAGGTGATATATATATGCAGTCAACATGATCGGAAAGCAAGCCACGGGAGTTAACTACCCTATGGGTTCCGAGAGATGCAGTTTCCACTTGTACTAGAATTAACCAACGAGGCCGTTGCCCAGTACTTGAGATGTATGTTTCTATGTAATTCTTATGGCAAAGTTTGGAAACAAAGGGGCGCTTTCGAGCTGCTTCTGCTGTTGATGCCTTCCAAGGTTAGAAATCAAAAAGCAGTGGGTGGTAAATGAAACAAATAACGGTCTTTAGTGTCTTTAGGGTCAGTAACCACTATCGACCCCACATTTGGCCCTAACCCTGAATGTACAAGGGTCTATGATGCTACGCTACAAGTGCATACTAGTACGCTAAAAGAGCCACAGGAGACCAAATAGTTGGGGCGGAATCCGTTATCTCCCCGGGTATGGGGCCGTGATCATTCTAGCTGTTACTTCGGCCGATAACCAATTTTTTTCAAGGCGTTCGCTTTTCCTTTGCATTTTCACAGTTGTCTCTCTGACTGTCTCTCACCGTCTCACATACGTCTACAGACTGCCCATACTCTTCATTGCCCACTTTTCAGCCACCACATGAATCAGGCCTCACACAGAATACACAAGAACTTTGACAAGTAAAACCCTTCCTCAACTTCATCTTCAGTATCCTCCCATATTTGTGGGGTAAACTCCATAGAAGCTTTGCCAATACTGAAGGGGCCTACATTAAAGCTTGGCACGTCTATCCGCATCGACAACATCATGTCAGATACAGTCGATCGACTCTCTGAACTTCCCATCGAACTCTTGGTCTTAGTCTTTCAATACTCTACCGATTTCAGTTCAGTATGGAGCCTCATTCACACATCGTCATACCTATCGTCAGTCTTCAACGACCATGTCTATATAATCGGCAATACTATTTTAAACAATAAAACTCCGTCGCCTACCCGAGCTCTTATGCAAGGCATTTTGTCACTACACAGAGGCACGTTCCGAAGCCGCACCCCGGAAGATGAGCTTTATGAATTCGATTGGTCTGAGGTCCTGCTGCTGTCTCAGGTGTACGGAACATCGTCAGAAATAAGATGGCTTGTTAGGCTAGCTCACCATGTTCATGTTCATGTTCATCTGCAAATGGAAATCTGCATGCAAAGATGTCTGCAAAGTAACTTGGGAGACCGAAAGTATTCCGAGGAATTCAAAATTCCAACATGGACCGAGGAGCAACGTGGTCTTCTAGGATTTTGGTGACTTGTGTTTCTCAATCAGCTCCGTAAAGAGTCAAACAAAGGCTCGCTTAGATGGAAACCTCAGGCCATAAGCACTTTGGACAGCGAAAGACAGTATTATGACTGTTCCTCTCTTTATACTGGAATGCAAACCAGGATAGCGCTCGATTATCTGACAGGTTATTACTCGGCTCCAAAATCCGAGCGACCTTCGATCACTTCGAGGATATTCAAGATACCCCCTATTCCAGAGGAGCGAGAATTTGGCTGGAACTGTCAACCTCTACCCACATGGCAGGCGATCTACCAGGGGCAGGACCCGGATCAAAATCCTCATGTACAATGTACGACCTCCAATACAGCATTCGATACCGTACCTGATCAGCTGATAGAGCAACCGATTAACCAACCCGAAACTCGGCCCCTTGGTCCCGAAGAAGAGTTAGAAGAAGAGGAATAAGATATAACAAGCGACGAAACCGAAGAACAAAGTTGTCACAGCGACCAGGTGATCGGTCAAGAAGCTGAACGAGATGACGATCAGAGACGAACTGAACAGTCCGACGAGAATCTCGACCTTCGGTCCTCGAGGGAGCGGTATTTTGGGCCTTTTTTTCTCATCCAGTCAATCTTCTTCTTCTGATGATGAGGTCTATCTCTTTTCAGATGAAGATGAAGATGGAAGTGACGAGAATGAGCATAGCGACGAAGACGAAATCGACCCTAGAAATGGCGCCCTAAGAATCTTTTTTGACGCTTCAGATACCGACAGCGATGACTACGAATATCCTGGAAGACTGCAAGAACGACGCCGCCCAACCAACCCTTATGTGGCACGTGCTATCCGGGACTTTGGGTCACGCTCAACAGCAGAAGAGTGTCTGGACCTAAAAATGGCGCCGCTTGGTCTACAGTTTTGGTACAGCATGACACTAAATCCGGAAGGAGGGCCTGGCAAGTATATTCTGTTTGATGCCTATGCTCGGTATGGGTTTTTATTTTGGGAAGGATGGCGGATGATCGAATTTGGGCTGTGGTCGAACAAACCCATTGAAGATATGTCTGTGTATTATCAAAGGTGGTTCCGATTCCTCTCTCCGGAGGATATGGCTTTTCATCTTAAGTTCCGATATTTCGGAGATGAAGACTGGCTATAGAATGGATTAGAATAGGAAATTATACATCTTAACACTTGTCAAAGTTTCGTCTTCCAGCTTTGGTTTCCCAGATCTGATACGACGAGTTTCTTTGGATGTTGAGCCATAAATAGTCAGGAAAGGGGCTGAAAGACTTGCTCAATCTGTATAGGTGGTAAAACCAGTCTGAAACTCTACTAGATCGCTGTTCGCCTAGCTCTAACGGATGGAGTGCAACCACAGGAAAATCTAGTAGAAAACTTCGGTGATAGAAAGATGGAACGACTAGTGATTTAATACTTACGTTTGTGAAGCAAGGCTTTCTACGTTCGAGATAGCCTGTTACTTCATGAAATAATTTCTATCACGGCGTACGAGGTTTCAAGTCATCCCGCGGAATGTTTTTTCCTATTATTATATGAGTTTAAGAATTCCCCCTCAGTATCAATGATTTTTTTTCATGAGAAAGAGTATGATCTACGCGGACGAAATCTCCAATACATATGTGAAAATTGAGAGCCTGATCAAACTTTTAGTAATGACCGCTTTCGAATCTTTATGTATTTTACCGCAGTGAGTGACTTAGGACAGGTAATAAAGAAAAGATAGCGCTAAAAGCCATTTTAATGAATCGGATGAATCATTGGGGGTGGCCTTTTAGCACTAGGTAGTAAGAGGGGCCTGGATGCAACGCAAAAAAAAAATCAAAAAACATACAACAGTAAGGATTCGCTAGTGGTCACCCACCTAACTACTAACTTACCGGCGTGTGGCTTAAGTACGGCTGAGCGGACGGGAAGCCCTGTTCTCCACACCCTGTGGTCGTATGTATCAGTTGTTGAAGTAAAAGAAAATAGATAGGAACAACAAAATGTGGATAGGGTGACAATTGGGATGAGAATTAGCTACATACCCTAAGAAGTGTCTCATATCAGATACCCTTATTAAACGCTCCGGACCGGAAGAATAGCCAAGCTGGCTCCGAAGGCGGACATCGTCTTCAGCTGTTCCTTCATGAACGCATCTGATGACACCGCCGTGAAATTCTAGCTTTTAATTGTGCGGATAAAACCAAGAAAGAATCTAGTATTTTCACAGGCTACCTTAAACCATCATTTCTGGCTGCAAATCACCTTGTCGTTCTGCTTCTCCGATGACGGAAGCGGCCAGGCGGTCTTCGTCAGAGTCTGTTGAGTTCACGCTTTCGCGTTTGATAAATTAAAGGGCTCAACCACGCGGAACATCTTACTGTCGCAGGATCCAAGGCGTTTCTTGAATGCTTGAAGAATACTTCGAGGAGATTACGTGGCTGGCGGATGATCAGATTCGGAATCAAGGAATTGGAAGAAGCATTGGAAGTGCGAAATACGAGCTTGTTGATGTTATCGGGGCAGTTCAGCTCAGCGCTCTCAGTTCTCCAAGGTGCGAGACTTAGGTTTAACTATAAAGTCACGTAACGCTCCGATGCCGAACATTTCTCCGAAATGCCAAGACTTTTCCAACCCAAAGGCGTTTACCTGCACTTCCCCACGATCTTTCACTTTCCAAGTTCTCTTCGGGTTTGATGAAATCATTTCCCCTAACTCTCATTTCATCTTATATTATCGTGCCTTTAAGTCTGACGTTGAATCCGAGAAACGTATCTTAGACTACTTTGTATTCCAAAAAGATGTCGCATCCGTCTCCCATCAAAGCAGCCCCTCATATACTGCAGCTGCTCTCCCAGCTTCATCAAATATCGCTCGAACAAGAAGCCAGTATTTCGCAGAAAGGCAAAGTGTTCTCTTCGGATATACTAGATGATCTAGAGGACAAGAAGTCAAAGACCAACCCAAAAGATGACTTCGACCGTCTCATGCTGGACAAATTCATCGCCTTGGACGAAGATAAATGCCAATTTACTTATCAACTGATCAATTCTATGGGTGCCACAAACATTGTCGAGGCAGGAACCAGTTTCGGAGTCAGCACAATTTACCTGGCTCTTGCTGTCGCCCAAACTAAATCCGCAACTGGCAAATCTGGAATTGTGATCGCAACGGAAAAGGAGAAGGAAAAGGCCGCAATCGCCAGAAAGTACTGGGCGCAATGTGGCAAAGAAGTGGAGCAGGAGATTGACTTAAGAGAGGGTGATCTGCTTGAAACGTTGGCAGATGGATTGCCTCAAATTGACCTCCTCCTGCTTGATAGTAAGTTTTAGCATATCCTGGTATTCTGGTTTTCTTAAATTGATCATAATGATAGTCTGGTCGGCACTGTCTCTCCCGACTCTCAAGACCGTGTTACCCCGTCTTCGTCCGGGTGCTGTTGTGCTCACTGATAACACAATTTCGGGAGTGAAGGGCTATGCAGACTTGCTGGCCTTTTTGGGAGCACCTGAGAATGGGTTCCAGAATATGACTCTTCCATTTACCAATGGGTTTGAGATGAGTGTTTATCGACCAGAGTAAAATAGATGGCACGACATGATCAGTTTAGGCAGATAACTCGCCTGAATAATATCAATCAAAGCGGCTATGAAAAGAAAAGAGAACAGTATTTCCCGAAGTGGCGTCGGCTTTGATGTGGTCATATGAGACCACAGATCCCAAACACTGGCTCGGAATGCCAGAGCTAGCATTTCAATCATCATGTATTTATACAGAAGAAATCAATGAAGGGTAACATTATTGTTTGATATTTGCTTTGAGTTGGTCATCTCGCACAAAGCTACTCCCAGGGCAACCAACAGCGGCTCCTAACATCAACTTCTATAATTGTACTCATCGCTTCTTTGACCCCGTTCCCAAGACCAAAGACGTACCTGCCCTCGTCCAAGACCCATTTACCAGCCATCCAGTGGGCAGCATCCCGTTTTTGAACCGGAACACCAATAGTGATGTCTTGGCTCGGCTCTAACAGTGGCGTTCTTTCGAAACCAACGAGGATAGTCTTCCTTGTCTGGCCCACCGGGCAGCTGTAAATCTGCACTACTTCCTCGCCCTCAATCGCGCCTGTGTTTTTGATCTGTACACTGACTGACCAGTAATCCCCCATATCGCAAACACTAGTAAATGTGCTTGAGAACGAAGTATAGCTCAGTCCATACCCCAACCACCAAAGAGGCGGCACGTCCGGGTGATTCATGTACCATCTGTAGCCAACTTCGGTAGCTTCTTCATATTTGACAATTTCAGAAATGCCTGGCCATGTTTCCTGATTCCAATAAAAGGGAAGGTCTGTATAACGCCTTGGCCAAGTGACTGGAAGTCTACCGGAGGGGTTTATATTCCCAAGTAAGACATCAGCCAGAGCATTTCCAGCTTCCTGGCCTCCATACCAGGCTTGGAGAAAGGTTGATGCATTTTCAATCCATGGAAGCTCCACAGGCGATCCTGACTGATTGACGAATATGAGGCTTTGAGGTCTTTGCACACTCGAGATGAGAGCTTCGACCAATTTGTCCTGACTTCCTGGCAAAGCCATATTCTTTCGATCATACCCTTCACTTTCCCACTCTTCGTTGAGACCCAAAACAACTATAGTTACTGCGCTCTCATCTGCTAGTGTAATCGCCTCAGAAATGAGCTCCTCGGGACTTGGGATCTGCTGGAGGTATCCGATGCGAACAGAAAGATGAGCAGCAAATACATGATTTGTGCCAGCCGTGGATTCAGTAAGTGATTCTCCGCTGGTGTTGGCCCAAGCTTCCACATGCACCGTGTAAGATTCTCCAGCAATCAGAGGTTTAGTAGCCCAGACCTCCTCGCTTCCAAATGCATAGAAAGTCTCCCCAGCCTCTGTCCAGCGTGAGTTATCGATAACCAGCTGTCCATCTATCAACAACCTTGATCCTCCAACACTGCTTAAGCTGAATGAATGTTCTCCAGTATTTGTAGGAACCAAAGTTGATGTAACGCGATAGGAATAAGGCGGGACAGGATCAACTTGGAAATCAAGAGGACAGGTGTCAGAAATATCGATGTTGGAGCTATCACGGTATTGTATCTCGATCACAGGTCCCGTGAGATTATTTGTAGCGAAGAATTCAACACGAACAAGAGATTTACTGTCTGAATTCGCAGACGAATTTGTCCCCCACTGTTGATTGGAGAGCAATGGCAGCCATTTTTGTGAGTATGCACCAAGAGCATACTTGACAGTCACATTGATATCGCGCTCAGCAGTAACAGTTTGGAAAGACTGCATTGGTTGACTGAGATACTGAGGATTCATGCTTGCCGAGCCACCACCACCCGGAGATCCATTCAAAGCATTCGGTCCCACGAAAGCAATCTGTTTTCCGTGGATGTCCTCGGCTTTTAGAGGCAGTGCTTGCTGTGTATTCTTGAGCAAAACGATCCCGGTAGCGGCAATCTCTCGCATTAGTTGTATGTCCTCAGGGGCCGTAGAGGATACTTCTGGGCTATCTCGTGTCTGATCTACCTGATCCGAACTCAAGCCCAGCAAGTGAAACTTCTCAGCTAACAGCAAGATCCGTCGGACTGAGTTGTTGACTGCCACCAAGATATCGTCACTTGGGGTAGACCTAAGGGCCTGCAATAATCGTTTCCCGCGCTTTTCGGGCGGGCCTGGCATTTCTAGGTCAAGACCAGCGAGTAGACTTTCAACGGTTGAGTTTGTTCCACCCCAATCGCTCATTAACAAACCTTTATAACCCCATTCATCCCGGAGAATATTCTTGATTATGGGTGTATTACTGTCCATGTGTTGGCCATTCACTTTATTATAAGATGTCATCAAACAGTGAGGCGGCGATGCCATCCTGACAATCATCTCAAATGGACGGAGATAGATTTCTCGCAGTGCCTCCTCGGAGATCTGAGCATCAATACTGAATCGGAGGTATTCTTGCTCATTTGCAACGCTGTATTTCATTTATTGGTAAGCGTTTTCTCACGCGAGCATGCTCATCCTTCTATAGTATGCTTTAAGAAGATTGACTTACAAGTGTTTCGCAGTCGCTGCAACCTCGCCGGTTTCCTGTACACCATTGACGTAGTTTTGCGCAAGCTTTCCGCTCAGAAATGGGTCTTCGCCAAAGCACTCGAAATTGCGCCCACCCAAAGGGTTTCTGGCACAACAAATTGTGGGAGCAAGAAGGACATGGGCAGATTTGCTTTTAGCTTCACGACACAGCAGGCGACCCAGCTTGTAAATTCGATCTCGGGACCATGTAGCTCCTTGGCATACTGGACCGGGCATAAATGCAGCTTTGGGGCCATCGACGATGAACTTGCCGCGTGCTCCAGATGGTCCATCAGTTGTCTAGATTTTGAGTCAGCAACTTGCTTAACCTGATATCGTTGGAATCTAGTATTACAGGCATTGGATGTGATTAGGAAGGGATTATTACCTTAATAGAGCCTATACCCAACCTTGGAATAGGTGGAACGTGCCACATATCAACACCAGACAACAGAGACACTTTTTCTTCAAGTGTCAATTTCTGTAACAAAAGATCAACATCTCTGGTCCCCATATTGAAAAGTAATTCGAGTAAAAAAAGGGCTGCAGATCTGCAAACAGCAGCGGATTGTTTTGTGGTATTGGCGGCTGTTGATAAACTCGTTTAGTTGACTAGTTGGACATCCAAAGAGCCATTCCTGTGTTCTTCTGACTGTTAAAGAGGCTGGTAAAGCACCATCCGCCTGTCGAACATGACACACTGCACATCGAATCAATCGATATTGATTGAGCAATTTCAGGCAAGAAGAGCGGCTGATGCCGGTCCAATCATCGTGCTAGATTCGCTTTGTCAATGATTGGTTAACCTGTTAAGGTTAAAACTTCGACTTATCGTTTAAGTATGCCTACTGAGTTTGTGAGATAAGCCCGGATTAGCTCCTGGCTATCTTATCCGATAGTCCTCAGGCTGGTCTGGCTTACAACTCACTTTGCCTATCTATCCTATTTATCTGCGATCTTGTTGAGAACGGTTAAATTACCTCAAATGGAATATTAGTTCGGACCAGCTACTTATTACTTTAAAGAGTATCACTATCCTATCTACAAATGTCGTATAGCTCTTTGTCACGTATCTATAACCCCGAAGAAAATCTGTCCCATCGGAACTCGCAACTGGTGAAAATCAAGTTACTCGTATTGCTTTCGCATTTGTGATTCCAAGGCCCTTGATATGGGGATTGGCTACAAGAATTTTTTTTTCTCTTTTTTGCAGTTGAACTCAGTCACTAGTCAATAATCTTTCAAAAGTACGGCCAAGCAATTTTGTTTTCCTGAATCGCTTGGCAGTGCTAACATGCCTAGCATCAAACTTCTGATGCCCGCTTTTCTCACTTTCACCCAATATTTCATTCATATACTTGCCTTTGCTGCGTAAAACACTATTCAGCACGTTCTTTTTGAGTAAACTTGCTCATTAGATTCAAAAGTCTGTCACTAAGTTTAGTGGTCATTGTGAAAATGGAAAGCCATACAATCTTATGTTCATTGCTTTCACTCTTTTGAAGTCCCGCATTTTAGCGCGTTAACCAGAACTGTTATTAGTCGCCACTTGAACCGGTCCTTTTCTTCTTGGATCTAGTTTTTAGAATCTAATATTTGTAGCTATTTGTAGCCGGTGAACAGAGATTGGGCCCTAGTGAATAGAAGTAGTGTCCTTCTGCCAATACCCCAGAGCTACGTTCAAAGTGCCACCTTATCAATCCAAACGGACAACTCCTCCATAAATTGCCGAAAAATGACTAGATTGTACAGTACCGTTGCACCTATGATAAGAAAACTGCAGCCTCGTGATTTGTCTAAACGCCGGCTGCTATCGTCGGATTTAAGGAAAGCGAGTCATCAATTTCTTGCAAATATATATATTATCAAGTGAGAAAGGCAGTCTCAAAGACATTTACTGGATCTTCCATTTTATTAATAAACTTACCTTGTGCCGTATTCATTTCGTGGGCTCATAGGACTTGGCCGAAATGGAAAATCCAATTGACACCATGTCCCCTCGTGTTAATAAACGTGACGGGAATTCATTGTATCTTCTCGTCATGATATGCTTAGTCGTAACAGCTAACTCGGCAACTCAGGGTTATGACTCCTCAATGATGGTAAGAATGACATCCCTATACTTTTGACAACTATTATTGTCCAAGCCCAGCTTATACTTTCGTAGAATGGCCTGCAAATATTACCGTCGTATACGGAATACTTTAAGCTGACGACAACAACACTTGCACTGAATGTGGCCATTGTTTTCGCGGGTTCGGTGATAGCTATGCCTATCGCTGGCCCCATCATCGATGTTTGGGGACGAAGGTGGGGAATAGCTATCACAGCAATCCTGGCCATGACAGGTGCTGCAATTCAAGGGGCTGCAGTCCACGAGGCCATGTTTTGCTGTGGTAGGCTACTCGTCGGGATGTCTGTGACTACCGGTGCCACTGCTGCACCAACGTAAGACTCACTCTCTTTTTGTGAGAACAATTGCTAAATTAATTCAGATACATCTCAGAGATAGCACCTCCGGAATATCGTGTCATGCTGACTGGATTATATGGCTGCACTTGGTATGTAGGCAGTCTTTTGGCTGCAGGCATTACATATGGAAGTCAGTTCATTGAAACCACATGGTCATGGCGTCTTCCGTCTTTGGTAAATATACTATCTGATTCAAAAAGATGGCAGCTTTTCTTTTCTAACAACTGATAAGCTGCAATTTATTCCTTCCATACTTTGTCTTCTTCCACTTCCCTTTATCCCAGAGAGTCCTCGATGGCTTATTTACAAAGATCGTCACGAAGAAGCGAAGGCCATTCTCATCAAGTATCATGGGAACGGAGATCCAGAGTCTTCGCTTGTCAATCTTGAGTATGCGGAGATTTGTCAGACCTTGGAACATGAGAAAGCCATGCAAAAGACGAACTTTAAAGCTCTCGTCCGAACTCGCTCCAATCGATGGAGAACTGGGGTTGTTGCGGCAACTGGCTGTAAGTTATGAGTTTCGTAACTTCGAATATTATTACTGATTTAGGTTGCTAGTTTTCTGCCAAGTGAGCGGCAATAACATCATCTCTTACTATCTGAGTAGCGTCCTGGATGCTGCCGGTATTAGCGATACGAAAACACAGCTTGGAATAAACATGGGATTAAATGTCTTCAATCTATTCACGTCCGCTGCGGGTGCTTGGGCTGCTGATAGAATTGGACGCCGGAGAGGATTTCGTGAGTCCTTTGCAGTTCTCTTAGAATGGCATCAAAGACGAGAATTGCTAATATCGCACTAGTGGGCTCCACCGTTGTCATGTCTCTACTACTCATAGTCGTCGCTGTCATCACCAAAGTATCAGGAGACACCCCAACAGTTGCCTCCTCGGCAGTTGAAGTGACTATGATCTTCCTCTTTTTCGGCTTTTATTCTCTCGTATGGACACCGCTGGCGACGTTGTACCCTGTCGAGGTGTTGTCATACTCGATGCGTGCAAATGGCATTTCATTCTTTAGCGCTGTCTGCTACGCCACTGCCTTCTTCAATACCTTTGCAATTCCATATGCCATGGATTGGTCTTCTTGGGGGTTCTACCTCATCACTGCATTCTGGAACTTATTGGTAGAGGTTCCTATTATGTATCACTACTTCCCAGCAACCGAGGGCAAGACACTTGAGGAGATCGATGTCATATTCGAGGGAATCGAACATGGGGCGAGTGATCTAACGCTTCGTGACCTTCAAGGCTTAAAGGAAAGTGTTAGAGTTGAGGAACAAGAAATTTAGGTTCTGCCGGAAAAGCACCAGTTTCACGTGTGCTTTCTTTCCATTGTATCACATTTTTTTTCCATATACAGACATACGCACACCTGTCGATTGTTTTGAACCACGGCCATGGAGGATTGGCGGACGCAACACCCCCGACCCCGATAGAGAGGACGTCCCTCAATTAGCTTCAGTTCCACTTGTGTGTGTGATCTGACACAGGAACTGGCATAGAGAAATAGCAAAAAAACGAAAAATCCAAAAACATACAACAGTAAGGATTCGCTAGTGGTCACCCACCTAACTACTAACTTACCGGCGTGTGGCTTAAGTACGGCTGAGCGGACGGGAAGCCCTGTTCTCCACACCCTGTGGTCGTATGTACTGGAGATAATACTTAGGAGAAATGAGTAGAGTGTTGGAATAATGAAAGTGCCGCCTAATCAGAAATTTGATCTTACGTAATTCTTAAAATGTTCCTTGAGACGCGGTTATATCATTTCAAAGAACAAGTTTTCGGTTAAGGCTAGACTAACTGTTAATTCGGCGATATATCGTCGATTTATTTGAAACTTCTTATCCTAGACGGATTATAACTATATCAGGGGTTATAATAAAAGTATTGAGCCACTAGTAGTCGTGCGATAGGATTACCCTTACTAATCTTCTTCTCTACTTATTTCTCCTAATGATTATGTGTAGTACATACGACCACAGGGTGTGGAGAACAGGGCTTCCCGTCCGCTCAGCCGTACTTAAGCCACACGCCGGTAAGTTAGTAGTTAGGTGGGTGACCACTAGCGAATCCTTACTGTTGTATGTTTTTTGATTTTTTGTTCTTGGAATATCAGATTAGGGGATAACTTTCTTTCTTCATCGTTTAAGTAACGCTTTGAGTAGGTTGAGATATAATCCTGATACCTCACTCAAGCACCGTTGCTTTCCGGTCGAATTGTTAAACGTCCTCTTTTTAAGAGTGTGGCACTTGACGTGATATATTTTCTTTGTTACGTACCGGCATTTATGGTGGGTGGTATATTGGTTGTTTTTATTCAATAATATTCCTGATATACGAAAGGGAGGGCATTTGATACCTCAGAACTAAACACAGCACCGTGTTTAAATGCACTTGGAGTTAAAAATAATTCAAAACTATACATAGTCCAGCGTCTATATATGTTCAGTGATGAGAGGCCTGCTTGCGAAGAGGGAATGGACGGACACCAAGGTCTATCCCGTTTGTATTTTGTCGTAGCTGTTACAATAACAAACCGATTCATTAAGTAGGAAAGAATTTGCTGCAATGTTAGATTACAGTTGGATGTACAATACAACACTCAATAAGAGCTAAAATTTAACTAATTTATCCGATGAGTTTGTGGGGCGGGGGGATGGCTTTTTAGTCTTCGGGTGGCTTGTTAGTCCTAGACCAAACAAATGCATCGCCGCCAAACCTCAAATCCAGAACTCACAATATTGATAAACTCAGTAATGAGAGCTATTTGCCAAACTAATCTTCCGTACTAGCCATAATAGTCGCGCCAATAATATTTATTGACTGCGAAGTCAACCTTCCTTGTTTTTTTCATTTCTTCAACCAGACAATGCCCAACATCCGAACGCCTCGATCGGTGAGGTCATTGTGCATTGTAACCATGTGAAAGGCTTTGATTTTCCTATTTCTGGGGTCTCATCAATAGGACAGAACAGAGTGAACTACTACATCAAAATCTAGGTTTAATGTTTTGTGTCATTGTACAACTCAGTGAGTCAATCCATGTTGTTGCGAGCCAATTAAATTTACACATGGGGTTCGAAGGGGCTCATCAATCCGGTTTGGGTATCACAGAAACCAGGAGTCTATGAATCCTGAGTGGATAGCCATTTCAAAGTGCCGCTAATACGGATCTTTATAAACAGGTAACGTCAAATTTCCCTGGTCGCCACTAGCTGATTCCGGCTGGTGACATTGATGAGTCCTGGTATCGTGATCCGATCGCTTCTACTGATGCATTTCTCAAGCTCGGACATTGGCCCTGAGCTCACATCTCTTTTTATTCATAGATATCTTCACCTCTGTGTACAGTAGTTGCAATAGGATCAGCAGTCCCGAGAGCGGGGGAACCCCCGTCATTCGTCCATGTGCCAGTTTCCGATCGAAACATACCCAATAACAATAATGCTTTATCACCGATCGTCCCTGAAACCCTTTAGTTTGAGTGATCATTTTTTTGAACTGCGGCCAGTTCATGCGTGCGGTACCATGTGATAGTCTAGAAGAAAAGTCCTTGAATCCTAGATCCAACGGACGTAGGGTGGGATGAAGTCAACGATCGCAAGATTACATACTATTTCATTCACCGGGAGTGGCTATGTCAAATAAATCAAGGACATATTGAAACTTTCCGGCTCATACCAGCTGCGTGCCGCTGGTCGTGGCATGGAAACCGTGGGAGAATAAAGAGTTACACAGAGACTAGTGATTATAATGACATATGGAGAACAAGAAATATACATGGCCAAAGTTACCAATAGAGGACCAATAGAGGACGATGGATAAGTGACCCGGACTATCACCAATTCCTTGATCCAGGGTGATCTGGGCGTCACCATCATGCATCATACATTGCAACTTACATTGTGCAAGGGGCGTATACTGTAGCACAAGTCGACAGAATGACACAACCGATTCGAGCATGATCCTCTCATATACGCCAGTCCTAGGCAACTTGTCCTACCAGGAAGCGCCTTCGTCGTTGGGTACCATTGTAGTCCACTTGCATATTGCAGGCTACTGGAAAGAGAACATACGTACGCTCATTTAGCCAATATATCTTTACTATAAAGGTTTACAAGCAAACCCGGATACCATTCATACCAGAGTGATCTCTCCAGAAGCAACACAAAGAGTTCGAAGAAGGTACGACTTCCGCAAGATCTTTTCCTAGTTTCAGAAGCTTTGTGAATTTTATTTGAATCATTATAAAGGCTAATTTATACATCAATTATCAGTCGCTCAGTCAAATATTTATTCCCGTCCCTTTTCCACTCCTCCCAGTTTCCCTCATGATGACCGATTGCAAGACTTTGAAAATGAGGAGTCGCAAAGATTCCGACGTTATAATTGTGGGTGCTGGTCTCTCCGGAATCACAGCTCTATACCAGCTTCGTAAGTTGGGATTGAGCTGCTCGATTCTAGAGAAGGGCTCCCAGATAGGTGGTGTCTGGCACTGGAACTGCTACCCTGGTGCACGTATGGACTCAGGAGTTCCTTCATATGAGTTTTCTATACCGGAGTGCAGAGAAGGTTGGAAATGGAGTAGTACATATCCGGATTACGTGGAAATTCGAAAGTACTTGAAGCACTGTGATTCGAAACTTGGCATCACAGAGCATGTTATATTCGGAACGACAGTCCAGGAAGCAAATTTCGAATCTGAGCCTAGTCAATGGGTTGTGAGATGTGATGACGGACAAGTTTTCGGATCAAAGTATTTGGTTATGGCCATTGGCCTGACCTCCATTGCGACCTCAATTGATGAGCCAGAACTTGATCGATTCAAAGGTCAGATAATTTATCCCAGTACTTGGCCAAAATTTGGCGTGAATCCCAAGGATAAACATGTGGCGGTAATAGGAAGCGGGTGCACAGGGGTTCAGATTGTCCAAGAGTGGGCTGATCAAGCGAAGTCTCTGACTTTGTTTCAACGCACACCAAACACTGCGCTTCCAATGCGGTTGAAACCACTTGATAATGAAATGAATAGAGTACTCACCACGCGGCATAGAGAATTCATGGAGAAGAGAAAAAAGATAGCTACTGGAATGGCCGATAAGAAGCCTATTTCGAAGGCATCAGTTGATGATTGTCTTGATGACCGGCATGCCTTCTTCGAAACCCTCTTTCAAAAAGGTGGTCTTCATTTTTGGCTTTCTTCTTACGGAGATATTTCTGACAACTTGGATGCCAACCGAGAAGTTTACGACTTCTGGGCCAAGAAAACCAGAGCTCGAATTTCGGATCCTAGGAAGCGCGAGCTACTTGCACCAACTGAACCAAAGCATCTATTTGGAGCGAAACGCCCAGCTCTTGAGCAAAGATATTTTGAAAAGTTCAATCAGGAATCCGTTGATGTGGTGGACGTCAGCACCAATCAAATCCACTCGTTCACCGAAGACGGGATCATAACAAATGATCAAGTTCTACGTCCGGTGGATATTATTGTCCCATGTGTAGGCTTTCTTTCCCCGGAAGAAATTGTTTTATCCATCGATATAAGGGGTATTGATGGTGTACGCCTCGCAGAAGTGTGGGGTCAAGAAGTCTCGACATATCTGGGCATGATGTGTCATGGATTCCCCAATCTGTTCATCCTGAATGGGCCACAGTCACCTGGTGAATTAGGCAATGCACCAACAGTTATTGAGGTCCAAGTCGAATGGCTTTCCATGATGGTCGCCAAGATCGAGCAGCGTGGACTGGCTCCGATTCATCCAACACGATCCGCAATGCATAGATGGAAGGATCTTGTGCAAGATAACTCGAAGAAGCCTTTAGCCACCAGGAAAAAATCGCGATTTATGATCTTTAATAAGATCACACAAGAGCTTGAAACAGTTTATTATGGAGGCGGAATACCAATGTACATGGAGGAGCTTGAGAAAAGCTTTGTGAACTGGGACTGGGAGTCGAATTTTCATGTGAGCAGCCAGACTGTTAATGAAATTGATTTCAGCCACAGTTTGATTAGTTCACTTCACTAGAAACAAGAACCCCTCTCATGTTGATAGTATCTTTTGCTGTCTCTTAAAGCATCTTGATCGCAGGCGGCCGATTACTCCAAGGACTGTGACTGTTCTGGCAGTCATTGGATATATGCCATTGAGGTTCATCTGCTGTTCCAATTTTCGATACAATAATCCTACATAAATAAATTCTTTGGTGATTAGGTTGCCCTCACCTCATTGATGGTTGGATTCTTATATTTCCTTTTTCTCTTATATCTGACTCTCGGACAAAAGATTGTCTCGTTTATACTTCTTTCTCATTTATTGACTATGTCGCACGTTCTCAGTCATCTTTTGTTAGACTCCCGCTTAGTCTCCGGGTTTGGTAACGAGTAAGTAAAGATAATGCCAAAATAAAAAAGTATATGATAACAATGATATTGCAAGGAAGACTAAACGCTTGTTTTATTGAATAGTGTTAGATCCGCTATTTAATTATTGAAGAGAGGATCCTTTAGGTAGATCCCCTCTGCCTCTCTACTGCAAATAGATCGGCCACTGGGGATAGTAGAACTATAGGAAAGGAGAGTATATAGGGGTTTGAAGAAGAGAAGAATGTGTTTGTCATGCTCGCCTTTCATATAGTCCTACCCGATCTCTTGTTGGGTTTTGCGTATGCTCCTATTTCTATTTTCGACCTGTCGGCTCCACCAGACTGTCATCGCGACGTCCCTATTTCACTATATTATATAAGGTTCATAGGACATGTTAGCCTAAGGTATCTATCTACATTAATATTGGTACTGTATCTAATAACCTAGTCCCTGTTCGCAGGCTACGGCAGGACCCTTTTATTAAGTTCTCCAGCTAGCCTAGTTGTAGGGAGGTTTCTGGCGAGTACATATCTGCACTTTTTAAGGAATAGTGGGCAATTGAATAAGAGAGGTTTAATCAGATGACGCGTTTTTGGTGAGGTTTCTAGCTCGCATAGAATTCCGCTTTCACAATCTTGATATTTGAATTATCTAGATATAGATTTGTACTTAACTTCTAGCGAATATTTGACGTTGTACGCGATTTAAATTCCGTATAATCTTGAAGAATTGGTGTTTTTATTCGTAGCTTAGAAGCAAGACTTTGACAAAACCTCCTTGGCTCCGATAATTTATTTAACAACATAAAGTTAGCCTATTTGTCTATCATTGCTCAGCTTCGGTCAGTATTTAAATTCATGCAAAGGCATCGGGGATGTGGCTTCCAGCTCTGTTGTACAATTTAAGACTATAAATATCAAGTCCGGGCCCTTTTCTCCATAATCCGGGGTTCCTTTTTCTTAATCACTTCTCCCCAATTGAATGGAAAGTCCACATAATGTAAGATCATATAAAATATCTCACGTGGAAGTGAGCTGAAACAAGGAACTTTTGCGACTTCCTCGGCCCACCAATCTTTCCTTTGAGGTGGGACATTGGCCGTGGACAGTATTTGAATATTTGGGTCGACCAAAAACATAGTCAAAAACTTTATATAACCGGACTTTGATGGGTCTGCTAGTTTGAATGGTTGCAATTGGCGCTCCAGCAGGTGGGGAAAGGCAAGCAGGCGTCCTGATCGGGTTTGAAGACTACCGAGCTCTTGATGATCGCTAAGCCCCATCTCTGGTGGTTCTGTTTCCGGCATGCCAAAGAAGTCGCTGGTTAAATCCCACTTCGAACAGTGAGTGAAGAAGGTTAGCTTGGAAGTTTTCTCAAAACGTTGACATCACGTCTATGCAGGGGCAAGGATTAGCTCACGTATCCGGTGTTGGCGAGTTCAAAAAATGCTTCGAAGCTATCTATATGCTGTTGGAAATCGAGATGGGTTGGGATGATATTTTCCTCCTCATAGTAGTATATAGCCGAAGCACAGATGTGGTCATTCAAGCTCCCATCTGTGTCCCACGAGCCCCCTTCATATTCCGGGGACTCAGGCGTTAGGTGAATGTTAGTGAGCTTGAAACTCACTTGCAGTACATTAAATTCGCTTTTGAGGTTCATTGGACGGCGCCTCATTTTTGATATCCGACTTTCACGACTGCAGAACGGCACAGGACTGCTTTCCTTCAGAACGCGATGCTGTTTATACCAGTCTTCGAGCCGAGCCTCGATATTTGGATCAAATTGATCGGGATGGGCAGATGCCCAGTTTCCAACCACCTCTTTTGCGTCCTCATATATGACTTCCCGGGTTTTATTTTCCGATGGAACTCCGTCATCATCCAGAACAGGCAGACTGAAATGGCAATCGTCGGGAACTTGATACGGGCAGTGCAATCCCCTGATACGCTCAATTCTTGGATTATAATCCAACCAGGATAGACATTCATTCCAAAGGGGTATTGTCGCATCGACAATGGCTTCAAGTCCATTGTAAAGTGGTGCATGGGATACTGGGTGAATATTGTTGACATAGCTCATCAATTTGGTCTGGCCGCCGGCTGTAAATGCAAGGTTCGAGGGAAGCCATTGGAAGGTTCCATATGGGTGATCTCTGGCATCAGAATTTTTGACAAGCATGAATTCGGGTTTGACAATTTCACCTGTTCCAGAGTACGAAAGTATACAGTTCTTGATCGGAACATTCCCGTACGGGAGTGCACGCGATACCCCGTGAAATAAGGGAAAAATAGATGGGTGCAAGAGATCGACGACCATCCCATTTGAATCGAATGTCCAGTACTTCTCATGGGACGTGCATCTTTCTAGCTCATGAACGCCTTGCTGCAATGACTGTTGAAGCTGTGGTGACACGGCGAGGTCTGACTTGACGACCGTGTGGGTACTGTCAAGCACGAGGACCATCTTGGTTTCTTGGTAAAATTTCGCCTTTTCACGAAGCTCTTCCATACACTATTGTCTAATTAGGATAGTCTGAAAACCCTTTGAGAGTCCTTACATAGTCAAAACACGCGGAGGTCATAAAAGCTTCATTTGACGCACGGTGCCATGCCATCGCCTTTTTTCTCCATATTCGGACTATGTTTTCATCGAAAACCTCTATCTGCCACCCAGGCTGATCGGTGATCTCATTCACGAAATGAAGCATTCGGCCTTCGCGCAGTGGGATTATCCGTGGCTGAGTGCTCCCTCTTTCCGATCTGTATCCACTGGGATAGTCATCGAGTGGTCGACCAAACCCAGGAAGAACAGTTCTCACTAGCCTCTTCTCCATTTCGGTACCTGAACTCAAATGTGCAAGAGAATTTAGAAGTATCTCACTTAGGGGTAGAGAGCCTCGAAGTGGGGTGAAAACATTGGGCCGGCACGATCTCCTCCGAAGGCCCCGGGCAGCCTGATTGGCTTCGCAGCCTTGTAACAATATGCTACAAAATCATGGCAATTGAATATCATTGCTACCCTGAAGTTTGGTTGGCATATTGCGCTTCCCACCAATGGACCATAAATATTATTATCAGACGACACTATAATATGAGAATGAAACATTAAATCCAAACCTTACATCCTCACTTGCCCAAGCCAAGACTATTCATCAAGTTGTCGATTCCAAGACCACCAAGAAGACCACTAACAAGACCACCAAGCCCAAGCCCACTCAAGAGATTATTGACTAGACCCAAAACACCACTTAGAAGGAGGCCGACTGCGGCAATAATTTGAACGAGCGGTTCCGATAGCAAGGCCCACAGCGGATTGAGCTTCTTCTTCGCATGAGGCATATCTGCGATCCGACGTCGTCCATTTTCAATGGTAGCCGACACAGTCTGAGTCAATTGTTTCATAAGATCTGCTAATTGATATTCTTCTGGTGTTGCCTCGTGAGAAGCACTGTGGGCCTTTGCGGACGCAGCGATGGATCCGTCGGGATCGAGCGCCCTGATAGTACCCTTGCACTCTTGGAGCTTGTTTCCAGCATCTTCAATAAGAGGTTTCACGGTCTGGACTAGTTTCTCTTCGTCTAGTTCGTCTCGTGGCGTGCGATCGGCTCGGTCCAGGTGCTATCAGAGGTTAGTTAGCGCTACTTGAATGATGCAAGGAATACATACCTCTGTAATCTGCTTGCAAAGCGGCTCCAGCGACTCAAGTGTCTGCTGAATAACTCCAGATATTTTCTTCGCCAACTCTCGATCGTGTTTTTCTTTGGCCTGCTGCTCGACTTCCTCGGGTGATAATTCTGGCTCCGGTTCGGTCTCGGATTCAACCTCTGGCAGATTTTCTTCCAGCGTGCACTCGCCAACTTTGTTTCCGTCATTGTCAACGATATAGCCATCGTCATTGACCATCTTTCCTATCAATGCTTTGGCGTTGCCCATAGTCAGCCTGCCAATCAGGTTTCCATCTTCGTCGCGAACCTCGCCTTCTCGATTGACTTTTCGGCCGCTCATTGGATTGATATCCCGTTGTTTCTCTTCAGGGGTGTATCGTTCTGCGCGGCCGATGACATTGCCCACTTTGTCGACGATTTCACCATCCTCATCAACGGCGCGGCCAACAAGCCTTGAGGGCTCCCCATCGGTCAGTCTCCCAACCACACTCTGGTCTGGGGTGATCACAAGTCCATCTTTTGTTGCAGTCAAGCCATCAAGTCCGTAGAAAATACCTTCAGGTCTCTCTCTTTCGGCGGCAGGTATAAGCTCGACATTACCAAGCACTTTTCCATCATCACCCCACACCTGACCCTCTGCATCCACCTTCCTTCCGTTGAGCTTCTTAGGGTTGCCGGACACAAGTCGTCCAAAGACCGCCCCATTTTCGTCGACGACATTTCCGAACTTGTTGACTTTCATTCCATCAAGCTCAGACAAGTCCTCCTCTGGCTCTTCTGGTTCTTCGGATGGAGTATAGGGTTCAGCCCGTCCTATCACGTTGCCTCGTTTATCCAAGATGTCTCCGTCATCATCAACAGCTTTGCCTTGTAGCTTTTCCGGGTCTCCATCAATAATTTTACCAACGACAAGACCATCCTCAGTTTCAACAAGCCCGTTTTGCCCAACCACCAGATCGCCCAGGTCACTGAAGGGTCCCAAGAATTCACGTTCCTCCTCTGGAACCAGTTCAACCCTTCCAAGAACCTCACCGCTATCGCTCCATATTTGTCCTTCGTGATCGATGGTTCTCCCAGCAAGCTTTTTCAAATCCCCTTCTACCACGCGGCCTATCAACATGCCGTCTGACCCAGTGACAAAGCCTAGCTTGTTAGGCGAGAGGCCTTCCAAGAAAGAGAAATCGACCTCTTCTGGTTCAGGCTCTGGTTCCTCCCAGGGCTCAGCATGGCCGATCAAATTTCCTCGCTTATCCAAAATATCCCCATCGTCATCGACAGCACGACCAATAAGCTTCTTGATCTCACCATCGACGACCTGACCTACTCGATCCCCGCTTGCGTCTTCGACCCAGCCATCATCGACCACGACGAGATCTTCAAAGTCTGCAAACAGGCGCTGGTATTCCTCTTCGAGTGGGATTGTTCGTGCCACGCCCAGAACGTTGCCTCTGTTATCCCAGAATTGGCCTTGATCATCAAGCGTGAATTCTCCCTTGGACAGCTTTTTGGCATCGCCCTCCACAAGCTCACCAACTGGCACACCATCATCGCCGACAATGTTTCCAAATTTGTTGCATTTCAAGCCTTCAAGGGTAGAGATATCAGGTAATTCTGGCGCGCTTTCCTGCGATGCGTTGGATTTCATGTCTTCTGCGCCCTCTCCTTCCTCCTGCTCCTCCTCCTCCTCCTCTTCTTCTTCCTCCGTTTCACCATCCTTAGTGGTAATGGCTGCATTCTTTTCTTCGAGCTCTTGCATTGCAACATTTGCAGCCTCCCCTGGAACTGTCTCAACTTGTCCAATAACCTCTCCATTGATATCCAGCACCTGGCCCTGCTCGTTGGGAATCTTTCCCAGTAAATGTGTGTGATCTTGGCCTTCCACAACCTGACCCAGATGTTCACCCTCGTCGTTCAAAATTTTGCCGTCCTCGTTTATCTCTCTGCCTCGAAGAATGGCAACTTTGGGAAGTAACACGCCACCAGTGGGCTCTGCTTCGCCAGTCGACTCTTCAAGTGGGCTTCTGGGGATGAGCTCGACCCGCCCAATCAAGTCTCCATCTTCATCGAGGATTTCGCCATTCTCATCTGCAGTCTGGCCAGCCAAGTCATCAGGGTCACCTTCAACAAGTCGTCCCAATACTAGGCCCTGGTCATCTTTTACAAACCCGTCTTCCGTGAGTGGCAATTTCGCGAGGTCCTTCAAGCTGGGCACATTTTCTGTGTCAACCTCTTCTTCAATCGCATCGGCATACTTTGCAGTCTCGTCTCTGACAAGATCAACTCGGCCAATAAGATCTCCATCTTCATCTAATATCTCACCCTCGTCCCCAACTGTCAGGCCAGCAAGATCGCTGGGGTCGCCTTCGACAAGTATTCCAATGGCATTACCATCATCATCGAGTATATGCCCCTCCTCGCTCACCTCTAACCCCTTTAACTCAGACACATCTGTCGGGAGATTGGGGACCGTCTCGGCGACTTCGGTTACGATACTTCCGTCGTCGGCCTTGAAGCGCTTCGTGACGCCTTTAATTCCGTTCTGGATATTATCAAAAGTGCCCTGGGATTGTGCAGTTCTAGCGCGGTCACTGAGATTCCTGACAGTGCCTGTCAAGTTTGAAAGGCGCGAGGCTGCATTCTTGCCTCGCTGGAAGAATGACTCGCCCCCTGATCCAGAGGCCGCATCACTTTCCTTCGTTGCGGACTTTCTCTGTTCTTCAGATTGAACGGCTGCTTCTTGTCGCGCTTCTTCTGGTACTTCGATTGTCTCTTCGTGTTCCTCAATAGTCTCCCTTATCGGCAAAGGCTCCTCATACGACAGGTCGGCAGCGTGATCATCTGGTGTCTCATTCTGATCGAGATTCCCAATGTTGGTTTGCGATTTCTGTGTTTCTTGAGAAGCTGGAGTCAATTCCTTCACATCAGGCTTTTTTGGTAATTTTCGAATTTTTTTCTTGACCGTTGCTGGTGGCGAGGGTTTGTTGAGGGGTTCCGCCTGGTCTGCAGGCTTGATCTTTGATGTTTTCTGTTCAGGTAGAGGACTCTGAGAAATTGAGTCTTTTCCAGTTGTCTTTTTAGTCGGTGACAGTTGTTTCTTTGTCGATGAAACTCGCTTTGTCACTGGTGATGCCATGGTTTTTGAACTTCGGGGCTTTCCACACTGATATTTTTTGCAGGTTTCAAATAGCGACCAGTAATGTTCCAATAATTGTGAGTAATGTCGATCTGGTAGATGTGTGGGCATGGGGGTTATATTGTATTACAATAGATAAGACCTTCTACTCTGTATGATATCATCATTCTTAAGCCCCTCGGGACCAGGAACTGACTTACTCGCCACGTCGGCTACAGAAAGATGGCCACAGATAATCAGCTGTACACGAGCTCCAAAATTGTCCCATGGAATTGGTACACTGACTCGAGCGATTCCACCTCAAGTCAGGGAAATTTGAAAGAGGGCATCGGGAACACCGCCACATATACCGTGGTACTGCAAAGCCCCCTAGTCACTTTAGACAGATCGCGGCCTCATCACTTCATGCCACAGGTTTTGTCCAGGCAAGCCATCCGTCCAGTCCATGGTATTGCCACCCCTACTTTGCCATGAAGGCATGTGTGACATTGAGGCGTAATGACTTTTCATTTCCTTTTCCTTGATCTACGTAGGTACTTTACGTGAAAGTGATGTCTGGTTATTGTGAGTATTCTTCCAGGGTGAATGTATTGCTAGAAGATATGGTTCTATCCAGTTTGATAATTAAGACTCGGTTGAGCAGCTTCAAGCGATACTGGTCTCGTTACAATTACATTCAAAATATATTGATACATGCTTTGCATTGTAATTCAAGCTCTTCGTAGTATTAGCTTCACGATTCTTATAATATCAGAATGGAAAGGCTCACAAAAGACTCAACGTCAAATCACCCCGTATCTTGGCCTTGAGCTCGACCTCAATGTCGAGGTTTAGATCAAGCCTCAAGCTTAAAGCACTTCCAGGATCTTTGGCTATCTGACCGGACCCAGCCCTCTCAGTCAGCGGTTTGATTGGAGCTATTCCACCTTTGACTGGCAGCGCTGTTTCTCTTCTGACAACTTCGGTTGCAGGTGCATTTCTATTATCTTGAGCTGAAAACTCTCGGTTGATGGACTCGGTTTCAGATGTCGTTGTAGAATGGGGATTTGACTCATTCAGTTGGTCATTTTCCTGGGAGGCATATTCAGTGTCGGTGTAGAAATCAGATTCATCCTCTTCGTCCGAGCTAGCTATTTGTTTTGGAGGCGGTGCCTTTTTCTTTGTGGATTTGACGTTCGCCATGGTGGCCTCTATTAGCGATAAAACGAATTCCGGAGAAGCTCCTGTTCATATACAGTTTTGGCAAATGCGATTTGATAACATAATCAAGCCTGAGCTACAATCCATGGCTCATAGAGTCCATGACGTTGCAGATCCCCCAGTCCCATGAACAAATTCACTCTCAAGCGGTACCCCCGAGCATTGTACGTTTCTGTTAGCTCGAAACCGGTTTCAACATCTTCTTTGCATTTGCGGTTGATTCACGAGTCCTTCTCATCATACATTCCGGAAAAATTCCAGGCCCTGAAAGGCTCTCCTTATTACTTAAGTACCAGTCAACCCTATCCTGACGTCAGCGAGGCGAACTCTATCCTAGACGAATAGATCTCAATTTCCTAGCAATGCACATTTCCATGTCTTCATTTAATCCAACCATTAATTGTATAATTCCATTATAATGGCAGAAGGGCGCGAAGATGATTTTCAAAATGCGAATGGGGTTGCGACTGCTTCCACGCCCAAAAGGAAGCCTCCCAAGCTTCGACCTCCCAAGCTACGAAAGGGTCCAATCTCAGCACCAGAATCCACCAATTCCGATGAACAGAGATTAAATGGCAGTTTAAACTCTGCTAAATCAAATTCGATTTCTTCAAACCCGGACAGCAGTTCTACGGGAAATATGCAGAACGGCAGACCGCCACCTTCACCTGAACCGACACCACAACCGGAACCACAGAAACAACGCACTCGACACCACCGAAGAACCCATAGAACTTCGACAGATTCACAGAGTCCAGACGATGAACAAGATATTGAGCCCGAACAAAGGGACAATAGAAGTTCAGAGCAGCGGACAGTACGAGAAAGGCGAGTAAGCCACGTACTCAACCCTCCAAAAGCTCAAGGTCAGGTAGAACGGCCTGGCGAGCTCGTTCCACAAACAGAGAATGGCGCCGTCCAGCAAGTCACAGAGACTACTGAGGTAAAGCCTCAGTCGCAAAAGAACGATCAGTTAAAGTTGAGGCTAGATTTGAATCTGGATGTGGAAGTTGAGTTGAAAGCAAAGATCAGAGGAGACCTCACGCTGCAATTGCTGTATGTATCATTCGTTCTGCTTGACTCGCGTTTTTCAGTGGATTGCTAATACTTTTGTGTCGCAGGCAATAACAAGTCGTTTATCTCCGCTGACTTTCTGTTTATCTTGTGATACATCCCTTGTACCGAATATGTTCGAAGTATATCTATTCCTCTACCCAGAAGAATTTGCGGTTTCTCGAATTTCTTGATGCGGTATAACACCAGCATTGAAGGCTTAATATTGCGCTCTATATATCCTAATTAAACGCAGCCTGACCTCACCGTATTATGGCTTAGAGAGTAGCATCTTGGTTACCGGGAAACGTTCTCGTGATTGGAAATTCGGTTAGATATCTTAAATGATTGACCGGGAAGAACGGACTAAGCAGATTGCTTGGCCATGTTTCATAGACTTCGTCTATCTCTCCAAACTAATGAAGTAAAAGCCATATCTAGGATGAATGATTGATATTAATAATAATCACTTTTCATGAAAGTAACAGAACCGTATCATATTCTACCGGCCAGGGGCAATTGCTTCGCTGGACAACGCGTTTTGACAGAATCGACAGCCGTACAGGAGCCAAAAAGATTGATCCAACAGCCTTGGCCAGCTGCATGGACGGAGTCCACCGGTCAAAAACCCTGATTCAATCGAGGCCTCTTCCAACACGGGACTGTGGCCTGGAAACGAGTAATTGGATCAGTTTGATGCGCCACTCAGCAGGAGCTAAGGATTTTATGCACTTTGTCACGCCGGGAAGTGGGGAACTATGCGCCCCGTTCGGGAAATGTCAGTTTTCTAACTACCGTGAGACTTGCCAAATCAGGAAGCTCGTCCGATAGAGGTAGTAGTCAAATCGAGCTATTTTGAAACAAGGGTCCAGAGCATGTGCAGGCTGCTTCACATAGGTTTCGATTTGGTTTAGCTTAGCGTATTGTTCCGATTTGGATCCAGATTCTAGGCACCTGTATTTAATATCCAAGCTGATCGGCTAACAAAGCCCCGTCCTATACTCCTTTCATCTACCGCCAGTCAATATCTAACCTAACAGAGTGTATTAGAATCCTAGATCTTCTCCCAGAAGATCTGGTGTTCAAAGGTAGAAAGCGATTGTTTACTTTTCTTTGAACTTCGACACATTCTGATCATATCTGGGCCCGGCTATAGACCGAGCTCTAGGTCAATCTTGCCCTTTTATTGATGGGTTTACAGCATCGTTTCAGTACTATTAATACTTTCAATGGGAGAAAACTTTTCAAGGGTTCTGAAAACGTGTTTTTCTTAAAGATCAATCTCTCTGCTAGAAGTGGTTCGCTTATGGCCAAGTCATTCCTGCTCTTTACCGCCCGAGTTCTCTATATAAATTGAAATCTGACTGCTCGGTAGCAGACATCAAATTGTAAAATAGAGATTCAAAGCAATTCAATTACAGGGCATTTGCAATAGCGTTGTATGCAGCCTTCGGGTTATAGCTCCCATCGAAGAGCAAGGGGCTGGAGCCGGAGCGCCACGAATCCTAAAACGGTAATTGGTATTAGTATGTAATCTCATATTCTCTTTATAAAACTGGTCATTTACCGGGTCAGCAACTCCCCAAACAGTGATGCCAACACACTTTGGCTGATTCAAACAGGCATTGACAACCTATGGAGTCTTTCATTAGTTGCGAAATCAATTGGAGCCTTATAATGAAAGAAACGCACATTTAAGTAGTCAGTAGGGTTAGCACCAGCAATATCAAGCTCAGTGATAGCAACTTCCTTCGTTCCTGCACTAGCAAGAACGTTCAGAGCTGTAGAATACTGTGAGCTAGTAGTCGGTTGATAGGAGGCAAGGGGTACTTATCCAGCAACTGCGGCACCGGCACCGGCACCCAAATGAGTCTGAGAACCTAGAAAAGAGTGAGCGGGTATATAAAGTGAAATCTAATGGCAGATTCTTACCAATTCCATCGATCGGAATACCGGCAGCAATCCATTTTTTGACATGACTGGCCATACCGTTCGTCTTGGAGTAGGAGGCGGAATCCAAGCTTTTCAAGATCAGAACAATTGCAAAACGAAAATAGGAAGTGACATAGCTCACTTGTAGTCATTGATGTACAGCTTTGCATTTGGGTCGGCAGCACGGGCTGTTTCAAAAGCGATCCGCACAAAGTCTTCGCCAATTACATTGTAGAAGACGCTGTTCCGAAGCGAGCCATCTTCGTTGAAGATCTCGTTCACAACATCCTTAAATAAGTAAGCGATGTGTCATTGTAAAATTGAGGCTAGTAAATTGACGTACCCAAGCGTAGATCTTGCCCTTGTAGCGGTTCATAACCGTGGTAATGTGATTCTTCAGGACATTAATCAGAGTTGTCTTGTCTGTGATGGAAGAGACCCAAGACGGGAGCTGGGAGTGCCACACTTGACGAGTTTAGTTTCTCCTTTTATGCCAGTTTTGGGACTTGGGAATTTCAGCACTTACCGAGAGTATGACCACGAATCAGCTTTCCATTGGACTGAGCAAAATTGACCTAGCCTTTGTATTAGAACCACGTAATGAAGGAAAAAAGCTGGATTCATACCAGATAGTCCGATCCAGTAAAAGAGAACTGCCCAGGGTTTGCTATTTTGCGTTTCAGTTACCCATACTAGAAGTGAGCCATAGCATTGTTACTTACGCTCAGTAGCATCCCACTTCATGCTGTTCTCTGGGGTCAGTTGACCGAAATCAGCCTTGATAATTGCCGGGGTCTTTGAATTCTTGTTCAAGGTATACTGGTCACCAATGTTTCCGAGATATTTCTTCCCGTGAGCCTTGAACTTGGCATCAATGCTCACAGAGGCCTGTCGGGCCTCGACAGGTCCGGAAAGTGCTTGACCAGCGAAAAGAAGAGCCAGAGTGGCTGCCTTGATTTGAACCATCTTTGGAAATGCGTCGGGTCTTTAACTTGATGAATATAAATGATAACGATAGAAGATGGACAATGTGTGGAAGGGTTGAAGACACTATTTATATTGAACAAAAGCCAGCTTGTCTTAGGGGAAGAGACCAAGACTTGAGGATTGAATGGCTCGATGGAGTTGATTCTCCGATTTGATGTGTAACATGTCTATTTCAACTGGTCCAAAACGAGTTTTGCCTAATCCATAATGAATTATGGCATCTAAATGGATCATGTTTTGCCTAAATAGCTGGCTGCATAGCTTTAGCCTGGACGCTGATTTCTCGACACGAACATACTATTAAGCTCGTCTCTGGCTGGCAGACCCACTATAAAGTCTAGCCTCTATATTTAATGATCCAAGGACCAAATTGCCTTGGCTTTTGTTCCAGGAGAAACCCTGGCAGTTAGTGGAAACGTAAAAAAAGGGTCCTCCCGTGTGGAGACTACGGGGATCGAGGATACTTTGGCAGGCAGCACAACCAATCATGTTCGATTAAGCCAAGCTAAACCTCGCTTGCTTTAAATAATAAGTTCTAATTGTATTTTTGTTTCTCCTTGAAATCTTCCGAGGAACCTCCGAGTGTTATTCCGCTGTTCTTCAAGAAGACACATTGAATAACCCGGACATACATATCAGCCATCAAACGGGAAACGTTTGAAGATTAATTTGTTTTATAGTGAAACAGCCTCGGCATTATGATGTCTCAGTAGTAGTAACGTTCATTGAGAGTTGCCATCAGCACCCATGTGTATGTTGAAAGTCCATTTGCAGCATTATCCAGTCTCCCGAGGCAGCTCGACAACGACACATGTACGAACTTCAACAATAGCCTGAAGAAAGCATCGGAATAGACCTCAGTGCGGGGTGCATGCCAGCCTCCTTTTCCAGAAAGGTATAAATCCGGTGGACGAGTAGTTCTGGCTAATGTACTTTATCCTGATCCAGTTCTTTGGGAGGAAAAAAAGAGAAAAGGAAAATGAAGGAATACCGAATGCGACTTCTTTTCCACTTGAAACATCTTGGAGTTTAGTTGCATATAGACAATTTATCTCATATATTCTGGCTAAATATATCCATCGTTGAGCTGCACTTCAATGATTTAAATGTGGTGGCCTCCCGCCCTGACGAATTTTCTTTCTGCTTGAACACTTCAATCATCTTTCAATAATCATCACTGACGAAAGTCTTCATCGCAATGATTTTCTTCAAGGTGAATGCTGGCCTAGTGTCATCTGTCTTGTTTTTGCTTGCATCGACGCCTGCTGTCGTCGCTGACTGCGCCCTCCCATCGACTTACACTTGGACATCCAGCGGCCCTCTCGTGAACCCTAAGTCTGGATGGGTGGCACTTAAAGACTTCACCAACGTGGTCTTTAACAACAAACATGTTGTCTATGCATCAACTGCAAACGCAGCTGGGAACTACGGCTCAATGAGTTTCGGCCCCTTTTCCGATTGGTCTGGTATGGCATCTGCGAGCCAAAACGCAATGAGTTTTAACGCTGTTGCGCCCACTTTGTTCTACTTTCAGCCAAAGAATATTTGGGTCTTAGCCTACCAATGGGGGTCGAGCACTTTTACCTTCCGAACATCAAGTGATCTTACCACCAATCAATGGTCTTCAGAGCAAGCTCTTTTCTCCGGAAAGATTGCCAACTCAGGGACGGGTGCTATTGATCAGACTCTCATCGGCGACTCGAAAAATATGTTCCTTTTCTTTGCAGGAGACAATGGTAAAATCTACCGGTCTAGCATGCCTATCAACAATTTCCCAGGAAATTTTGGAACGAACTCAGAGGTAGTGCTCAGTGACACCCAGAACAACCTATTTGAGGCAGTTCAAGTCTACACCGTTAAAGGCCAAAACCAGTACCTTATGATCGTCGAGGCAATGGGATCTCAAGGGCGGTTCTTCCGTTCATTCACCGCTAACAGTCTTGGGGGCTCGTGGACCCCGCAGGCAACGACCGAGAGCAAGCCGTTTGCCGGAAAGGCTAACAGTGGTGCAACCTGGACCAACGACATCAGTCACGGCGACCTGGTTCGCACCAATCCTGACCAGACAATGACTATCGACGCATGCAACCTGCAATTCCTCTACCAAGGTCGAGACCCGAATGCTGGTAGCCAGTATAATTCTCTTCCGTACAAGCCGGGCCTGCTCACTCTCAAGAGATGAAGTGGAATTGCTGTTGTGATGGGGCCAGAAAAGAGAATTCTTGGGAGATTCAGGGTTGCTGCTTTGTATTTCCAATTGTATGTAAGGAAAGAAGAGGGTAATTTGTTTCAGAATTCATCACTTCTGGAGCGTATCCATTCTTTATGCAAGGCATAGGTGCATTTCAGATAAGTAGAGACTTTGCTACAGAACTTTCAACGAATTATGAAGAGGAGTATTGATTTGATTTCAGACTTTTGCTAGGTCGAATATCTTTATCACACTGGTCAAACCCCTTGGCGTTGAAGTTGGAGGTCTAAAGCGCGTGAACAAGGGATTGACGTAAGGGAGACCTTTCTCCAGGGCTTTTTCCCGATGTCAAAATACAGGGTAAATGCAGTATTTTGTGGCTTTATAGGACGTATTGCATTAATTTGAGATAGATACGTAACTTTCGAGTATAGACGTTTTGAGGCTGTACCAAGGCTAGGTTGAGGTGATGGGACAAAAATTGAGCGAAGTATTAATTAAGCCCCAATCAAGGTTTAGTAACTTAAATTAGATCGACATAGATTACAAAGTGTTGTTGAGAATTATGGCTTAGGGCTTCTATAAAGTTCATTTGCATTTGATCATCATTCTATCCACCAACAATAGAATCGACTAGCGAAGAAAGTAAATTAAGTCCAACTATCATGGCCATATAAACAGTCTCCAAACCTTATTGCTCGACCTATAGCAAAAATCTACTCGGTCACTCACGTTACTTTGACTCGCAGACCTAAAGAAACAATGTCCCGACTTGATTTTACACTCAATTCGCAGAACTTGACTACATAGAAAAAGCCAAAATTGTTCATTATATCCTTGAAATTGATACAAGGGCGTGTTCTCCCGGGCTTTATGATGTAGGATACGGCTAATTGACAACTTGTAGCACGCGACGCACGACAGGTCGGAGAGCCTTTTCGCAGCTAAACGAAGATAACGTTACTGTACATAATGATTCAGCAAAATATTTTCACGTCACTGGGAGGCAAATTTCGATGCAAGTGCCTTGATAATTTCAGTAGAGAATTGATCTCAGCTAGTCGGTGTCAAACCACCCGCCCTTTTCCCAATCTCTCGCCTCAGTAGAACTCTGGCGAACCTCCAGGTCATGTATCCCAGCTAGGATGATGTTCAGCCTGGCAAAATCAATCGGTTTCATAACCCAGCCATCAAATCCAGCGTCAATATAAGCCTGTTCATCCTTCTCAGCAAGAGACGCTGATACTGCGAAAATGGGAATCCGGTTGGATCGATTGGATGCATCTGAGACCGAAGAGTTTGAGTTGTCAGATTCAGTCGCACGAATGATTTTCGTGGCAGTTATTCCGTCAATAATGGGCATCTGTTAAATTCGTTTAGCCAAGATGGAGGGATTGGAGGATAGCATTGGGCGCGACGAACCTGGATGTCCATCAGAATCGCACTGAAGGTTTCATTCTTTGACGACAATGCATTGACGCATGCTTCTCCGTTGTTGGTTAGTTGGACCGTGTGGCCGATTCTAGTCAATCTCTTTTGCAGAATGTGGCTGTTGACTGGGTTGTCTTCTGCGATGAGAATGTTCATGCTCGCATTGCTGGAAGAAGATGGTGATGATGGGTTTGCCTTTGAAATTTTGGAACCCCCTTGAAAGTTTTCCTTAGCTAGCTGTTGTTGAGGACTTATTTCACTCATATCCTGTGGTTTTAATTTGTCGTATGAAAGTCGAATGGGTAGTCGTAATGGCATAGGTTGGTTTTGATTCATGCGGCTTTCGCTATTAGAAAAGTTGTTCTGAGGTTGTGAGGACTCGAGTTGATCAGATTGACCCTTTCCATGCCCAAGATAGTCACCAGTAAGATTGGTATTGGAGTCATGTTGCACGCTTTGATTTTGCGCTTTATCATCTCCAACCAGAGAAGTAAATTCCCCGTCCAAGATTGATGGTGACTTTGGCAGATCGAGGAAATTGGAGTTTGACAGTTTCTCCGAGGACAACGAGGATGGCTTTCCCGGGATTGCGAAAGGGAGTATAATTCTAAATCGACTGCCTTTGCCCTCTTCGGATTTCACATGGAGCTGTCCATTCATCGTGTATACAATGCGAGCAGTCAATGCAAGACCAACTCCTAGGACACGTCGCTGCTCACCCCCTGAATGCTCTGCAGCATTCAGGCCATCTGTGAACCAGTGCTCATCAGTGTGAACTTCTTCAAGCTCTTTAAAAAGCCGTTCCCGTCGTGATTTTGAGATCCCAGGACCTGTGTCGACAACCGTCATTTCAAGTGATGCATGCTCGTCTTGAACACCAGAAGGTGAGACCTCAACGCTTACACCACCCTTCACTGTGTGCTCAATGGCATTTGAAATGAGGTTCACAAAGATTTGTCGCAAGCGACGTTGATCACCTAAAACTGCATCTGGAAGTCCAGGACGCATTTTAAATGTGAAGGAGATGCCCTTTCGCTCAGCTTCCCCAGTCAACATGTCAAAGGCATCGCACAACGTGGTTTTTAGATCAAAAGCCTCATTCTTGATAAGTTGTTGCCCGCTCTCGGTGGCAAGGTCAAGAAGGTCATTGACAATGTAGACAAGAGATTTAGAAGCCGAGTACGACCGGGTCAAGTTCTCGCGGGTCTCATCATCCAGTGTGGCTTCCATGGCAATCTCCAAATAGTTGATGACAGCATTCAGTGGGGTGCGAACCTCATGAGCTGAATTGGCTAGTAACAGACGCGTGAGCTGAGAGTTCTGCTTGAGAACCTCTTTCTGGCGCCACACTTGAATGAACTTCCCGTAAACGGACCCAAGAATACCGGCTGTCGAGATGTCAGATTTTGCCCACTGCTTTGACTCGCTCAAGGTAATCTCGCGCCATTCTTTGAAGCTTTGACGTGGTGTTAAAGGTCCGATCCCACCGTCTGCAGGCTTATGCGGATTGCCAGCCCATTTGATCGTCGTGAGTTGACCAAGGCGGAAGAAGGCGATGAAGTCGGCCCCATCAGAGCTCATTGGAATACATAACAAGCCTGATATTCGTTTCAATCCGGGGCGGTAAACAAAATCGGAGAAATCTTTTCCAATATCATGCGACGCAAGGACTGACGTTACTTTTCGTATACGGATATATTGTAACAGAGCCAGGACTTCTTGGGAATTGGCGTCGCTGCCAAACAGCTTGGCTTCGTTTCCGATAGAAAGTACACCATAATCAGCTTGGAAAAGTCGTAATAAGTCATCCGAGGATCCAACGATATACTTCGAAGGATCTGCTTCTTTTGGTACGGAATTAACCATAACACGGGCTTGTAGATCGGAGGCATGGGTGATGCGCTCAATATTTCGAGCCACGGTGTCACCGACCAATCGACACAATTTGCGTATTGGGAAAGAGACACGCATACCATCCTCCCCGTATGAATGACAAGATATCAATCCCCAGAGGTTGTCATACGCGTTGATACTGATCGACATAGATGACCGCACTTCCATATTCGCTAGGTATCTGGAATGGATTGGTGACATGGCTCGAAGGTAGGCATGGCTCATATCAAGAGGGGTCTCAAGATCCGCCAATGTTCGACAAACTAGTCGGGCAGAAACATGGTCTCGGTTATATAACAACCGGACCTTGTTAACTTTGTAGAGCTCTCGAGCCTGAGCCGGGATATCTGAAGCCGGGAAATGCAGACCTTGGAATAAATCCACGGTGACATTTGGGTCCATCAACTCAGCCACCACCCGGCCATTGGCTTTGTGATCGAATTGATAGACCAAAACTCGGTGAAATCCGACCAATTCCTTGACTAGTCCCGCTGTGACTTTGAGTAATGTTTCCAAGTCTTTCACCTGCGATAGCTGAGCCTGAATCTGAGACAATGTGCCAAAGACTTGCATTGAAGCAGCTTCGCCCTTCCTTCGTCGGGCATCGCGGATAGAGCGCACTGAATTACTTGCACTAATCGTGCTCTCGGCATATTGTTGTTCAGATGGAGGCGGGTGTGTTTTCAAGGTACTCGTGGGAGTTTCTGGGAGCTTCTGATCCTCAACATTCAACGGATTGATCTGGTCGTCCTCGGGCTCAAATTCGCAAATAATAATATCCTTGTTTTCTTGGCTCACATGGGTCGCGCACCAAAACCGTGTAAATCCACCTAATGGTGTTTGAACGGCCAGAAGAAAGACCTCAGGCCCATCAATGACTAAGTCGTATGAGTCGTCTCGAACGTAATCCAGATGTTCCAAAAGAGTGGCCCGCTGATCTTCTCTCAAGATATCAGTGAAACTTTCAATGGCAAAAAGATTTTGTGGCGAATATCCCATTATCCGTTCTGAGTTTTCGCTCACGGCGCGGACAACAAGTTGGTTGGGAGACTCCTCTCTCAGAGCGACCATGGCTCCGAAGCTTTGGATTGCACCTGGTGTCCGGATCGGCTCATCCTCGCATCGTTTGAGGGTTTTTCTGCTATCCCCAATCATCACAGTATGTCCGTTCTCAGTAAGTGTATGTTCGAACCGAGATGTCGTGTAGGTTTGGTTCTCTTCGCTGACTTCTTTGGGTGCAGTGTCTAGAAGATTAAATGGATTTGCAATATCTCCCATGTCTCCTGTAGCGGGCGTATTTGAAGAAATCTCATCGTTGACAGAGACACCGGTATGCGACATTGGATGAAAGACTTGATTCGAATAAGGATTCCTGGCCTCAGGCAATGCATCGATCGTGGATATTGGCGGCTCCTCTGGGTGATTCGAGAATTCCTCGACATTCTCGAGCGAGGAAAATGGCGATATATTCTTCTGTCCCACTGGTTTCATAGATACCAGTGACCGAACTGGATAGATGCGATCAGAGCCGCTGAGGCCTGTGCTAGATACGCGACCATCATTTTGGCTGGTCGATTCGGTCCGGTGGCTATTGGAAAGGGTCTGATTGGAATTATCCAAGCTGGTTTGCGAGTATTGGGACTTTTCCGGGCCACTGCCGGAGGAATTTTGCGACGTCATGTTTGTGATCGAGTTGAGAAATTGAATGTAGAGGATCTGGAACACATCCGATGGCTTGGCAAAGTTGGCTTTGATGAAATTTTCCAGAGAGATATCATGGATTTCATTGTTGTCAAGATTCTGGTGAACTTACGTGACCAATTCGGCTGTATGAAGCTATTTGAACCAAAATTCTGGACGGTGAGTGAATGACGGAAGTTCACTTCTATATACAATGCCCTGGCGTAGGTTTTACCGATCGGCAGGTTGTCTCCACTATGACGCACGGGCTATGTGACGTCATATATCGTGTCCAAATGAAGACAGTGTAGGGCTGCGAGTAATTTCCAATATCTCTGTATGACTAAAAGCTTGGCCCCTGATTGCATCAGTCTGGCAAGTAGTCTGTCTAGACCCGTCCGATTCTCACATTCGAGTTCATCACCCAAAATGGTGAGCAAACTTCGAGAGAGTTTTTGTGGACAGAGTACACGAAGTTGAGCATCTTTTCTTTTTGGACCCAATTGAGTCTCCTTTTTCGTTCATTCCGCTCATGAGGGCTTGTTTGACTTTAGCTAAAGAGATGCACTCGCTGAACTCATCGCACAAGCTGTCTAGCATTACCAATACTCTATACTGGATGGATGGTGGGCAGGGACTGGGGGGACCTCGCACTGCAGTCCAACTCCAAAGTTCTCAGTCTTTACTTTATTTCGCTAATTACCCATTCAGGATAGATGTGCATTTGCAAATACAGCGGGGTTTCATGATAGCAAATTACATTCTAGAACAAACTGTCGCCGGCATCGGCTCAAAAGCTTCGTGCATCTCTAGTTTCGATACCGCCTTTTTTGTCGGTTTTTATGCCATCTATACATTCACAGATACAAATCGAAAGACGGTGCAAATTTCTGACAGCCCCTTTCCAAAGTAACAAAAGAATAGCAGGAATTAACGTCCGCAATGAGATAACGTCTAAGTTATTACCGAACTCCATTGCAGTCAGCGTGTCGGTAAAAGTCTGCTAAGAATCTCATACCCAAGCACCTTTCTTTTTAGAACAGAGTTGTTTTCTTAATGGAACCCTCTACAGCGCACCATGCCTGAGACCATAGGGCTGTCAGGTCGTGTGTCTAGGATTATACAACCTTGACCTCAAAGTATACCGTCGGGTTTGGGGTGAGCGATAGGCAGTCTAGCATATCATTTAAATCGAGGATGGAAGTGCATTCTAATATTTGCGACATTGAAAGCTCTAGCGGTTCCTAACATACCTTGAACAATTACCGCTGTGAAGCTCTCTCCGTACACTGCTACTTTCACCAGCTTGAAGGCCAATTTTGTGCCCCTTCTATCTCAACCAATTTGTTTAGAATAGTACCGTTTAAATTTTCAATACTTTGTAATACTTTAGTAACGGAATGTTTTTTTAATAAAAAGAGAGATACGAATTTTTTCGTTTTCTGTCACGTAGTGTGAAAAATTCGACGTCCCGAACTTTTCCACTTCGAGTTTATTGAGTGTAGAAATTGCCCTACCCAACACGAGAAAAGTCTATCTGACAAAGCTTTTTTTTCAAATATCTTGAGATACATCTATTTGATTGATCCCTTTGTTCATTATATAGAGATATAAAACTCGAATAAAAAGTCTGACCTAGTTGTGCAGATATGAGTTAAAGGGGGGTTGGTTGATATTTACGTGCTCAAGGTGAGAAGATAGGAAGCATTGAGGAATTTTGGAACGGTACAAACGCATTAATTTCTATCTCGCCACTCTAAATCATCTACAAATAACGAGTAGCCCAAACTACCTCGTCAGAATGGCTGATTCTAATGACCCTGTGTTCTATGAATGTATTTGATAGGCGGCTGTGAGGTTTGACCGTGGTTCTCATTTGCAACATAACAATAACCCAATTGAAAGAATTGAGGACGCTCATTTGTGCGCAGCCTTAGGAATGTTCCAATTTTTCCTGCCTGCTTCTTTCCCATTATTTGTCAATCGAGCCCGGGTTCGACCTGGCGCTTGCCTAGACCGGATAAACAAATTTGCGGTCCGAAACCCAGTTTCGAGGTGTCATCCCGGCTACAGTCAAAATCTGGTTTTGTCTTGCAGCACATTCATTTGTCGCCATATTCTCGATTATCCATTGTGACTGGATAGTGATAATAAGGCGCTTTGCGAGCATGTCTGCTGAAGATCTTCTTACTAGGCTCCGCAAAGCTATCAGGTATGCATTGTTTCTTCTGTGCTTTCACTGATTAACTAAGGAATAGACAACCTCATGAGGCTATACATCGATTAAATATCTCTCGGATAGCTCTCTGTTTACCCCCAAATGCGGAAAGCTCTTCGGTATATGCCCTGGGGCTAACATACTATGCCGAGCTATACTATGGCCTAGAAAAGGCATGGGTTTCGTTCATTGGCGATCCTGCCGAGTGGCTTTTTGATCAATCCGACAATTCTATCTATAGACTGCCTACTTCTGGCAAAGAAGGCCTCCGTGCCTTGTTACGATTAATATACTTTCCGGAGCTTCTACGTACAAGGCGCCTGGAGGCCGATCTTCAACTTTTAAGATCAATGAATATTGACTTCGCAACCTCACTACATGAAGATAACATTGGAAGTCAAACCAGGGACTATATTTTTCAACGGATTGCGTCGAAACCACATCTTATCGTGTCATATTCTTGGATTATGTTTTCCGCCATTCTTTACGGTGGGCGTGAGATCGCTGCTAGGCTTTCAACAGCTGGTCCAGAGTTCTGGGGCATGTCAGCCACGGAGCTAAATTCTGGAAAACTACCTTGTCCCTTGTCATTTTGGCATGTCGATAATGAAGCTACCATCAAAATTAAGTTTCGTGCCTGCATTGCAGAGGCTGATCGTTTTTTGACGGCCCAAGAACAACAAGAAGTTTTGGACGAAACAACTGAAATATTCAATATGTTTGGAATCATAACCTCGTGCTTGGATCAAGAAGCACCTCTCATGCAATCTGGCAAGAGCTCAATCTCATAATCAAGTTATATTTATTACTCAAAATAATCAAAGTGTTCATAATCAACGCGATAAAGACTGAAATTTAATATTCAAGCAAGTCCGGACAATTCAGCAGCAGTATGCTTCATTCATTTTGGGAGTAATGTCAAGGACTGGCTAATTTGAATGTCCAGTCGTCTTTGAGTTCACTCAAATATCTTAGATCCAAAAGTGTTGATTAAAGGAGAATCTGTCAAACTATGGGATCAGCATAGCAGGCAGAAATGTTGAAAACGTAAATTTTATTACCGAGCAAGCAGTAGACTGAGAGCTTTCCTCGATCACAAATATCCGAGTGATGCGATGGGGCTGAGCATGTTGCTCCTTTGCTAATTCCCTGTCCCAGTTTTATTGGTAATCGTCTTAGGAGAATTCGGTGGCCTATCTTTACAATTCTGGCTGACAGTACACCTGTCACTATCAACTGAATGTCTGGTTTCTCTTTTTCATCATGCGACTTCCATTCCCGCAGTGTGATGGTTGGCCCATCTAGGCTCAGTGGTATCTATGAAGTCGAGAAATACATCAAAAATTGATTAATACAGCGAACACAATCAATATTCAGCGGCTATTATATTTGTCCCCACACGATAATTTTTCCGTGAGGGAAATTACTTAATTATATGCTGAGTTTCCTTTCTACCAGTTTAAAGTTTTTGGGTGTTCCTTCATCCCGTCCGCAATCATCAACTCCTGCCTCCACGCCATACATTGTCGCGTCGAGTGATTTCTTCCACTCATGAGATTGCCATGCTGGGACTCTCTCCTCGAAAAGTTTATCCACCTGATGAAAATGTTAGAATCGAAAAATGAATACCCGATACCTAGGTTCATCGACTCAACACTTGGGAACCTTTTGTGCTGACTTACTTCGGTGATAGAAAGTCCTGAAAGCTCAGGGACGAACAGAAAAGCCCAAACAAGGGATACTATAATCATGCCAAACCAGATATAGCAAACCTTGACACCCAGATCTGCTGCAGTGGCGTCTACTAGGTATGGTGTCACGAAACCGATAGCCCAAGTTGAGATCCAGTAGACAATCATGGTGAGTGTTGATTGATACAGCCTCAGTCGAGCGGAATAAGGCTCTGTCATGGTTACCCAACCTGAAGACTGTTAGCCGTAGTTCTCGCACAATGCAAATGTGAGTACAGGGTATATCGTACCAACTGAGCCCCATGTAGGAGCATAGGCTGCAATAAAGATCACTGCGCCAGAAATCAAGGCACTGTGGTCGGATTTACTGTTTGGAGCGACTGTATGAATGACGGCCGGAATAATTTGGGTGATTGCCATCACTGTACCTCCCCAAAGTAAACAGCGACGTCTGCCAACTCTATCGACTAAGTATGCCGATGGCACAGTAAAGATGGCGTTGATGAGCGCAAGAATGACAGAAACCATATAGGCATTATTGACCCCGGCAGCTTCAAAGAAGGTTGTCCCATACCCAAACCAAAAGGTGACCCCGGTAGCAATGGTCAAGAAAGACATGGCTATGCCAAGCAATTGACGACGTAAGTTGGGGCCTTGGAAACATTCGATGATTCGAACATTTCCTTGCATTTCTTGTTCTCTGACCCAATTTGACATCTCATCGAATGCCTCCAAAAGCTCGAGTGAGTCTATATTAATATTTCGAAGATTTGCAATGGCATATCGAGCTTCTTGGGGTTTCGACTTTTGCAGCAGTATAACAGGTGATTCGGGTGCAACAATTGCGCCGAAGAAGATGATAAGCGCGAGAAATAGCTGAAACCCAATAGTGATTCCTGTTTAAATTGCCACTTAGCCTTCATGGGGTGCAAATAATTGAACGACAAGCAAAATTTGTTACTCACGCCAACTTCTTGAATCATCAAATTTCTTTGTCCCGAGACTGATACAGCATGCCAGAACATTGCCACAAGTCAAGAGCAATACATACATACTGACAAGCATGCCTCTTGTTTTTGAATTCGAACTTTCAATCAGGTACATCGGGCTCTAGGCAGCAGTCGTGTAATGTCAGTTTCTTTTCTCGCGAAGGTTTCATTGTCAAATCATCTCAATCTTGTTCAGCTTACCACGACAGATATAATGCCCAAGGCTGCGCCCAATAATATACGCCCCACGATGAAAGCGGCCGGTGGTAAGCCGGCGACTTGAATCGAGACACCTAATCCATATGCTGTCATAGCTAAGAGCAAGCTGCCTTTACGGCCCACTTTTTGACTTGATTAGCTATTGACTTGGCCACATTTACTCTGGATCTCATACATACCACGATTACTAATGAGAGAGGATATAGCGGTGCCTAACAAGGTTCCAACAACCAAAAGAGATGTAAACAGTGCACGAGTCTGTGGTGTCAAGTATATGGCTTGAGTTACCCCATTATCAGTACCGTAGCGCTTTAGGAAGTCTTTAGACCCTAAAACACCATTCAAATAACCTGAATCATATCCGATGAGGGTTCCTTATGCAATAAGAAAGTAAGTTGCCTTTTCTCTCGTAATCCCTTCTGTATGGATACTCACCGGATGCAAAAAGCATTCCATAAACCACAGCTTGTTTCAATGAAATCATTGTGATATGAAACCAACAGCTGCTTTGATATGTGAGGAAATTCGTCAAATCAATAAAACTAATTTGTATGAGTCGATCTCGAGTCGTGTGGAATGAAGAGTGTTTGTTATTGAAGTCAACGTTGGGTATAATATGGTGCCGTTCAACCGTTGAATCGGCTTGAGCACATTAATTCTCACGGGAAGTATGATCCTTGACAAAAACTATTACATGCAAGTGGGAAATGGTCTTCAGATAAAGCCTTTCTCAATGACTTGACTTTTACGTTGCTGTTCTATCCTATCCGTGAACGCCATATATCCGGCACCGTCCGTATTCTGTATCAAGATAATGATAACAAGTTGATAGGCATTCACTTGGCTTACGGCGGATGCTAGATTCCGCTCTGCTATCGCTGGGCGGATTCCATAGTTGAACGGAAGATAGCCAGTGGCGATAGGAATTCGAATTCCGCCGGTGGAGCCTCTTGGTTCATGTTATTCAATTAGACTTATAGCAAGGAATTCGCGAGACAATCCATTCGAGCAACTCTGGCACTATTTAAACCAAAAGGCACTTTCAATTGTATCCATCGACACTCCTTTCGTTGCACAAGCCACTCGCGGAAGCATCTTTGACTATCGTTTCTATCGCGCCAAATACAACAGCCCAATCAAAATGTCTCACCTTAAATTCTATGCATACGACGGTGCCGGGAAGCAGAAGCAACGCGACTTTTGGTACAGCCAAGCTGTCCGAGTTGGCGACCGAATTGAATGTGCTGGCCAAGGTAAGCAGTAAATCCCGATCGCTTTTTCGTCCAAGCATTATATCTAAGTTGGGTCATCTTCGAAATTTAGGTGGCTGGGATCCCGCGACTGGCGCTTTTGAGCTAGAAATCAATGCCCAGATTGACTTGGCGTTTGCCAACGTTCAGCGCTGTTTGGAGGACGCTGGTGGCAAGGGCTGGTCTCAAGTCTACCGGGTCAATTCCTACCACGTTCCAATCAACAATGAGGCATTAGCAGCAATGGTTCGCAACTTCAAGAAATACATGCCAGATCACCAGCCCATTTGGACTTGTGTTGGAGTGACCCGACTAGGGGAGGATGATATGCGCGTGGAAATTGAAGTGGTTGCGCATGACCCCGAAGGGGCCAAGACGGTTAGCTCTGCTTGAAAGGCAGAACTTCCGGTAGTAAACGAAAAACATCTTACCTTGTTTTGAGGGTGAATTTAATGGGATTCCCGAGTGCTAGCTACAAGTTCTCTGACATTTTACTAGGGGATCATGGTCTGGGTTGGCCTATTTTGTGTCAATGACTTTGGATGGACACGTGACAATGAAGATGAACTTTCCAAGGACCTTCGATGTACGTCACAATTTGTGAATCATATGCACTGCTCATTCAGTATTTGTAGAAAATCTTTCTGAGCCCAAATGAGCTTAGTAGTGTGGGTACCATGGCTTTGGTATCTACTGTATATTAGTCCTCGGTGGTGGGTAGGCAAGTTTATTCTGAATATTCTGAACTCAAAGGGTCCTCTGCTCTTTTCAAAGAATGAGACTTGAATAATTCCTTCCAACAAAAGATTTTCTGTTCTCTTCACCACATCAGATTTTCTAAGAACTGTTTTATTATCTCCGACAATGTCTCAACTATCTAACGATAGTTCTCCGCAATACGAATCACACTATCAAAGCCAAGATAATATACTTGTCACTGTCATCCAGAATGAAAGACGCTTCCGGGAATGGGAGCGAAAAATGAGGAATATTGATTCTAGAGTCGCAAAGTTTTTCGATAGCTCATTTGAAAGCGACTTGAGATGCCGAAAAGATTTGGAGTATGTACGTCAAGCGGGTCGACTACTTGATGAAATGAGAGACTTGCTCAGACAGGTTACGAATATACTGGAGGAAAGAATGTCACATAGCCAGAACGAGCTCTATGATGTCATGGAAAAGCTTTCTGATACCGAGCTTGATCGCGTCTCTGCTTCTTCAAAATTGGGCACAACATCGCATAGGCAACCTGAGCTGGCTTGGAACCACAAAAACAATATAGCGGCCATGAGAACTTCAAATACAAGTCATCGAGGGCACAGACGTTTTTCTACACTATGCGGTAGGTATGGAAACATCTCAGGGGCCGGCCAGTCTGAGTCTCTTGGGATCGACAGCTTCCTGCGAGTCGCTTTTGTCTCTTTATGAGAGACCTGACAAGGCATTCTAAAGAGGGAAAATAGCTTGTTGGTATTTGCTTCTGTGGTATGTTTGTATCTTTCTTTACATCAATACCAAATCTCTATACGTTGGTATATACTTCACCGTATTCTACCACAGTGAGAAAGAGGTTTGAAGTTGTTCATTACTCTTAGGAATTGCTAGTAATATAATCCATCGGACATTAAGTAGTTGCAATCTTGACTAAGTCTTAATATCGTACTAGATAGTTCACTAGCTCAACACTTTTCTACTGGGTTGCTTCATCCATAGTAAATCTTCCAAGGCTGGGGATTCTGGAGTCGTGTCAAACTTAGTACTAGGCACCGTATATACTACTTATTGTGCCACAAATTTAAATGACTACAAGACTCGCCTTTCATGCAATTGCAGAGCTCACCTTCAAGATGAGAATGTTTACGGCGAACGGAAATAAAGAAAATTTACGGCGTAGAATACATACAATCAGAGTATAATAAGGTAGTGCTAAAAAGCCCCATAATTAAATCTGACTTATACACCAGCGGCGTTTTAGCGCTTTTTGGATATTGGAATTTTCATCAAAATTTACCCCAAATATGGCATCAATTGACATTTCAATGAATCAGATGAATCATCCCAGGATCAATTCTCGCTTAGTAACCCACCAAACCCCCGATTTTGCTAAGTGTGTAGGGTCCATGCACTCGGGTACCCTATCATTTACGGATTCCAAGGTGGTAGTTGGTTGGAGTTTTATACTTATTTCTTCTAACGACCATGTTTAGTACATACGACCACAGGGTGTGGAGAACAGGGCTTCCCGTCCGCTCAGCCGTACTTAAGCCACACGCCGGTAAGTTAGTAGTTAGGTGGGTGACCACTAGCGAATCCTTACTGTTGTATGTTTTTTATTTTTATTCGCGTTTTTTCTTCTTCCGAAAAACTCCCCTTGTCGCCCGCCCTACTCTTCAGTATTTGGCCACTTCACCCGAATACCCCGAGCATCACTGTTTCGCAACTCAAGCGGGTTATTTGGGGCTAACCAGTATTCCACCTAATCTGCGGCATTAAAGTCCTGGTAAATCGTTTGATGCACACATTTTATCACCCTCAAAGCGGCTGGACTTGGAAACATGCACCAGAAAACAAAATGCTTCAACCCATCCGTCCCTGTTTCAATCAAGGCCCCATCAGTTCCACTTCAGACTTTATCTGATCTCCATCTCGAATTTGACCAGCAATACTCTGCATTTGAGGTACCCATTTCATCGAAATACATCGTCTTGGCCGGTGATATTGGACGTCTACAAGATTACAGTGCATATCTCGCCTTCCTTGAAAAGCAAGCAACCCGGTTCGAGAGAGTATTTCTTGTTCTTGGAAATCACGAGTTCCATGGAACATCCTTTGAATCCGGACTCAAGACGGCGAGAAAACTCGAGCAAGAACCATGTTTGAAGGGTCGACTAGTCCTGCTTGATCAAAGGCGTTTTGATATTCCGGACACCCATGTCACTATCCTTGGTTGTACATTATGGTCCGAGATCCCATCTGAAGCAAGAGATATTGTTCAAACCAAAATTCATGATTTCGAGAAGATTGAGGGTTGGGGAATCGATCAGCATAATGCGGCTCATCAATCCGACCTATCCTGGTTACGGCATCAAATAAAGGCGATCCACGACGAGAATCAAGGTGGCCTCAAAAAAGCGAATTCACGCCCGATTGTGGTCGTAACTCACTATGCGCCTTCTCTCCAAGGTACTTCCAATCCCCGGCATGCCAAATGTCCTTGGAGCGTTGCCTTTGGAACAGACCTTATCTCAAACACATGGGAAGGAGTGAAGTTTTGGATATTTGGCCATACACACTATACAACTGAATTTACAGAAGACGATATTAGGCTCGTGAGCAATCAACGGGGCTATATGCGTTCTCGGAGTGAGGAATCAAAATTCGATGCGAAAAAAGTTATATGGGTGTGATATACTTCTCACAATCTTAATTAACTCATATAATGAGCGAGGCCGATAACTAAGTTAGTGGTAGGTATCTAGATCCCTGCAGAAAAAATTACATAATCGAATTTAGAAGAACCATAGCTACTGGCGTCAGTATGATGTGTGTTTCAAGGCGTGAGACGTAATTCCTTTGTCAAACTTGTGCTAAGTGGCCGCTGGCCGTAGATCGGATATCCCACTAAATATAATCAAAAGTGTCTTGGTTATGATTCTAAGAATTTTCTAGAAACAGGATAACAATTATATAAAGATAGGTCATAAATTGTGAAAATGTACGTTCTGATGCATATACTGAATATCTAGCTGAAGGATGTTGAAGTGGGTAAATATCTGCCCGGATTGCTCTGATGAGTGCTGAGCCCACGCTTGATCCGCGGGCGCAAGGTGACCACAACGGCACAGTTGACAAGCTGTTGACATGCTGTTGTATTTTTTTTGTGTCGCCCTTCATATTATCTTCTCGAAAGTTCTTTTGGTTAATAAAGCTGGTGATCTAGTTTGGGTCTACACTTCATGGTTTTGGAGTTATTTTTGGTATCAAAAATTTTCCGGAAGGCAAAACCACAGGTCCAAATTCCTATTCCAGCACCGGACCCTGCGGAATATCTCAGGGGCGCTTTAACTCGCCGCTTGAGTGGCGTTCCATAACTACCGAATTGTTTAGCCTCAATCTCGCAAAGTTTACTTGCCCTAAGTTCAGCTATCCCTTGTCGCTGTCAGTTTTTTCATATTCGCACCATGCCTTCGTGTTACTGATGATCTAATCTTTTTTTTTTCCTCTCTCGTGACTCAACTACTCCTGTATTTTCACTCCCTCGTATAACTCGGAAGACTCCAAAGTAAAACTTGAGGCGAAAATAAGTAGCGTGCATCGGCTAGATCCCAATTTGGCCCCTCTTATCTGGAACCCTGCCAATCACAGCCCTAACTCGGACTACTCTAATGCAGCAATTTCCACCGACCCTTCTGGGAAAAGGGAAACAGTCCAAAAGTAGGGAAAGCGCCCCCAAAAAATCAGGGTCTGTCATGAGGCGCTTCTTAGCCTTTTCGTTAGTATACTTTTCCCTGAATAATAAAACCACAGCGGGCGCCTCAAATTCTCGTGGACTTCATTCTCTATTCACAGGCCCAATATGGCGCCCTCACACTCGTTTACACTATACTTGTCGCTCGCTTTATCCTGCCTCAGTCCACTCGTTTCAGCTGCGCCATGGATAGTAACGAAAGATTATCAGGAGACAGTTAACACCGTAACTTACGTTTACGGCGATGAGTCGGCTGTCAACACCGTAATCGAACAAATCACCCCAACTGCAACTCTCCCCGCTGAAGCCTTGTCCACCATCACATCGACCGATACACTTTACAGCTATACCGTAATCGAGAAGCTCTACCCAACCGGATATGGCTCCTCCGTCCCTGTTGGCAACAATTACGGCTACTCCGCCGACAGTGACGGCAACATCCACAGCACAATCTACAAAGTGAACCTAGTCTACACTGCGCCAACAGGCTGCTCAACCAAATGGACCTCAACAGTCGCGGCTGAAGTCACACCTCCGTATGAAATCCGCAACGCGCTTCCTCACGAGACAGGAGCCGCCTCCACCTCCGTCGACGACACCTTACCTTTCCAACCAACAACATACTTCTTCGACGTTTTCTACGTCGACTCAACCCAACTCCCAAGCTACACCCTTTCTTCACTAAGTTACTACAACGCCCCGACCTCCGTCGCTGGCAATGCAGCATGCCAGTATACATCCTCGAGCGAGAGTTCCAGCGAGGGTACCAGCTCCGGCTATTATGGTAACGGATATTATGGCAATGGCTATTACTACGACGACGAAAACTGGTTCACAAGCAAGTGGGGTTTAGGCGCTGGAATCTCCGGTCTGGCAATAACACTCATCTGCGTCCTGGGCTGGATTGGCCTGTTCCTGATTTTCGGCTTCATCGAAGCCTGGGTTCGATTCCGCCGTCTGATGACTGGCTGGCAAACCCGTCGCGGACTCCCGCTTTTCTGGTGTTTCCTTATCTTCCCTATTACGCTGTTCTTCCTCTTCTGTTTCCGGAAGGGGTTCCGTGCGCGCAGTCGTGAGGATGCCGAGGTCCTGCAGAAGAGGTGGGAGGCTATGCCTTTCGGGACGAAGCTGAAGCTGTACTTCCTTTGGGGATTCCGCTTTAAGTATCCGCCTGTTCTTGGTCCTGCGCCTGCTAGGGTGCAGGGCAGTAAGAAGCCTAAGGAGTCCGGTCCTCGTCTTTTGGACGCTTCTCCACCTGGCTCTTCTGCTGGGTCTGGCGCTGAGAGGGGTCTTGCTGGTGTTCCTGAAGTTGGGGAGGTGCAGGGTCAGCACGGTGGTGCTGTTCCTCAGGCACATGGTGCTACTCCTAATGTTGAGGCTTCGGGTGCCATTCCTGCACAAAGAGATGAGGAGATTGGTCATGCTCGATGATGGACTTGGGGTGATTTGTTAAAGAATGTGTGAATTTTGTTCGCAAAGTGGCGATATATATAATATTCTACAGAGAGAACCTCCACTGTGTTCATTCATGTATTTAACGGCCGTTAATATTTAATTGATACCATCTGCTGTTTGTTACCATGATATCAACCCACATTGCACCAACTTTAAGCCTGACTAACAGAAAATGGCAAGCTAGTCAATTTTAAAAATCTTAATAAGTTATGAACGGAAAAATAAGACACCTGGACCTTTCTTATGCCTCACACACATGGTATGTAGGTTGAAATATACATCAGACCAATTGCAAACTCGTGCCCTAGAAAGTGTTGATATTCAATAGTCTAGCGAAGCCCTTTTGGCGCACATTTCTCATTTAATTAGGGACTTGAGCCTTAGCGTCATTTCCGGAGGGTTTCGATATTGAAGATACGTCGGCTTGAGTCGATTTAAGCTTTATAGACGCCTCTGTTAGGAGATCTTCACAGGTAACGCGTGGGGTCTCTTCGATATCATAAAGAAGGCGTACTTTGTCGGCTTCAATAAGCTTTTTGGGCCTCCCTGAGCGAGGTTTTGAGACACCAGCGTGTCTTTCATGCTCCTTTTTGATAGTGTAGCGTATTGTTGACAACGATATCCATGGATATCGATTATGGATACGTTTATAACCCCAGTTGACGGCTGAATGAAGCTCGCAAATCCTTTCGCGAATAGCGGGCGTAAGCTCAGCGCGTGATGGCATTGGTAAATGGGGTATAAAAGGTATAATGATAGGCAAATAAGGTAAACAGAGGCAATAGATTGATACAAAACGCGAATTACCGCACTACACACTACGTCTTCTTGGCGCGTTTTGGATAGGCGGTGTATTCTAGATAACAAGGCGGTCTAGATGTCGGTACCTACTGTACATCTGACCAACCGAAAAAACTGCTAACACAGGCGTTCTACGTAACAAGGGGAGAAAAGTACTGGAATGTCACAAAAAGTAAATATCTTCTTCAATCCTGAAAAAAGAAAAACAAAAAAGAAACGCTCACTCGAGGACGGTGTTTTAGGAATAGCCGAACGCGGGGGTCGAACCCGCAGCCTTAAGATTAAGAGTCTTACGCTCTACCGATTGAGCTAGCCCGGCCGGGCTGTTGAAAGGGCATCAACTTATGGCTACATAAGCTAGAACTATTTTCTCTTACCTCCACTTCCCGTTTGACTCGGACATTAGGGTGGTCCTAATCAACAACGCGATGGAGCAGTCGGGCCAACGCTCCCATGCAAAACAAGCCGCATGTCTGAGTTGCCGACGAAGCAAGATCCGCTGTAATCGCACAGCAGGTGAGACTAGCTGCGATAAATGTAAGCAGACTGATGCGGAGTGCATTGTGCCAAATCACCACCTTGGCAGACAGAAGGGAGTGAAGAAGTGAGTTAGAAGCGAGGGAGAAAACCCAGCATTCCAATCCACGAAGGGATAAATGGAAGCTAACATGTGGACAGCAAACGCAAGGGCCTGGAAAAGGCGATTCATCAGATTGAACAGGCCATCAAAAGACCGAGGATTGACTCCGGCGATGACGATGCGCAAAGAGCCATCTCTGGGCTCCAGGAACTCCTCAGTCAAGTTCAGGGCCATTTAATGCAGGGTGATCAAGATGTTTTTTCTGATGGTCCGGGGCCAGGTAATGATCACGATTCTGACCCGCCTTCGCTGCGCGATAGCAAGGTAGATGAGAGTCTTACTCTGGACGATGCGGAGAATCCGTTACAATTGCTAGCCAGAGCCTCTGATCTGCAGCTTTCGCCAACGGACTTGCGCCGGGCTCCTAGGTCTTCGCTGCCTTTGCCGGGTGCTCCGTTGGCGGTGTCGCAGGAACACGCGATGCCCGGAGAGCCGAGCGCGAAGTCATTCTTCGTGCCGGCCAGAGCAAATTTAGATGTTGGACCTGAGGTCGACCCTGTAGATCTGGGCTTGGTCACTTTCGACGAGTCAGAATCTCTGTTCTCATTGTGAGTAACATATGTCCGCCTCGAGCTAGGTGGTATGATATCAAAAGTGATACTGACGTTCTCATCAGCTTTTATCAAAATCTCGCTCACACGCGATGGGGTCTCGATCCATTAATACATACACCCTCATTTGTGCGCTCTCAATCCGCGTTTCTGTTCACATCGATTATGGCTGGTGCGGCTTTATTTCTACCATCTGCAGCCGCTTTATCTAAAAGATTATCTCGGCATTGCAAATGGCTCGCAAAGAGGGTCATTACAAAACGGCATAGGTCTGTCGAGATTGTCTTGGCTTTTATGGTAAATGTGCCCTGGATGTCCCCCGGCGATAGTCTTGGGGATGACGATACCTGTTCATATATAGCCATGGCTTTGACTGTTGCTTTGGATTTGTCTTTGAACAAGATTATCTCTCCATCTGCGAGCTTTGATCATGATCTTCTGAATCACTTAGCTCGGGCGGATTGTATCGATGCCAGGAGGGCTCTGCATATGGATGGATTTGATGATGTTGATCCATCCACTGAGTGGGGTCTGCGTTTGCTTCGGCGGCGTGAAAGGGCTTGGATTGCTTTATTTGTTGTCGAAAGGGGGTAAGTTGAAATCTTTTGCCTTTTCTTGGTGAAATACATGTTCTGACTTCGGAGAAGTGTTTGTCTTGCTCGTGGACGAAGCTATACAGTTCCTCCGACTGCGCTTATTGAAAATTGTGACCGTTGGCATTTATCCAATGTTGCTGATTTGCGTGATGGTCCTATGAACTCCATGGCAGTTCTTCGCAGAGATTTGGTAAGAATATTTATGCCAAAGTTCGACTATGATACTAATCGCGAACCCAGGACGGACTATTCAAGAGAGTCAAATCCAGCTGTGATAGTTACCGAATCATTGATACCGGCTCAGAAGCCGCTCAATCGTACGAGTCACTATAATAACTGAAACTCTTCCTGCTGACTGCGAAATAGGATCAAAAAAACCATACAAGCCTTCTATGAACGATGGTACGCAACCTGGGCCCTATCAATTGGTGAGGGTGACAGTAAGTACAGACAAATACAGCCGAAAGAGCCATATACTAACCCAGAAAGCACGTTCTCTTCCTCCATACGTCGAAATTCTCGTAACACACACCCAACTCTCAACGTACGGCGGCGTAATCAACCACCCAACAGCTCCCCTCGAAGTAAAACGTTTCTTCCGCGCTGCAGGCCTCTCAGCCGCTCTAAACGTCCTTCGAGCCGCTATCCAAGGTGAAGCCCGCCTAAAATCAATGCCTAACAATACAGTCATCATGATATCCTTCGCAGCCTGCTCAGCACTAAGTCTCAGCGTTACGCCCGGTGACAGCAGATCAAGTCTTGCGCCCAGTGTGCGAAACCTAATCGAAGAAACGGCTGGTGTTCTGGAAAGAGTCGGTGCAACACCTAGTCACCGCAATGGTTCATCGGTGCTTTATGGCCGATTTCTGCGCGAGTTGATCCGGAGAGCTCCTGTCCTCCCACTTCCGTTACTCCATCCGCAATCCCAATTCCAATCCAATGGTGAACGTGTCAATATTTCTAATATTGACCTTCCTGAACCGGCTTTCCCTCCTATATCTTCAGGATTTGACAACCAAGACCCTCCATCGCAAGTTCCCCAGCCGCCAACATCGCTTCCACCTGAGAATATATGGTCTGAGCCGATGCATTTCTCGGCGATGTCGGATAACCAGATTGTTGATGCGGTCAATCGGGCTGGGACTGCATTCGGGTCATCAATTCCTGATGTCCCGCTTGATGATATGCTGAACTGGGATTGGCTTGATTTTGCGAATGCAGATTTTGGCTTATGACTACTGAAGATGGTGATTTTTTTGTTGTTTATTGATACCCATATTTTTGTGACTGTTTTATCTTTACGCTGGGTTGTATACTCTGAGAAGTATTAGTAGTAGCCTCGAGCAGCGTTAAGAAATTCATTTAAATTTCGCAGATCAGTTCATCGGGATGCTTTAGGCATAAACATGATTTACCACCGAAACCAAATGTACAGAGAAACGCAGTAACCACGCAATTCTACCCCATGTTTCCAGCATGGAGGTCGTCTTCGCTAGCCTCATAGTAAGCCGGGTCCTTGCAATGCTAAACAAGCATGGGTTGTCACAACAAAAGAGATATTTCATCTTGAAAGCGTAATATCCAAACGTCGTGGAAACATTGGGACAAACAAGAGCATGACCTGCCAAAAAAAGAACATAACGTAAGCAAAAAAAAAGACCCGAAACCAAACGACGTCAGACTCGGCACAGTCGGCTTCGGCCTCCAAAAGTAGCTCCGATCACCGAACCCAGTCAACAATTTAATAGCTCAAACTACTCCAACTTTCCCCCATTGTACTCTCCAAAACACAAAGCACAAAATGGCAGCGCTTCGTATCTCTACAGCGACATTGTCGCGTAAAGCAATCACAGCGAGCCGACCCCGTCTCTACCTCGGAGTACGCGCTGGCCTACGCCCTCTTCAGCCAACCAGCTCCACAAGCATTAACTCACGATACTCCACGACCGCACCGTTACAATCACTCGCGCCGAAGGTCGAGCGTGGTGGATCAAAGCTATTCAAAGATGCCGATGCTGCGGTCGCAGATGTGAAGAGTGGCTCAACGATTCTCAGTTCTGGATTTGGGCTTTGCGGGGTTGCCGGTATGTGTTGCGCCAACAAGGTACTTTTGATATCGGGAATGAGGGAGCTGATTTGATTTGATTTTCTGTATAGAAACATTAATCAATGCCATGCACCGTCGAGGTGTCGATTCATTACATTCCTTGACAGCCGTATCGAACAACGCCGGTTCCGCAGGCAAGGGCGGCCTTTCGACGCTATCGCAGAATGGCCAGTTAAATCGCTTGATTCTTTCTTATTTGGGCAATAATAAGACTCTTGAGAAGAATTACTTAACTGGTAAAATTGCTATCGAGCTTTGTCCGCAGGGGACTTTGGCTGAGAGGCTTCGTGCTGGTGGCGCTGGTATTCCGGCATTCTTCACGCCGACTGGTGTTCGTATGTATACATCTCTTCATTTGTTTGTCATTGAGAGTAGATTTCGGTGTATTGACATGGAACTTTTAAAACAGACACTTTCATCCAGGAGGGTAAGATCCCCGTGCGCATGGATGAATCTGGTAAAGTCCTTGAATCGGGCAAGCCGCGTGAGAGTCGGGAGTTCAATGGCAAGACTTATCTGATGGAGACTGCCTTGACGGGCGATGTGGCAATTCTTCGGGCCTGGAAGGCGGATGAGGCTGGTAACTGCGTGTTCAGGTTCGTTCTTCATCAATTTCTCTCGTACGAAATGTATACGGAAAGGGCTAACTCGTATCGCTCTTTCTTTAGATACACGACCAAGGCATTTGGTCCAATCATGGCCAAGGCAGCAACTCTCACCATTGTCGAAGCCGAGAATATCGTTCCTGTCGGCTCTATCGATCCCAATGATGTCGATTTACCCGGAATCTTTGTGGATCGTATTGTGCCCGCAACAGACGAAAAGCATATTGAAAATAAGAAGTTGCGCTCTGACGAGGCTAGTGCGACTGGGTCTGCTAGGGATGCAGCGCAGATTCAGAGGGAGCTTATTGGTCGGAGGGCTGCTAAGGAGTTGAAACCTGGGTTCTACGTGAACCTTGGTGTTGGTATGTATTTGTAGCTCTGTGACGGCTGTTCGTGGCTGACTTGCTTCCAGGTATTCCCACTTTGGCACCTTCTTTCTTACCGAAGGATGTGAAGGTTTGGATCCAGTCTGAGAATGGTATTCTGGGAATGGTAGGTTCAACAAATGTAGGGCTTTGAGATGACTTCTCTAACTCGTTTGATTTAGGGCGACTATCCCACTGAACAGGAAGTGGATGCGTATGTCTTCCAGCTATCCATTTAATATCTTATGATCTAACATGCATACAGGGATATCATCAATGCAGGAAAGGAGACCGTCACTCTCGTCCCTGGTGCTGCTACATTCGACAGCACCGAGTCCTTTGGCATGATCCGAGGAGGCCATGTTGACGTTTCTATTCTTGGGGTTTGTAGCCCCATTACGACCAAATGATTATCTGCTGACAAGTTCAATAGGCTCTTCAAGTGAGCGCTAATGGTGATTTGGCAAACTACATGATCCCCGGAAAGGTATTCAAGGGTATGGGTGGAGCTATGGACCTTATCTCAAACCCAGACAAGACCAAGATTGTGGTTGCCACTAGCCATGTCGCTAAGGATGGATCACCCAAGATTGTGCAGAAGTGTAGCTTGCCTCTGACTGGTGCTAATGTTGTCAGCACTATTATAACAGACCTGGTACGTGGTGTGATTGAGTATGAAGAACAGCGGCTGACAGTTGTATAGTGTGTGTTCCAGGTTGACAGAGCTACCGGAAAGCTCACGCTGACGGAGCTCGCTCCCGGCGTTGAGGTTGAAGAGGTGCAGAGCAAGACGGACGCTGAGTTTGCGATTGCTGACACGCTCGAGATCATGGAATAGATATAAACAAGCATGCATTTGGCATTTTCGAGGATATTTACATTTATTGTATATTGAAAATTTACCACATAGACAAACAAATTCAAACATATATACTGAATATAAAAATATAAACACAGTAAGCTAAACCATTAGCCTACCGAAATCTAAATCATCTGAAATCTACAACTTCGCCCGCCCAGGAGCGAAATTCGAGCCCTCTCCTCGCCCAATAGCACCCACAATAGCATCAACACTTTCTAAAATCCACAAATTCCCCTCATCACTCGCCAACCACTTAGCCCCAGTCTCCCCCTCAACATCCCCAACCCAAGACCCATCCTCAATCGCCTTCCTCAGACCAAAAACGTGCGAAGTAACCTGAGGCCCAACCCCACTCTGAGCCCTCAAACAAGCAACAGCAACAATAGAAGTCAAAACCCGACCCGCGGAAGTGCCCCCAAGCCTCTCACGCACGGGATCAGAAAGCAAAGCCCCATAGTTGGCATGCAAGATATGAACCGGCAAATCGGGGTGCGATTCAGCGAGCTTATCATACAACTTCGTCTCGAAGGGTCTGTAGATCGAATCCCAAAGCGCGTGGCCGCGTGCGCTTATCCCGGAAATGTTATCGGGTGTCGGTGCGCGTGTTGGGGTGCGAGTTAACTTTGCCGTTATTGACTCTGGGAGGCTTGCGCGGAAGGAGCCGAGGCAGTTGATCGTTCTAGGGATGCCGTTGAAGGAGATGCATTTCAGTCCGACTTCGCGCATTAATTCGGCTGTTTCGAGGGATTGGGTTGGTGTTGTTGTGCTCGCTAGGTTGTACAGCGCTGTTAGGGATTCCGGGGAGTTCATTGTCATTGTTGCTGCGGTCTAGGTCGGATTAGTCAATTTTGTTGACTATTTTCTTTGTTCCTTTTTGCTGCATGTACTCACGGATAGTGCGACCCATGATGGCTGCGAGATCTGTTTCGCTTGCGCGGTCTGCTGGATCTTCTGGTAGACCGAGGTTATGTTGGCTGGGGCGGGGACGGTGGATGGACGGGCGGCGGGGGCATTGATTAATGCCTTGAGGCTGGCGGAAAGTTTCGACATCTCTACCGATGAGCGTCTTCTGGAGGGATGTCGGGCCATTAAGAATGCGGATTGGAGTCCAAATCTCGGGCCCGATGATGGAAAGAGGATCCCGGAGGTCAGAAGTGGCCGCCGAGCGATACCGGGAGTCAGCAGTAACAAAACGGTACTCGGTGGGTGGTATTACGGTAATATTACAATGGCTCACCAAAATCCGGGGTTTTGCGGGGAACAAAAGAGGTCAATTAGCCTTTTCTGCTTGTTGGGTTGCTCGGCCCCAGATGTAGCGGCCGACGAGTTGGCTTGGGCCTATTTGTGTGCTCATCTTCCTCCACATTCCTCCTTTCTTTCTTTCCATTCTTGAATCTCTAGTTTTCGATTGACAGACTGCCCAGAAAACCAAGACTTGTCCTGCGTCGCCAAGATTTCATTTACCCACTTTATGGATTCCAAATCGAAGGTGGAGGAACTGGAGGAGGCAAAGCCCACCCCTCTCAATCGATATGGCGACCATGCGCAACAGGAGAAACTAACGCGGAGGATACTACTGAAATTGGATACGCGGTTAGTCTTGCACCTATCAATCCAAAGACAGCGGCTGATAAATTGCTTCTAGAATTCTTCCTATGCTGGCACTGCTGTTTCTGTGTTCTTTTCTTGATAGGACAAATGTCGGCAATGCGAAGATTATTGGCTTAGAGGAGGACCTTTCTATTTCTGATCATCAATACGACGTTGGTTTGGCTGTGTTCTATCTTACCTATATCTGCAGGTGCGTTTGTTCCAGCCATTATACCAGGCGATTGACAGCTAACCTGTATGCAGTGAATTGCCGAGTAATCTGGTGCTAAAGAAGGCATCGCCAAAGCTTTGGCTCCCATTTTTGACGGCTATCTGGGGTATCATCACCATGTGTCTTGGGTTCGTGCAAAACTTCGCTGGTTTTGTGGCTGTTCGCGCATTGTTGGGTATTGCGGAGGGTGGCTTACTCCCGGGAATGGTATGTTCAGGGCAGAGACTGGAAATACGGAAGCTCATTGAAACAATAGGTGTTATATCTGTCTACATTCTATCGAAGGGGCGACCTTGCTCTACGAATTGGTCTGTTTTACACAGCTGCTTCTTTGTCCGGTGCATTTGGGGGTATGTTCTTCTTCTACCAATGACCAGCTCCATACTGACTGATTAGGTCTTCTTGCCCGTGGACTAGCTGAAATTGGACCTCGTGGAGGTTTAGAAGGCTGGCGCTGGATCCTTATCATCGAGGGACTTTTGGTTCGATGTTCAATCTCAAAAATGGCTAGTGTAATTGCTAACAAACGGCAGACATTCCTCTGCGGAGTCCTGAGCTTCTTCGTCCTTCCGAACAGCATAGAATCAGCATCTTTCCTGACTAGCGAGGAGAAAGAATTTGGCCGGGAGAGATTGATGCTTGATAATCCCAGGACTGTAGAAGGGTAAGCCATCATCTATACTTGATTTTACGCCACTAACAAACCCAGAACCCTAGCATCAGAAGCAGAATCTTTCAAATGGTCAGAAGTCCGCCGCGGTGTCCTAGATCTACAAGTATGGCTCTCCGCAACAGCTTACTTCGCCATCCTATCAGGCCTGTACTCTTTCGGTCTATTCGTACGTACCCACTCCATCTGGATCCACGTCTCTCTCTACACAAAAAAGTCTTTGACTAAATAAATACAGCTCCCAACCATAATCAAGAATCTCGGCTTCGCCAAAGATGCAAACGAAGTCCAACTCTGGTCGGTGATCCCCTACGCCGTCGCAGCAGCAGTCACCGTGGTAGTGGCAATTATTTCGGATCGTCTTCGCCTGAGAGGTGTCGTCATGCTATTCACCCTTCCAGTTGCTATAATAGGCTACGCTGCCATCGCCAATATTCACTCGCCGCGCGTTCAATATGGCATGACTTTCCTCATGGCCACTGGAATGTACGCTAGTGTGCCTTGTATTCTGGTTTGGTTGTCGAATAATTCCGCTGGACATTATAAAAGGGCTACGACTTCGGCTATGCAGTTAGCTATTGCCAATGCTGGAGGTTTTGTTGCAAGTATGTCTCCCTATGTTCTATTTTCTTTTGACTTTCTTGATATAAGTTCATGAGGTTGACAACTGGTATTTTAGCCTTCAATTATCCATCCAAGGATGGCCCTCTCTTCCATCGTGGACATACTATTATTCTTGGCTTATTGTGTTTCGCTTGGTTTATGTGAGTTTATCCATCCTTTACATTGCAGGTCATGGAATTCGCATAAATGCTGATATTATATAGGATTCTACTTAACGTGCTCTACTGCGCGAAAATTAACCGAGACAAGAAGAATGGCAAATATGACCGGTACGCTGGTTACAACGACGACCGGAACCCAGAATTTATGATGATCCTTTGAACTCATATTGAAGTCCATCTATAGCTCTAAGTTAATATGTGTATGAAGCAAATTACGAGTCCAATGAAAACGCACTTGCACAACAAATAACGGATCATAAAACGTCTTGTCATTTCTCGCACGTGTAGTTCCATTTCGAACACGCCATAAGAATAAAGAAACATATTGGGTTGAGACTACCACGACCACCAAGAACTATGCCACCAAACCTGCCTCGTGGCCCCCTTCAAATCATCAGTACTAATGACATCAACATCCTCACTCAAGAGAAAGTCCCACACAAGGTTCCTGAGTCCAATAGGCCAACTCGGATTTCCCCAGTATCGAACCTTCAACCCTAGTTCATGGGCAGCCTGGACTTGACCCCGGAGCGTTTGGAGCTGTGTATCTGAGAATCGACCCAACTGGAGAGACCCGATTGCTTTGCGGAAGTCGACAGAAGCGTAATAACTGTTATTCGGGTTGAAAGGTGAACCCAGAAGTCGTGCATTTGGGTCATTGTGCACAGTTGTAGTTCGATTTACTGTTTCATCCACCGTGAATTGCGTGAGGTGATCAAGCGGTGCATCAAAGAAGACATCCCGATACGTCGCACTTGACAGCACATCCGAAAATGAAATATTACCACTGGCCACGACCGTAATAGGCCGCATGGACACACCACCAGCGCTCTCATTGAAATGCGTCAAATACCCCCTCTCCCGAAGTGGCGCAAGCGCTTCCAAGAGAAGCGGCCAGAGTGCATCGCCGTCGGCTTTGGAATCAACAAGTAAAACGAGGGTTTGTGTTGGATCATTTGCGAACACGCCGAAGATGTCAACCTTGTTACCATCCTTGTTGTCATCCATATTTTCACCATCTGGAACCTCACTACTCGAAGGATGGTTATGCATATCAAGCATCGTGACCAGAGGGTCCAGATAGAGACTTTTCAAGGATCCACGTAGCACTGTGTGTTTCGAATGCCCAACAAGTATCTCATCACGCCATGGCCAGATGTCAACCTCGACGCTGATACATCCCGCCGAGAGTGCTGAGTGGAGGGGCACGTGGCGCCAGTGATCGTTATGGCTGTGGCAGCGGACTGGAGTGACGCCGTGCGTAGACCAGTTTGAGTATGGGGATTGCTTGGAAGGGTAGGTGATTAGCTCAAGGTCTTGGAGGTGGGCCTTGAAGTTCTTGGCTAAGAGAGCGAGGAGGTTTAGGATACCACTGCTAAATGAGTAAGTTTGCCTTTAATGTTGCATGCTTTTGTCTTTTTGTGAACTTGTGTGAACTTGTGTGAACGAGGGAGAAGAGAGGTTGGGATAGGATCAGAAGGCACGTACAACATCACAATCAAAACCCACAACGGCCGCTGGATACCTCTGCAAAAGATCGCTCTTGCAGATCGAGGTTCGGCCATGCAAAGCGGATGAGAGCATGTCCAAATCGAGGACATGCTGAGACAGCTAATTTTCATTTCCAAATGGTCTTTGGGTTGTGGTTGAGGGAGATGACTGGGATGGGCGTTAGGGTTGGGTTGGCCACTGCGCCAAGAGGACGTAGAAAGCTTGGCTGCGGGTGGGAAGCTTGGGATTAACTTACAGAGGCACGCTCTATTGGAGCGCATACGCAGATAAACGTGTACGTTCACGTACGGGGTGATGTCTGAGTGGGATTTGAAATGCATCTGCCTAGGGGGACGACGGGTTGTACAGGATGCGTGTTTAAATATGGTTTTAATTTTATGTACTCGCCGGGACTTGATAAGGGGCGCGAGGTGGTTCACTAGAAATACTTGATACTCATACTTACTCTTAAAAGATACACTATCGTTTAGTTTTCCTCGTCGGTTTCTTGCGCGGCAGGCTTGCGGGGCGCTTCTTTGCCGGCGAAGCTGGCCAACATACCCAGGTCGTAGACTACCTTCAAGCATCCTGCAATCATGAAGGAGACGCCGAAGAGACCGTTACGTGCCAGGATACCTGTTAGCAGGGGGCCCATACTTTGGCTGGTTGTCTTGACCACGTTGACGGCTCCCATGATAGCCGTGCGCTTGTCTGCGGGGAGGGCTGCTGCAAGGAACGCAGAGCGGGGTGCTACGTCCATGCTCTGGGAGCTGGCTCGTAGAACGAGGAAGGTGAGGGCCAAGGGGAGACTAGATGGAACGGAGATCAAAGCCAAGCAGATAGCCGATGGGAGATGAGTGAAGACCATGGTCTGCGATAGTCAGCAATTGATCTGTGGGAGTGAAATGATTACCTACCTTGACATTTCCAATACGCTTGGCGAGAGATGTTGCGACCAGCATGGAGGCGGCGGAGATAATGTTTGTGGTGAAGAAGATTGTTCCAAGCTCGCCCTCGGGGAGAGAGAACTTGCGCTTGAAGAAGTATGTCATCCAGGATCTGCAATAGTCAGTGTTGGCCAATTCATCACATCGAGATACTCACAGAGAAGCTAGTCCAGAGGCAAATGCATCCAAACCGAACAGGATAAACAGTCGAATAACCAGCGACCACAAGTCCTTTTCGATAGACGCAAATAGGCCTTTCTTCTTAGGTGCCTCCTGCTGCTCAGGGGTAGGATCCAGCAGGGCGCGGGTTTCACCACTTTCAGGAGCATCCTCTTTCTGAACCTCGACCTTGCCACTCAAACCCAAAGTAAGAAGGAGCTTGACTATGCCAACACCGGCATAGACGAAGAAAATAATCCGACAGGCGGGAATAAACTCCCAACCATGAATGGACTCCAACGAATTAATAATCCAGCCACAGACCAGCATGCCCAATGCGGAACCCGCAGTCCCAATAAGCGAATACCAAGCAAAAACATCACTTAGTTTTTCATGAGGCGTGAGATGCGCCAAAGTCGACTCCTCCACGGCGCGGAAAGGACCGATCTCATTCCCACTGCCAAGAAGTTAGCACTGCGCCCCACCAGATCAGATAAAAAAAACGCGATCAGCTCAGCTCCAGAAAACTCACCTCGGACTGATAACACCAAAGACAGCCGCAGCCAAAAGCGCCCAATAGTTGCCGAAGAAGCCAAAAACGAGCCCGCTGCCAGCCATCAATGCCGATCCAAGCGATAAGACCGCCTTGCGACCCATCGCGTCGGCAAACAGCGTCAGGAAGAAACTAATCACCACATCGCCGACCAGCGTCAATGTCATGAATAATCCAATGCGATCATCTGAGTGTCCAATGGCGGATAGGTATGACGCGAGAATGAGGGTTGAGCCGCCGTATGCGAAGAGTCGGACGAATCGCTGGGCGCAGAGGAGCTTGACGTCCAATGTGGAGTGCCACATTGTGACGAGGCCAAGCTCATTTAGAGCATTGGTGAGGAAGCCCATTTTGGTGAGGTGAGGTGAGAAGGTGAAGAAGAGACGAGAAAGAAGACGGGTCATTTAACTCCGAGAAAAAGTTCGGGGTTCGTGCCGCCTTCGGCGTTCATGTAAGCTTTTGGGTGTTTTTTTCTTGCTGCCTGGAAAGCTGATGGATGGAAGAGGGTCTTGAGAGTCTTGAGGGTCTTTTCTTTGTTTGCTGATTGGTTCACGGGTTTTAATCTGATTAATCTGACGTATGAAAATAAATACTGGGGGATAGACAGGGCTTCGTGCCGGTATGTCATTCTACTTAGTATAAGCTGTAAGTTATAAGTTATATACTTGGCATTAACTTACTTGATTTACTCGGTATACTTGCAAGAGAACACAATTAGATGGTTATATACAAGGACACGATCTCCTTCTAGTTTTCTGTCTTAACAGGCCACTTCACCCGCCGCTCAGCACGAACATACAAATTCGTCGGCCGAATCAACTGGAACATAGGATCATACTCGACAGCGCCATCATTCTCACGCGTAAAGCGATACCGATACAGCAGCTTGGGGAGGAAAACCTTGACCTCCTGCAGCGCAAAACTGAAACCAATACACATCCTAGGCCCCGCAGCAAACGGCACATACGCAGCCTTATGTCTGTTCTTGACATCATCCGTATCCCATCGATCAGGATCGAAGCGCGCGGGGTTGTTCCACACGGCGGGATTGTTGTGGATGTGGTGTAGGGCTGGGATGACGATTGCATCCTGGGGCAGCTTGTAACCGCCGGGCAGGATCATGTCGACGCGTGCTGTACGTGCCGGTTGGTAGGAAGGGTTGTGGCGGCGTTGGGTTTCCTTGATGAATTTGTCGAGGAAGGTAAGACGGTCTGTGAGGTCGGCGGTCATGGGCGTGTTTTCATCAATGTCGTTGTCGATCAGTTCTTGAAGGAGGCGCTCTTGCATTCCTTCGTAGTTGACCAGGGAGTAGAGGAGCCAGGAGAGGAGGGAGCTTGTTGTGGTGAAGCCTGCGCCGGTGGCGACGACTAGGGCTTCCATTAGACTGGTTTTGGGGAGTTTTTCGCCTTTGTTGTCTGTGGCGCGGATGATGTAGTCTGATCTATGTTAGTACGTTTTCTATTTTCCACCCTTTCCTTCTTGAAGTGGTAAGTTAAATGTCACGTACCAATCATGTTATCCGCCTTCAATGCAGCATCCTGTAACGGCAAATCTTCAACACCACCCCGGGAAGCATTGGCAATAGACTCGTTGACCATTTCAATAATGCGTCCACGGGCATCTCTCAGCCGTTTAGGATCTCCAAAGGGCATCTTGGCATACCAATCACCACGAGCAGTAACCTTCTTGTTAAGCTCCAATGACTCCGCAATGCGGTAGACAAGTTCGTGAGGCGGCGCATCAACAGCAGAGAAATGCTTAAAGTCCATACCAAGAACTAACTTGCCAACGGCCTGCGAACCCAGCTTAAGCATATACTGGTAAACGTTCCACGCCTCACCACGCTCATCAAGCTCGTCAAAGACGCTAAACGCATCTTCGACGGTCTCCTGCATGGTCGGCGCATAGTGTCGCACAGCCTTCGGTCCTAATGCCGGAGGCAGGAACTTGTGTGCTGCACGCCATTCTGGTGTATCGGTGTCACCGAGGAAGACACCTGCTTGCTGGTTCTTGATTGGGTGGAGGGGTGGCCTTCTTGAATCTTCTTGGTGAAGAAGTCTGACTCGGCGAAGACGATTGAGGAGAGTTCTGGGTCGTTGGTTTGGTATACTGTTCGGCCCATGTTTGTTGTGCGAATGATCGGGCCGTACTGATCGAATAGACGCTGGTGGTTGCCCAGGTGGTCTGGGTAGATCTCAAAGAAATTGCCTACGAAGGGGAGGCCTTTTGGTCCTGGGATTTCTCGGACGGATTTGCCATCTATTGAGATGGCGATTGGAGTTTCACAAGCCAGCAGCTCTGCTGGAGTGCTGAGAGTGGCATCTTCGGTTTGGAAGCCAATGCCTAGGTTTCATTAGAAATGTTGAATGGGAAATGTTGGTGGGTATTTTACCGTTTGGCTCGACGATTGCAAATTGACCGGCAATTAATAGCTGGAGGCCTTCGATATCGGTGTTGGACTCGATATCAACGCCTCGGGCTGAGGTGATGGCCTCGCCCAGCAAGTAGAACTGTTTCGCAGGCATTGTATAGATGGGAATAGTGCGATTGCAAATTTGTTATCAACCAGGGCCCGCTAATATTTATAGGAATCATGCCATTTGGAAAATATCCATTGAAATTGCATAACTCCACCGAGTCCAATGGTCCAAATCTCATTCGTAATTCCCATTGCTTAGTGAAGTATGTAGTTAGGGGTCATAACTCCAAACAACCTCGGTCCGTTCGATGTTTTAGACTCAAGACCCACCACCAACACCCTTATTGGCCGGAATTTAGATATCGGGATCCCGTCTCTTGTTTTCGTGTCGGAGATCTCTCAAGTTTGTGCAAAGACCGACGATAATTGTGGTTTCGGGCTGTCGCGTTCGGCACCAAGTTGCCGTTGAACGGATAGGGCTCCACTTGTTTCTTGACGGAGGCCGAGGTTGCTATCTCACTGCATTTTATGCAGGAGTGGATGCTGGGTAATTTCTTGGGTTTGATTTGCTTTTAAGGTCTTGGTCCCTTGGGAATTTATTTCGTGTCATATCTCTCACAATGCCCGTCCCAGAAACTAAAGAGCTTCAGGCTGAATGGAAGGCCGATGTGGTGCTTCCGGAGTATACATTGAAAGATGTTGCTGCACACAACACAAAGGGTGATACCTGGATGGTCATCCATGGACAAGGTATGTTGAATTAATAGATCTGCAATACACTCACTAACCTGTCACAGTCTTTGATCTCACTGAATACTTGCAAGATCACCCTGGAGGTGCAGAGGTCTTGGTCGAGGTAGCCGGTACAGATGCCACCGCCGACTATGAGGATGTCGGTCACTCCGAAGATGCTCGCGAAATTATGCAGCCTTTCCTGATCGGAACATTGAAAGACGCCCAGCAGTACGTGCGGCCTAAGGCAGTGCGCGTGGTCTCGCAAAAGACAGAAGAAGCCACTCCCTCTTCATCAAAGGCTCTCCCGGCCATCGCTGCTCTGAGCAGTCTGATTCCAGTCTGTTACATTCTCAACCGCACCAATTACCTGAACAATGGTTTGGGTGCCATCTCCCAACTCATCCCACACCAAATCAAAAGTCTCCGCCTCCCGCACGGTGGCTTCATCAATGGCTTCTTAGCGGCCAGCGCCATCTCCACAGTAGTGGGAATATTTGCCGCTAAGCAAGCCAACCGCTTCACGAAAATCGACTCAGGCTTCATGCGCTACCCACCACACATGAAAGCCAAAAAAGTAATTCGCATTGACCCCCATCTCACCCGGGGCGTCCTCGAACCCCAAACCTACCAACGCCTTCCACTAGTCGAAAAGACCGAACTAGCACCCAACGTCTACCGCTTCATCTTTGCCCTGCCAACAAAGACAAGCGTGCTAGGCCTCCCCATCGGCCAGCACGTGGCTATCCGCGCCAACATTGACGGCACAACCGTCACTCGCTCCTACACCCCAACATCCAACAACACAGACCGCGGCCGCATCGAACTAGTAATAAAATGCTACCCTGACGGCCAACTCAGCGGCCAATACCTGGCCCACCTCCAGCTCGGCGATGAAGTCGAGTTCCGCGGCCCCAAGGGCTCAATGCGCTACACCAAGAGCCTGTGCAAGAAGATCGGCATGGTGGCCGGTGGCACTGGCATCACGCCTATGTACCAACTCATCCGGGCGATCTGTGAAAACGACACCGACACCACGGAGGTCAGTTTGATCTATGCGAACCGCAGTGAAGCAGATATCCTCTTGCGCGCTGAGCTTGAGCGCTTTGCTCGTCTCTACCCGAAGAACTTCAAACTTTGGTATTTGCTGGATTCTGCGCCTGAGGGGTGGGCTTATGGATCTGGGTATGTGGATCAGGAGGTGCTCAAGTCGCGCCTTCCAGGCCCTGCGGAGGACACGAAAATCATGTTGTGTGGGCCTCCTGGCATGGTCAATGCGACTAAGAAGAATTTGGTTTCAATGGGTTTCGTGAAGCCAGGGGTTGTCTCTAAGATGAGTGATCAAATCTTTTGTTTCTAGTTCTAGAATTGGTTAGGCTGTGGCCTGATACGGTAATTGCCGAGGTTCAAATTAAGGTGCATTTAAGTTTTTTGTTGGGATTTTTGAATTGACCAATGGGACTAAATGTGAATATCAGTTGCGGCCCCGTCGCCTAAACGCGTTGGTGTGCGGGTTCGAGAAAAATCTGCCGTCTCGGGGAGAGATTCCGAGTATCTGCGACGGGTTTTCCCGAAGTTATGAATGGTGGAGCTTAATCAGACAGAGATTGAGCCGAGGTCTGTTGGACTGTCAGATCTCCAAATACTCGGCGTGTTCCTTTCAAAGGGAAGAGTCGAAGTGAAGAAAGAAACAACCTTGGACAGAGTTGGCTGCAGCTAATGATAGTGGATCCCCAGCGGCCAATCAAACGATGCTGACCAAGCTCCCTCAAAGTCGGCAATGCTTGGCAGCAAATCTCTACACAAGGCAAACTGTTGATGCCAGTCTCTTACAACCTACAATCCTTCCAAAAGTAGATGATATCTTGATCTTTGTTTTATCTCTTACATTCATTTTGCACTCTGTATCTCACTGCTCAATCGCACCCAATTTGAATTTTCATATCAGGTCCCTTGAAAACATCCAGCCTCGACCATGTCAGGCCCCGGAATCAACGAGGCCGCTGTGCCGTACTCCAGCATGGCTGGCAAGCTAGACTCAAAACTCCTTCAGGCACTCAAGGTCATGGAGTTCGAGTTTATGACCCCCGTGCAACACCGTGTTTTGACCGAACTCCCTACCTGGCGCAGTGATTGTCTCGTTCAGGCCAAGACAGGAACTGGCAAGACCCTTGCCTTCCTGCTGCCTGCGTTGCACTGCCTTGTCCAAGGCCAGGCAACTCCTCCAAAGGGCAAGGTTGCCATCTTGATCATCACCCCGACGCGAGAACTCGCCCAGCAGATTGCCAAGTCATGTGATCAACTAACATCGCAACTCGCCACACCTGTCAGGTGTGATATCGCCGTTGGTGGAACCAACAGGGCACCTGCATTTTCTCGTTTTATGAAGCAGACTCCTTCCGTTCTGGTGGCCACCCCTGGTCGTCTGAAGGATTACTTGTCCGATGAGGACTCAGCGGAGAAGCTGTCCAACATCCAGACTCTGGTTCTGGATGAAGCTGATACCATGCTCGAGAGTGGATTCATTCAAGACGTGAAGCAGATTCTCAGACTTATTCCCGCTAAGAGTGCTGGTTGGCAGGGAATGTGTTTCTCGGCTACCGTTCCTCCTAAGGTTAAGGATGTTGTTAGTGTGGTCTTGAAGCCAGGCTACACCAGCCTGTCCACCATTGAAAAGAATGAAGCACCAACTCACGAGAGAGTGCCCCAATACCACGTCCTGATGCCGTCCGTGACACAAACATTCACTACCCTTGCTTCACTTCTCAACCTCGAAATCAAGACCAGCTCCAAAATCATTGTCTTCGGTGTCACAGCCAACATGGTTGCTCTCTTTGCATCTGTCTTCTCCCAGGGCTTGACTCCTTTGAAGGTATTTGAGATCCACTCCAGACTCAACCAGCGCGCACGCACAAGAACCACAGAAGAATTCAAGGAAGCCGAAGCCGGAATCCTCTTCGCCTCAGATGTCATTGGCCGCGGTATGGATTTCCCCAACGTCGACCTAGTCATTCAGATCGGCTTGCCCTCCAACGGCGAGCAATATGTTCACAGAGTCGGCCGTACCGCACGTGCCGGAAATGACGGCCGCGCCATCATCCTCCTCACCCAAGGCGAGTCTTTCTTCATGAACCAAAACCGCCACCTGCCCATCAAAGCTCACCCCGCTACCGCCGCCATCAATGCCGGTGCAGACGCCTGCGTTGATCCCGTCACCCAGGCTATGTACAAAATCGACGAAGAGACCAAGCAACGCGCCTACTCATCATTCATTGGTTTCTTCGCTGGATCAGGTCTTATGCGCCAGCTCCGTCTCGACAAGCCCGGTCTCGTCCAACTTGCAAATGAAATGGCCATGAAGGCCATGGCTTGCCCCGAGCCCCCCGCCATGGACAAGAAGGTCGTTGGCAAGATGGGACTGAAGGGCGTTCCCGGCTTCAACTATGCTAGCGCCAGCGAATTGGCCGCTAGACGCGGTGGTGGTGGCGGTGGTCAACGCGGCCGTTCCCGCTCGAAGAGCAACACCCGCGAGCCCAAGATCAAGGGTCGTGATGCCTTAAGTCCTGGTGCTGGTCAGCGTGACGGCAGAGGTGGTATTGAGAAGAGACGTGGAGGAGGCGGTGGTGGCGGTAGAGGCCGCGGTGGACGTGGTGGAGGTCGTGGTGGTGGCCGTGGAAAGCCAAGAGGAGATTAAATCTTTCAAACTGAGCGTCATCTCATTTCCCCTATCATGCCGTTGAAAAAAGAAGTATCTACATAGACTATGCAATTCCCCATGTCAGATTAGACAAAGACCCAAGCCGAAACAGCCGACAGGCTCATGAAGTCAAATACAATCAGGTTCAAACCCATCTTGTCAATCCATAACTCCCATATATGTATATTCGTCGCCCTTCCCCGTATCTTCGCCAATATTATCAATTGACCATATTACCCAGCACCCTCGGTGCCATCCCGAGGCCGGCTAACAAACGCAGTTGGCCCACTCCTACCCTTCTTAATCCTAACATGAGCCCCAGCCCCGACATCCATTGTATACCGCTCAATCGGAGAAAACGCCCCCTTCGCCTCCTCCGAATTAGGGTAAAGCTTCACCTTCACCTTAGCAGGAGTTCGCACTTGCGGATAAAGAACGAAATGCGGAGGAGGGGTCGAGCCTGGCGCGATTCGAACAGTTTTCTTTTTCTTCAGTGTTGGAGCTGGCTCTGCCGGCTCTTCTGGTTTGGGCTCCGCAGGCGCTGGTTCAGGTGGTGCTGGTTCTGGTGAGTCTCTCAAGGTCTTGGAATTCCTTCGATGTTTCCGGCGGTGTTCTACTATTGCTCTTGGGGAGCGTCGGTAGCAGCAGTATAGCAGTAGTAAGAGGAATACAGTGCCGAGTATTGAGCCTATTATTGCGCCTTTGATAGGGCCCGACAGGCCGCCGCCGCTGTTGTCGTTGCTTCTGCTGCTACTGCTATCGTCGCCGCTAACGGTGATTGTGTTGCTTGAATTGCTTTCCGGGTCGTCGGTGAACGCATAGCTTGAAGGTGGCGTGAAGGTAAATGATCTACCGGTTTTGCTAACAGAGGGTTCGCGGATCAGGACTTTCGTCGCGCGGGGACCAGACGATCCCGGTGTTAAGGCTGAAGATGTTGAATCTGGCGGGATGGTCTGGGAGAGCTGGTGTATCACAGGTGCCATCGCCCTACCAGTGATACAGATCTAGATGACATCCTAGGTGGACTCTCCGGTCTCCGAGGAAGAAAGAAGAGGAGAGAGGAGGGTTTAATTCTGGGCCAGCGTGGCAGGTACATATAAGCGGGGGTTTGGTTTGGACTATGGGCATTGTGCGGATTGGTGCATGATGTGCTCCGTACATGCAGGATTATTGAAGGTCGGGGTTTGTTTTTTGTTGTTAGTTCGCGTTATTTGCCCGGCTTACTAGGGGTCTATAGTGGGTGCGTTGCATGCGGGTGGGTTGATCTTAATCAATCACCTTGGAGCATTTTTGGGGTTTCTGAGTTGTTCATGCAGCTTATTATGTGTGTTGGTGCATTCCAGGGTGTTTTATTAGCTTGATTTGGGCTAATTGATTGGAACTTGAGTGCTTTGGCGCCATTGGCTTTGCTCATGTATTACTTGGGTTGCAGCGACTTCTGCCCAACGACTGGTTTCATTTAGGGCTTTCGGGTCATTCGGATTTTTCGGTCGTGATTTTAGAGACTGAAGAGATGCAAGTTGGATTCTCGGCAATTGGATGCGAGGGAAACTCCAAAGATAGAAAAACAAAAAAAACTCCATTCAAAGCGAACATAAGATTGGGCAAAAAGAAGAACTTGATATGCTCACGCACCGACTTGAACGATGGACCTCGGCATTACTAGTGCCGCGCTCTACCAACTGAGCTACGCGAGCTGATTGGTTTGTAGATGCCACTTCAAGGGTTACGAGGTTGAAAGATAGCCCAGCAAAAGAAAAAAACTGGAGCAAAAAAAGGTAGATTTGCTCACGCACCGACTTGAACGATGGACCTCGGCATTACTAGTGCCGCGCTCTACCAACTGAGCTACGCGAGCTTATTGGTTGATGCCTGAGGCACTATTTGTAAATATATCCATTTGATCTCATTTATTATTGTCAAAGGAATCAACTCTACACCATTCTTTTCAATCGCAAAAATGAGATTGTTTTATTGTACGTGGGTTTTCGCCTCAATACTGCCTCGCTTTAATCAAGATAGGCTGAAATTATGGAGAGTATTGTTCGGATGATGGTTATTTTTTAAAAGGACAATGGAGTGGGTACAGTGATATATATTCTCTCTCCTAAGGGCGTTACTATTTTCGGACTGCAAATTTGGCACAAGCTCTCTTGATATTTGAGCATAGGGAACACGTTCTGATCGCATGTGAGTGTATAAATACATTTTTTGACCGCATCTTCAACCTTTGAGCAGGAGTCCTGAAGCGACCGGCGGTGGTCTAGGCTTGGAGAACTTATACATGGAATCATGGGTACTAATGGGAAGACGAACAGGGGTATTGAAGCAGTATCAGTAATCCCTTAACCGTAATCTTGTGTTCGGGAATAGTGGCAACAAGCACGGAGTGGCCCGCCAGCGTTGGGTTGACTACTGTAGTCCAAAGAGACAGTGCAGTAAAAATATAAATCGATCTACAAGGCAACACTAGACCACAAGCCCGCCAAATTCAATCTGATTGTGAGACCCAGAGTAAAAGTTACGATATAGGACGAGGAAATTCCTATACCACCCAGGAAGAATGAAATGTAGAACAAGGCGTTGATGCTTAAGGACCTAAAGAGGGAAGATGGCTATGTTTCAACAGTAGCCTAAAGCCTTGAATAGCGAAAAGCATTGGAAGAGCAAGGTACAGATGGTAAGTGTAGAGAGCGGGCTAGGACTTGTTGCTTGAAAAGTAAGAGAACCATGCTCCTCTTGTCTCTCCTCACCAACGATGCAAGCGAAATTGAAGTATCAAACACACCAAGCCGGTGGAATCAGCTACTGGTCTGAGCACAGAATTGTTGATAAGGTGGCGGCAAGTCTCCCGTGACAGCCAGCTTTCCTAACAACAAGAATCACAATGCGACAAGCTGAAATAGCCTTCGGTTAGCGATGCTATTTATTACGCAAAGAAAGAGGATCCGGTATATACGTACCAAACAGCACAAGAGACGCCAATACCCCCTCCAGTATTGCAGTAAACGCAGTATTGGTCCCTATCATAGCATTGATCGCAGCTATCATAGCTGCAACCTCGCGCTTCGAGGCCGGAATCTCGTTGGCCGACAGCGACGGCGAGAATCACAGGCGCAGTCGAGAGGATGATAGTGAGGATACTGAAGAGTCTCATGTTTTGAACTGTTATGGGAAGTTAAGGGCAATTATGGAGAGGATGAAGTTGATATAAAGAGGAGCTTATATTCCAAGACCACAGAACTTTCTCTGTTTAAATAGTTTTATGAACTCACAAAACTACGACATGTCTGTCAACTGTACGCCTTATAACATACGTTGCTAGAGAAGGTGTAGCGAGCACTAAATCGAGTATATCCTTATATAGTGAGGGCGACGGGGCATCGGCTGGCGTGAACTCAATATCTACGTTAGGCCACCCTCTCTTTTGAGATGAAATGATAATTTAGCTAGGCGCCCGACACAGCCGCATCGGAAAATTTTAATCAGGGCAAATAGTGCGCTGATTTAGCTTTGTATCGAAGATCTTTCGATGCATAGAGCCTCTGATGGCAAATGAATTACATTCAGGCCTCCAATGCCAAGCAGTCTCATTGAGAAAGATTCTAAATTCACCGAATTTTCCTTACCCAATCAACTGAAAGAAATCCAGTCATTTGAGATTCATAAAAGTGGGTTAACCCCCCGCTGGCCTGTAGATAGAATCACACATACCTGGCCTGGTTCTACGTCCTCTCGGGGTTCACACAAATATCATTATTAAATACACATCATATGCTTTACGTTCTGCGCAACTGTGTCTATCTAAGCCAAGCCGTATTCTTTAATCAACTTCTCAGCACAAGTTGCGCCAGTCACATAGGCGACTGCTTGGACATGGGCATTGACTAAGACCGGCACAACGCCCATATCAGCGATCCGCAGATTTTCAATACCCATCACCTTGAAATCAGGATCGACAACGGCGTCAACGTCATCCTTTTTGCCCATCTTTGTTGTTCCTGTCATATGCCAACTTGATGAGATATTCTGGCGCCAATATTCCAGCAAGTCTTCATCCGACTCGCCTTTGGGCATGGCAAGCTCGGCCACATTATCCTTTGTATAAGCCTCATGTTTAGCAACACGGAAAGAATCTCGTAGAGCCTCAATCGCAAGTCGACGGTCGAATGGATGGGCAAGGAACTTAGGATTGAACAGAAGCGGAGCATCAGGGTCCGATGATTGAAGAGTAACTTCTCCACGAGTCTGGGCATTGAATAGGAAAACCAACAAACAAGAGTAGCTCAGAGCCTCAGCCGGGAAGTCCGGGATAAACCAGTGAATAGGGAAGTGTGTGATAATCTCGTAGTGTGGCACAGTCTCTTGAAGGAGATATCGCTGTTCATCTTCAGGGAGGGCCTTGAATTCCGACTTGGAAGCGAGCTGGTCAAGCTTGAACCAGCCGATACCCAATTCACAAGCAAACTTAGCCCAGGGACCGGTTCCATGCTCTTCCCATTCCTTCTTAGCGATATCCATGGCGGCCTGCGAGCCATAGAAAGCCTTTCGGTCTGTGCTGGTATCGGTGCGAGTGTTCACCATTGGGACGAAGCAATGGTCACGAAGTCCTTGGCCGACGGCGGGGGAATTGTGGACGAGATCGATGTTGTATTCTTGGAGCTGAGCAGCGGGACCGATTCCCGAATGCATCAAGATGCGAGGGTCATTGAGTGAGCCGGCGGATAGAATGACCTCCTTTGTGGCAAAGTCTGTGGAAAACAGATCGTTAGCATCCCTTTAGGCGAACAGAATAGGCTGGAAATCACATTTCTTTCCGTTTACTTCCACGCCAACAGCCTTTTTGCCTTCCAAGAGCACGCGCTGCACCGGTGAATTGGTAGCAATTGTCAGATTGTTCTTCTCCTTGTCATCAACCAGATCTTTTGCTGTTGAGCGGAGCCCTTGATAGGCAGAATTAATCAACACAGACATTCCAATAGGGTTACCCGAGTTATGATCGGGATTCAAGGGAAATCCAGCCTGTTCGAAAACATCCAACAGCTCCGGCAAGTCTCTTTCCCACTCGCGTGCAAAGCCTACATGCAGAGGGCCTTTGCTACCATGATCCTCTGACTGCGGATTGGCGTATTTCGTGTCCATACCCTGCGGTGTCTCGCCGTGAAAAGTCTCAAGATCCTTCAGCCTCTTCTGGATACTCTGCCACCCATAAGTATCATCACCAACGATGCGCGCCCACTCCTCATAATCATCGCGAGCACCAACACTATACACACCAAAGTTGATGGCGCTCGATCCGCCAACGCATCGACCGCGGCTGTAGTCAATTTCGCGGTTATTGCAATTATCTTGTGGGGTGGTCTTGTAACCCCAGTTCATGGACTGGTTTTGGAAAGTAATCCATCGTTGTCCATCCACGCGAAGATCACGATCCTCCTTTGACTCGCCCGCTTCTAAAAGCAAGACCTGTGGCTTTGCCGTTGAGTTGGCAAGTGTGGCGGCGAGTGAACTGCCAGCCGGGCCGCCTATCAGACATTAGCCAAGAGACATGCCAATGGTATTTGGGAAAGATTCAGAGGTTTGGTGCCCGAGGAGTATGATCTAAGTTTAGGATACCATGGTAGGAACTCGTAAACCATCTGGAACGCTCGGTAATAAGCCGAAACCTTATCTAAAGGTTATTACTCACTTCCAACAACAATAAAATCAAAGGAAGACATGTTCGCGATGCGCAAGAGTAAGGTGAAGAAAGACAGATAGGGATTTGCTACAAGTTAGCTCCCCAGGGACAAAGGCATATATACTTGAAACTTTCTCGAGCCGACGGGCTACCGGAAGGAAGCCGGAATCGCTTGGCCGTTAGGAATTTTAGTCGTCCATTGAGCCCCTTAAATGGGGCCGTTTCTCTCGATCAGCATTGTCCGTCAGTTCATCAAGTGGAGAAAGTTTGACAGTTCCAGTAAAATATCCCCAATTTTAGCTTCTGAGCCATGCCAATACTGTATCGTGTTTGGCGTGGCGACACATACCCCACTTGTCCTGCTACTGCATGGTGGATCTGGTGGAGAGACGTGCATGAAAGTTTGAAGATCTTGCTTGATATGGATCGCCTACAGTAGCGTATCAATGACACGAGTACGGAGTACGAAAACAGAGTTTCCATCTGCGCCTTGTCAATTAGATTAAAGTGGATCGGTTTATGGGCAAAAGTACCAGGGGGGCTTATGATCTTCAAAGAGACGGGATACAAGGATTCAGTCATGAAGATCCCATTGAAGATTTGGGGGGCTTGTTTTTCTATGGTAACCTGACTTGATTCTTCACGCATTCTGTCCTCTGGATTTTGAGCCATCGTGCACTCGTGGAAATGCCGAGTAATGTCGAGGCTTGGGTCTTGCTATCTTTAGCGCTATTCACAATCATCGTTCGTATCTTTGTACGATGGAAGCTTGTCGGACCTGCCAACTTTCAGCTTGATGATTATCTCATGCCCTTGGCGGGGGTATGTTTCTACCTCTTGTTATGTGCGTTGCATGTGCTAAGAATATTCCACGCAGATTGTGTTTGTATTGGAAACAGTAGCAGCGTATCTCGTTGTCGCCGATTACCAGGGCTTGACAAACAGTTATATGACAGACGAAGAACGGAAAGCTGTCGATCTAAGCTCTACTGAGGCACATAATCGCGTTGCTGGATCAAAGATTCAAATTATTGGATGGTCACTATACGTCGCGATTCTTTGGCTGGTCAAGCTCAGCTTATCTGTTTTCTATTCTCGATTAACGTGCGGCACACATACTTCCCTCAAACATTACAGAAAAATTGAATTACTGACCAAACTGCAGAACCGGTCTTCAAAGCCTCCCAACCCGTGTTCGACTTGGGTATGTCATTCTAGCTGTGACGTGGACTGCAACACAGTTGTCTCTTCTGCTTTCATGCCAGCCTTTCCATGCCTTCTGGCAAATCAACCCTAATCCCGGCCGTAAGTACCCCCGGTTTTGACAGGCAAGACTTTAAAACTTAACCCAATGCGCACAGAATTATGTCAGCCAACAAACTCCCCGGTCTACGTTTTGGTCGTAGTGATACTCAACATTGTCACTGATCTGTACCTGCTTTCAATCCCACTACCTTTGCTATGGACAGTCAACATCAGTTTGAAACGAAAAGTTCCTTTGATGGCCCTCTTTTCGGGGGCTGCATTCGTCATCACAGCGTCAATTATCCGAGCTGTGACTATTATCAGCGTAAGTTTTTTGCCAGTTGTATCCTGTGCTTTACATTCTTTCTGACAGATCATCCACAGTCGGGCCCAGATGGCGCCTCTGCGGGCTCTAAATGGGCTTGTCGCGAGACGTTTGTATCAATCGTGGTTTCTAATCTGCCCATCATCCAGCCTCTTCTTCGCAAGGGGTTCAAGAAGATTGGACTCTCCCAACTCTTCAGTTCCTCAGGCAAACAATCGGGACAGACTTACCCGCTCTCGGGGTTGAAGAGTTTGACAAATCGAGGTGACCGAGACACCAAGAAGAGCAAAGTAAATAATGCCGGACCGACGCAGACGCAGATCTCCGCGTGGGGAAGTGATGAGCATATTCTCACTGAACCAGAGCCTACTTCAAAGGATATCACGGTTGTTTCAGAGACTGTTGTGCAAAGTGAACCATGGAGCTGGGAAGAAGCCAGTGGGAGCCATTCGACAACTCCACCGAAAGAATGGGGGGATAAATTGAGGGACCGTCAAAGTCAAATACATTGAAACTAGCGAATCAATGTATGTTATATACAATATCTCACTGGCACCTGCCATAAAATGTTCAGTAGTGGCATGGATGGGATGTCTCCATTACTGAAAAAGAATTTGGAACATATTGGACTCGATACTAATTATCAAAAAAATTCGAATTTCATGATATCTAGCTCTCTACTGTAGTGCGTTCACCAATTGTGACGAATCATTATATGTCAACTCAACTTACGGCTTGTAGAGCTTAGAGAAAAGAGTACGAAGGTAGCAAGGTATTTATTAGGAATGGAAACACAAAGTAGTAGTTAATAGAAGACGTTGTATTTGGAAAGTGTAGACAAATTAAAGATAAACACTTAAAACGATTAACTTGAAAGATGATGAGCTCTTTTGATATGGCATAGGAAGGAAAGTGGTCAGTCAGTAGAGAGATATTCTGAAGACGACGAAGACCTCTCTCTCCTTAAGGGAGACGTAGAAATATTTAATGTATTCTTCTAGACTACTGTAGATAGTCGAAATGGGGATTCAAAAAATACAAGTCAGTGGCGATCAACTAAACTTTGAATGCGTTTAAGCATAATAATATGAATCAAAAAAGAAAAGACAAAAAAAACATACAACAGTAAGGATTCGCTAGTGGTCACCCACCTAACTACTAACTTACCGGCGTGTGGCTTAAGTACGGCTGAGCGGACGGGAAGCCCTGTTCTCCACACCCTGTGGTCGTATGTGCTAGATAAACTGTTAAAGGGGGACATGTAGATCAAAAACTTAGTGACTAGCCAATAACGTATCCGGCAAGCGAGTGGTTATCTCCAAAACACATACTGTAGTGAATGCGATATATTATTTCACATACCATAATATAATGTAACTTTCACTGTTGATGGATAGGCATCGATAAACATTTTAAGTAGTATATATTAATTGCAAACTCAGTGGATGACTATTTTATTATTATTTCAAAAATGACCGAAAAGTACGTTACTAGAATCTGGAAATATATATCTCACTGAATCGTTGAATTCCTTAAAACTTCCTAAGCATACTAGATATTGTATAAGAATGAAGTGGATAGAAGAAGAAGTTCCTATAGGCAGCCGGTATTGAGATATAGAATTATAATATATCGCATTCACTACAGTATGTGTTTTGGAGATAACCACTCGCTTGCCGGATACGTTATTGGCTAGTCACTAAGTTTTTGATCTACATGTCCCCCTTTAACAGTTTATCTAGCACATACGACCACAGGGTGTGGAGAACAGGGCTTCCCGTCCGCTCAGCCGTACTTAAGCCACACGCCGGTAAGTTAGTAGTTAGGTGGGTGACCACTAGCGAATCCTTACTGTTGTATGTTTTTTTTTAAATCTCGTTTTTTTGGTAGATGAAAGATAGATAGATAAACCAGGGCATTTTCTCACAATCATAATAACACTACAAAACATTGATGTATGTCGAGTTAACAAAAGCAGAACGGCAAAGGACAAAATTACCTTTAGACCTACCCTACTCTTCTAGCACTACGGTCTCTATCCACTGCTTAAAGTGCCGCTGAACCGTAGTAGTAGCCCCTTCCAAACTTCCCGAGTCTTCAACCATAGCTAAGAAAAAACTATTAAGTATCTTAGGGGCTCCCGTTTCTTCTAGACTCTCGTAAGAACTGGTAAGTAGCCGACGCAGAAACTCGTCCTAGACCGCTTGACTCTAGTACGTACACCGGTAGATGGCAAAGCCGTAGGCGCGAAGGCCATTTTCACGGAGTTGCCGGTCGATCTCGTCGGGAAGGTACAGAATTTAGCTCATTAATCATGATCAACCTATGCGGCCAACTGGACTCCTCTGAAAGATCGCCTCCCAACAGATTGACGATTTGGTCCTTCAGCAATTAGCACACTGACAATGCAGAGTTTCAAAGAATTGAGAATATTTGGCTAGAAATTGGTTCGCCTGCGATTCTTCATCGGCTTTGGCGTTTTTCATCCACGCCCTTGAGGCTGCCGGAGTCGGTTTATAGATGAGATCCGATTATTAGGTCAGGTCTACTTTTGTTGAGCTCTCGTCGATAATCTTTTCATTGATCTTTTCAGTACTTTTTCCAATACATTTTAATCCTCTTTCAATACTTCTATATTGATACCGACAACAATAATAAGTGTTTTTAGAATAAAATCTTGAAGGATGTTTGAATGATTTTACTGGGTTTCTCATCGTATCTCCCATATTCAATTCAAGCTCCCCCCTTTCTCAACCATCCTCTTTACTTTCATCAAATGTTATTCTATTTGTGCTCCTTTATGTTGGAACGCTCCGTATACTTATTCTCACTAGTCTAGCCTGATCTCTATTTCTCCCCTATTAACTTCCTTCTCATATACTGTATGACCCCTACCCCAAGCTCCGTAGAGGAGGTGGCCTGTTCAAACTCCCAAGGCACCAAAAGAATTGTCAGAGTAATTCAACCTCAATGCTATTTCCCAGGTTATTAAACTATAAATCGAAGCAATGTCGAAAGACTGTGTTCGTATCATTCCTGTTGCGGCGATCACCTTCACTTCCAAAGACTGTTCTAGGCTTGAGATTGTCACCCGGCCTGTCCAAACCCGGGGACTTGCGAACTTCGACGTTCTGTTCTTGTATACATTATCTCATCATTCCATCATTTTATTTCTATTTTATTATCATCCGAACCTCCGTTATTGTTTTCGATTACCGCCATGACATCATGACATAATAGAGTGAGAGCCATGAATTCCGCGGCATATTTAATTCCTTTGCGTTGTGTTCAGATAATAAATTCGTATAGGCTTAAATAATCCTAGAGGCTACTCAATATTAGCCCAAGCTTTTTGACCGAAATTCCAACAGTCATGGCTCAACACAGTACAGCAATCCCGCTCACTCCCGGCGCCGTCCTCGGTCATCCCGATGTTCAAGAAAAATGGCCCAGAGACCCTGAACAACTTTTTGTTAACGGGATTGACAGCGGCGTATTCATTAATGAACTGGCAAACATTGAGCTTCTGCCGAGAAGGCTCAAATCTTTTAGCGACGGGGAGAAGAAGTCTTTTCACCAAAATCCGGAGAATTTACATTGGAAAGCCCATGAACAAGGGCCATCTCCAATCTCAGAAGGGACACATCGGGGTACAAAGCTTGCCCTTACCAAGTCCTATGAATTGATAGAGCAGCGGTAATTTTATCAGATATTTTAAGAAGCAAGCAGATCGTTAATATACTCACAGTTTCATGTCCTTCATGGACGCAGCGAATTTCGAACCATTGGTTCCATCACCTCTATCCAGGGAAGAGAAAGAGCAATTCTTCGCTTTCACAGATGGTTCAGACGGCTTCCCGCCCCATCTTAACCTCGCTGGAAATGTACCAGCAGCAGAGGCGGAAAAAAACAAAACCGAGAGATCAACGCTCCAGCCATCTGATCTGTTTAGTAAGATGCGCCTGCTTCAGTTGAGCTCGCTTTTACCTAGTGTGGTGCCAAATAAATGTATCAGAGGGGCTGCCAAGGTAGGCGCATGGGCTTGGTTTGGGTCTATGGGAACGCCCGATGCAGGCACCAAGCTGGAAGACGTGGAATCGTTTAACAGAAAAGCTCGTGGATCCTCGCACCGCAATGATATATTTGACCTACCCAACGTGGGTGATTTGCCAGATTGGTATAGTGATAACCGATTTTGCCAGCAGCAGTTCACAGGTACAAATCCTACAACTATTGAGCGGGCTTCAGATAGTTGGATCAACCACTTTGTTCAAGCTGCAAAAGCACCAGAGGATGCCGCGGGTAAGGAGAAAATTGTTGATCTCAATAAGAATTGCCGAGAGTCTTTGTACATGCAGGACTATAGCTACTTTCGCAAGGCTGCGGGATTGGACACGAGCGCATTCATCAAGTGTGCATTTGATGAACCAGACGAGAAGGATAAGGGCAGACAGGGTAATCGCTATGGCTGCGCGTCTGTCTGTCTTTTTTATCTCAACGATCAAGGCCAATTGTACCCGCTCGCTATTGTCCTCGATTGGCGCGGCAGTGCTGAAAACTCCGTGACGATCTACAATCGGGAACTGCTAAAGCGGACGGATCTCCATTCAGGTAGTGACAAGCATGACCCAAAGGTGAAGTCAATTGATGAGGCTCATGACTGGCCTTGGAGATATGGTAAGTTCCCGGCCATGACGACCCCGACACCCTGGGCTGACTTGTGGGATTCTGTATAGCCAAAACATGCGTGCAGTGCAGCGACTGGCTTCGACATGAAGTGACGGTGCACCTTACCAACACGCATCTCATTGAAGAGGCCACAATCGTCGCCTCTAACAGGCAACTCGACCCGAATCACCCAGTGATGAGACTACTCTATCCGCATTGGCAGAAGACCCTGGCAATAAACGCGGCAGCCAGAAACACTCTTATCCCCCACATCATAGTGGAGTTGATCGGGTTCCAACCAGAGGAAGCATATAAGTTTATCAAGCATGCTTATAAAACCTTCGACTTCAAGAATCGCTACGTGCCGAAAGATCTGGCACAGCGCGGGTTCCCTCCAGAACAACTCAACCACGAGAAGTTTCACAACTACGCCTATGCCAGATGTATATACAGCATGTGGAACAAAATTCGGTCATACGTCGAGGATATGCTGAGCCTGTATTACCAACAGCCTGGTGCCGACAAAAAGGTTCTACAGGACGAGCGTATCCAAGCCTGGTCCGCAGAAATGCGAAGTCCAGGCGGTGCAGATCTACCATCCTTCCCAACGATCAACACCTTTGCAGAGCTAGTTGACTGTGTAACGATGTGCATCCACATCGCTTCCCCGCAACACACAGCAGTCAACTACCTTCAAAACTATTACCAGTCATTTGTAGTCAACAAACCCCCTTGCCTGTACACGGAACACCCATCCACTCTGCAAGATCTACTCAAGTATACGGAGAAACAGCTTGTTGATGCGCTCCCTATGAATCATACGCGGGAGTGGCTTCTTGCTTCACATACGCCCTACCTACTCAGCTTCAAACCGGGTAACAAAGAAAGCCTGATTGTCTACGCTGCTTCAAAGTTTCGGGTATATCATGACAAGACGTCGAAGACAGAACAGGCCGTTGCGAAAGCGGCGGGGAAGTTTTACACGGCCCTTGCTGATAGTGAGGACGAGTTTAGATCTTACGGACAAGCAACGGATGACTGGGGAACCATCCCGTACGAGGTGTTGAGCCCAGAGTGGAATGCAGTGTCGATTCTAATTTAGCTTGTCGACGGGATCTTTTGGTTGGCCCCCATTTTGCAGCACTAGCTTGTTATGAATACGAAGGTCAAATACGGCAGTCTGTTACCGCCATTTATTCAAATTTCTCTTGTGCCATATCATTTTCGACACGTCTTTCTTCCCGTTTTCTATGCCACCTATAAATCCACGCAACCCGAGTTGAAACAACACCTCAACGGAAATCGGTGAAATTATACCTCATACTCCAATCATACTGAGAGAAGATGTAAAAATAGCGAAAAGAAAAAACATAAAAAAGTAATGTCCACTAACTTATATGTAGACGTCTATTGCTAAACTAAATCGTAGTCTAGCTGTAAGATAAAACCCCACTAGAAGCTGATCCTACAAGACTTTTTTTTTTCCAAAGAAGAGTCCTTTCAATAATGCACCTTTGTACTAATTGCAAAACATCCATATAGCCTACGTTAATAAGCGACTGACGGCAGAATATAGAGCGGCGGTCTTTTGAGCTGATACCAGTTGGAGGCTAAGCTGTTTAAGGAGGCTGTGACTAGGTGAGAATGAGGGGTCGTCTCGACTTTCTTCTCCGCCCACAACTATCTGCAAACATACTCATCTTCTGTGCTAATTACTCTCTCATACTTTTCAATTTTTATTCTTGCTCGTCTCGGAGAGCTTTGCGACCTGATCCGATCAAGACTTGCTCTTTATCTCAAAATGGAGACATCATTTGAGGCAAGGGTATCTCGCTTGCCAAAGCGACAAAAAATTCTCCACGATAGCGACGGGCTCACACTGCGACACGAAAATTACAATATCGCCTGGATATGCGCGCTCTATATCGAGATGGCAGCGGCTCGGGCCGTCCTAGATGAGATTCATGAACCTCTGCCGACGGGTGGGGACGACAACAACACCTATGTCCTAGGAAGCATAAAGGGGCATAATATCGTGATTGCATGTCTGCCCATGGATGCGTATGGGATAATCAATGCGGCCAATGTGGTGACAAACCTGAAACGAACATTCACCGCCATTCGTGCAGGCTTGATGGTCGGCATTGGCGGTGGCGTACCCAGCAAGGCTGATATACGACTGGGTGACATCATAGTTGGAACTAGGGTGATGCACACTGACCTTGGGAAAATCATCGGAGATGGAAAAATGCAGCGAACAGCGATTTCCAGGATTCCACATCAATTGCTTGGAACTGCCGTATCTGCCCTACGCGCAAAACACGAGCTCGAACCCAGCAAACTTTCGGTCATCCTCAATGAAAAGCTAGAGAGGCATAGTTATGGTCACCCAGACTCCCCAGATCGCCTCTTTCAAGCAACCTACAGTCATGATGACCCCATGGTGAGCTGCAAGGAATGCGATCAGTCGAAGCTGGTCCCCCGGAGCACCCGGGCATCCAATGATCCAGTAATCCACTACGGTGCTATTGCTTCGGGGAGCCAGGTCATAAAAGACAGCGTTTCTCGGGACCTGGTCGCTCGGGAATTGAATGTCATTTGTTTTGAAATGGAGGCTGCTGGTCTCATGGATATTCTACCCTGTCTCCCGATTCGCGGTATCTGCGACTATTCTGATTCCCACAAGAGTAAGGAGTGGCAAAAATACGCTGCGGGCACTGCGGCAGCGTACGCGCGGGAATTACTGGAGGAGTTGCCTGCCACAGAAGAAACAGAAGAACATGTTAGAGGCGCTCAAATACTGACAGCGGGTAAGTGACTATATTTGCATATGAGGAATCTTTGACTCACTTTTGCACACGGAATAAAGATCAGTCCCTATCCCAGGAGCGCCGAAAACTTTTGCTAGAATCCCTCAGATTCGAGCAGATCGATGCTCGCAAATTGACCATCAAAAAGGCCCACGCCAAAACATGTAGATGGCTTTTGGGTCATCCGGACTACCGAGCATGGTTGGACCCTGTCAAGTTGCCCGATCACCATGGGTTCCTATGGATCACTGGCAAACCTGGAGCTGGGAAGTCAACAATCATGAAATTCGCTTACTCGAGCATGAGGACAAAGAAAAACGCTGACCACAAGAACACTCTCATCGCATCCTTCTTCTTCAACGCCCGGGGCGGATATTTAGAGAAGTCTGTATTAGGCATGTATCGATCCTTGATTATCCAATTGCTCGAAGGGTACCCGGACCTGCAATATGTTTTGGATGATTCTGAGCTCAATCCTAATCATAGTCAGGACAGCAACATTTCCTTGAATATCCTCAAAGAGGTGCTTCACAAAGGGGTCCAAGCCCTTGGAAAACGCTCATTCACATGCTTTGTCGATGCGCTCGACGAATGTGATGAACAGCAAGTCCTCGACATGATTCAATATTTTGAGAATCTGACAGAACAGTCCACAGCCCAGGAAATCCCTTTCCGTATTTGCTTCTCTAGTCGGCACTATCCCTATATTCTCATCCGGTGGGGCACTCGCCTGACACTAGAGCATCAAGAAGGCCACACGGAGGACCTAGGAGCTTATGTTAGAGCCGAACTTCGGGCTGGCGACACAGAGATCATTGAAAAGATTCTTGAAAAGGCGGCTGGTGTCTTTATGTGGGTGGTTTTGGTCGTTGATATCTTGAACAGAGAGTATGCACGGGGTGCGATGTCCCCTAAGAGGAAACTTGAACAGATACCCAGTGATCTGAGTGCTTTGTTCAAGGACATTCTCAAACGTGACGATGAAAATATGGAAGAGCTCCTGCTCTGCTTTCTTTGGATCCTGTGTGCGGAACATCCATTGAAGCCGGAAGAGTTCTACCATGCCATTTGGTCCGGATTATCAATACAAGGCTTGGTCGATGATAGTCTCCCGGATGCTTCAACCAAGGACGCCAATGACAGTGTCTCTAGACCCCAGAGATATGTCATCAGTTGCTCTAAGGGACTTGCTGAGATCACAAAGTCTAAACAGCCATCCGTTCAGTTCATCCATGAGTCCGTCCGGGACTTTCTTATAAAGGATAGAGGCTTATATGAACTATGGCCCGAGCTTGGACTTGACTGGGAGAGTCTAAGCCATGAAAAGCTCAAAGATTGTTGCAACAATTATTTGGCACGCACAGACGCCCACGCATTTGTTGACCAGCTACCGCCAAATACAAAGCCACTCCAGCGGACAGAAGCATTGGATCGGTACCCGTTCCTGGAATACGCCTGTCAAAATGTCCTTCATCACTCCAACGCTGCAGCGAAAGTGGTCCCACAAGACAATTTTATTTCCTTTTTCAACCTCTCAAACTGGATTACCATCAACAATCTTTTTGAAAAGTCGAAAATTCGCGAATATACCCACAAGGCACCTCTTCTGTACGTGTTTGCAGATAGGGGATATCCTGAGCTGATCCGCATACAAGTCAAACATGACACTGGAATGCGTGCACTTGAGGAGAGATACCCATATCCGCTATTTGCTTCTCTAGCCAGTGGCGAGAAGGCCAGCACTGCGGCTCTCTTGGGCCTGTCTTCAACAATGTATGATGGGATCGATATCACAGAGGGCCTCACCCATAGGCAGGACCTAGGTCAATACAAAGGCCGAACTCCTCTTTCTTGGGCGGCACAGGAAGGCCGTATGGGGATGGTCAAGCTTCTTCTTCAAAGGGGTTTCGCCATCGACGAGGCCGATCCACGCCGAATGAACCCATTTACTCTGGCGATACGATCTAGACATAAATCTGTTGCTGAGCTTCTCATCACCACATACCCGGACACACGGTATAGTCACCGACAACGCTACCTTGACGTGGGACTTCTTGAAGCCACACGAGAAGGCTTGGAGACAGTGGTGAGACTTCTCATCGAAAGAGCAGCGGATATCAACACTCGCGACAATGATGGAAATACACCACTAGCTATTGCCTCAAGGGCTATTAGCGAGGAAGTGGTGAGACTTCTCATCGATAGAGGAGCGGACATAAACACTTGCAACAATAGTGGAGATACACCACTTGCTCATGCTTTAGACGCCAGGAGGGAGGAAGTGGCGATACTTCTCATCGAAAGAGGAGCGGATATTAACACTCGCGACAATAGTAGAAGAACACCACTAGCTATTGCCTCAAGGGCTAGCAGTGAGAAAGTGGTGAGACTTCTCATCGATAGAGGAGCTGAGATAAACACTCACGACAAAAGTGGAAATACACCACTCGCTCGTGCCTCAAGGGCTAGTAGCGAGGCAGTGGTAAAACTTCTTATCGATAGAGGCGCGGAAATCAATAGTCGCGACAATGATGGAGATACACCACTTACTCATGCTTTAAGGACTAGGAGCGAGGAAGTGGCGACACTTCTCATCGATAGAGGCTCGGAAATCAATAGTCGCGACAATGATGGAGATACACCACTAGCTATTGCCTCAAGGGCTAGTAGCGAGGAAGTGGTGAGACTTCTCATCGATAGAGGAGCGGACATAAACGCCCGCGACAATAGTGGAAGAACACCACTAGCTCATGCCTTAAGGGCTAGTAGCGAGGAAGTGGCGAGACTTCTTATCTATGAAGGGGCGGACATCAAAATTCGCGACAATGATGGAGATACACCACTTACTCATGCTTTAAGGGCTAGGAGCGAGGAAGTGGCGATACTTCTCATCGATAGAGGCTCGGAAATCAATAGTCGCGACAATGATGGAGATACACCACTAGCTATTGCCTCAAGGGCTAGTAGCGAGAAAGTGGCGAGACTTCTCATCGATAGAGGAGCGGACATAAACGCCCGCGACGATAGTGGAAGAACACCACTAGCTCATGCCTCAAGGGCTATTAGCGAGGAAGTGGCGAGACTTCTCATCGATAGAGGAGCGGACATAAACACTCGCGACAATAGTGGAAATACACCACTAGCTTATGCGTCAATGGGTAGCAGCGAGGCAGTGACGAGACTTCTTATCGAAAGAGGAGCGGACGTTAACACCCGCGACAATGATAGAAGAACACCACTATATTGGGCCTCAGTATATAGCTACGGCCGAAATGCGGAACTGCACAATCTTCTTATCAAAAGTGGAGCAGTTATAAATGCTAGCGACAGCATTGAGTACGATTCATCACCCCAGGCGTCGACAACCAACGTTGAGGATGCGGTCATCCAGAACACGTCTCATCCGCAGTGGAATCCATTTTTTCCCGAACCGATGACAAATGGCGATAACTCTTAAGATGTTTCTGGGCACCTCGATCCAGACACACAGAATGAATTGGGGTCGTTTTGTGGTCATTGTCCTGCCACTCCTGATTTCCCGTGTGTCGGATATCACACTATACAAAGACAACACCGCAGCTGAGAAACACGCATCTGGGAAATTCTCTACAAGCTACTGGGAATCGAATCGATTCTATCGACATAACGTCCAGTGACAACAAGCATGTCCCTCGCAGGATGCTGGCCCTGGCGCTATAAACTGAAATGGCCACTATCACTGGCACCGAAAACAAAACTCGATGAACATTCGCCCCGGATATGAATAGACTTTTTTATTCAGGATATATTCCCTAAACAGCTCATATGTAGGCATAGACATGCGAATCGTCGTGCCCAAGTACCAAAAGATAGACTATCTTCCAGAGTTCATACATTAGCTTAAAAGAAACAAATTCAGCAGCCTTTCCCCCAAGATCAATGCTAGGGAGCAGTAGTGAAGGACGCCAATGTAGTGGAGTCGAAGTAATCTTAAATAACCACGTATGTCTCCATTGCTTAAAGATCAGTTCGTCCGCAAAAAGGATTCGCTCGCGTATTCCAATATCATTAGTTCGTTCGTGGCGAATAGCCCACTTAGAAATATTATACTCAACTTTATCAACATCTATCAGCTATGCAAAAATTCCGACTCTTGGCAATAATCCAGAATAACCGAGATTGGGTATACTAGCAAAATGTGAATCGTACATAGCTACGAGACATCGATTCTACACTAAATTTCCCCAATGAAAAGAGTGAGAATCGTAACACATCGCCTTAGGCCTAAATTAAAGCCCTGTGGGCCGAGGTTAAAAAGGTCACCAAATCCACCCGTGGCGAAGGAGAATATGCTGCTCCTCAGTTTTCTTGTCCGCAAGGTATTTTGGCAAATTCCAGTCCATGTAATATGGCATGACTTTTGGTGGTAGCTCTCACCGGTGAGAATTGATAATGAAGCGCGGCAGCTGTCGTCATCAGGGTGGCAAACGTCATGTGAGTGTCATTTTTCGGACATGTCAGGAACAAGCGAGTGTGGCAATAGCGGCAACAAATCAACAGTTACCTACGTCTATATTAGGCTTGCTATATCTATGTGGTGGCAATAAATGTTGATTGGCGTGTTGTTCTCCTGCCAAGCCGTCCTCTGAATGGGAACTCAATTTGCACAATGAACACGCATGAACCTAATTTTACGTGGTCACATATTTGAATAAGCCCTATGGGAATTTCATTAAATTGAAAAATCCAAACTGATGATTTTGACCAGCATGAAGTCATCGACGGAGTTTCAGTGTCAGCATTCTGGGCATACGTTCGCCCAGACATATTGACTTGTCTAGACAACATCGTGAACTCCATATTGAACCCACTAGCTACACTAGGCGAACGGGAAAACGCTTGTTTATTGTGTAGTGTATAACTTTATTTCCCTGGTCAATGTTCTCGAACACAGAAACTCCGACATTTGAACCGAATTTTCGCTGGGCGTTCATCTCACCACGATAATGTAACCTCCATATCGCTCTCATAAATTTAAATTGCAATATTCTACTGCACATTTTCGGTTGGTTTGCCTCAACCCCGCTCCAGTTTCTTTCCTCGACTCGCCAATTTTGAAGCCCAGGCCTGAACCCTCGGTGGGACACTGCGGAGCCAACTTAGAGATTGCAAAGGCCCACTAAGGAAGGTGGGAAACAAAAAGATTAAACATTGACAGTGGGGGTCAGTCGAAGAACTGATTTTAGGCGAGGAGGGTTTCGCATGTGAAGCAGAATTTTCAATCAGTACACCGTGGGAGGAAAGAGGTAAACACGTACCCACTGTACGGAGTGTAATTCAGCTGGGACATGTGGCACACAATAAACACATGAGTTTGGTTGCGACGCCTTTCCAATGTCTGCAATATTGTGCGGCTTTTTCCAGCCACTGCGTCACGGGCCAATTCTTGTGTAAAAGAAATGAAAAGAACCATGGTTGGGAAAGCCACAGTTTAAAAGCTCAGTCTGTGATTGGCCAAGATGCAGAATGGCCCTGCCAAGAAAACAAGATGTATTGTGATTGGTTAGTATGGGAAATGGCTAGCCAATCGCCTTGCTTTTCTCCTGGACCACAACGCAAGTCCATGGCACTTGAGCTGCGAATCACAAAATTCAACGCATCTCAGGGTCAGGGGCACAAATTCTATTTCAATCAACAAGCAGTAGCGGCACGATTGAAGGTGTTTGGCTGTTGAAAAAGGGTCTGTTTCTATATCTACGAATATCCATGTCAAGAAACATGCATCGGCCATGCTCGAAATCTATCCAGGTCTTAGATTCCAGCAGTTCCGGCTAGAATCCCTTAGTCCCGGGCCAAGACAAACTGGTCACCAGGGCCCCATTCAAAGCCCCATTCAGGACCCCGTTCAAGGCCCACCTTAAGTTCTTTCTGTCCATTGAGCCCGAAGATCCAGTTCGCAGACTTTGACTGTCGCTTCCAGACTGGCACAATACGTCCAACCCCATCGGGTGCTCCGTTCTGAGGTCGCATTGGCGTCCAGTCCTTTGAAGATTAGTCGTAATAGTTACTCCGTGGCACATAAACCGCACCTGGTACATACAAGATTCCACTGTAAGTAGCGTCCAGATGCTGATATGGAGAGGGACAGCCCCTCCCCAGGCTGAAATCATGGATGCGCCGGCCATCCTCCGGAAAGCCATGCGGCCCCTGATCCATCCACCATCTACTCTGGGCATTACCAGATGAACAGGCCCACTGTTTGACAGACAAAGGATCCGCCAATGACGAATATGCCGACCACTCTATCATTCTAGATTGACTGTGGCTTGACACGTCGCACAGGCCCAATCACACTGATCGTCCATTAGAATGTCCAACGTCTGACCCAAGGCCCGGAGCATCCGCGTGTCCACATCCAATGATCGCGGTAGCCCTAACCCACTGCATCCCAGGGAGACATGGTCTCGGCCTTGTGCATTCCCATGGGCATACGAGGCCTTTCCTCCTCTGAACTGCTTGACGTACCTGCGCCCCGGTGTCCACCATGGAGAGAGGGTCAGGTACCAGACACCTGTGGTTTCATCCGTTTGGTTCTGAAGTAGGCCTCGACTTTGGGGGCGAGCGTGGCGGGGCTGCAGATTTTGTCTCGACTCTCAAAAGGTATTTATACCTGTCCAAGTCTTGCTCTGTTCTCTCTTTCTTCTCTCCAAACAAGTACATTCTTTTTCAGGAACCAACAACCTCTGTCATTCTTTACAGACACAGACACTCATTCGAATATCTTCATTGATATCTCTTTCTCTCTCTCTTCTTCGTGTCCAACTATCCAACAGTCCCAAGTTCCATCTCCCCACGCACACAATGCAATTCTCCAAGTCTTTCATGTTCATGGCAGCCCTCGCCACGGGCTCCCTGGCCCTCCCAACCACCCTCGAGCGCCGCCAGGCCACCGCAACCTCCAGCGGCAGCGAATGGACCGCAACCCCCTCCAGCGGCAGCTACTCCACCTCCGGGTTCGGCAGCTCGACCTCCTCGTCCGGCACTGGCGTGACCTACGAAGGCAACGTCGGCAACCCCTACGGCAGCAACATCATTGAGGTGTCATCCTCCGACGCCAGCCAGTACCAGTACGTGGCACAGTTCCAGGGCTCCAACACCGAGGACTGGACCGTCGCCATCTTCAACAAGTACGGCTCGGACGGCAAGATGGACGGCTGGTACGGCCAGGCCTGCAACACCTTCACCCTCGCCGCCGGCGAGACCAAGTACATTGCCTTCGATGACGACTCCCAGGGTGGCTGGGCCGCCGCCTCGGGTTCCACCATCCCCACTGACTCTGCTGGCGGCTATGCCTCCACCTGGGGTGAGTTCGATTTCGGCTCCACTGGCAACAGCGGCTGGTCTGGCTTTGATGTCTCCGCTATTGCGGCCCAGAATGCTGGTCTCACCGTTGATGGTATGAAGATCTGTGATGCCCTCAGCGGTACTTGCTCCTCTATCTCGCCCAATGCTGCTGTCGTCGACAATGCTTATACCTCGGCTGAGACTGATGTCGGTGGTATTGGTGGTAACATCTCCGGCGGCGCCGTTCGTTTGGCTGTTACCATTGACTACAGCGGCTAAATCTAAAAGCAATGTGTTTTCTTTGATGTCAGGTTGATCTGATGTTGAAGATAGACTTTTGTTTTTTGTTTGTTTCTTCTCCCTTGGCCATTCTGTTGTACGGGATGGTCTCCAGCTGGAATGGTTTCGCTTCTATGTCAATATAGAGACTTAGGCTGGTCCTCTTTCTTTGGATTTCAATATACCACATTCGCTTTCAATTTCTTCCAATGGCAAAAAATAGATTGGTAAATCGTAAATCAAATTTAGTTCACTAAAAATGTTCTCGAACATTAGGGCGTCGTGGACGTCGCGAATGTGGCGGACATGACCACATAATTGCATATGCAACCCCCCACTATGTCGCCGCACAGCCACGAGCCCACCAACGACAACTACGACAGCGCGTTTCACAATTTACGGCAAAGTACCAGAAGGGAACTAGCAGCGCTTAAGTTGAATATAGTTTCATTCCATAATTCATGCCTAACGCAGAGAGTGATATATCGACAAATTCATTATTGACTTCGTATCCGCTGATGAAACAACAAAATATACCAAAGTAGCCCGAAAAGCTTACTTGCGGGGGCCAACGAGACCGTAGAACTCAAGCGGCTTAATACTGAACGCACCATTGGACTCGAGCTTGTAGTCGGGGTCCGCCAACTCGAAGCTGGTATCCTTGAGAATACTAGCAAGAGTGAAGAAAGACCAGCGCCAAGCCCAGAGCTTACCAATGCACTCACGCTTGCCGTTGCCGAAGCCCTTCTTCGCGGCAGCAGGGAGCTGTTCCCATTTCTCGCCGTAGACACGCTCGGGCTTGAACGCCTCGGGGTCTTTGAAGACAGCCGGGTCGCGGTTGACTTGGCTGAGGACGGCGATCATGGGCTGGTTGTGGGCGATTTGGTACTCGCCTCCGGCGAGGAGGATGGGGCTCTTGTCATTGGAGGGGATGGGCTCAATGTTGAAGCCGGGGGCGGGGGCGGAGAGACGGATTGACTCGCGGAGGATGGCCTCGACGTAGTTCAGGCTCTTCAGGTGCTCGAGATCAATCTTGCCGTCGCCGACGACGCGGTCGATCTCTTCCTGTGCCTTGATGATTTCGGTCGGGTTCTTCATGAGGTAGTACAGAGCGTAGGAGACGAGATTGGGCGCTGTGGCGGCGCCGATGAAGCAGGAAATGATCTCATCGATTACTTGGGACTCGGTGAGCTTCTTGCCGCTCTCGGGATCACTGTTGTTGAGCATGGCATCGAGGATGTCCTTTCGGACGGTGTCCGGGTTCTCTTTCCGGATCTTGATAACCTCGGCTGAGAAGTTACGCATGGTCTTGGTGTCCTTCTCGAAACGACGCTGGTACAGCCAGTTCAGGAGCTTTGGACGGGTGGGGCGCTTCATCGCCTCCATGGTGGCGCCGTCCATGGCCTTCAGCATGGGTGGTTCCTCACCGTCGAGCACGTGCACGCGCTGGTTGAAGAAACACTGTTTGCAGGATGCGAGGAGGAGGCGGTCGAGATCGTTGGAAAGTAGAGTGCGTTGCGCGGGGCCTGAGCTCCACTTCTTTGTGAGGTCTGGGATAACCTCTGCCATGTCGCTGAAAAGGCTGTCGGTCGCGGATTGGGTGAGGTGAGGCATCATAATGCGGTGTGCAATTCCCCAGCTCTTTTCGCTGTCGTAGGCTGTGAACAGACTGTCGTGCACGGCATATCGGATCTCCACAACTGGGCCTGTCACACATTTGCGGAATCGGGTCTGGTCGCAGATCTCCTCGAGCAGAGCAACACTACCGATGAAGACAATCTCGTGTCCCAGAGCATTAATCTTGAAAATAGAGCCTATGCACAGATCAGCTGCTGCCACGTCAAGAAGCACCTTTCAGAAAAGCCTACCAAATTGCTTGGCCAAGCTGTTCAGCGAGTTCCATGTCTCATTGGGGTTCACATCGAAAATATTACCGAGGAGTGGAACTCCCCGGGGTCCAGGAATCTCAGTAGGCATAGCGCTGGAAACAAAATGGAGGGTATATCACTATAATACACAAACACCGATCAAGAGGGTAAAGTTAAGAGAGAAAGCAAAAGCGAAAAGAGCTCTCCGGCCCTGAGCGGGGGAAACAGACTTTAAAAAAAGCCTTCAGCTTCGGATCTTCAGCTCTGCATTTCCGATCGACAGATCAAGTTCGAGCTTTTCCACTGGAGGGGGTGCATCTGGCGCTCGGGCACTCCATAGGTTCACAGGTTCGAGCTGAAGAGATCGGCACGATTGCGATGTAATAGCGCAGATTGGCGGGCGCCGATCGACCCAGGATAGGCAATGCATCAGACTATGTGGAGCCCATCTGCAGCCATCTGGAGTACACTAAACGCACGGCGGGCTGTAGTGCAACCACTGAGGGCAATGGGGTTCATCACAATTGTCAGCCGGGAAGCTCCTGCGGATTTTTGCCTGAACCCTGCTGCACTCCCTGGATTCGTCTCCATGCATCTTGACCGCTGGATCGGGTCGGCTTGACTGGCTGGTTTTTGGTTTCTCGTGTGCGATATGACTGGGACTGCACATCATAGATCATATTTCACCGTCAGCATGAAAAACATGATTGTGGGTGGCTGCCGTGCAGTGGGGCACCCTGGGCAAGGGTGAAACTGACATCATGGAGACCAGCCTCCCTCAAGGGCTAGGAATTTACAGGTGTACGTAAGAGTCTCATGATTCATTTGTACATGCCAGTAGGATCAAGGGGATGAATCAAGATTAGTTTGACATGAAGTATAGTGTTGACCCTCGGACGTGCTTAAGTTGTGAACGGTGGGGCATGGATCACGAACCCCACGTGATCACGCCTCGAATATTTTCTAAGAACTCAGTCGGTTGACTTGTAGCATTGTGAAACATATGACAACACTCAGATACGTGAAACAATTGATCATGTTCTTGTGAAACCAGCAAGGCGAGTCATAGCCAGTCAATGTACCTTTCTTCCTGGAGACCTGGACGATGGTAAGCCACACCAGTCACTGGATGGCTTAACGGTAGCTTGATTATTAATATCATAGTATATTTTTTGGAGAATAGGCCATCTGCAGGTTATAAACAGGCGAGCCGGGATTGGTTTTCTCAAAATCTATCAATTCAGGAGAGCGCTCAAATTTACGGGCCAAGTAGACAGCAATATTTAGTGTAACTCTGCGACACATACTGAGAGGTTAAGGGTACTTCCTCAGAGTCTCCATTCCGCAGATATAGACCACTCATTCCCCTTTTATCCAAAAAGAGAGCTTGAGATGACTTCTTTTACATGCTAAATCAACAGATCTTGTTGCCTTTAACTCACATATTCACGAACAGGAATTCTACTCGACATGTGATGGACTTCAAATGGCCCTTCCAACTGCTATCAAAGACTCTCCTTCTTCTGTACTGGCTGATAGGCTAGTCTGACAATGTCACAAGTCAGCATAAGCTTATACCCCGCCTGTCATGGTTGCCCCGCATTCATCAAAACGCCAGAAGCGATTGCTCGTGTAGAAAGTTTGCTTCCAGATCGTCACTTCCACAAAAATCAGCCACTTTCTGGCTCAAAGCGTGGCTAATGAGAAGATCACGATCCCGTACTCCCGTTGCAGGGAGGTCCCGCTGCGGCGACGACACCGAGTCACGGGCCGATCCGAAGGCCAGGCCAAATGTCACTCAACAGGTTGATCCATACGACAGCAGAAGCATTCAACCGAGCTTGACCAATACCAAAGTTCCAGTTTCTAAGACTATCGTCAGGACTAAGAAAACACCCAGCGGTGGGCTTCAGCATAGAACAATCCCAGCACGTGGTCAAAGTGCAGGTTTGACGGCACAAGCAAGCCACCGCAATGATCATCATACGCGAACATTTCCTACGCAAGGTGATAGTCCGAACGCTAGCGAGTCCTCTTCGAGGATCGACAGTGGGCGTCGACCCACCTCAAATGGTGCCCCTACTAGACGAATGTCTAGAGAACGAGACCATACAAGTAATGACCAACGAGTCAGGCGCTCTTCATTCACCACCAGTCGCAGACGTCGAAACAGCTCGAATGACACCCATAGCAGGCGCAGTTCCAAAGAGCGAGGCCGCCGTCCGGAGTCAACGCAGCGGGGTCACGATTCAGATCGCGAGGAGAGTCGTCGCCGGTCCAGTTCCAGCCGGATGAGAAAAGATAGACAAAGGAAGGAGGAGGATCGAGGGTTCAGCACCATGAAGCTTAGCCAAGAGTACGTGACAATGATCTATACTAAAGAGGAGCCTCGAGTGGAAATCAGGAGCGAGAGGATCGCACGGGGCGAATATGGCGGTAAAGGGGTCATATACTTCCTTTTCAAAGTGACTGTGCTGGATGCCGAGAAGATCAAAGATAACTTGGAGATCCGATTCCAGTTTCTCAATGATCCAGGGTCAGAGAGAATTACTGTGCTGATGGCTTCCCCCGAGAAATCCGGACTCCCGTGATCTCAGTGGACAGAACGAAGAATCGTGGACGTGAGTCAGGTGTGACCACGGGGACTGAGCAGCTCACTTTAAACCACAAGGAACAAAGAGGCGACACGAAGGCTTGGAATCAATCCACCTTTTGGGAGTTGAAAATTCAGGAGAGGACCCACGAAGTTGAAGCTAGTCTCAAACGCCATGGCAGCGAGGCTCCGTTGATACCAGTCCCTTTCAATATGCAGTTTTTGATCTCCGATTGTGGACAGACACCGTTCTATATCGCGTGCGATGTTGATTGGAAACGGAATAATAGTCTGCTCTCAGACGATGGACGTACCAGCAAGTGGCGGGAGGTTGATATGACTGATCGAGACGACGAGGAACTTGATTTCAAGGACTGGAAACGAAATCATTGGGAGAGAATAGGCGATCCTGTTGGTTTTGATAAAGAGTAAGTGTGTCATATAGATTTTCTTTCCCTCTTGTCGATTTATTTGCTTGCTTCACTAGCCACTGACATGAACCGCAGATCAGGTCATTGGTGTCGTGCACGGAGTTCGGAATGATGTTTCAATCCCGGAGGATTGAGGCAGTAACTGAGAATGATAGTCGTTTCAACAGGGGTTCAATAAAAAGCCACCCTTAATTGACAATTTGTCTTCCAAATGAAATGATAGAATCGAGATATTAGCTTCATTTTAGGGCTCTTTGGTGGTTATATTTGACATCATGCTTTAACCGTAGACTGGCAGTCGATGTCTGGCAGAACACAAAAAGGAGTTCAAAATTGGTAAGAGTACCTTCACTTACTATGGTAACTCCTAGTTGAAAAAAAGGCAACGCAGACATCCTGCGATTTGGCAGGATATATAGGATATTGCCGAGCTGCTCTATTTAGCGGAATACCGTGTTTGATTGATATTAAATCGATCGTCAAATAGAAGCAACACCAGATGGAAGCAAGACCATTATGAGAAAGTGATCCATTAGGGCTGAGCGTTCGCGAGAGGAAAACTGGATCTTATCGTAGAAAGGCCAGAGAGATGCCAGACTAACAAACGGAAGACCTTTCCGGACATTATACACTTCCATCATTTGCACGGCCCGAGCATAATTCGATGCCTAGACTATTCGTCATTTTGATCCCGATATCTACTCAACCCAAGACTGCTATTGGACCAGTCTCGTCAGAACATGCCAAAGATCTGGAACGTTGACGCCTAATCATAAGAGCATAATCCGGACCGATCACATAGAGAACCAGTCAAGGGCCCCTGGACGATAACAACAGACCCGTAAAGGGAGTCCAGACATGTTCTGGCATATTACCTGATTGGGAAGACACTAGCAATATATTACCGCATTGGGCCAGGCACCAGCATCCGGCGCAGCAATTCGGCAGCTTTGGCCGGGTAGATCGGGATCGCCACACCCGCTATCGGGTGCGGAACACTTCCGCCATTGTCATTCGGCATCGAACGCAAAACACCATTTAATATTACCCGGTATATTTCAATGATAGAGTAATCGTCGGCGATTAGCCGCTAATTTGCGCTCCAACTGGCATCTGTCTCCATATAAGCGTAAACTATGCCGAGAGTAACGGACGCACTGCGCTTATCATTAAATCGCCGCACATGGCGAAGTTTATCTACGGGAAATTCTGTCAGATATTTGCTAATATTATGATCTGCCTTAATTCACAATCGAAATGAGTTCTAAAAAGAGTTGTTGATTGCTAAGAAATCTCTCATAGACAAACAATGTTACGTGTGCGCTCCATAAATGTCTCGCCAGGGCCCAAAGACAACCCAGATAGGAAACAAATCGAACACCTATCCGAGTATAGACTGCTATCTGTGGACCAATCATTGGGTATCCTGTTTTACCTTGAGCATTTGCAGTAATTTGCTCGACCCAAGATCTGTCAAAAAAACAAGCTCCACCATCGATGGAAGCTCGGCCGGCGTGCCGATTTTCAGGGATTTTTCCTTCTCGGAACGGGTGCATAGTGGCGGGTGGAATAATAGCCGCCGTATTAGATGCCAATGAACCGATTAATGCGTATTACTCCCATTTCTAGCCAGAAATGGCAATTTGGTCCAATGACGACTACTGGGTCCCCTATTGCTTCGGATCTATAATCGGAACACACATTGAAGGCCCCTTAGAAAATTATGCTGTGGGTTGGAATAAATACCCTGGCCTCTCTCCCTATGAGTAGATCTGTGATCTCAACCTAATAATCAATTTCTGTTTTCACCAATCTCCACTCTCTGACCCTATCCCTTCTCTATAATGGACCATCAACACGAACCCGACGATACGTCGGCGTCCGAACAACATGACTACTTCTCTGAAACCGAAAAAGAAGAACAAGAACGGAAATCAGAAGATCTGCCCGTCCGAAAGCTTAACACTCACGATTTCACCAGCGTGGAAACCTTACACGTACCTCATACCAACATCCGCGAAGCCAGCAGTGCCGAAACCCTATATGCTGCCAATGCCAAGACACCCGAACCCCCCAAGAAGGACAACACCTGGCACATGAAACACCATGTCGTTCGGAATGCAGAGCGTGATGAAGCCGCCGGTTTCAAAAGACGTGAGCTCGGTGTTACATGGCAAGACCTGACAGTCGACGTCCTTGCCGCCGAGGCCGCCGTCAATGAAAACATGATCTCGCAATTCAATATTCCCCAATTGATCCGAGACTTCCGCCGCAAGCCACCACTCAAGTCTATTTTGTCAGAGAGTCATGGCTGTGTCAAGCCTGGCGAAATGCTTCTTGTTTTGGGCCGGCCTGGCTCAGGCTGTACTACGCTTCTCAAGATGCTCTCCAACCGCCGTGAGGGCTACCATTCCATAAAGGGTGACGTGCGCTTTGGAAACATGAGCGCTAGCGAGGCCGAAAAATATAATGGTCAGATCGTTATGAACACGGAAGAAGAACTGTTCTATCCCAGATTGACGGTCGGCCAGACCATGGACTTTGCTACCAAGATGAAAGTGCCATTCCATCTGCCAGATGGCACAAATAGTGCTACAGATCATACAGCCGAAACAAAGCAGTTCCTCTTGGAGTCCATGGGAATCGCCCACACAGCCGATACAAAGGTCGGCAATGAGTTCGTCCGTGGTGTATCCGGTGGCGAGCGGAAGCGAGTGTCTATTATTGAATGTCTTGCAACCAAGGGCTCTATTTTCTCCTGGGATAACAGTACCCGTGGTTTGGATGCTAGCACTGCATTGGAGTGGGCAAAGGCTCTTCGTGCCATGACCGACGTCCTCGGTCTTTCGACGATTGTCACCCTGTACCAAGCAGGAAACGGAATTTATAACCTCTTCGACAAAGTATTGGTTCTCGATGAGGGCAAGCAGATCTACTATGGCCCAGCTGCCGAAGCCAAGCCCTTCATGGAAGACCTCGGCTTTGTTTACACTGATGGTGCAAATGTTGGTAAGTACTGGTGTATTTCCCGATGAGAAATTGGAGAAAAACTAACATAGAGACAGGCGATTTCCTCACTGGTTTGACAGTCCCAACGGAGCGAAAAATCAGACCAGGCTGCGAAAACACATTCCCCAGAAATGCTGATGCCATTTTGGCCGAATACCAAAAGTCCGAGACTTACAAAAAGATGGTATCTCACTATGACTATCCGGACACCGACATGAGCCGTGAGCGTACGGATGCATTCAAACATTCTGTTGCATGGGAAAAGTCGAAGCATCTCCCCAAGGGAAGCAACTTGACCACCAGTTTCTGGGCTCAGGTCAGCGCCTGCACGAGCCGACAATATCAGATCTTGTGGGGTGAGAAATCAACCTTCTTGATCAAACAGGTTTTATCATGTGTGATGGCCTTGATTGCCGGTTCGTGTTTCTATGACTCCCCGAACACGTCTGAGGGACTCTTCACCAAAGGTGGTGCTGTCTTCTTCTCTCTGTTGTATAACTGCATTGTGGCCATGTCCGAGGTTACCGAATCCTTCAAGGGCCGCCCGGTTTTGGTTAAGCACAAGTCATTTGCTATGTATCACCCGGCTGCGTTTTGCTTGGCTCAAATCACAGCCGATTTCCCGGTTCTATTGTTCCAGTGCTCGATCTTCTCGGTTGTCATCTATTGGATGGCTGGCCTGAAACACACTGCGGCTGCTTTCTTCACCTTCTGGATCATCTTGTTCACCACGACCTTGGTAAGTTTGAGGTGTTTTGAACCATCTTTTCTTTTAAAATCGGGGTTTGAACTAACATGTTCTTTCTTAGTGCATTACTGCTTTGTTCAGATTTATCGGTGCCGCCTTCAGTACATTTGAGGCTGCCTCGAAGATCTCAGGAACTGCTGTCAAGGCTATCGTCATGTATGCTGGTTACATGATTCCGAAGCCTAAGATGAAGAACTGGTTCATTGAACTGTACTACACGAACCCCTTTGCATACGCATTCCAAGCCGCAATGTCCAATGAGTTCCATGATCGCCATATCCCTTGTGTTGGTCAGAATTTGATCCCCAGCGGTCCTGGTTATGAGGATGTTGGATCTGCCAACAAAGCCTGTGCTGGTATTGGTGGCGCTTTGCGAGGTGCAGACTATGTCACCGGTGATCAGTACCTCGGCTCTCTTCATTACAAGGCCTCTCAAATGTGGAGAAACTTTGGTGTTGTCTGGGGATGGTGGGGATTCTTTGCCATTCTCACCATCATTTGCACGAGCTACTGGAAGTCCGGTGGAGCATCCGGTGCATCTCTGCTCATCCCCCGCGAGAAGCTGAAGAAGCACCAGGCTGCTAGCTCTGACCCAGAGGCTCAAACCAGGGAAAAGGAACCTGCGCGCCAAATCACTGATGAACCTGTTGAGGTCCAAGATGATAACCTCTCTCGCAACACGTCTATTTTCACCTGGAGAAACCTCACCTATACCGTCAAGACGCCAACCGGTGATCGAGTGCTTTTGGACAATATTCACGGCTGGGTCAAGCCAGGTATGCTGGGTGCCCTCATGGGATCTTCCGGTGCTGGAAAGACCACCCTTCTCGACGTCCTTGCCCAGAGAAAGACAGACGGTACCATCAAAGGTTCTATCATGGTTGATGGACGACCACTTCCGGTCTCCTTCCAAAGAATGGCTGGCTATTGTGAGCAGCTCGATGTTCACGAGCCATTCGCCACCGTGAGAGAAGCCCTTGAGTTCTCTGCTCTACTGCGCCAGTCTCGCACCACTCCCAAAGCAGAAAAGCTCAAGTACGTCGACACTATCATTGATCTTTTGGAGCTCCACGATCTGGCCGATACTATGATCGGTTCTGTTGGCAATGGCCTTAGCGTCGAGCAAAGGAAACGTGTCACAATCGGTGTGGAACTAGTGTCCAAGCCTAGTATTCTGATCTTCTTGGACGAGCCGACTTCTGGTCTTGATGGACAATCAGCCTTTAACACAGTGCGTTTCCTTCGAAAGTTGGCCGATGTAGGTCAGGCTATTCTGGTAAGTATTCGTTCTGATACAAGTGCGATCCTATTGTTAATATCCAACCCCCCAGGTCACAATTCATCAACCCTCGGCACAGCTCTTTGCTCAGTTCGACACTCTTCTGCTTTTAGCCAAGGGTGGAAAGACTGTCTATTTCGGAGATATTGGTGACAACGCCGCCACAATCAAGCACTACTTTGGTCAATATGGAGCTCAGTGCCCCTCTGATGCCAACGCAGCCGAGTTCATGATCGACGTGGTCACAGGTGGTATCGAAGCCGTCAAGGATAAGGACTGGCATCAGATCTGGCTGGATTCCCCCGAGCAAACACAGATGATCCAGGAACTGGACGGCATGATCGAAGAAGCTGCCGCCAAGCCCCCAGGAACGGTTGATGATGGATTTGAATTTTCGATGTCTCTTTGGGATCAGACTAAAATCGTCACTCAACGCATGAACGTTGCTCTCTTCCGAAACACCAACTACGTTAACAACAAATTCTCTCTGCATATCATTTCGGCTCTTCTGAACGGTTTCTCCTTCTGGCGTCCCGGTCCTAGTGTGACAGCTTTGAACCTGAAGATGTTCACAATCTTCAACTTTGTCTTCGTCGCTCCCGGTGTCATTAACCAGCTTCAGCCTCTTTTCATCCAGCGCCGAGACATCTACGATGCCCGTGAAAAGAAGTCCAAGATGTATTCGTGGGTTGCGTTCGTGACTGGACTCATTGTTTCCGAATTCCCCTATCTTTGCATCTGTGCTGTCCTCTACTTTGCATGCTGGTACTATCCCGTTTGGAGACTGCCTCACGACTCTGACCGATCTGGAGCCATCTTCTTCGTTATGCTGATCTACGAGCTGATCTATACCGGCATCGGTCAGTTTGTCGCTGCTTATTCTCCCAACCCGACCTTTGCTGCTCTGGTGAACCCCTTGGTGATCAGTTTCCTTGTACTCTTCTGCGGTGTGTTTGTCCCATACGAACAGCTCAGCGTCTTCTGGAGATACTGGGTGTACTGGCTCAACCCGTTCAACTACGTCGTCTCTGGAATGTTGACCTTCGGTATCTGGGGTGTGAAGGTCACTTGCAACGAGGATGAGTTCGCCTACTTTAACCCTACCAACGGAACCTGTGGACAGTACCTGTCAGACTATATGGCCGGCGATGGCTGGAGAATCAATCTGCTCAACCCGGACGCTACCTCCGATTGTAAGGTCTGCCAATACAGAGATGGCAGCGACTTCCTGACGACCCTCAACATCAATCATTACTATGTTGGATGGAGAGATGCGGCTATCTGTGTGATCTTCGCTATCAGTGGATATGCCTTGGTGTTTGCTTTGATGAAGTTGAGAACCAAGGCTTCGAAGAAAGCCGAATAGGTTCACCATTCATTACCCAACTTCGTTGAATATCTCATCCTCTTACCGATCGACATTTGAAGGTGTCCCATCATTTCCCTTCTTTTTCCCAGTTTCCCATTTTTTCCATTTTGCCTTTGTCCCTTCTTCCTTCTTTCATTCATAGATTAGACTTGATTTCCAAATTCCCCATAGACTTTGTTGTATAGATTATTTTGGCCCTTCTTTCAAATTCAAAATATAGAACATCATTTTCTCAACCCATTTCCAGACGAACATCCTCATTTCTTGCGCCTAGAACAAAGCCCAGTTCGAGATCCAAGTCCTAAGGGCACGGTCCGCTGGCTGCGTTGAAATCCACCAATCAACTTCATCGTCTTGCCAGAACGCGTTGCGCACACACAGGTTTACGGCAGTCTACCTGTGGCTGCTGTGTGCCCTGTTGTCAATAATGAACGCGAATTTCAAAAAGGTACACTTGGCAATCCACTTAGTGTCTACCACGCCTCCACTCACATCTGGTCCCTGGATGTGACTTTCCTCCAATGACGTCATTTGTTTTCTTTCTTTTTACAGTGGACATACTGTAACTTACTCCTGTCTTTCTTACGAACTTCCCACTGAAGAGCTTCAGCACGCAGAAATAACAAGTGAGATGCACTCATAGCTTGCTTGCGCATTTACGTTCACTCATATCTTCAGACCTGCCCAGACCAGAAGAGAACGCCTAGTGCCATTCATGCCATGCAGGAACTTGGAAGTGGCGCCCAAGCAGCCGTTAGGGGCTTTTAGCTCACTTCATTTGAAGTCTGGGCGTGCTCATGACACCCACAAACGGCCTCAGACTTCATCCCAGACTCAGCTGTCGCGAACACCGTTGCGCAAGGCTATTGGATAAATTCGTTAAACTCGGGTCGACTTGGCAAATGTTCCAAGACTCGATGAATCGAATAGTACATTACCGTACACTGTATACTGTACTCCTAGGGGGCAATGATGGATTGCATCTCAGCTAATTGAATCGCATTTTGTGATCGTTCGCTTGGGAGCACACTTGGGAACAGAGCAGGGATTTCGCCCGTGAACACGCGTCCTATGTTATGTGTTGGGAAACTCCCCGCTACGCCACCCCACGTAACTTGATTTAACATGCGAATACTAACTATGTGGAGAATACATCGACTAGCTGTTGACGAATCAATTTGATAGATAGCAGTGGCAAGGCCGACTTTCTTATGTTAGATCACAATAGCTGGCCCTATACTCATGGAGCTACGTAGCCCAGGTAGATCCCTACCCACTTCCGAACTAGGAGGCATCGCTTCTCTTTGCTACTTCAGCTTTCGTTGCCCCCATTTCGTCTCTTTTTCAACAATTGAATTGATTCCGCTTTACATAGGAAAGCCACCTCTCTCGCTGTTATTGACACCTGCATTTCTGTGATCGCATTTTCTTGTCATAATGAAGAGCACCATTGCTGTTGCAGCCTTTGTTGCTGGCACCAACGCACTTGTCGGCCGCAGCGATAGCTGTTGCTTCCATTTGACTGCGACCGGTAGCATCTCCGGCTCCCTTGGTCAACTGAGTGATGGTCAAGTCCGTCTTGGCGATACTACCTTGTCTGCTGCACAATTCTGCCTCTCCGATAGCATTATCACCGACAGTGAGGGCCGCGGCTGCGTTGTGACCTGTGAGTATCTTGTGATTTACATCTGACATGTTATGCTAGACTAACACATTATGCAGCGGAGACTACTCAATTCCAGTGCGATGAGGGTTCGACTGGTACATCCGGGTTTTCTCTTACTTCATCTGGTACCCTTGAGTTCAACGGTAGCGCCAAGTTCATTGCCTGCGCGACTGGCTTGAATGGCGGAGACAACATCTACACTTCCAACAGCACGTCCGTCACCCAATGTGTGAATGTTCAGTTGGCCGGCGACTCATGCTTTGCCGCCGCGTCTTCGTCTGCTTCGCTGATTTCCTCCACACCTTATATCGCCTCTACCAGTGCTACGCCAGTACCTATCCCCGCTCTTAGCTCCAGTGTCGCTGCTGTTGGCTCTTCCACTCCTGTGTTGACCAGCTCTGTCCCCTTGGTTGTTCCCTCTACCCCAGTCGGGACTTCCACCCCAGTCGGGACTTCCACTCCACTCGCAAGTACCCCATTGACGACTTCGAGCCTTGCAACAAGCACTGCGACTTCATCTAGTCAGTCGGAGTCAAGCTCCTCGGCTGGATCCTCGGGGTCATCTGCAGCTGCTACCACATCCGCCCCTGCGAGTTCCGCAGCCGGTCTTGGCCTATCAAAATGGTCATCACTCCAAGTTGCTGCGTTAACCTCTATCTTTGCATACCTGAGCTTGGTATGAGACCGCGGATATCTCATGTTTGCGAACACGGGGAATATGGACTGTTTAGAACATCGTTTCCGGAATACCAGTTGAACACGAAGACGAGGAAGAATACTCCATACAGTTGAGTACAGTCTATTCTACATATAACTCATAATCCATATTTCTGAGAAACCTAATTGTATTTTAAACCTTCACTGACGCTCAACAACTCCACCATGCTCTCACCAAGATTTATAAGTCCATATCCATCCTAATGCTTATGATCGCGCTTCTCCGAGCAGCATGATCCTTCCATCGCCGCCCTAGCAAGCTTAGCACGGCTCAAAGGACGAGCTTCAGGAAGAAGATCCAGACCCGACAGGTCCGGAGCCGCATCTCGGGTCATCTTGACAAGGCCCTCCAAATCACGCTTGGCAATCTTAGAAGAGTAGATCATGTTAAGCCAGTTACCCAAGCGGTAGCCACCCTTCGCAATCTGCAGCTCAATAGTTCCAATAGCCGAGTTGTAGTATGTTGGGTAGAGATCACCGGTCTGCAAAGCAGCAGCTCCATCGGGCATAACAACGGTGCAAACAAAAGCATTAGCATCCGAAGCCCAGCGAGTAGAAGTGGTGATAGCGTCGCTGATAGTATCTCCCGAGATCCAGCTAGCCGCCTCGGACTTGTAAGTTCCTGAATTAATTTCGCTGACCAGAGTCTTGGACCAGGTCAGTGCGTCTGCGAGTGAGCTGCCACCAATCAACGTCTGCGGCATGTAGGTATCCCAGTCCGCATGGAGGTTGTCGCTGTACCCTTGGTAGGTGACGTCGACGTCGTTTCCACCAACTTCGTAAGCCTCGTCATGCAGCGGTTGGGTAACATCGCCGAGGAAGTGCACAAGGAATCGGAGAGCTTCTGCGGTGTGGTCGCTGGTAAGTCGGGCATCGCTTACACGCTGGGTGTAGTTGGCGATGGCGGACACCAAGCACCCTGAGGTACCGCAGTCGCGCTCATAGTCGACATTGCAGGTCGTTGGGGGATTGTCCTCTGCATCGATAAAGTGGAATGGAGCGGACCATTTGCCTGCAGTGGTTGCGCGGTATGAATCAGCCCAAGAGGCAATGCTTGCCAAGTAGGAGCTAGAGGTATCGTTGAGAACACCTTGCGCCCTTGAAACTAGTTAGTTTTGGAATTTCAAATAGATAAATAGGTAAATCATGGTCGTGTTGCCATTCAAAGACCAATTCCTACTTACCATGCCGCTGTCTCGGAAGTAACATAGTTCTGGGCAACATATGCCACTGTAGCATGGCCTAGTGAGCCCCATGCATTGACTCCGGTCGCCGCGCTCAAAGCGACGAGAGCAATCTTGTTGATAGATGCCATCTGGACAAGATTGGGAAATTAATATCTGAGATTGCCTGGATGATCAGCGTAGAAGGAGGATGAGCAAGTCTTTCTGGTGCCTTTCCGGCGGCGAGGTCCTGTTTAAATAATTGAGTCCCCGCATTCTTCTCGGCGCATAAATCATTCGTTGCCTTAAGACCCTCAAATCAGACTAGAATGATATGCCGACCGACGTTACAGCAAGTGAATGTGCCCACGGGGATGTCTTCAGCGTCAAAGTGGCCTCTGAATGGTCACTTTTTTTCCAGGCGGATGAGTACGACTTCGCTCTTCCACCTATTGCAGCAGGGTCATCTTGTAAGATCTGCATGCAGGCAGCCGGAGACCATCGGCTTGCGCTCTAGAAGAAAATTGTGGCTCAACATCTGGCAGCGCATGTCTTATCTTATGAGCTTGATAGGTTTCTGAGGGCTAGCGCCCTTCTTGGCAGGGCACTAATGTGAGGGGTCGTTTGGCAGCCCTAACCAATCTTGGCGTGGGGATAGTATGTGGTGAAGAAACTACAGCGGGCTGTGAAGAATAGATTGTTGTATATTAACTGGGGGTTGGAGATAGTCCCACACGTGTCAAATTAGCTTAGCAAGGAACCGAATGTTCTAGGAAGCACATCTAATTCGCTCGCGCAATGCGGTGGTAGCGAAGCACATGTGATATAGGGATGTTATCACGGTTCCATGGTTAAAGTGACAATCAAGCCTTCGGAGCACTCCGACTTGCATAGAAGGCCCGAGGGACAGGGCAGAGCCATTTCCCTCTTTCGTCTCTTTGGAGAAAATATGTAAGACTAAAAAAACAGAAGAGATTTAACGACCTGGAAAAGGAATAGGCCGCATAAGGCAAGGCGTACAACTGATTACCAGAGTCTCTCAACTTACGGAATATGATCGAAATAGAGATCGAGAATCGAGTGCTGTAATAACTCAGCGACGGCTTAAGATAGTTCATAATCAGGTCAAACGCAAACGAGATCAGTGACAGATCGGTAGTCTTATCCTAAATAACAATTATTGCACTCTATAAAGGGCAACTTGTATAAAGATATGCCAAATAATGGATTATGACTGAATACAATTTCACTCAAACTTGCAATTCTTCATCAGTTGAGTGATCCTACGTGCTGCTATCGGTCGATCTTGGACCCTGTGGACCCTGAGACCGGGTGCGGGAGCTTCCCCGTCCTCGTATTGTTTGGGTGGCTCTGACCATGGACTGAGACTTCCCGACGTCTCTCAAGATGCTTCAAGTCGAATCACATTCGGATTTCTTCCCAGTGCGCATCACAGTCATCTGTTACACCTTTTCAAATCAACCTAATTGACAATCGGGAGTGTGCTACTTCTTTGTGCGATCAACTGGCGCAATGTCATCGCATCTGGCAGGGCCAGCTTGGCTACCAACGGCCAATGCAACAATCCTGCCATCTGAAGTTTGTGTCCATTTAACGGGACAAGGAGGTAAAACATTCCCCGGTGAGTCCCAGTTCAAAAGCTCCCGGATAATAGTGTCAAGATCGGGCAACCTCGGAACATTTCATGCTGGAATGCGAAGCCACCACCGAGTAATTGCAACACCGCAAACGCCAATTACGATCATTATCTTCATCGTCATTATAACCCATTAGCCAAAATTCCGGCGTCGGATTCTTATTAATGGATAAATGGATCAATGTGAGCTATGTCTACAAAACAAGACAAGTATTCTCCCAGTAAGCGAGGGAAATAGATAAGAATTCTCATTTAAATATCCATGAGTCTGAAATGAACCGTGAAATCAAAAGGCCCAGCTTCCAATCTGTGACCCTCGAAAGGACCAGGACCACAACTAGCCGTGCCGATTCCATGATGCGCAAGGTCGATATTCAATTCAGTCTCATCCTTAAGCTCAGATAGCTCATGTGGATGTTTCGCCCCGTCAAGCTCCGCAATGCTGTATTTCCGCAACGAGAAATTAAACGGCGTATCCATCATAGCCTCAATACCAGGGAACGTTACATCTGCACCAGCAGACGCAGAATAAGAGGTATCTGGAGGCGAAGAATGAAGCCGAGCCCAATGTGTATCCATGCGATTACCGTTCTCCTGAGGCCATTCATATGGTGTCTGAAGACCAGTTTCAAGAGATGCCGTGTATGTGCCGAATCGGGAAGCGCTCTTTTTGTCACGGTAGGATTCTCCAGGACCCCTGCCGAACCAGGTAGCTGCGTCATAGCGACGGGGTAATCGGAGGGTGAGGCCAAGTCTGGGAATGTATTTTGGATGCGTGCCGGTGAAGTCGCCTTTGACGTGGAGAGTAACGGATGACTCGGTGATTGTGTATTTGAGTGTTGCTTCCATTGCCCACTCTAGCACCGTGGGCGCGACTCGGACATTCGTTGTGATAGAAACGCTTCCATTGTCATTTACTTGCCATGTTGCTGATTTGATCAGCATGCGAGTGCTCTGTATGCGGAAGCGTTCCCATTCAACAAAGGGACCTGCTGGTCCGAGATCGTTCTGCGTCATGGGGCGGTATATTCCTAATTGTGGCCCGCTGCGTAGAATCTTGCCTGCATCTGTGGACCACGACAGGTTACCCCTGATGATGTCGTAGGTAAATTGAGAGGAAAAGCCAGTTGAGGCGATGTGTAATTTGCCCAGGCTTTCGCAAATAGACAGTGGAGAGCTTTTTGAGCTCAAAGCTGCAGGAAGTGATAGTTTCTGTCGCTCGTGTAGTGCAATCTGGGCCCAGGCAATCTCATGTCCACTTGGTGCCCAAGCTGTAGCCTCTCTTAGACAAAATCTGATGGTCAACCAGGTTGGCTCAGAGGTAAGCTTTACACCTTCTGGGAGCTCAATCAAAGTAGACGCTCCAGGGTTAACAAGCGGCAATTTTAACGCTGCTGGTTTCGTGCTTCCGGTTTCCCCGACGAGATGCCATGTCACGGCCAGATGATCAAGAGTGCTGAAGTCGTAATGGTTCATCACTTGCAAATGCTTACCAGTCTTATTTAGTCTCACTGTGACTGGCTCGATGGCTTTCTTGTACTCGGTCAAGCCAGGAGTAGGCGTGTGATCGGAATACACCATCCCGTCAAGAATGAAGTCCGCATCATTGGGTTCGTCTTTGAAATCACCGCCATAAGCATAGTAAGACGTGTCACCTTCTCTCTTCAGAAGCCCATGGTTGCACCATTCCCAAATGAAGCCTCCTTGTAAAAGCTTTTCACTGCGGTAGGCTTCGATGTACTCCTTCAAACCTCCCGGCCCGTTACCCACTAATAGCAAGCGTCAGAAGGTGTCGCAAGAACATGTTAGTTTCGGCTCTTCAACTTACTGGCATGACCATACTCGCATTGAATCAAAGGCTTATCGCTTTTCTCAGCAACATGCTTTTTGAGTGCGTCCACACTCCAGTACATGGTAGAGTAAAGATCGGCACTGAGAGCTTCCCTGTCTCCCTCATAGTGAACTAGACGAGTCGTGTCCGCATCTTTGATCCACTCGTACATACTGACATGATTTCTTCCGTAGAATGCCTCATTTCCGAGCGACCACATAATAACACAAGGGAAGTTTTTGAATCGCTCAACTAGTTGCGTCGCGCGATCGAGGTAGGCATCTTTCCATTCCGGGTTATCGGAAGTCCATTTCTTGGCCATTTTGTAAGACATTTCTTGGATTTCATATTCAGTCATGAGATGTTGGTTCGGAATGTTAGATCGTTCGACTGGATCAAAGCCATGGCACTCGAGATCCGCTTCAGCCATCACATAGAGACCAAGCTCATCGCAGACTTCGTAGAGTCGGGGGTCATTTGGCTGATGAGAGCATCGCAGAGCATTGATGTTGTGTTTCTTCATCAGAATTAGATCTGCTCGCATATTTTCATATGGCACCGCCCGACCATAGAGATGGTGGTGCTCATGGCGGTTGACGCCATACAAGATGATTGGCTTCCAATTGACCAGGAAGTTTGAGTTGCTGATCTCGATGCGTCGGAAACCAATGCGTTGGGGAATTGTTCTCTGATTGAAAGAGATAAGTAAGGTATACAGGTCAGGACTCTCAGCCGACCACAATTTCAAGTCACTATTGGACACTTCAATGATACCCGAATCGGATGATGGAAATTCCGATTCATGTAGTAGCTTGCCATCCGGGTGATACAGCTTGATCTGGACGTTGCGATCTTCTCCTTGTACTTTGACCCCAGTGATCATTCTACCAACTGTATTATCCTTTGTAGGATTCTCAATCGTGGCAACGGCACTGAAGTCAACAATCGAGACGACCGGAAAGGAAAGCAAGCCAACATCCCGAAAGATGCCACTGAGAAGCCATTGATCCTGACGCTCAATATACGACCCATCACAAAATTCGTACACACGAACCGCGACCGTATTAACGGCACCAGGCGCGGCAAGCATCTGAGTGATATCAAACTCACTCGGGTTTCGAGACCCCTGGGAGTAGCCGACAAGTTTGTCATTGACCCAGAGGTGAAATGCGCTGTCTACTCCCTCAAAGCGGATGCGAATTTGCTGCCCTGTCCATCTCTCAGGCGTTAAAAACTTTCTCCAGTACGATCCTGTCTCATTGAGAACTGGCACCTCGGGAGGATTGACATGGAATGGATAATTGACGTTGGTGTACGTCGGATGAGAGTATCCCTGCAGCTGCCACATTCCCGGGACTTTGATGTCATCCCAGCTCATGGGGTTTACGGAGGACCATTCTGGAGCCTCAAAGGGTGATGCATCATGTCTGAACTTCCAAGTGCCGTTGAGAGACACGTATTCACTCTTGTCGCGGTTAAAAGTGCGTGCGGCTTCTTCTGAGGTGTATGAATAGAAGTGGGCTCGTGGTGGGAGAGTCCCTTTGTGGATGACCTTGAGGTTGTTCCAGTCGGGGAGCTCCTTTGGAAATGACATGATCGAGGACTCTGATCTCAGTGAGGTTAGAGGAACACTGAGGACATGCCGGGGACAAGAGACCACAAGATAAGGACAAACTCCGGCGGGGCTAAGACTGCTCCAGGCTCGTAACGTGGCACGATTCCGGCAATTCAGTCTATTTCTCCGGGTGACAACACTGCGATGTACAGTGTTGTAGTGGGGAGAGCTGCAGGAGGACAAGGATAAAGGGCGGGGTTTTAATCCGAAGGCGTTTTTAGTTCCAATTTGTATATCGAATCGGCGAGAATGCCGATGGATCTGTACTGTGCGTTGTTTTGACTGGTAAATCTTTTATTTACGTTTTGGAATTCGAAAAATCACAATAGACGTCTACTATTGAAACACGAAACAGGCTGCAAGCACAAACACCTCCCATTTCTCACAAATATCGCATTATTAGCAAGTGTACGCGAACTCGAATGTGATCTTGGGTACACCAGTAAAGTTAGAGGGTACAATATAAGAGATGTTGTAAACACGATTGTCCTCCACGCTGGTGCCATAGATCACAGGCTGTTTCTCTAGACCGTCGGCGTTGATGGTGACATCGAGACAAGGAAGCTCCTCAAGGCCTCCAACAACTTTCTTCTTGATGAGAGTCCAACTTGGCGGCAGTTGCGCCAGCGCAAACGTGAAAATATCAGTTCCATCCTGGGTGGTATTGGGGTAAGATATCTCCAGGCTGTTAGGTCCAGCGACAGCGTGAATAGTTGAAGCTGTCGGATATAGAGAAAACAAGGCCATATATGGATGAGGCGTATGATTTTTATCACCAGCCCACTGTACGATAGCCGGGACATATTGCTCGCCACGATTGACAGTCTCTGAGACTTTTTCAGCACCGATCATGAGAGGAGCGCTAATCCACGAAGTGACGACCCGGACTTCGGCATCGGCACCAAGGGCATCAGGAACCTTTTTGGTGATCATTCGTTCCCCATCCCAGCTTCCTTTGGATGCCAGCCATTTGGAGTCTTTTTTGGAGATATGATCTGCAACTACGTCAATGACCAGTGCCAATGCTGCACCCTGTGCCACATCGTACAGCAGATCCGACTCCATTTTCACGGGCTGAGGCCCGCCATAGCCGTATAGACCCCACCAGAAGTAGTCGATGACTGCCGAGTTAGACACTAGATCACGGGTGTAGGCCCGATCATACTATTCAAAGTGCGTTGTTAGTTGAAGTAGTGATCCCTGTCACGAGAAAGACATACCGGTCCTACCATATTGGCCAGGTAGGGATTATAATGAGCAGCAATATCTGCCCATAGATCCGTCAGAATTGTTTTGGCATTCTTGGTCATGGCAGCATCCTTGGGTCCGTATTTTATGACACCGGCGAGCGCCCAGGTATCCATTCCGTAGTAGGTGGGTGCATTATATTCTGACAGCACGTTTGAGCCTGTCGACTGGAAGAGCTCCAGGATAGCACTGCCCTGGTCATTGGCGTAGTCAATGAAAGTCTGTAGACTCTGTTAGTTTATCATACTGTAGTTTGCAGATCGACACATCTCTAGTCATATACCTGATTGTTACGACGCTCGCCAATCCAAGAAATGTACCATGCGCGCATTATGGCCGGATTGGAATATGCTGGTGTCAGGTTGTCGCCTTCTGGGTAGGATCCATTTCGGCGCATGGAACCAACAGCTGCAATCTCCAGGGTGTCCTCGATACGCGATACAAGGCTTTCGCCTAGCAGATCGGAGAATTCCTCTACGATTTGCACGAGCTGTGTCCCGATGAATTCTCTCCAATTTGGGTCGTAGGTGTCCTTGAAATAGCCATGTATTAGTTAATTCTCTTTCTTTCTTTAAATCATTATAAGGAATTGGAATCACAAACATAGATTTTCGGCGGGTACAAGTCCGAGTCCGGAGTTGGATAGGGCTCGTCCGGAGAAAGCTTGAATGTACCATACCAAGCCGAATCATAACTCTCAGCCATCTGGCATGTCAGGCTGGGGAATTTGAGTTAGCTTTGAACACGCAGAAGTCTCAATTGAGCTATCACTGTTGCTTTAGGTCCTCTTACATGTTCTCAATTGCTGCTTTGGCGTTGCCTAGGTCATTTCCCTTGTTTCGATAAAGTAGACCAGCAGTATACCATGCTGTAAATCTAGTTGACCATGGACCATTGTCTGAATATAAGATGTACTTGTACGAATCATCCCAGCGTTTGTCGTTGACGTCCATGGACCAGTCAAACAGGTCCTGTGCGTCTGAAAAATGATTTTATTAACGTTGCTCAAAATTCAAGATTTTGGTAATATTCACTTTTGGTCAGAGCTTTTGTTATCTTGGCGGCTGAGGCGCTGGTGGCTGCAATCGCACCAATGAATGCATATTGAGCGAGGTTGTTCAATCTCATGCTGGCTGTGAATATTTCCAAAGCAGCGAGAGCGAAACTGATTAATATCATTCCATCATGGAGCGGGGTCAATGAATTTAAATGGGTCATTACGCGTTGAATATCATCTTATAGTGAGCTAACGTTTCTAGTGACAGCCATTGAGGCTGCTCGGCAAAATCCCGGCTAATCCCCCGCACTTCACCGGTGAAATGTCCGAAGGCCTATCGCCTTTTTCTTTTTGGTATCTGGCTATGCCAAATCAATTGATTGTTGCTTCCGTTTAGGTCCGTTTGTTAGAATTTCACCGGTCATCTCCTGGGTGAAACATTGATTCCAAGAAGGTCTAACCGGGCGGCAGCTACATGGGACCCGCTACAGCACAACCTTCCTCTTACTTGGTCTTGGACGCCGGTGTATTGATTGCCGTATCGAGTGACTGAAAGTATCATGAAATAGATTTGTTATACCTTTCTAGTCGGCACATATCCCTCTGAAAAAGATATCATTGGATCACAGAGTAAAAGAATCGAGCTAAAAGCAAAATGGATAAGAGGGAAAAGAGAAACAGATAAAATCACTGAGAGCAGACACAATATTGATCACAGATCTTCCTTGACCACTCTGCTATCAACTACTGCTCGATCTTTCATAGTCTCACCTAATTTCTTCTCCGCTAGCGATGCTGTGACTTCAACCAACTTATCCCCGTACTCCTCTCCATCCAAGATCACAGCAGTCTCTTCCAAGCTTAGATTGCCGGTCTCAACAAACAGGAAATAGACCACCACAAGCTCAAAGGCCAACCAAACATCATAGGTGATGTAGAATTTCCACTTGCTATTTGTAACACCGATGGGGTTCACATATTGGTTGAAAATCCCCGCAAGCGCAACAAATAGATTGTAAAGAACAAGTCCCCGCGCGCGCAGGTCAAAGGGCAAGATCTCAATGCAGTACGTGACCTGCAGCGGCGTCCAGCCAAGGGAGAAAAAGAAGTTGTAAAGGAAGATCATGGCTAGAACACCCTTAGCATAGCCATCACCTCCAGTTCCATCAAGTGCGGTCCTCTTCTCGTACGTGGCTTCAAGTGCCGTCCAGACAATATACACTGCTAGAATCCCTCCAGTGGAGATAAGAAATAGAGTCCGTCGACCGAATCTGTTCATCAGCGCGGCGAAAACAAGACTCCAGATCATCCCCCACAGCGTCAGGAGTGCATTGATCAGTGTCTGGGTGCTTTCTGCCGTATATCCAATCGAGTCGAGAATGAGGGTGAGATAATACGAAATCAGGCCGTTTCCGCTCCATTGCGAGAAGAATCCCACGGACAGAATGATAAAAAAACGCCTGATGTTTCCTTTATTCTGGAAGAAGGTCAAGTAAGAGGTATTTTGTCTGGCTTCATGCTCAAGTTGAAGGGCTGTGCGGATTTCCTCCATCTCTAGTGTGACGAGTGGATCAGAGTCATCTCCGTTGGCATGGTATTTGCAAATCAACTTTCTAGCCTCCTCATCGCGTTCCTGGCTGATGAGCCATCGGGGCGATTCCTCGATGAAAAAGCAGAGTCCGATTTGAATCACGCTGGATAGACCCTGCAGCAGGGAAGGGATGCGCCATGCCCAGGTGCTGTCGATACGGAAGGTTCCATATGTAATCCATGCAGCAACAAGTGCACCCAGATTCCACAGGCTGTTGTAGATGGCCACTTGCGGGCCCTGCTGTCGAGGGAAAGCCAGCTCCAAGAGAAGGAGTGGGGCCGCGGTGATATTTAGGACAAGGCCCATACCGATGATTCCACGAGCAGCGATGAACATGCCCACATTCTGAGCTGCAGCTTGCAACGCAACTCCAATCATGAGAATGAAAGCGCCGACGAAAAGCACCGGGCGGCGTCCAAACTTGTCGCAGCTATAGGCGCAGACGGGCATCGTGATAAGCTGGCCGACATTCTGGATCGCATTTAGTCTGGTTTATAATGTCAGTTCAATTTCGTTGCTTCGTTGAAGGTCCCTCGTGCTTGCAGGTTCAACCATGACAGCCAGTACGGATGCTACTTACAGGCCGAGTTCAGAAGCTCCAGGATTGTTGAAAGAGTTTTGCCAGGTGTTAAGGGACTGAAGACCATTCATCATGGAGCCATCATATCCAGTTGCATAACTCGAAATTTGAAAAATGGCAAGCATAAAGTTGAGCTTGATGATGCCAGAGTTGGTAAACCATAATCGTCCAGTGCGTTGGCCTGCGATCGCACCAACTGTATACGGCGACTCGGTATCTGGTGTAGAGGGTGCCATGTTATAAGTTTACCAAGACAGCAACTCGAGGTAAGAGCAGGTCCTTCCCGGTGGATATTGATCTGGCGAGACCCAATGTGTGAGTCTCAGATGTAGGCCTCGCTCACCTCACATTACTGGGATATCAATCATATATCAGAGACCTGTCTTGGCAATAACGCCACAGAAAGCGTGGCATTTCTAGCATCCTGGTCATTTCAAGCGCTCTCGGGGTAAGAGACTGTAATTCACTGGCTCATTCTAAAGCTTCGCGATAAAGAACCCTGAGGGCTGTTTTTAGCGCTCAATTTTGATTTGTGACTCTTCCGACAGTCTAAGCAAGACAATTCGTCGAATCCTATTTGATGCGAAGCACGAGTGGGTTATGCTGGAGTTTCGCCGGATTTCGCCGGGTTCGCCGGTCTGCTAACTATTCTTGGCTTGGTGAAAGATTAGCAGGTTGGCTTGTATCAATGAGAGACACTTCCTCTATAGATGGGTAATCTGAAGAACATTTGAATACCGAATTACTGACCCAGGAATCAAGCGCGAGTAAGTGGCAGCCCCGAATTCATGTGATTCTACGCTCGCTCACCCTGCTCCTGCTTCATCCTGTTCTCATTTCTTACGTATCTTAGACATAAAGCAATGGAATTGAAGATTCAATATCAAATTATCTCAGTTATCAGGTGAGGTTGGAAAGGTTACTTATGATAGCCACCATAGCATAACGGTCTTATCCCCTTAAATATACAGAAAGGCCTTTGTATGTCTGTCGGATACCCTAATCAGACTCCGTCTCCCATGAATCCTCGCTCTCCTTCTCTTTCTCTTCTTGACTCTGGGGTTGCGTGGCAATCAAGGCCTCAAACCAGGCTCTGGTCATCTGTTTTTCTAGTGCTGTAAGGCTGCTGTCCCTTTGAGCTTTCTCTTCGTGTCGAATTACATGACATCGGAGGTGGTTTGTATCACACAAAGCTTTCTGTCAATAAATTAACGATCTCCTTTCTAACCACTCAAGACTTTCGGAAATATTGACTCGATTTCTGAGACATCCGCTGAAGTGACAAAAGACCTCACCGCAACGAACAACGATGTTTCCTTCTGTGTCCTATCACAATAGTTCATAAATGATTGATTAATACAATTCAATACTTTGATCAAGCTTCATCTAAAGTGACTACCCCTCTCCCAGAACGGGAGTTCAAGTTCCCGGGCAGCCCTCGGCGAAGGTACTCATTGTACGCTGCGCAGTTGGCGATGAAGTCGAATTTACTTCCCATACTTCGGGCAGACTATCAAATGGAGGGGTTTTTTGATGGAGTAGTCTCCTCAAAAAGAGCACTTGGATATGTGGTAAAGTGGTATGAGTTGAAGGATAGAAAATCGACGACCAAAAAGTCAACAGAGAAATACCTAGTCTTTATCTACTAAAAGAGGCCGATACCAATTGAACAGGGAAGCTGAGATTTTGACGAAAGTGAAATTGTCCAGAGAGGTGTGTGTCCAATGCTAGAGGAGAATCCAAAGGGGGAATTATTGACTTGGGAAGAAGCGAGCGACATAAGTAGTTCTGTTGTCATTGTGGGAAATATGTGCCTATAGCCAAAGTTTGCGCCTATACTCATGCTATAGCTACTAGAAACACAATTTTGATAATAACCTTATAAAACATAAGCTTACCAATAAGGCCATTTCTTCGTACATGGACTACTATACGATTGAGAGATTGTGCCAATCTTTCCGTTCTAGGGATGCTATTTGATGCCTATTAATATGCAGCTATTAGGTCATGGGCAAGACGCTGGCTATGGGTCAGCTCGGTGGAGTTGCTGCAGGAATCATTACTCGGAATACCGCCCTTGACATGCATGAAATTCAGCTTTGGTAAATGTCTGAAACCCTCTGGGCTGCCGGGTTTTCTACTTGTATTTGTTATGATTTATCGATAAAGAAGATTTTCGGAAAGATCTGCAATGTTGGAAGCATTTTATTATGAAAGAACTTACACAAAGCAATACTTGTGAAAAGTATCATTGAATGTTTGATCGAATATTCTTACACTACTAAATGTAACTCTGAGCTGCAGTCGAACTTTCCACTGCAGATTCGCACTCACTTTCTACTTTCAGAAACACGTTGACCGATTCGTACAAGATCGACAGGGCAATTGTATCCGAAACCGCCGCCAATGTTGACAACCAATAAGCTGCTCAGTATATGTCCCTCAAAATCAAGCTAGACCCCGGATTCCGGTGAGCAGTCTGAGCCCGCACCGTTCAGTGGAGTCCTCTGCATATGGGACCCTGGGGGCGCAACTGACCAAACACCGATGTCTTCACATTTACCTAAGTAGGAAATACACCATACCTAATTCAGGAAGTGGTTCATTGAGTTCTCTCCCCCTTTCGACATGTGGCTGTCTCTTTTGAGAAACTCCTATCGAGTTATGTGGTATTGAGCTATGTGATGAGCTGAAACAACTTTGGCAGGTTACATCGAATAAAGGAGAGAAACAGCTTACTGAATCATAGGTTAATATGCATCTGAAGACTATTAATTCAAGGTATTTCCCGGGTCATCCCTCAATATTCACTTCATTCGGCCCCATAAGAAAGAATCAATATCAAAGATGACCAACCTCCACCCCATCGCTCTGGCAACCCTCCTTCTAGCAGCCCTATCAACAGCCCAGTCCGCAAACCCAGGTCTAGGAGCCAACCCCAAAGCCAAAGGAGCAACCTCCGATGTTACCTCAACCACAGGTCCAAACGGGTAAGCACCATATCCCTCCAACCCCAACCCCAACCCAACATCAACATCAACATCCCTAACAAGCGCCCAGATCGGAAGACTGGCTAAACACAGGCCTAACCACCAACGGCTGGAACCCACCCTTCCTCTCCATAAACGACATCTACCACATCACCCTAGAAACCTTCTACAACGGAATCGGCGCCCCCTGCCAACAATACGACACCTACTTCCAAAGCGCAGCATCAAAGTACAGCGTGGACCCCGTGTTTCTAGCCGTGATCGCCATGCAAGAATCGTCCTGCAACGCAGACGCCGGCGGACCCACGCCCGGCTTGATGCAAGTATCCTGCGAAAACTACCCCAACGGTCAATGCACGAGCTCGATCCAGGATAATGTCGATGCAGGCACGAACTACCTCTCCTCGCAGCTGGATGCGGCCGGCGGGAATGCTATCAAGGCTTTCGGGTCTTATAATGGGTGGTTTACTAGCGGGAGTGGGCTGAATGGGAATAAGGGCCTTACGCGCGATTATCCTTGTTCGGAGGAGGGTCGAGCGAACGGCGAACCGCAGAATTTGGATTACTTGCATCAGGTTATGAATGGGTGGTTGATGGGGTTGGATGCCTATGGGGATGATAGTTGGATTGGGATTTACAAGTGTGATCAGTCTTGTGGGGATGGGAGTCTGTGCTAGATCTGACTTTTGGCTTGGTTAGTGTCTGATATGAGACCTTAGTGAGGAAGATTAATCTGGTTATTTAAAGTCTCGTCAATTGGTTTTTTTATCCAAAAAGGTTCTTCCTGTGATTTAAATTGATCAGTAATGTAATAGGCCTGTTTCTCATAGGAACATCAAGTCTCAATGAGACAACGATGACCCTGTGGAGCCATCAAGAAAAAAGACTCCATGATCATGTCATTTTCTGACATTCCCTCTTTCTTCGAAGGTCGAGCATCGGGTAAAGCTCTGAAGAAAAGCGCGGTAGCCAGACGAAGCTCCATGCGTGCTAGATGAATACCCAGGCAAACTACAAAAGTTAGAGCTAATCATAAATCTGAAAAATACAGTCTTACTTCGTGATCCACCACCGAAAGGCAAAGAGGCATCTTTCATTTCCTTGGTTGGGGTTTCCCATCTCTCTGGATTGAAACTGTACCACTTAGTACCGGGCCCGGAACTTCTAGGAGCTTTGGACTCACCTGTCCGGGTCTGAGAAAATAGAAGGGTCTCGGTGGAGACTGTGAGACTGTGTTGACACCGTGATTCCTCCTGGCAGGGAATATCCACAGAACTCGGCTCCCTCTGTCGGCACCGCGCGAGGCAATCCAAAAGGAACGGCCGTATATAGCCGCAAAGATTCCGTGATGACATTGTTGAGATAAGGCAGGTATCTGAGGTCTTTGTCTCTAACGGGCTCGGGGATTCCCATCAACTCAGCAACAAGCTTTTCTCGCACGCGGCTATCGTTGGAAACAGCATAGCTTAAATAAGTCATGGTGACAGCAGTGGTATCACTTCCTGCGACAATGAATCCCTGAGCCTCCTGCCGAATATCTTCATATGTCAATCCATTTTTCTCCGTGTCGAACAATTTAGTGAGCAGGGTTGGTTTGGGATCTGATGGATTTTCCGCAATGAGAGATCGATAACGATCCACTGACTGGGCAGCATACATCCTCAGTCGCTTGCCTGCCTGTATACCCTCTTGAATCATCGGCAAAGGGGCATAGCCGGCAAGTTTCATCAGACGTGGGAAACTTGTCCGTATGGCCGCGTATGATGCCAACCGTTCCATGTCCATAATGTATTGGTTTTTCTGTGGTTGTACTTTGCATTAGCGCAGGCCTCATAATATCGATGCTATCCACAAACTTTTCCTGCCTCGAGCATACGGAAGGAGTCGCCAAAGCTAAGTTCACCAATGATGTCCGTTGCCATGAATAACCACCATTTGAAAACATCAGCAACACCCCGTGATTCTATCTCCTGTTTCATTCTGGAGATAGTGAGGTTGATTCTATCCGCGATGAGTGGCTCGAATCGAGTAATTGAGGAATCGGAGATGGGCGATGCTAGAAGACGGCGGTGCACGGCATGGAACTTGGGATCTACGGTCGAGAACACGTTGTGCACGGAGTTGTTCACCAGATTGCGATACCACACGGTTTTGAGGAACCGACTGTTGGTTTTGTGGATTTCTTTGACGGCAGCCGTATCACATATATCAACCATGTCTGGACAAACCCGGACAATAGGGCCTCGGGGGAAATGATGTCAGTATCTTACTGGGCTTGGAACCTGGTTTATTGGCGCTCACCATATTCTTCATGAAGTTGGTGAATGTACATGGGAGCGCTTCCCTTCATCCAATAATACGTGTAGATCACTCCTGTCCATTTCGATATCTCAGGGCCGGGGATATGCGATGTGCCATTAGTGAGTCTTTGATATATGATCGTCTAGAATGGCGCTCCAGTCAGTCACTTTTGAGACGAAGTAGCGAATGAGCATTAAGGTAGAGCCTACCAAACAGCTAATCCCAACTAAAGTAGATATCCAGTGGCTGAGAAGAAACGAAGGCGAGATTTCGTGAAGCGACAGCATTATGCAGGCTCGGGCCCAAGATAAATCTTGCTAGTCTTGCAAAGGGAGTCATGGCGGCCTCTTTATACGTGGATCTGCCCTGTTGTTATCGTAGTCGGGCGCCTTGAGCTCCGATTTACCGATGCATCGCATCGGTCATTGGGGAACGGGCGAAGGCGGGGGATTGGCAAAGCCCCGTGGATCCGCTTCAAGAACTGCAAATCAGCTTGTGCTTGTGCATTCACAGCCAATACGGAATTCATGTTATTGGCTATTGCATACAGCTTCCATGACACGAAGCTTTATGTTTTCACCTGCCCCTGATACATAAGCAAAGCATAAACATCCTCGAAATTTACGGTTATACAATATAGACCTCAAATCGATGGGTTAGTTGTCACATTCGTTGATTCTTATTTGTGTAATTAGTGACAAAGATCTAATATTAATACTTTGGAACAAGTCTGGATAATCTAAAACGTATCTTTCACACCGCATCAAGGAACCGAGGTGATTGCTGCAGTAAGAAAAGCCCCAAAAGACCAAATTTGCGAATTCCACCATCCCTGCAGTGGAAAAAAAAGGCAAATACGCGCTAGGCCCATCAATGCACGGAACCAACCAGTGGAATGAATCTGGCTTCCTAATCACTATTGTAATTCAGGAGTGCTAGTGAAAGTGGAAAGTAGAAGGTTTGCTCCATGGAATTTGCATGCAAAGATATGCAAACTGCCCTTGTTCGCGCATCGGCATTGAATTGGCGCGAGTCGCAGAACGCGGTTTTGGAAAAGAAGAAGACAAAAGCAAGTTCAAACTTCAAGTGACCTTGGGACGCTTGGCGTTGTTGAATACAGAGCCGGTATGAGACCGCTTGCGCTCCAAAGCCTCCATCTCAGCCTTCATGATTCGTTCTTGCTCAGTCATCTTCTTGGGAGGAGCGAAAACAGAGCCCTTCTTTCCAGCCAAGGGGTTCTTCTTAGCAGCAGCAAACACGTTCTGCTTCTGAGCACCCATAGACATCGACACCTTGATAGGTGCGGGCGGTGCAGCTTCTGCAGGCGGAGCAGGAGTATCAGTGGTATCAGTCGGCGAATCCTTTGTCTCGGGCGACTCAGTTGTGGTTGGAGGCGATGGTACCTTGGACTCTGTCTTCGGCTTGGCTGCGAATCCGAAATCAAGCTTCATCTTCTCGCCTTCCTTCCGCTGCAATAATTTCGCTTCCGGTTCCTCTTCTGTCTTGTGGGCTGCTGCAGTGCGTTGGGCCCGCTCAATCTGTTCTTGGATTTGTTGCTGTTCTCTCTCCTCGTCACCCTTATCCTGTCGTTCTTTTTTCATGACGGCTTCGCGCTTGCGCATGGTTTCGGGGCTGTTATCGATCCATGAGACGAAGAGGCCCTTTTCGCCTTCCTCCACACGGCAAATACCCTCCCGTCCGAGGTATGAGGCGAACTGCGTCAGGCTTGACCACTTTGTGGAGTTCATATGGATATGCTGTTCAAAGTTAGTACTGATTGCCGGCTTTCAATGACCGCGGATTGGAGACTCACGCTCTTATCTTGAATAACTTGCTGGTAGAAGTGATTAATTTGGATCTTCTTTTCACCATGTGTCGTTCTCAATATTTCAACGAAGTTTCGTAAAAAGTCGCGACTGAAATCCTCAATGTGTTTCTTGGAGTTCTCGCCGATCAGAAGCATTTGTCTCGTGTGGCTTTCGCTGTTGACATGGCACTTGAATCCGTTTTGGTCGTTGCACTGTTTTTCTTGAAAATGTTAGTATGGCGCATATAATCAAGAGCGGACAGTGCACTTACCACAGGCTTGACAGTACCAGCGAAGTCGGCCTAAGCCTTTCGACTTCATCTTGTTGCTGATCGCCTTGGTGCTTCCGGCTTCGGCGCGAGGCATGATGGGCGAGTATGTTCACGGTAAAGATTTAAGTTGTTTGATAGTAAGGCAATAGGACACGGTTTTAAGGGAGAAAGCTGTTGGTGAGCGGGAAAGGTCAATGTCGAAATCAAAAGATGGAGATGGAGATCGGCCTTGAAGGCGATAAGCTGATTATTAATTGAATATTTATCGGTCACGTGTTGATAAGATCGACGCGCTCAGCCCAATTGGCCGAACTGCTACATCAATTGTCTGATACAGTGTGAAAGTGACAGTTTGAATTGAGACAGAATGTATTATTCTGAAGAAAGTATCTGACAAAACTCCCCAACCCTACGCCTGCGGCCAGAGGTGGCCTTTTCTAGGGCTCGTAGCATACATGTAAAAAATGAAAGATAAAAAATAAAACAAGTCAGACTCAAAATAGCCAACTTCGCCAGATAATGTCTCATGAAGAGCATAGCGTGAGAAATAGACGAGTCCCAGACAAGAGGGAGGCTAAATGTTCGAGTCGTATTACAAGATGTATTCGTGAATGGCGGATGGTCCGCTCTCGTTGTACTCAACTCGGCTCATGTAACCCTTGCTGAGACCCTGGTCAAGAACAAAGAAGACCTTGGCGGCCATCTGAGCACCAAGGAAAATAGCCTCTTCCATGCCGTGGCCACCCTGGGCCTGGGATGACCCGGGTGTGGAGGTGGCACCGCTGGCACCTGGGGCGTTGCTGTTGCCGTGGTCCTTGAAGTCGGAGAAATACTCCGGGAGCTTCAGAGTCTTGACGGAGGTTGGGGTCTGGGAATGTCCGGATGAGCGGTAGTGTGAAACCATATTGGGATCCAAGCCGGGAGTACCAGGCATGCCGGGCATACCGGGGTTGTTATGAGTCGCAGCAACGAGAAGAGGGTTCACGCCGGGAGCTGCGGGATGGTACATCCCAGGTTGGCCAACGTGAGCGGGTGTGCTGGCGCCGGTGGGGACAGGAGTGGTGAAGGTAGAGGGGATTTCAGAGGTGAAGATCGTGCCAGAGGGAGAAAGAATGAACTTTTGTTGAATGACACCGAGCAGAGCTTGAGTGAAGCCTGTTTCAGGGTTAGTAAACCGAGTTTGCAACGAGGGGATAGTATCAATAACGCTTACCCTTGACCTTGCTTCCACATCCAACGATGATCAAGGAGTCCCAAAGCTCGCTTCTTTTTGTGGCATCGGGAACAGCAATAATGGTATGGTGAATCTGTGTGGCAATATCCTCGAGAATGCCGCTGGTGAGGCGATCTCCGTTCTTCGAACGCGGCGAAGTCAAGAGGAAACGCTCAATGCTGACCTCAATCTCTCGTTGCTGGCGAATGTACTGTCGAGAATCGGTCGCTGCTGCATCCTGTCCTTCCAATTGCACAAACTCCTCGAACTGGAATGAAGCCTTCTCTTTCTTTGAGTTAGGAAGACGAGCTTGCTTTGGATCAGCTGCTCCCTTCTTTGTCGTCGTCTTCTCCTTTTCGATGTTGGCAAGATATTCGGTAGTGTTACCGCTGACAATTGCAGCGACATCAAGAACACCTTCTTCTTCCTCTTCATTGTTGCTCTCTGTGCCAATTTGAGTGCCGTCTCCTGGACCACGCGGGGCAGAATCTTTGCTATCTGCTCCTCCAGTCGAGGCAACCGCGGCGGGGTTCGTACCCTGGCGCGCAGTGGCTGCGTCTCCCGGAAGTGGGGTTCCTGGGGGAAGAATCTCAGTAATGTTGCTTCGCTTCAGCTGCTCGCACATTTCTCTGGTGAATCCCTTGGGGCCCAGTAATTCGACAAGGCGATCCGTCATGGAGTCTCCACCGCAGCCCTCCAAGGAGATACCTCTGCCGTGCTCGTTGACTGCGAAATCGGTAACAGCAGTAACATCAACCTTGCCCTTGCCGATATCGACAACAGTGGCTGTAGGTACACCATAACCATAGCAAGCCGCAAGCGCAGAGTCCATAAGACTAAATGCTGGAGCCTTGAACTTCTCAAAGACGAATTGGGTAATTGCTTCGCGATCGCGCGCAGACCAGACAGGCTCCGAGATGAGCATGATCGGAGTGTGGAAAGGTGGACTCAATGTGTTGTAAATGTGAGTGAGCAAGGCAAAGAAGCAAGGCCAGTCGACGATGCGTCCGTTTTCAATGGGATAGATAGCGTCTTTGTCGGACATTACATCCTCTTCGTAGAAGACCTCTTCGATGGTCTTGGTAGCTTCGCCATTAGCCTCGGCACGGTCGCCCTCGCCTTCAGGTTTCTCGGTGGGTTCGGCTTTGGGGGCGTCGGCTCCAGGTTGAGCGTCCTTCATCTCCACATCTTCCTTTGGGGCCTCCGTACCATTCTTGACCTTAATCTGCTGACGCCTCTCATTGACACGGTAAGGCTCAAATTCTCCCTTCTTCTCGGCGGGGAACATGCGAGTTGGGAATCGGTATCGCGCGGGCGTGAACGTTTCGGGCAACCCCAGCTGCGCCAGGGTCATTTGTGAACCCGGCGCAATTAGCTAAAGAAGTCAGCAATTGTGATTCAAATGCCAGGAATATAATGGAAAAAATTGAGCGTACCAAAATATGCTCATCCTTAAAGGGAGGCATGGTAGTGGTGGGCTTTGAGCGCGAATGGTGATGACTGACCACGGGAGCTCCGCGCGATGTCGATTTGCGATGGGGAGGACGGCGTCTTCCCATTTTGGCTTAGCGTGGTCAGGACCACCGAGCTGTCACGTGTGTTGAGATGTTGGCGCCTTGTTTGTCAGGCGCTAGGTGTGGACAGAATGTGGAAATCTCGAAGTCGAGGTCGAAGTTGAGACTCAAGTGAGATCAAAGTTGAGCGCAGTTTGAAAGTTCACGGTTCAGAGCTTGATTTACTTGGGAGGACTCATTTTGTATAATTTCCAATTTCTGAGAAACTCATCTCATTTCAAGATATTCTACTCCAGTACCACACTCGCTCGATCCAATTCAGCTATCAATATCATTGCTTAATATTAATTCATTTGTTTCATGAAGGTGCGAAATATAGTACTGAAGAACATAATATTGAACCATGGCTTTTGAAGTATGGTAAAAATTTCTTGCTGTGTGTGATCTACACCTTGGCTTGGTACCTCGATATATATGTTATATCTTGGTCGACTCTTCGGAATCACCACTTTAAATTTGACTTGAAAATTTACTCTTTACTCCATATTTACAAAGACAGAGAATTGAGTCCCACTGGGAAACGCGAAAATAATAGACGTTAAAATCATGTGCAATTCAATGATGCATTGAGGCGTGTACGCCATTAAGTATATCCCCAACCCCACCCCCAAACAATGACAAGTAAAACCAAGAACCGTCGAACAGAACTCCAAACCCTCGTAACCAGAGAGTCTTGCAAAACGCCTAGTGACCCTTTTGCTCTATGACCAGCACGAGTCTCAAATGGTTCTATTCAGGTCCGGCATTGTACTTGTCCGTCGCGGAACGGAACAGCTCCTGCTGTTGCCGTAGAAGCTCCTCCTCTGTGAGGCCACTTTGCTCCATCTTGCTCTGCTTCTTCTCTCGTGACTAGAATGGAACCAGATCAGCAACTGGATCTGACACAACAATGCGCAACCCACCACACAGATGGAGACATACCTTGAGCTGCTGCTTGTGTTCCTCGGCAACGGAGAGAACATCGGCAATGTAGTCACTGAAACCAAGATCGCGCAAGGCCTTTTCAACGTGTTCACATGCGATTGTCTTCTTGGCTTCCTTCTCGCTGATATCATTGGCCTCGGAGGAGATCAGGGTGATAAATTCAACACAGCATTCCATGAGCAAGTCGCGCGCATCTTTGGAAAAGGTTTGACCGGAGCTGGGAGGCAAGATTTCGGTGATGATTTTCTGGACCGTGGCTGTCACAAGAATCTAGGTTAGCACAGGCTCGTGGAACGCGCATACAGCGCGGCAAGTGCACAGGAGGCGAAGAGATAAAGACAGCTACCAGATGAGCTGCATGCGCCGAAAAAAATGCACAAATTGAGCGCGAAGAAGAACTTAGATGGTACCTTTGGGAAGCGACAGATCGTCGTTTGCTATTAAAGCATTAGATGTCAGCAAAAGCGCGCGCAGGCTGTCGGGATTCCGGCCACTTACAGCTGAATTCACGATCGGACATGGCGAAATTGACAGGTGGAGATCGTGGAATAGAGGAACTGGTAAGAATCGACCCGAGAAGGGGAAAAGAGAAAAAAAGATGCGATCGTAATTTCCTCGAGCTTTTGCGTGGGGCTCGAAGTTTCTTGGAGATCGCAGGCGCGCCGGAGTTAAGTACATTTCTTGCCGGCAGTATCACACCGCTCTCAATTACATATAAGGCGCTCTCATTTTTCTCTCTTCCTTCTTTCTTCATCATTCATCACTCAACCACCTTGGATTGAGTCTCTCTAATGCGATTGACTCTTTCCAAGGCCCTGCATTAATGGTAAGTTTCTGAAGCTTGAACTCCTCCTTTTCCCTTTTTCCTTTTTTACCATGATGAACCTTGTTGTCGCCCCTATCATACCATAAAATGGTGACCATACCTGTCCTAGCCAAACGGACTATCTGATACTATCAACACTACCAATTTTGCAACTCATCTCAATTTTGGAGCTCAGGCTAACTTTGTTGAAGATTTTTCACAGTGACCCACTCGACTCTGTAGCTTGAGACTCCACATTTCTTTTCTTTTCTTCTCTTCGGAACATCATTTGGAGGACAGGATCATTTCACATTTCTTGTGTATTTATTATCAAAAGGTACGCGATTGAGAATTTTACTATATTTTGAATTTGAATTACTTGATGAACCCCTTACATTCCATGCTAAACATGAAGGTGTGCTGCACCTAATGCTTATAAAATGTATATGCTTTTCATCTTTCAACTGACTTGTAACCCAAATCATTGTCTTGAATTTGCTTCAATGTTTTATAGCGATCCATGCTGACTTGCTATTTAAGACTACAGATATGAACGTGAAAATTCTACTAGCTGATAACAATCACAATGATACAAACTCTATTCCTGGAAAGCCTCAAGCTCCTTGTCGTTCCATCTGTAATTTATTAGCATAATCAACCTCAGCATTGAAATAGGGCCCAACGTACGAGTAGAAACGGCCGCTGATATCCTTGGGGACATCAAGAACAAGCTTGGCCATGACATGACCCGGCTGCTCAGGCTTGAGAAGCTTGCCATCCTTGTGGACACCAGTGAACTTGGAGTGCATCTCCGCATCCAGGTTCGTGGCATGGTCCTCCCGAAGCTCGCGCTGCATCTCGGTGTCGACCATACCAGGCCGGACCGAGACGGAGGTAACATCCGGCTCCTCAGCGCCCAGGCTCATAGCGAAGTTGTTCATGGCGGCCTTGGTAGCGGCGTAGAGACCCCAGCCGCGATATCCGGTGACTGCTGCACCGGAGGAGGTGAAGATGATTTTTCCCTTGGACTGGCGGAGAGCCGGGAGAGCTGCCTTGGCCTGTTGTTCCTGTTAATTTTGAACGTAGAGTAGGATTCGATATGTAGGAGACTCGTACAAATGCAACTAGGCTGATGAAGTTGATATCAAAGACTTCCTTCCACTTTTGTGGATCGGCTTCTGAAATTTTGCCAACTTGGCCCAGGAGGCCGTGGTTCAGGACCATGCCGTCGAGCTGACCAAATGCCTTGATGGCTGTGTCCACTGCCTTTTGGGCAAGAGAGAAGTCTGCCAGGTCGCCGTTCACAACCTCGACTTGTTTGCTGTATTGCTCCTTCAATTTTTGGAGGGGCTCAACGCTGCGGGCGACCACCACCACATTGTGGGATTGGGGTGCTGAAAGCAGGTACTTGGCTACTGCAAGACCGATGCCTGGAAGATTGTGTCAGTATATGACTGTGATTGCAGGACTTGGGAGCTGTCACCTCGGGAGGCACCTGTGACGATGATGGTTTTGGCAGCCATTTTGGGGTTCTCTGTACCAGCTGTTAGCGATATATCTCCCTTTTTATGAAGCTTTATGCCATATAATGAACAAAAATAGCAAGAGAGATTGCCAAATAGGATTGTCTGCTCGGTGCTGTATAAACATCACACGTCATGGGACAACAGTGGACCAGAGACGGAGGAGAAAAGCTAAGTGACATCTCTCTTCAAAAACCCACGGTGACAGAAACTCAGACTACAATCTTCCCGATAAACATACCTTCAGAGGTGATATTGCACTTGACAGGGTCTCGATTGATTATGAGAAATGGATTGGCGATTTAGTGCGGGGCTTAATAATCTCGTGGGGTTCCCAGGGTTGATGGCTTCGGCTTCGCAACGTCATGTTACTCAAGCATCCGATGTTCAATCATAACAATCACAAAGAGTAATTCTTTTATCACTTAAATGGAAGTGAGCAGTTGATATATTCATGATGGATCAACTTGGTTCTTATGGACCCTTGTGAAAAGCCGTTCATTTCTATCTCATAAATGCAACAGATAGATAGAAAGGCACATGTGCACTGATTTCTGTCTTTGATAGGGCACAATATATACTGCATTCCTTCTCCAAGTTGCATGAGGGCATTCAGAGTCAGGCTCATCGACCTAGTCAAACCAGTTCGTGCTCAGATTGAGCAACAGCCACACGTGACTTTAATTAATCAACGTTAGTTACAGCTGGACGCTTAGTCAGAAACGGGCTCACTGGCATTGCCAGCCTTGGAAGTTTGACCCTTGCCTTAGAACATGTCAACCCTAGAGGATTCTACATGTACTGTACTGTAGGGCCTGGCGTATATAGAATACAGCTCTCTTTGATTGTCAAAGATCCGCTCTGGGTTTCATGGAAGTCGACAGGATTCTCATGAGCCAAGTGTATTATTACCTCGCTAGATACCGTATCATACCAGGTTCATTTATTCTACAGCTTTCCTGAACTACTGTACAGTAAGTGTGGCTAAGGCAATGACTGATCTGCGTTTAGGTCTTGGCGGCGGGACTAGAAGAGTGTGAGTGTGTACTGGTCAAGCCAATTCAAGAACGAGAACGACTCTATTGCGCTCCTTAGAAGTACAATCTCTGTTTGACTCAGTTTGATTCACGGCCCCTGAAATAACCAAAAAGCTATTGAGTATATGTTTGAGTACCATTCCATTGTCCAAAAAGCACTAGTAAGGCTGACAACAACCCCAGCATCCCTATATGATCGAAATGAGTAAGAGTAGTATCAAAGATGAATGTTTTGTTTATCGAAGACACAACTGGAAACCCGAAGCCTTCTATGATAGTAAAACGGCGAAAAGTCAGCATATAGTTTATTACTTCAAAAAGTAAAGACATCAAGGCGGACAGTTGAAATTATTACCTCTCCTAAGGGACAGATTGGCTGACTTAGTTGACACACAGCGGCGCAGACTTTGGCTTGAGCGACGTTTGTCAAACAGAGAGTCACAACGACCAGAAATGGTAGAATTATAATAATTTTAGTCATATTGAACCGAGAGATGTCAAGGCGATTTGGGAAATGGTAGTTGGGAACCTACAGAGCGGATGATGAGGTGATAATGATGGGGGCTATGCTTTGTTTAAATCCTCTGGCCGGGCCGAATCCGAACCCCCGGCCTAATTTATCGAGGTTTCTTAAGTTACTGTAGTTTATGTATGATGACTGTATTGTCTTTTGACTAACAGATACAGGTCTTACCGTCTGTGGCGCAGGACGGTCTCGTGGTGCAACAAAAGCATATTAAGCGGGTTTCCGACCAGGATCTGGATTATGTGCAACCGACCATAGACCTCAGAATGAGTCTGAATCGATCAAAACGATAAGACGAAGACTCAAATTATCTGAATGTGGACAGTTTCCAACAACACACATCTGGAGCCTAAGCCCCCTGATCTAACCTATAACTTGATCAGCGATAATAAGACGTTTTACTTGTCTCCTGAATTAACCCATTCCGTAATATTGCTGTTTGTGGTAGAAAGACCTGCTAAGCTAGTAGCCAGCGGCAGGCCAACAGATATACGCAGATCAAGGCAATCTGCGTGGAAAATTGGTTTGATGAAGCAAAAAGTCAACAATCTATAGTTAGAGAAAACTTCTAATGCAGACGAACTTATATCATCCTTGGAAGGCTTTACTTCAGCTACCTAGCGACCATGTGCCTAAAAAAGCCTATCTGTCAAGATTGTATATGGTACCAAATTCCTCACAATAAAAACCATTGGAGATAAAAAAAGAACAAGCTAAAGATGAGGTGCAAGCTCCTGCTGAACCGACTGGAACATACTGTCACCTAGCTCCTCATTCTGGTTCAGCTTGGAACCAACTCCAAATTTGCCCACAGGGCCATAAAAAACTTGCCACTCTTCACATTAGGACTGAGGGATGCCCAAAGCTGACTATATTATCCCTTCTCCGGCCGTGTAGCAAACCAGATGGCCGAATATAGGAAGATCCAAAGAAATGCCCCGAAGACTGGTAATAGCCAACATTCAGAATATCATTTATATGCTATGACTGACTTTGCGGCCTAGGTAAATACGCAGCATGCGTCGATATCCCAAACACAAATTCGACAACCCATTTGAAGAAACTCGAATAAAATCCTTGCTTCGGACTGTGTAGATCGTGGCAGAACGTAATTCGACCATCTTTTCCAAAGGTGATCATATCAAGCTATACATAACTCAGATTAACAAACACTAGATCCGATAAAGAGCCAGTAACGATTGGCAGGGATATACGTCACAACTCACACTATCACTAGATCCAAACGGCGTGTTTTTCCTACTATAAACCCAGCACTGTCCACCTTTTTTCCCACCTTTTTTCGAATGCTCGCTTTGACAGACTTCTGCTATAACATGTTTCACTTCAACACTAGCATGGCCCTTAGCAAGCTTGAGTCGATCTCCTAATTTGTTCAAAAATGCATCGCGGCCGCCTTCTGATGGGGGAAGCTCGCCATGTTGCACGGCGAAGTCTTCGGCGAGGAGGCCGATTATTCTTTCAGAGGTGGTGTCATGGTCGTTGCCGAGGAGCTGCACAAAGGCGAGGCTATTTTGCTTTAGAGCTTCAATGTCAAGTGACGGGGACATGGTCACGGCTGTGGGCTCCTTCAGCGATGATTTGAAAGCCTGTCGGACATTCTAAGGAGGCTTTAGTTAGAGGTTGTAATAAATCAAACATGATGGTCATTTATAGATGCAGGGCGACATAGTACTATGAGAAGCTAAAGGAGTTTTCTCACACTTACCAGTATCACAGGTAGCAGATGTACATCAATCAAGAGCTTGCAGTTATGGGATGAAGTGCTTTCATAAAAATAATGGAATGTTCCTTTGATTAAATACTGATGAACGGATGTTCGTGGATTTATGCTGGTAATAGTGCTAAGTGGTGCTTAGACCCTGAGAACAGTTGATTGGCCGTAAAGCGTAAGCCAGCGTAAGCCACGGGCGGAATTCGGGAACAAGCACATTTCAGCTGCCAATCTCATTTTCATTGGCTCTGAGTTTGTGACTTCCACCAATGACAGCCCGTTAACGTTCGGCTTTTGTGGGCTTAGGTAGTGTTCTCCAGATGATTATACGTGACATCAGGAAATTTACCCCCTTGAAACTACAGAAATACTACGCGGTGACCTTCAAAGGTCAACCATCATTCCATTCACCGATTGTCAATATATCCTATTTCGCATATCATCTGCCTAAAATGCATATTCTGATTCTGGGAGCAACGGGGCGAACGGGTCTTTACGGATACCAATATGCCTTGGATCAAGGTAAATCCGACTCCATCGATTGAAAGACCCTGCTTGTATAAATGCTCAGTCCACTCTAGGGTTCTCTGTTACTATCCTTGTTCGCAAGTCCAATGGTATCGAGCCTCATGATCGGCTGTCAATCGTCGAGGGTTCCCCTCTATCAGAAGAGGATATGCAGCGTGCATTCAAGGCTGCCGGGGTTTACGTTGATGCTGTCCTGGTATTCCTCAATGCACCCCGTGTTGGCCAAAACCCGTGGGGTAAATTCCTCGGGCCACCTCGTCTGATCGCAGACTCGACAAGAAATGCGGCTCGTGCTCTCCGCGCACAAACTGAGATACACCCAGGGAGCAAACCTCGCATGGTCGTGATGAATGCGCTTGGTGTTGGCGAAAGCTACGCAGTCACACCTTACATTGTCCGATTTATGATCAGGTTCAGCAATGTTTCTGAATCATATAAGGACCATAATGCCGTGAATGACGAAATTGAAGCGAACTGTGGAGATGATGTATTGTGGACGCTTCCATTGCCGGTGGGGTTGCAAAGTGGCGGTATAAAGCCAGTGAGAACATTTGGCAGTACTGAGTCTGGGGCTAGTCTGTTTATCACTCGTGAAAGTTGTGCTCGATGGATGGTCGATGTGGCAGCAGGAAAGAATGGCAATGATTTTGATAACAAAAGGGTCATCGTGTCAAACTAGTTTCAGACAAGGGGGCAGGCTATCTCAATTCAGGAAGGACTTGAATAATGAAAACTGCGCGTTATCTTAATCTCACACTGGCAATTTCTTGTCTGAAAATATGCCCAGGTGGTTGTTTCTTACATAGTTTGGATGTAAAGAAGACTACTCCGCCTCGACGAAACAAAGCCAGATTATTTGTTTTCAGTATGATTTTCTGAGGAACTGGGACTTGTTGCATATACTATTTTGGTTTGCAGTTATAATGATCTTACTTCCACATAGGCCTTTTATGAGCCAGGGCTAAGGCTTTACGGAAGACCGGTGGTAAATCTCGCCCGCACAAGCGGAAATCTCATGAGCAATGAATCTCAGACGATTCCGCAATGATCAAATGCTCGGTCAACGGAGACCTGGCGAACTGGATATCGACCCGGCCATAAGCTCTACGCTATGCCGAAGGATTCTCTCTTCTCGGGATACTAGCTGTCCGTTGCTAACATGTTCTATGTAACCTTACCTGGCTAAGTTTCTCTTATAATATTTATCGACTACTTCCTAGGCGGGAGTGCTGAATTGTCTGTCCTTCATTGCTGCTCCCTCAGGCAAATTTATCTTCAAATTAAACCTCTTAGCTAGCATTTAACAGGCGCTTTAAAGTCAAGTCTTATAAGCGTAGCTAAATGAGTTCTGGATTCGGAACCAAAGATTGGCTGTAGAAACTCCTATCTTATGATGCGGCAGGAATAATGAAGTAAGAAATAGATTTTGATAAGCGATGGCGCTGTAAAAGAGAGTGAGATAGCTAGGGTGTTTGGGGATCCATTCTGAGTTAGAATTAGTGAGTAGAATGCTGTTAGACCTGAGCACTGAAACGGAGAGGCAATGCTAAGTGACAGAGGAAACCAAGTATAGAGGGAGCATACATAAGCCGAGAGCACAGCCCTGGGGAGACCGTTAAGTTATATAATACCAAATCGAGAGTAGGCGAACTTATCTCTGTCCAACCCCGCACCGACTTCAAGTCCCTGACGCGATGCATCTGAGACCAGAGAACAGAGATAAGCGGAAATAACGCAGTATAAACCGAGTCAAGTCCAATTCTCTTCCAAAGAAGTGCGATCTTCAAACGACGATCCATATCTACACAGCACACAGACCAGCCATGTCAACCGTTATTCTTGGAGGAGGGATCATTGGCACCTCAATTGCATACTATCTGTCTGCCAATCAACCTGAGGAGGAACTATACATTATTGAGCAATCCCCAGAGCTCTTCACTGCCGCTTCAGGCTACGCAGGAGGCTTCTTGGCGAGAGACTGGTTTGTGTCATCTCTTGCGCCTCTTGGTGCCTTATCATTTGACCTACACACCAAAATTGCGGCGGAAAATGAAGGAAAACAAAACTGGGGATTTATGAAAGGGACAGCCTTCAATTTGGATACTGCTCCTCATCAGAAATCGGGTGCTCCACAAGGCGATGACTGGATAAACACAGGAACGAGTCGGGCGGAGACAGCGGCGGGATATGACGACCCTGCCACCTTTGCGTGGCCAGAATGGTTGACAAAGCAGAGACAAGGCAATTTAGAGGGAATAAGCCAAGAGGGGAGCGTGGCTCAAGTGTGGGTAGTCCGCAAGAGGCGAGTCTTTGGGGATTGCTAAACTTTTTGTTAGGGACCCATTGAGATTAAGTCACTATCTGATGAAACGTGCGACGTCTAGAGGGGTGAAGCTTCATTACCCAGCCAAGGCAACAGAAATTGTCAAAGATACGGATGGAACAATTACGGGTGTTAACATAATGTGCCTGAATTCGAAGAAAGAGTTAGTGATCCCATGTACAAATCTTGTCATGAGCATGGGACCTTGGACACCACATGTTTTCAAAGATCTGTTCCCGCTGTCGACTCTATCATTGGATATCTCACCTCTGGCAGGCTACTCTCTTGTTGTTCGCTCACCTCGATATACGTTGGAGCATGAGAGGACTGCTCACGGGGGTCAGAGCCATGCCGTGTTTACAGAACACCCTTCATCATGTGGGTTCAGTCCCGAGATCTTCCTCAGAGAAGGTGGTGAAATTTATATCGCCGGCCTCAACCCCACCACCATCAAGTTTCCGTCCTGCGCGGAAGGTAGTAAGCGGCTTTTCGATCCCCAAGAGATGCAGAAACTCAAGGATGTCGCGGTTCGTTTGATGGGCAGTCTTGCTCAAAATAGGGAAGAGGCCACCGATGAGGTAAACAATGTTGATGATCTAGAGATAATCCGAGAAGGATTATGCTTCAGGCCTGTAAGTGGTGCTGGTGTTCCAACCATTGGCAAAATTCACGATCTATTGCTGGGAGGGGGGACAAAGGCAAGTTCCAGCGGAGGCGTGTTTATTGCAGCTGGACATGGACCATGGGGTATTTCATTGAGTCTTGGGACGGGCAAAGTCATATCTGAGATGATACAAAAACAAGACACCTCGGTTGATGTAACTGGGCTCGAAGTCAAAAACCAGGATGATACATACACCACTGCTTGAGGGTTTTCGGTTGAATAACCCTTGGAATAAAGACGTCGTTTTCTGACCAAACTGATCATAAATCACAATAGGATTAAAGCAGAATATCAGGAACGAACCTCTATCTAAATATAGGTGAGCAAGCCCTGATAGAACAAAGACCTTAGTATTGTGACGATACGGCCGTGAAATGTCTGATGATCTCATTAGAAGGGAGGCATTATCATACAGAGAGTCTTCATGGCTGCAGAATAATCCTATGCAAACTGTGCCTTATCACTTTGATCTGCAAGCCTGCCTTCCACAGTATTATGCTACGTCTTTACAACGACATCGATTGATGCTTTGTATCCAACACACCGCCTACCCAATTCGCCGTCCATGGCAGAATCCCCGACTGGCCCGTGCGCCTGGATTAGTCACCGGCCTCGACCCCGGGAACTGACCGCCCGCGAATTGACCGCCCCAGAGCTCTCCAGAAACTTCAGGCATTGCATAACCAACCCGCAGCTTTCAAATCAACTTCCTCCCTTCGCTGACATCCACCACCTCGATCGCGAGGTTCAATTCTCTTTAATTTCTCTCTCATCTTCACTGCTGCTCTCGCGCAACCCGAAAATTCGCAGTCATGGCCAATTATCTCGCCTCCATCTTCGGTACCGAGCAGGACAAGGTCAACTGCTCGTTCTACTACAAGATCGGCGCATGCCGCCACGGCGACAGATGCTCGCGCAAGCACGTCAAGCCTTCCTACTCGCAGACTATCCTGATGCCCAACATGTACCAGAACCCAGCCTACGACCCCCAGAACAAGATGAACCCAAGCCAGCTCCAGAACCATTTCGACGCTTTCTATGAGGACGTCTGGTGTGAGCTGTGCAAGTACGGCGAGCTCGAAGAGCTTGTCATCTGCGACAATAACAATGACCGTAAGTTGACCGGTCTCAGTGCAATGGATTTCCCAACAGCCTGCTAATATCTGCCTCCGCGACAATAGACCTCATCGGTAATGTTTACGGCCGTTTCAAATACGAAGAAGATGCCCAAGCCGCATGCGACGCCCTGAACTCCCGCTGGTACGCAGCGCGGCCCATTTATTGCGAGTTATCACCTGTTACAGATTTCCGAGAAGCGTGTTGTCGTCTGAATAGCGGAGAAGGGTGTGTACGTGGAGGGTTCTGCAATTTCATTCACCGCAAAGATCCTTCGGCCGAGCTTGATCGCGAGCTGCGACTGAGCACCAAGAAGTGGCTCAAGGAGCGCGGCAGAGATGCACGCAGCGTCAGCCGCAGTCCTAGCCCTGACCCTGCCCGTCGGCGGTTCTAAAGGTGTTCTGCAGCTTTCTGGATGTTGATTTCATCGACTCTCTTCTTTGATTTGATCTTTTCTTGGCGTTCGGCGATATCAGTGGATGATTCGATTCCGCGTTCCTTGCGCATCGGAGCGTCTAGGGGATGGGGTTTCGGTAATTTTTTTTCCTGATCAGCATTTTGTGTTTCATGGCATGATATCAGAACTTCAAGATGAAATTATGTGCTAGATAGCATAGAACTTTCTATGTCCTTTGTATTGTTCTCCAGGTACTCCATGTATTAGTAGTATAGTATAGTATGCATTCAAGCTATCGTGAAAGCAAGTAATATCTTCCAAGTATACCACAGTAGAAACCGAAGCATTTCCCATACAATCCCAGATTATAAAATATAAAATAGAAGATTCCTTCAACGTGGTCTTTGTCCAATGCGCCGACTCCGCGGCCTTGGCATCCACTTTGATAGTTACGCGAGCGCGTCGGCGCGTCGAATCTGATTCTCAATTCAACCGCCCCAAAACGACCAGCCCAGCTGACACGGCAACATTTACTGTCGCATCTACCCCAGCTGACAATAAATCTACTTGCGACAGTATGGATGCCGCATACGACCACAGCAACCGCGCCTTTCTTCAGGCGTTCATGGCACGTTCGTTCATGACCTTTAAAGAAGCGCAACCAGTTTTGGCCGCAATATTGACAGTTTCCGGTACATTACAAGCGAGGTCTCATGGCCGCACCTGTTGGAATGTCTGCTCACTCTAAAAACAAACAGAGGGCCAAACAGTCGACCCCGAAGATGTCACCGAAGAGCAATTCTCCTCCTACGTTTCAGCAGCCAATACCGCAATTTCACCCTTCGACTTCGAGATCAGAAGCTCATTACTACAAACCCCTCCAACCACAACCCCAGAGGATGCCCCTTCATTACCAGACCGAGTGTACGCCCTCGTCAACACGACAAGTGATCCTCTAACCCAGCTCGCGACAACGTACTCCGCAGACGAAATCGCCTTCCTGAAACGCCTCCTCGACTACATGTTCATCAACAACAACACAGTCCGATGCGAAGGGCTGGCCGCTACCCAAATGCAAGCGGTGCAACTGCACCGAGCTGGCGATACCAGTAGACGACAGTCCCAGGCTGCTGGTACACAACAAACACAGGCTGGAGCACCTCAGTCGCTGCGCATGACGCAGGCAGAGACCATGATCAAAAATTTAATTGAGGAGGGCTGGCTACAGAAGAGTTTGAAGGGGTATCTTAGTCTGACACCGCGCGCCTTGATGGAGTTGCGGGGCTGGTTGGTGTCGGAGTATAATGATGAGACTCGTGAGGGCCACCGAGCGCACCGGATTAAGTTCTGCGCTGCTTGCAAGGATATCATCACTGTGGTGAGTATACCTGACGCTGTATTTTCGTGGAAGCATCTGACTGAATTAGGGGCAACGCTGCGGTGATCTCGAGTGTGGGGGACGTCTTCATGAGCATTGTATGCGAAACTTCTTCCGTATGCAGAAAGGGGAGAATTGTCCTGTCTGCAAGGAAGGGTGGCCGGGCGATCATTATGTAGGCGAGAGAGCCTTTGCTGCTAGGGCACAGCCGAGGAGTATTGCGCAGCCAGACTCCCAGGTTCCTTATTCTAGTATGCCGAACGGTGATGAAGAAGAAGAATCGGATGAGGAGAATAGTGATGAAGATGGATGAAGGATGGTATGGATTGGCTCAATTTCTTATCACTTCTACTGGTCTTGGTCAGCTATGCCGAGGACCCTGCCATTATCACCTAGGGCAGTGAATTTCATCTCACTGCAGAGGGGTTGAAGGGCGGACACAGCCCATAGAGCTTGCTGCAGCATTCGGGCGGCGAGAATTGTCTCGGTGCAAGTTAGACGAATTCTCGACTTGGGCAAACAACACCTCGCCCACCTTCTTCTTCAATGGGAACCCATGTCCAACTCTTCTCGGATGTGTCTGATTTGAACATCGTGTTCCCCTTATCAGTACCGACTACTGATGCCTGTGAGTGCGAGGCCACACGAGTCTTGAATTGAACACCCGAAGATTGTGGTGGAATGACTTGAACTGAGAAAACAGCATTGCCCTAACAGAGACTCAACCGTGTATGATCTGGTGATTTTATCCTGGTAGATATAGCTAGATATAGCAGAGGCAAAATAAATGGACACTTTCTGATCGAAGTATAGACCAGACTGACACCTGAGGCAGAAACATCTCGAACTTATCGTCTTGTCTGCTCCTGGCTTTGCACGCCGCATGATAATTCCATGCTTCATCCATTGTCCATTCAGTTACAAATGAGTTGCCCCTCTCATTTAACTCTAGGCAACGGCCATTTATCGGACTATTACTCAAATGCGAGAGCAACCCCACATAGTCCTCGCGCCAAACCTTCTCTCGGACTCGATGACGACGATCTGGGGAATCCGGCATGGCAACTCCTGTCCGTGGATGCCGACTACGATACTTTTCGGCCATCTTGGCCAATGTCATAGACAATTATGCCTTGCCCCCGCATATCCCGACTATTCCGTAGAGCCGCTCAAGCCTCATACGACACGGCTTGACTGACGCTCGTATAATCCACTTCCTCTGCCAGTCAGATGTGACGCTTCCCCACACTTTGCCATGAGTTGAGGCCTTTTCCTTTATGTACCTGGATCGTCACCCACTTTCCTGGGGAGGGCGCACTTTATCTTTCCTGGCTCTTGCACTTTTTTCCTCACACCCCGCGTTCGCAATATATTAGGTAGAAACTGCCCATATATCGACTTTGAGATACGGCTTCTTGGATTATATCTTCCTGTTAAATCTACCTAGCATCAGAGCTGGTTAGAAACTCGGTGAGACTGCATTATGCAGTTCAAAGTGAGTCTGAAACCCTGTGTCCAGCACGGATTGTGAACTAACTTACTGTCCCCAGTCATTTACATGCGCGGCATTGCCGCTTCTTGCATCTCTGGGAGTTCCTGTTAGCGGAGCACCCAACGGAAGAGTTATAAGAAATGTCCAAAAATACACTGGCCCAGGCCAAGTGGGTAACTTTAGCAAGAATGTGTATCAAACAGGCTTTGACGGCGTGACATGGGACGAAGACAACTGGCTCCTCAGCACGACCAACTTGGAACAAGGTCGCTTTGAAACACGCGGATCTGTTGCAAATGGATACCTAGGTATCAATGTTGCCAGCGCCGGTCCGTTCTTCGAGATCGATAGTCCCGAAGACACTAACGGATGGCCACTTTTCTCTGCCCGCCAGTCCTTTGCGACAGTCAGTGGGTTCTTCAATTCGCAGCCTAATACCAATGGCACCAACTTCCCGTGGCTGTCGCAGTATGGCGGTGACAGTGTGATCAGTGGTTTGCCTCACTGGTCGGGACTGATTCTGGATATTGGCAATAATACATACTTGGATGCGAAGGTGGACAACAAGACTATCTCCAACTTCCGATCCACGTTCGACTTTAAGGCTGGTGTCTTGATCTGGTCTTATAAATGGACACCAGAAGGCGACAAGGGCTCGTTCAAGATTACGTACCGGCTTTTTGCTCATAAGCTGTACATCAATCAGGCTGTGGTGGATATGGAGATTGTCCCATCTACAAAGTCTGAAGCCACCGTTGTGAATGTGATGGACGGAGCCTCTGCCACACGTACCGACTTTGTCGAGACTGGGGAAGACAACGGTGCTATTTTCTCAGCCGTCAGACCGAACGGAATCAGCAATGTCACGGCTTATATTTACACCAATATGACTGGATCGTCGAATGTGGATTTGTCTTCGCGCAAGGTTGTCTCCAACAAGCCATATATTCACGCCAACCAATCTTCCATTGCGCAGGGTGTGACCGTGAAATTCCAGCCGGGTAAAGCTGTACGCATCACCAAGTTTGTCGGAGGTGCATCGACCGATGCTTTCAGCGACCCGAAGAAGACTGCCAAGGAGGCAGCTTCTACTGCGATGAAAAATGGCTATGCCAAGTCTATCAGTTCGCATATCATGGAATGGGCAAGTGTGATGCCCGAAAACTCGGTTGATCACTATGCATTCCCGAACGGAACACTCCCTGCAGACTCCAACATCATCGATGACGCAGTCATTGCCGTGGCCAACACATACTATTTGCTGCAGAATACCGTCGGTAAAAACGCAATCAAGCAAGCCTCGGGAGCACCAGTCAACGTGGACAGCATTTCAGTTGGTGGCCTGACCTCGGAATCTTATGGTGGTCAGGTCTTCTGGGATGCCGATGTATGGATGCAGCCTGGCCTTGTTGCTTCTCATCCCGAGGCCGCCCAGCGGTTCACGAACTTCCGTGCCGCCAAGTATGAGCAGGCACAGGCGAACATTGAGACCAAGTTCTCAGGGTCGCAGAACCAGACGGAATTTTCATCCTCGGCTGCCATTTATCCATGGACTAGTGGTCGTTTTGGAAATTGTACGGCGACTGGTCCTTGCTGGGATTACCAGTATCATCTGAATGGAGATATTGGTATTTCGTTGATTAACCAGTGGGTTGCCAGTGGTAACACACAGCTTTTCAAAGAGAAGCACTTCCCTATTTATGACTCTGTGGCCACTCTCTATGCGGATTTGCTGGTTCGAAATGGCTCTTATTGGACAATGACTAATATGACTGATCCTGTGAGTAATTGAGATTCAACAGTGTGAAGTGACCGACTGACGATATTTAGGATGAGTATGCAAATCATGTTGACGCGGGCGGCTTCACGATGCCTCTCGTCGCAGAAACACTTCGATACTCAAACTCATTCCGCCAGCAATTTGGACTTGAGGAGAATGGAACCTGGGACCAGATGGCTGATAGCGTGCTGGTACTTCGTGATAATGATGTGACTCTTGAATTCACTACCATGAATGGCAGCGCCGTTGTTAAACAGGCTGATGTGGTCATGGTCACCTATCCGCTGGATTATACTGCCAACTATACCTCCCAGAACGCACTGGATGATCTGGATTACGTGAGTATCTGTCTATGAGCCCTATCGAGAGTTATTACACAACTAACCTAGCATAAATAGTACGCCGCCAAACAGTCGGCTGATGGCCCAGCAATGACTTGGGCTATCTTCTCAATTGTTGCGAACAAGATGTCTATGTCCGGCTGCTCGGCTTATACATATGCCCAGTATTCATACAAGCCTTATACGCGTGCGCCATTCTTCCAACTATCGGAGCAAATGGTAGACAATGCCACGATCAACGGCGGTACACATCCAGCATACCCCTTCTTGACCGGACACGGTGGTGCCAACCAGGTTTCCCTCTTCGGTTATCTTGGATTAAGACAGCTGCCCGATGACATCCTCCATGTCGATCCCAACTTGCCACCTCAGATTCCCTACCTGAGATACCGTGACTTCTATTGGCACGGATGGCCCATCTCCGCTTGGTCGAACTATACTCACACAACCATCCGTCGTGCCATTCGCACCGCGCCCCTTGATACTGCGAACCCCAAATTCGCCAACAGGACCATTACCATCAATTCCGGTCCCGACACAGATACCACCGTGTATCAGCTCCCGATCAAGGGCACAGTAGTCATCCCGAACAGACAAGTCGCCTCCTCAAACACAGTAGCCGGCAACCTCGTCCAATGCCAGCCCATAATTTCCACAGACGCATTCGAGCCCGGCCAATTCCCCCTCTCCGTAGCCGATGGCGCAGCCTCCACAAAATGGCAGCCCTCCCTCGCGGCCAACGTGAGCGCCGTGACAATCTCCTTCCCAGACTCAAAAATCGGCACTCCAGTCTCAGGCTTCTACTTCGACTGGGCCCAAGCACCACCAGTCAACGCAACCGTCATCTTCCACAACAAGACTCTCCAAGATCCCACCTTGGCCCTCCGTTCAATCAACAGCTCCGACTACGCAGTCGTCTCCACCTTGACAGACATCACACAGTCCCACCCGTACACCTCGACCACGGACCTGGACACAATTGCCATTCCCACGGGCAACTCAACAAACGTCACACTCTCATCGCCTGTCCCCGCGACCAGATACGCGTCTCTCCTCATCATCGGCAACCAGGGACTCGACCCCATCGATGTGGAAGCCAAGAATGGAACCGGTGCCACTGTTGCCGAGTGGGCTATTATCGGACAAGACAGGCAGAGCGATACTTCCAGTTCTAGCTCTCAGCCTACTAAGAGAAAGATGGATCTGCGTGATGCTTCTGCTCTCGCGGATATTGACTCGTTTGTTCGTCGGAAGCGACAGCTTCTTTCTTTGAAGAAAGGCAGGGCCGGTTGATATCTTCTGTTTGATTATGCAAGGCTTGTAAGAGATCGATGAAGAGGTTACTTTTATGCTTTGTACAAAATATATAGCTCAATGCAGACTTCTCGTTCAGTACGATCACAAGTGGATGATTTTTAACTAGAAACGGCTGCCTTTCTACCTGTGACTTTGGACATCAAGACATCTTCCCAGTCCTCCATAAATCGTTGAATCCGCTTCTACAACTTGAGAAAAGCGACAAACATGTCTTTTCAAAGTCTCAGCGGATGATTAACCATGAACCGTGTTTCTATTTGGAGACAAGTGTCAGTTTCTTAGCTATTGTCCTTCTGAAATCCTTTTTTCGAAAGTAATCTTTTTCATCCTTTTGAGACTTCGGAAGTGGCTGATGCTCCTGCCGAACTTCGTTATAAAGCCGGATGAAATGAGGCGAACTCTATTGTCATAAGACGTAATGACATGGGTCCTGTTTACACCCACGGGCACAATGCTAGGCTCTAGCAAAGAGAGTGTAATCGCTAATCGAGTCTAGGTTAAGGAGTCGGCTTAAGCTCTAGGAAGCTTGGTTCCGCTCTAGGGAATTGTGATATCTATAGATGGACCTCTCTTCTATCGATTTAGGTACAGCAGAGATAAAGCTATCGATAGAAGTATAAATAACTCTGAACTAACCTCGTCACGGTATTATAGCAATCCTGGTATAGTTTAAAGCATTGACTCAGAAATGAGTGCAAGATAGAGAAGCATAAGAACAAGTGAGACAAAGGAGGAGCAGCGAAGACGGATCTTTTATGTTCGAGAGCACACAGCAATCGACAAGTCGCATAAGTTACTATTGTAAAAAAGAAATTTATATTCACATTCTAGCATCATGATGGAATCAAACACCCTACTCATCCAAGGCAAACCGATCCAAGAACTTAAAAGTCCTCAAACCCTCCTTCAAATCCTTCACAAACTCCCCCGGAACACTCTTCCCAGCATAAACACCCTCTCTCTCCTTCGAGATCCCCCCAGCCCGCAAAGCAGCAGCCCCACCCCCAACAGCACCAACAGGCTTCCCAAACCGGAAAGCATCCAACAGAATATCCAAAGGTCTGCCAGCAGGATACAGCGACGTAGCAGCCGACCCCTTCGCCTTCGGGGCGGCAGCAAAAGACCGTGCAGAGAACAAGCCCTCCGCACCATCCGCAACAACAACCGCATCAAACTGCACCGCATCCGAAGCCGAATACGTCTGATTCACATTCTCCGCCATCCTCTCCGCAACAACAACGACATCCACACCCGCCGCCGCAAGCCCGGCCCGCAGCGTCGCGCCCTGCGCGATCGACGAGCCATTCACGACAGAAGCAAGAAGACCGACCTTCAGCCCGTCCAGCTTGGACAGTTTCTGCCCGAAGGCGCCGATGTGCGCGGTCGTGTTGGAGTGGTAGTATGTTGGGTCTGGGTCGGGGGCGGCGACGCCAATGGCGCTGGCGACGCGCTTGGCAAGGTCGTTGCTGATGCGGTTGAGTTGGATGATGACGTTGGTGCGGACGACGTCGCTTTTGACGTTGGAGTTTTCGAAGCGCATGGCGTCGACGACGAATTGTTGTTCGGCGGGTACGAGCGAGTTCCAGAAGAGGCGGGGCTGGGACCAGGCGTCTTCGAAGGTCGAGCTCTTGGAGCGCGTGAGGGCGCCTGTGGTTGTTCGATCGGGTGCCGTGAAGAAGCCGTTGCCGGTGGTTTGGTTGGCTTGTTTGGGCGAGCCGGCGTTTTGGGTGTTGGGGCTGTAGGCGTCTTTGTTGAGTGGGATGTACATTTGGCCGGCGCCGTCGCGGTTGTTGTTGTGGATTGGAATTCGGGGGCGGTTAATTGGGAGTTGCTCGAAGTTGGGCCCGTTGTGGCGGTTGAGTTGCGTGTCTAGGTAGGAGAAGATTCGGCCTTGGAGGAGGGGGTCTTCGGTGAAGTCGATGCCGCGGACTATGTGGCCTGGTTGGAACTGGGGGTTGTTAGCATGGGTTGTTTATATAGGGTGATGGTTGAGGGTGGAGGAGGTCATATACCATGGCTTGTTCGGTCTCGGCGAAATAGTTCATCGGGTTGCGGTTCAGTTGCATCTTGCCCAGTTTCGTGACGGGCACGAGTTCCTCAGGGACGATCTTGGTAGGATCCAACAGATCGAATCCGAACCGGAGCTGGTCCTCTTCGTCCATGATTTGAACACCGAGCTAGTAAGGCGTTAGCTGGGAATTACCAATTACCTCAGGGGACAGGAGCCTGCAAGTACATACCTCCCACTCAGGGAATCGACCAGCTTCAATAGCTTCGAATAGATCCTGACGCATAAAGTCGGCGTTTTTACCAGCAGCCTGTTGGGCCTCTTCCCAGACAAAGCTGGCTTTGCCCTGCAGACCCTTCCAATGGAACTTGACAAGCTTGGAAGCACCCTTGTCGGTGACCATGCGGAAGGTATGAACACCAAAGCCATCGACATGACGGAATGAACGAGGAATACCGTGACCAGCCATTGCCCAGAGGAGAGTATGCAGAGTACTCGGCTGCTGACTGAAGAAATCCCAAGCGGAGTCGTGCGCAGTGGCAGCTTGGGGAATCTCATTGTCGCCGCGGGGCTTGACGGCGTGAATGAGATCTGGGAATAGGATGGCGTCCTGGATGAAGAAGACGGGAATGTTGTTTCCAACGATATCTATTTGAAATGGGAATCTCGGGTCAATTGCATCCTTTCAAAGAGAACCAATTCACTTACCAAAGTTGCCTTCGTCTGTGTAGAATCGCGTGGCGAAACCGTGTACATCTCGTGCTGTATCGGCACTTCCACGACTTCCAGCAACGGTAGAAAAGCGCGTGAACATGGGAGTTTGTTTGCCCTTGGCAGAAAGGAAAGAGGCCGCTGTGAGGTTGGACCAGTCTCCATAGGATGTGAAAGTGCCATGGGCGCCGGTGCCTCGAGCATGGACCGCCCGTTCGGGTACCTAGGGTGAAGTGCATGAGCTTGTGATTTCCTCTCCAAGTATCGTGTTCACGGGAACATACCCGTTCATGGTCGAATCGCTGGATCTTCTGACGGAAGATGAAATCTTCAAGCAAGGTGGGCCCACGCTCGCCTGCTTTGAGACTGTTTTGGTCTTCAATGGGACCTCCAACATCCGAAGTCAGGTAGACATCTTGGTCGTCAAGGTAGAACTGGGAGAGGAATTCCTCCGTCGCGGCAGCATCGCCATCACTACGACGTTCGATGCTGTGAGGACTGTCGGCGATATCGCCTGTCATGTAAGGACAAGCAGCATTGGCAATGCCAACGAGGCCCGTGAAGAGCGCGAGGGCATGCATCATGACAGAAAGTACAGTTCAAAATACAATTGGAAAGCTCGGCCTCGATTGAACCTGTCGGAGCGAAAAGCAGCTACGAAACGGAGACGCAAAGCTCAATTTATATGCATGCGACCTTGAGAGAAATGAAAATAATTCGTCCAGGACATCTGCGAACCAATGGGAAGCTGGACTAGAAGCAGCATGATGTATAATCCAGGCACCACATGGGGTGGCACGGGCTGGTGATTCTCCAACCAGGTGAGAGATGATTATTTCAGCATGACGGCCTAGGCCAGTGTGAGATCGAATCATAGTCATACTAGTAAGTAGTGTCGGTCCGTAGTCGGGGTCGATCATGTCTTTCACGGTGAGCCAAGGAGAGAGCACGGTGGGGCATTATGCATGCTGCCCTCCGGAAGACCGTTGGCTCACGGCCGAAATGAAAGCAGCAAGGGTTATTGGACTTGGATAGACAGTGCAGCCCATGTCCGACTAAGTATTGCGCTATTGGACAACTAGGCAGCGATGAACACGCCTTTTTAAAATGTATGCAGCAATTGGATGTCTCGGGTTCGGTAAATTCTCTTATACGAGAACGCGAGAACGCGAGAAAATGAGAATACAGAAAACCAGAAACCAGAAACCAGAAAGGTGGGATCTGGAGTGGGTTGATGTCCATCGGATTAGAAGATGAGGCGGTCGAGCCCGAGGTGCTTGGTAATGGGAGCCTCTGGACCTCTCCACCACAGGGAGTCCTTGGCATCTTCTTGGATTTGGCATTAGGGATGATGTAGGATGATGTAGGATGATAGGGGGGACTGTCTTGATACAGTTCGCGTACCCTTGAAACATCCACGGGTTGTCTCCTGTGGATCGGTTCATTAATCCCCGACCATACATTGCGTCTGCATCTGTACCGCAGCGGACAGTGGACAGTCAACGGTCGACCACCTGCACGTCGAGTCAAAACTTGAAAATGCGACAGGGATGTGGCGCCCAATGCCCAGGAACTTCTGCAGCTTATCCCTGCGACGCACATCTCTTGCTGTTTTGAGACTCGCCTGCTACCCCTGTGAGTGTTGATTTGCTAGGAGTTCTGATAGTCCCTGGGAGTGTCTGGGGTATTGAGGGGAGGGATATAATTAGAGAGTGACCTACTCTGCATTAATCCCGCATGGCCCACTGCTCATGTGTAGAGTGGTGTCGTGGTTCAAGTGTTGTCGAGCTGTGCCGTGGCCCAAGGCGGAGATGCTTGGCACGGAAATGGAGTCAAACCTGCGCGATAGATCAACAGTGAACTTGGACTAAGGAGAACGTGGTAGCAGTGGCAGATTTCCCCAATTTCGAGTCTAAACAGAGGGGTACTGTAATTTCTCCCTCTACAGTAAAATCCAAGTGTCTCAAATTGGACCTGATAGCGCACACCTAGCCTCCAAAACTAGTACAGCGAAGCAGAATCGTCGCATCGAGCACGGAGTCCCACTCCAACAAATACCACAGACGTGATGCACACTGCCAAGTCCTCTATTTCCTACTGTAATCCCTATTCCACCCCAATTACAGTCTCCCCATGGAAGCAGTATCCCCCGGTTTCGCAGGGTCACTAAAATCCACAAACCCATGCCTCTCATAAAGCGGCGCACCAGCTTTACTCGCATCAACATAAGCGCCGTCGCCCTCCCGATCGGCAACATCACATCCCCACTGAACAAGCGCAGCGCCCGCTCCGCAACGCCGGTAGTCAGGATGTGTCCCGAGCATATCCAGATCTAAAAACACACAAAAAAAAGCTTCAAGTTAGCCAGATCGAACTACAATTCTGCACAGTACAGTCTAGTACTGGTCAACACAGAAAACCAGGGGCCATCGAATCCATACAATAATGCTTCCGGCCTCCCATCACCCGCACACGATCCTTCTCCAACTTCCCAAAGAACGCATCGCAGTCTGCAGCAGGCATGTCCGCGTGCCAAGGCGGGAATCGAGGACCGCGCTGGTCGGGCATGGAGAGATCCCATTTGGCGTAGGCGGCGAGTCGGGGACGGCCGTCCGCGTCGGGGCTGGTTGGGTCGCTGATTTTGAGATATTTCTGGTATGGCTTTTGGAGCATGTCGTGGTGGTTGGCTTCGGTCATCCATTGGCGCATGCCTGGCGTGTCTGGCATGAGGTGGTTCATGCTCTCGTTGAAGACGGTGAACCAGAGGTTTGTGATTGCGGGGATGTCGTCTGGTGTGGCGAGTTCGAGGATTAGGGGGGATTTGAGGGTCATTTTGGGATGTTCTTGGTTATTTTTCTTTTTTTTTTTGGTACTTTTAGGTGGTGGTCTGTATGTATGGTGGGTGGGTTGGTGATGTTGAGGGGCGGAGGTGTCTACAGTACAGTACATGTACTGTCTATACTGGTCTGACTCGGTGGGATTAACTTAGTCCGACTGGCGGTCAGGGTCGATTCCAAAGTCAATTCGATCGCATTTGGAATGTGACTGGTGACGCTCCTCTGCATTGCATGGAAATGCATCGATCCGAAAGGAATTCTTATGCTGACTGGTCTGCCGATCTCGGCGAACTCTACTGCTGAACTTCTACTAACGTTATACTGTAAGCATGAATCGAGGGGTCTGAGACCCGCGACACTTCATTGTGGTCTATGTCTATAACTATATACATCAGTACTGCGTACTTGGAATTAGTATTTGGGGAAAGTGGGATAGTTCCAGCTCTGTCCACTCTTGATCAACTGCGAATCGACGCCGTTGCTGCCGCTGCTGACGTGCAACACCTTGGTGAAGGCCACCTGGGAATAGTAGGTGAATGACACTCCGACGGGGATGAAGGCAACATCACCCATGAACAGGGTCGCGACGGGGTAGTCACCAATCTGGATCATGAGCACACCCTCCACAACCTCAAAGGCAGCAGCTCCGGGCAGGGTGTATGTAGGGGCGTTGTCCATGGTTTGGCGGCTGAGCGAGATGGTCGACAGAGTGTAGTTGGTATCCTGAGCCTGGGTGGGAGTGACCAGAGGCTGGATGACCTGGTATCCGAACTTGGAGTTGAGGTACTTGGGGCCGTAGCTGTTGGCGATGAAATAAGGCTGAGCTGGGGAGCCGAGGGCGTTGGCGCCGGTGTGCCACTCGGAGTTGTCAACTGGTGCTGTGCCGTTGACCAAGTCGCGACGGGGCTCAAAGCCCAGTTTGGCGTAGACGTCGAACTGCTGTAATGAAGAAATGACACTGGCATCGGGCGACGAAGAGCTGTTGGAGTGGGCGGGAACATAGGGCGTGTCGGTGCTCGAGGTGTAGTTTGTTCCGAGGGCATAGAACAAGTCCCTGCATGAGGGTTAGTACATCTCAAGTATGTTTTCACACATCAAGTTCTTACTCAAAGCCACCAGGGACAATCACACCGACCATCTCAGTGTCGGGATCCAAGATTTGAAAGGTGTGGGTGGTATTCCTCGGAACGGAACCATAGTCACCCTGGGTGAGCAAACGAGCCTGTTGCTCATTCGAGTCCTTCTGAGCCCAAAGCTGGAACCGGCCCTTGAAGTTGAAGAAGTTCTCATAGTGCTTCTGGTGAATGTGCGGCAACACACCCAAAGAACCACTAGAAGGCGCATTGGTGCTCATCAAAGTGAACGCATAATCAGAAGAGGGACCAGTAACTGTAAAGCGGTACAGCTGGTCACCAACAGTGACAGCATGCGAGTTGGCATAGTGCGGGATGACATAGGGGCGCGGAGACGAAGGCGCATTCTCCAGGTAAAGGTCTTCGAGGGTAGCTGATTGAGCTAGACCAGCGCCGAACGAGGCCAACAGCAAAAGAGAGGATTTGATCATCTTGAAATGTCGGATATCCGGGATGTTTCGATTGCAAAATCCATTCCCTGGGTTCTGCAATATGCTATATAAAGAGGAAGGACTCGGAAATGCCGCGGCAATTAAACTAGAAGCCGATTCTTCAGGAACAGACGCGGAGCCAAAGGCATGGGATCCACACTCTGCACGAGTTTGGCATCAAGATCTGGCAAATCAGGAGAATTCGACCTGAGACCACCTCGGCAAATCCGGACAAACCGTCAGGGTGTTCAAGGGATGATTTCTTTCTTGCGTAGACTGGATCCACTGGCAGCCGATCGTCATTAATCTTTGCCGAATCTTCTCCCGGTCCGCTGTGGCTTGAATAGCAGGGAGTCTTCGGACGGACCGGCTCCATTCATCTGTCTCCGAAATGAAGACTGCGGAGAAGGTGACATCGTTTCATATTGAGCTCATGCCGTCATATAGTGTATCACCGGGCGAAGCAGTGAAGTGCTTCGCGTGGGGCAGTTTCAGGCTTGGGGGCATCTGAAGTCTAGGAGTCTACAGGAGGAGTTGCAGGGTTAGAACTGTTCGACTGTTATTGACGGCAGCTGTTCAGGGACAGATGTTTCAAGAATCGGGTTTCATGCACAGTTATCCACTTTCCGTGCCGCAACGCCTCCGACAGTTTGCTGCGGCGTGGCGTCGGGGCTCCGGCCGCCATTTCCGAAAGCTCATGACTAAGCGGAGATCAGTACAATAAGTCAAGTACAAAAGTACAGTGAAGTTGTTCCCAAGGTCACAATGCCAATAGATCTAAGCAAGCCCATGAATCTGCCCCACCAAATCAACAACGGTCTCCTTGAACGGCCGATACTGAACCCCCAGCTCCCGACTAACAGTCTCCCCATCAACCCCATACGAGGCAACCGGCTTCTCACCCATCCTGTAATTACCCGTCACACTCTCCACCCCCCACTCAAACTCACCGCGAATAATATCCGCCGCAAGCTCATAAGAAAACGGCTCCGGCGAAGCAGGAAGGAACCTTCTCCCACCTGCCTCGGGAGTAAGCAACGCACGAACATGCGCCTCGGCAAGATCGCGCGCATCAATCCACGCTGGCACTCGCACACCGGGCAGGGGATCGATGCCAGCGGCTACGCTCCACAGCACAGCGTTGGACTCATTGAGGTCGGCCGCTGTTGGGACGGGATGAACGACTGGACCGAAGACCATTGGCGGGCAGAGGGTTACTAGGTCGAACGGGGGGTTGTGGTTTTGCATGAATTCCCAGGCTGTCTTTTCGGCGAACTTTTTGGAGCCACGGTATGCGATGACGGAGCTTGAGTCTGGGGAGATGGAGGTTGCGTATGTCAGTGGGTTCCAGTCGGCGGCTGTGTAGGTGAAGTCTGGGGGTGGGGTGGTGGTTACGTCGATTACGGCGGCGAAGGAGGAGGTTAGGACGATGCGCTTGATGCTGGTTCCTGGTTTGGATGAGGCCGAGAGGATGGATTTCACGCCGTTGATTGCTGGCAGGACCAGGTCTTGTTCGTTGTTTTTGGTGTCGTAGAAGAATGGCTGGGATTGAGGTTAGCCTGTGCTGACTTGTTTCTATGGTTGGGTGGGAATTGGGCGAAGGAGGTGTAACTGGAAAGGCATACGCTGGCTACATGAATGACTGCGTCGATGCCATCCATCGCTGAATCGAAGACTCCGACCTTGGTGAAGTCTTCCACCACGACGAAATCGAGCTTGGAGGCATATTCGGGACGGGCTGCTTTCATCTGATCACCCTTGGCCCTGGATCTTGTTGATCCTCGCACCGAGAATCCGCGAGCCAGCAAGTTATCGACGACATGGGCGCCGATGAACCCTGTTGCACCCGTGACGAGGACGTATCTGTAATTGTAAGTATCGATCGACCTGACAGACAGGGATATGCATACGAAATATTCTGAGCAGACATTTTGAGAGTATATGACTGAGATGAAGTCAATGTGGCCGGTGTTGAAGCAAACCCCGCGTGGGGGAGTTCGGAGTAATTGCGAGTAAGTGGGATGACTTCCCCACGCCGAGGCAAATAGTGTGGGGAGATTGTGATATGGGGAAATGATGGTATAGAGCAGAGAATATGTTCAATTAATAGCATTGTACAGTTCGATCATGGGTTAAGAGTTTCAGCCTGCCAAGTGCCATCTATAAACCTCGTATATACACTTTATTTCTCCTGCAGCACCTCTTCCGTGGTGCGAAGTACAATATCAAAGGCATTGCGAACATTCTTTTCCTCAGCTAGAGGATTAGCACTCACAACCCGGATCACATAAACACCGTCAATGACAGTAGATGTGATAAAGATCTCTCCGCGGGAGTTGATCAACTCATATACCTTCTTAGTCAGGGCATCAGCACCTTCATCCCTAACAGCGCGCTCAGATGAGCCATTAGCTCCGTCGGAGGATGATTGAGGATTCCTGAGACGGAACACAGTCAAAGCGAAGCCAGGCTTTGTTACAATTTCAAACAGATCCGAGCGACTGCGCACCAAGTCGGCAAAGATGTCACCAAAGCCGATAGTCTTGCGGATGTGCGCCTTCATGCCGTTCAGACCGTAGCTTCGCATCACGAACCAGACCTTCAATGCGCGGAATCTGCGACCAAGGGAAATTGACCAGTTGCGGTAATCAATGACTGTACCCATATCCGAGTAGGGGTTACGTAGGTATGTGGGCGTGATATCGAGCGCATTGGTAAGGTCCAAGCGGTTCCGAACGTAGAGAACACTGATGATCGTCAGATTTATGTTTCTGTTGCGCGAAATTGTCAGTCGTTGAACTCACCTGGCATCAAAGTTCACCAGCAGCCACTTATGCATGTTCATGTTGAAGCTGTCAACACCCTCCGCAAAGTCCTTGGTAATGTACTGCCACTCATCTGCAACCAGCGAAGCACCAGCATAAGCGGCATCGACGTGAACCCAAATACGCTGCCAATGAGGCTTCTCCTGTAGAACAGCCTTGATCTCCGCAAAGCGATCCACACTGCATGAGTTTGTAGTACCAAATGTCATGGTGAGGTGATAGGGAGTAAGACCATCCTTATCACACTTCTCAAGGACTTCCCGTAGACGCGGTCCAGTCATCTCCATATTATCTTCCAGCCTGGCAGTGACGCTGCGGAAGCGAGTGCCCGCAATCAAAGCCCCCTTAGCTCCACTGCTGTGTGTCTGATCACTGGCAATGGCAACGAGCTTGCCTTGGACATCGAATTTCCGATCTTCATACTCAGGTGTACCTTCTTTCAATCCATCGGCCAGTAGAACCTCCCGCACACGTCTCTCTCGTGCAGCGACGATGATAGTGGCGATGGCATCACTGGCACTGTTCTGGATTACACCACCACCATGTGTCTCGGATGTGCTCAGGAAGCATTCTGGCAATGCTAGAGCCTTGGCCACCCAGTCCATAACAATCGTTTCCATTTCTGTGCATGCTGGGGAGCAAAGCCAATTGAAGGCTGGTGCGGTAAAGGTAGCTGAGTACATCTCGCCTAGGATGCTGGGGTAGGTGACGCTGGCTGGATAGTATGCCATGAAGTTGGGGGATTGCCAATGGGTCAAGCCAGGTTTTATCTTTGTGTCGACATCTTCCTGGATTTGAGCCCAGGCTTCTGGCTCCTCTGGGGGGTTCTCGGGGATAAGAGGGCGAAGATATCCGGGGTCGACGGCTGGGAGAACCCTGCGCTCGGGGACTGATTCGAAGTACTTGACGACTGGGAAAGCATGAGGTCAGAATGAAAATCTAGTTGACTACTGTTATATCGCACATACTGTCGTCAATGGCTGAGTGAGCCGCATCACGGAACTGATTGTGATCCATGCTGCACGTCAATTGAATGTGTGCGGCGCGGGGAAGTGGGGCAATTGCAAAAAGAACGAATAGCTCGAAATCACTAAGTTAGGGATAGTTTGCGAAGCTGTAGGATAATGAATAGGAGGGAAACAAATAGGTGTCAAGGAAAAGTTCATGGGTGAGAAGGAAAAATAATGTCAACCGCAAGGCGCGAGGAATTAATTCCGTCGGAAGCGATTCCGTTTTCCGATCGGGAAATTCCGTCGTTCCGGGGAAAGTATACAAAAGTGCATCTAAACCTCCGTTCAATCCTCCTCTTCTTGAGGATCATAGATATCTCCAGCAGGAGTCTTCTCCAGTATAGTCCCATCCGCCAACACGATCTCCTTGCTAGGAACCACCACCACAAAGATTCTAGCAACATCCTTGCCCCGATTAACCCATTCATGGTTCACCCCCCGACATACAATGACATCGTGCTGATTCAGGATCGTTTCTTTCCCTCCATCGGTAATGAGCCCAACAGTGCCAGAAAGCACAATGCCGTAGTCTAAGCTCAGCGTACGGTGGAACCAGCCTGCGTCGGCAGGCGGCAGATCAATGATACGACAAGACGGTCCCTTGGTATCGGCGAGAGGAACGAGTGTCTTATGTGGATCAGCCACAGCTTTCATATTGTCCACTGGGAATCCACGCGACCGGTGAATTTGAATAACGCCAAAGCCAGAGTCGGGGCCTGGCGTAGAGAAGACTGGCGCGGTGTTGGGATCATAGGGCGTTAAGATGTCGTCTGCAGCAAAATGGCCCTTTCCTTCAGCATCGTGGCTGGCAATGACTCGACGAATTGGAGTATCCATGTTTGTTTTGGTTGTCAAAGAGAGGGAATTGCAAACTTGAGATTGTTCTGCTGTTCAATTGAGTGGTACTATGCCGCCTTAAATAGTACGTTTCCTGATCCATGAACCTGGCTTTTATTTATTGACAATTGTTTCGACTGGCTTCGGAATGTCACCAGGTGGGGGCTGTTGAAATGATTGATAATCTCGAGATTTATAATATGGGGGCCAAACCCCTCAACATCCCATCCCGTACATCTTGATAATTGATTGGACTTTCGAATGCCAGGGCTGCTTACTTTTCTGTGATGATCCACATAATATCAAAAATTGGCAAGCAGGTTCGTCAAAGGAGTAAAGTGTGCTTATAAACTTCGGCTATGGCGTCTCGTCGTGATTGGTGATGCCCATCATTGTACTAACCTTCTTTAGATGAGTTGAAAGCCTTCGGGATAACCTCGAGAACGAAATCGCCGAAGCAAATTGGCTCTTTATAGTTCTCCCTTCTTTCGTCTTTTTCGCCATCTACCTTGATGCTAGATGTTCTTTTCAGGTGTTTTGGAATTCCTGGGGACACGAATCATACCTCGCTACTATTAAACAACAATTTCTACGCTCCACACATTATCAGCACAGCTGACGACTAGGCGATGCTGTTATGCGGCCAATTCACCACAAGGGCAAGGTTATTCAATAGCAGCAGTCATTCAGAATCTCCGATAAATCTATTCTTCTTTATTATCCGGCTTATCATAGTCATCCTCGTAAACTTCCTCCCCCAGCTCTTTACCCTGAATAGTCAATTTATTCATCGGCAAAAAGACAAACAACATCCGGCACCACTCCTTATCACTTCGATTCCGAAACGAATGTGCCGTCCCCCTCTGCACACTAACATCACCCCGATGCATGTGCCTTTTCGCGCCCGAATCCAGTACCAGATCGACCTCTCCCTCAAGTATCACGCCATAGTCGACGCTGACCGTCCGATGCATTGGCGTGGCCTTTCCAGGCCGAAGGTCGATCATCCGGAAAATTGTCCCTCTTTCGGTCGTGATGCCCGGCGGTTGATGCAGGAACTCGTCATACATGGCTACATCGGCTTCGTCGTCGACTGAGGCCGGCATACTGGTTGTAGCGTACAGCAGGGCGATCTCGCCATCTTCCCCGGCTGGCTTTGAGGGGAGGTAGTCGGGTACCTGGGCATGGGAAAGAAATACTGCTTCGCCTTCGGTGTTGTGGGTTGTGATATAGCGGTGGATGTAGGGGAGGTCGTTCTTCTTGTATGGGAACATTGTGAGTTACTCGAAATGGTATTGGAAGAAAGAAGTGATTTTGAAAAATTAGTCTCGTGGAATGGAGGGCATAGTATTGAGATTTGAGCAATTCAATCACATCATGGTGGCATCATAAATTAAAATACGGATGTTATGTTTACATTGGTTCCAGGTTTAAGAAAACGTTACGGATACACCAGCTACAGACAACTATAAATTAAGCAACTAGCCCGGGGAAACGAAGCTCTCACACTTTGATTTCATCACTTCAAATAAAGCTTCTTATTCATCATTCTAAAAACTAAAGTACTAGCGTATCGTTTAATGCATTCATCCACACTGAAGACCACCATAGAAGGGCTCGTCATTTTTCTTAACAGCGACAGCATCATTCCAACACGTGTTAGATGCGAATGTAGTAAAATCTGTCTCATTGAGCTGTTCCAACCTGCCGTTTTGGCAGGTTGGATGGCTAACTGTCTGAGTAAGCTACACCCTGACGAGGACTAAATCCATACATCATTGTGTTCCTCCATGTCATCCGTAATGAATTAATCCATACAGTTTGGTATGTTTGGTCGTTCACTTGTCCTGCTCAGAACTGTCCGATCTGGTTTCGATCCTTTCTTCCAGCAATTTGTCCAGCTTGTTCTGGATTGTTCTGGTGGAATTATTGGATGGTTGTTGTCTAACACACTGCTCTAGGTTGGGAAAAACATAGTTTTCTGGTTGATTCTTGAGATGAGGTCCAGTGTCTAGGCATAATACTGGATACGGTGAGGCTCCCAGCTGCATGTAACAGCACGTGCCAATCACAGGGCTCATCACAACTCATCCTTGTTCAAAAAGTCCTTCATCTCTTCAGCAAACTGATATGTATTTGCCAGTTGCATGGAAGCGATTCTCGTCGCGTCCGACTTTTGTGTGGTGGAAAACCTTGCCCAGAAGATAGGCTTAAGTCGCAACGGAGATCTGCATGTGTTTTGGGCATGTATAATAAGGGTAGTGCTGAAAAACCACCCCCAAAATAATTAAATCTGACCGATAAACTAGCGGGATTTTAGTGCTTTTTGGGTATTGGAATTTACATCAAATTTTACATCAAATTTTACCTCAAATATGGCATCGAATTCTTGGCATTTTAATGAATCCGATGGACCATCAGTCCTCGCGGGGTAACCCACCAAAAACCCGACTTTTGCTAAGTGTGTAGGGTCCATGCATCAGGGTATCCGAGTCTGCTAGCAATCTGCTACCTAAATCATGTACCCTGAGTGTCTAAGTCCTGTAACTCACTTGCTCTATCAGATGAAAGTTAGAAAATTGCGAAAAGAATGGAATGCTTTGACTTTAATTGACAGAACCTAGGGACATGAAATACCTCGATTTGATATGCTGCCACATAGTAAGATTGCGTCCTGCTTGCCCACTAAGCCCAAAAATTGTAACTGATGTGTTCATTAAAATGTCTTCCAGTAGCAACATGGAAGGGTTGTTATGTGGGAGGCCGGAGTTGACAGGCTGCTCTATATGCTCGAGCAGAGAAGCGTAAATTTGCGTATTGGGGTGATGACCGATTTGCATGAGCCGGTCATACCAGGCTTGAAGCCCTTGCGGAATTCTTGGACGTATCGCAGGATGTGTCATTCTTCTCGCTTCGTTGTTCAAGGTTGATTGATTAAGGATAATAGCGCAACGGGCAGAACACTCACCTTTGTGGTTACCCTCCAACTCACATTTAAAATTCAAAGTCCATCACAAATCTGTCATCAACCCGTCATAAGAGCTATTATTGTCTCAAGGGATTGCTTATATCCATGGTATATCGCAACATAAATAGAAGCTGCCTTAATTCAAACATTTGTAGGCCTAGTATGCATTATGCAATGGAGAAGAAGCTTTGGACGAAAAGTTAGTATGATATTTCCCGAAACGGCTAGACGATACCGTAAATGTACTAGCGGCGGCCGACGATCACCGACAGGTCCCATACAAATCTCCGCCCATTCCAATCCACAACCGACTGTCGATTTCATTCAAACATGTCAGCGGCCGCCACTGCGAAGTCTCCTAATGTATGCGCCAACTGCAAGGCCCGCAAGAAACGATGTGACAAGTCTCTGCCGCGCTGCCGCTACTGCGATGAGTACCATGCTGCTTCTACTCCAACCCAGGATTGAAATACCCGCTGACCCACAACCCACTATAGCCACAATCTACCCTGTCGGTATCAGACATTGAGTCATAGTCCGCGACATCGAGTAATCGCAGATTCCGTCCTTGTGCGCGCAGCCAGTCCTCAGTCCCAAAGTGGCATCTCGAGAACCCCTGGTGCTCTACGAGCTAACAACCCTGTCAGTGCATCCACACAACTACTTTTCGACAGCCTCGCATGCAGCGCGCATATTCCCCGCGGGCCACCAGTCTCGACGGTCGAGTCCACACTATGTATTCAGGCTCGGCGGTTGCTCGAAACTACGGGGCTTTACCTTGATGAAATCAGTGTCCGGTACTTCCAGGGTGTTCATACATTCGTACCAATTATCTCCCGGCGGCAGTTCCATGCACAGCTGCTTTCTTTTGGGACCGATCTCCAGGCTGATTTTGCGTTACTCGTTCTATGCATGGCATTACTTGTCTCTTCTACAGACTCTTTCGATGCCTTGGGACCGCAAGGGCCCCACCGAATTGAAGATCTGACGCTCTATGTTGCCACTAAATCCCTTACGGCCCAGACACAAGCGCTCTGCGCGCCCACAACCCGCCTCGTTCAAGCTGGCGTGTTGCTATCGGTTTATGAGTATGCCCATGGTCATCCGGAGCAGGCTTTCAGGACGATCGGAAGCTCCGCGAGGATGGCGTATGCAGCCCAGCTACGATCCATCCCTGCTTTAGCCAGAAATGCCCCGTCGCAGATTGATTGGACCATAGAAGAAGAGGAGATTAATACCTGGTGGGGAATCCGCATATGTGAGCGGTACGTACCTGATCCCCTCCATGTCCCACCAGACTATTGGCTCATGGCGGCATAGAACGTTCCTGTGCGAGCAAGCGATTGTGGATCAGCCATTGGGCTCCGTAATGCCCACCCAGGACGATTATCTACCACTCGAACCCTCTATTCTAGACCAGATGAACCCGGCAGTGGCGGTCCCACCTCGCGTCGCGATCCAGGCGCTGCCCTCTCCCGAGGTTGGCGGCTTTGGGCGCAGCGCTCAAGCGGCATGGCTCCTGGATGGGGTTCTGCAGGGTCTATCCATGACGGATCCTGACCAGAAACAGGCACACCTTACTGAATGTGATCGAACACTGCGGTCCTTTCTGGCAATTGTGATGCAACAGCATGGGGGCAACTATGGAATATTCTGTGTTCCAATCGCTCTAACGATCCGGTCTGTCCCTCCTCAAAACTCGAGTCTTATCTCAAAATGATTGATCTAATTTGATGGGAACGTATAGTGCATTGTATCTTCTTCATTGGCATCTCCTCGAGTCACGCGCCCGAGACTCCCATAGGGTCTATGACTCAAGCAATAGTTCCCACCAGGCCCTGGATACAATCACTAAAATGGTCATTGACATTGCTATCATGCATGAACACCTCCCCTTTAGTCAAATTGATCACCTACCTCCCAGCTGTCTGTATATCAATCGAGCAGCGCTGAAACATATTCATGACTATCAATCAGTGCCTGCGGATGCTCGGCTGCAAACTTCACTCAACCAATTCGAAGCACGTTGGGGTGCCTTGCCAAATGTGCCTGGAAGACTACCAGCGTTTCAGACATGATATTCCGCTATAGACTTGGGGGTATAACATAGAGAGCATAACATGAGTCAACATGCGAATAGATGGAGCGGAGTTTATTGCTCTGCGAATCTCATCGTTGCGCCTTAGCAATACATATACTTTCTCCGGCAATTGGGTTTAATTCATGCCATGCAAATTATACCTCGATGCCTATGGCATTTTCGAGAAAGGCACGAATGAAGAAAAACTCAAGACTTCGCACATTCCAAGGTTGTCGTTCTCGCTCATCTTGATCTTAATCTGGCCCTAAGGCTTCCTCGTAGGATTCGAGACGTATATTATCCTGAAACTCTCCTGGGCTGTTTTCTTACCTCAAGCCCTAGAGTGCTCCGAAAATGTCGGGTATATTGATGATTGGCTTTCGACGGATACATGGGGATTCATTCACTTGCCTTCCAAGGTGACCCTCGGTAGTACTTCTCTTTATGCATGGAAATTTAGACCCAGTTATAGTTATTTGTCGTACTATCAACACCAAACTAAGAATCCCGCTTGACCCATCTTTCTGGACAGACGAGGGTGTATGAAAATGAACTAATTCACATAGATCACCCTCAAACATCCTCCCAATTCAAGTCTATAAACCCATCGGCCGCAGAGCCCGGCAACGTCCGCCGGCGATCCACGGCGGATGCAACGGAATCTGCGTCATTTCTGCCCCCTCGCTTGGGTGTAGAGCACCACCAGGTTGGTATAATACAATACGCTGGTCGAAGCAAGTGAGAAGATACAGTGTGGCATTACTGTATATGTTCAAGAAATGTACACCCTACTAGACCCCAAAATCGCAAAGCTAGAGCAATCTGAAATATTCCTCGACTGCCATCGAGATAGCCATCATAAAGATACCCAGTAGACAGTCACCCCACTGTGAGCTTAATAGGTAGCGTTCATGACTGATAAGCGGCCACCGTCGGTAGTGAGGATCAGTCCATTGGAGTAGCTGCCCGCGCGACTCGTCAAATACAGAATGGCACCGGCCATTTCCTCATCACCTCCAAAACGGCGAGCTGGGATGAAGCGATCATCATGGGCGGCCTCCTCATCGGGCTTGCGGCTTGAAATGAGAACGGCTGCCAGATCCGAAGGGTAGACTGAATTGAATGTATTAGTATTGAAATTTACGCATATAGAAGAAAGAAGAACATACTGCCAGGCGCAATGGCATTGACACGAATGCCAAACCGGGCCAGCTGGGAACTGGCATGCTTGGCCACTTGCATGATGGCCACTTTGCTGGTCAAATACGGGGGCGACGAGGTCCAGTGACGGCTGAAGGCCGAGATACTCGTGGTGAAGATGACTTGGCTCTGGATCGAGGGCACATCGCTGCCCTCCTTGAGGGGCTTGCCGAACCCGCCCTTAAGGGCGTTCTGCGTTCCGAGGTCGAGCAATTCGAGGAATGCAGTCATAGTGAAGAAAGCAGCGGTGATGTTGAGATTGAGAGCGTCATTCATGCCATCCATCAAGAAATCGGTGAAAAGGGATTGACGCAATTCAGGCAGAGAGGCCGCAGGGTTGAATCGTACGGGGGGTCCGATGCTTCCAGAATTGGGGACAACAAGATTGACATAGCCAACTTCCGACTTGATTCGGTCCACGGCTGCCTGAAGATCCGTCTTGGAGGTCACATCGGCTTGGTGGGGGATGATCACATCGGGAAATTCGGCAGCAGCCTTCTCAAGAACCTCTAGGCGACGGCCCAGGATATAGATCTTGTGGGCACCGTTGGTAGCCAGAGCACGGGTCATACTTAGGCCAATTCCTGTATAATCACATGAGGATGGCTGATACAATGAAGAGTGTGGGATGAAGGAAAATTACCACTGCCACCACCGGTGATAACGGCCACAATGCCATCCACCCGGAAGATGTTGTTGGAGTCCACGGATGAAGTCATGGCTATTATAGCAAGCGAAATATTGGAAAACGAGATGAGTTTGAAGAAGATCGAAAGATATTGGATTGTTACTTCTATCTAACGGAGAACATTCCAAGGTCATATATATATTGTATTCAGTGGAGTATGTCACGAGAGTTCCAGTTAGAAGTCACACATCGAGGATAGTATCATGACTGAGAAGTATTCTGACGAATTGAGACAAAGATCTCAAAGACTTCAATATTGTCTTCTGGTTGGTAATCGAGATTGTCCTTGTGTTCCGCTAAGGCGGCCGCAGATGGTGGGTCGGCGGCCGACGCTAGAGCCCCACGCGATTTGCTCCATCGTTCTAAGGTTACATGTCTTGTCTCCGCATCCATGGTTGATTTTCTATTTCGAATATACCGTGATACTATTGAGATTAGCGAATACCATAGCTACGTTCTAGGCGTATATTAACCGTACGTTCAAGCCTATTAGACGTAATTTATATTTTTTTACTTAGTGTAGTGGGGAAATCACGAGATTTGTATGGTTACTGCGTCAGGCAGTGATGTCCTCGAGGAAGGGATATGGGCAATCTACGACTGTAGAGAAGAAGAGAGAGATAAAACAATGCCACTCATTTCCTGATTCATGACTTATGACTATTATGCTCCTTGATATAGCATCCGATTATCCCTAATAGGCGTCATTTGCCTAGAGCTCCCTAACCTGACTTGTTGTTGGGTTTTCTTGCCACCATTTGTCGATTCGTCTATTTTGACTAGACTGCTATCGAGTATCTCCCATTTCAATACTTAAAAAGCTTACTAATAGGGGTGCGTATATAACAGCTAGTGATAGGCTTATACGCACTTTAAAAGACACTCCTTAGTTTATAGCGGAAGTACTAAGTGTTTATCAAGATAGCTTACGATAGGTATAGTGGATTGCTATTCCACTCCGTGGTATCGGACTTCTTCTTTACATATCTAATAGGCAAATAGTGCTAAGTGAGGATTTGAACACTAAGTTTGGATTGTAGGTAGGAGAAAGACGGGAATAAAGGAACATGTATGCCTTTTGTTGGTTGCCAGTACATTCATATCTTTGTCGCTGAGATTCATTCTTGAATGTGGGGTACCAACACCTGAGGTGATTGGGATATTGGTTGGCTGTGGACTCCTCACACTTGTATTCCTCGTGAACGAATCCGTGCTGAGGTAACGTGCCATGTTCGCAGCGCGGCTCGTCTGAGATCGTTGTGTACGATTTTGCCTCGGCTCCACCTTCTTCCTCCCCGGCTGCTATTTTGCTGTCCTTTACTACCTTCCCATTTACTTCCAAGCAATCGACGGTGTTTCTCCGGCGGAGACCGTCCAGTTGATATTATCGTACCGAATGCAATGGGCCCAAGGCCCATTGTTCTTGAGGCAGTTGGTGCACTCTTGGTAGGAGGTCTCCCCGACGATTTGAATAAGAACGGACTCAACATTGGCTGCCTGAGTGCCGATGCGCTCGTCCAATCTTTTTCCAGTATATCCCGTTGAAGATCGTTGGACAGGCTCTCTTCTAGAGGGGGCTTCCTTGAGCATTTTAATGGCATCGGTTTTGATAAACTTGCCATGGCGGGCAACTTTCCAAGGAAGTTGCTTCACATAAGTGGCCCACATGCTAGGCTGGATTTCCTCGGCCCCAGCCTCACCAGCTGGAACAGTGAGCGGAGTGTCGATGAGGTGGTGACCAGGGTCTTCTGCAGGGGAGCTAATATCATGTGAGTCACCGAACAGTATATTCACGGGTTCCCGAATGGATACTGACTAGTCTTCTAGCTCTGGGGCTATTACCTGCTGACGATTCGTCGAGTGCGGCTGCGTCTGTCGCGCGTTGGAATCTGGTGGAGTGAAATCATCCATGGTGGTTGCAGTACGTTGTGAGGGAGGTGACGGATGGTGAGAGGAAGTTGGGAAGCTGAAGGAGGAAAAGAAGACGAAAAAAGTTGAGGAGGCTGAAGAGTGAAATTAAGCTTAGAAAGTGAAAGCAAGCTTGAAGAGAAAGTGAAGGTGGCATGCTCTTTTATAGCATTCTTCTCAACTCTTGGATACGCATGAGACCCTTCAGATACTACCGTCCGTTGCCCGTCACGTCTCTTCACTTGATCCCCCAGCTATACCGCAACACATATTACTCGCCATTAACACCAGAAACCAGAACCCAGAATCATGGAGCCCTCATCTAACGCACACCCCACACCGGTGGTCGGAGAAGACCAAAGCCAGCCTGGCCACTGGGCACAAAGTGCCCTCCACAACCCGTGGACTCGTGGGCGCCGTGTTCGTGAACAACCGGATACCTTGCTTCACGAACTCCAAAGCCGCCTTCTTTGCCGTGAGCCAGGTATACGCATTCCAAGACAAGGGGACGAGTTCTACTATACTGTTGGTACTAAGACCACCAATATTGAAGCTTTACTGGTGCAATCAACCGGGTATAAGATGCCCGTTGAAGAAGAATGCGATGCTTGTCAACGTTCACAAGGGCCGTTTACTTCCTGCGTTATTGCAACCGGGCTTCAACACCTGCTATCCTGCGCCAATTGCCATTGGGGGAAACGAAAACACTGCAGCTTTGTCACCCGACCCCCTATCACGGTTGCAGCGATGAGCCAACCTGGTCCGCCTATATCACCCACCACCTTCGCAGAAATCGAGGCGGCACTTGAAAAGGAAATCCATACGAGGGACTCAGTGATGGCCGTGCTTCGCGGCCATGATCAACGGATCTAAGACCTTCGAGCATTGAAAGGTGCTATGCAGGCCGACGAACAGGAAGCACCTCCCAGTGATTGAAACTGAAAGGTAAATTTGCCTCAAATTTCTCCCACTTAGTATCTACGCAAGGTTTTATTCACTAAGAAATTTGGAGCCTCAAAGTTCAAGTCCCCAGTCCCTATATGTTCCCCGTAGTTTTGACTGGTTCCTTCTTAATTTTACCTCAAAAGCACCTTGTTCAATCAATAAAGGATTTCAAATGGAGAACTTTCCTTAAGTCCTTGGTGCAGCCACTACCTTTGGTCCGCAATTTAGACATAAGTCATATAGTTCCGAGGAAGTAAGTCACATACACTTCCTAGTACCGAACAGTGTCTGTGCTTTCCACTCAAAGATATGCTAAGACCTTTTTCTTCATAATCAGAGGAAGAAGAACCCCCCAAAAAACATACAACAGTAAGGATTCGCTAGTGGTCACCTACCTGCAAAATGGGGAGTTCTGGAGTCCCCACTTGCCGAGGGTAACAGCGCTTCCACTTTCCTCGCCAGAGCGCCCGCCATTTCGCCTATGCCCTCTGGTTTCTCGTCGCCTGAGCATCGACATACTCTACGTTCCATATCCCCGGCATTTTACCTGTAAGCATTGGGCTATGGTATCTTCTTTGGATAGTGGAGATGAGATAGGTGTGAGCCATCGCCCGGTCCGGAAAAGGACTAGAACCGGCTGGTGAGCTTTTTGCCCTGCTTACTTGAGACCAATTACTGACAAGAGGATCTAGCATTCAGTGTCGCAACCGCCGTCGCAAATGCAAGTTTGATCTACTCTCATTTTGTTAAATCGTGACAGGAGCTGATACCTTGCAGGCGATGGGGCACGGCCACGATGCCGTGGCTGTGAAGTGCGAGGCCAGGTCTGTGAATGGGGACTTAAGGTTTCGTTCCATCCCTCACGGGCAATTAGTTTGTCACGTCGTGAAGCGGCTGCATTGTGTGAAGTAGAAGAAGGGCGAGAGAAGAGACCAAGTCGACATCAGCAATTCCTTGATGAAACCAACGTCATCATCGATGGATACTCGACATCTGACCACCTTTCCTGCAGACCTGAACTTACAGCTCGAGATGAATCTTCGCCTATCCATGTCTCTCGCCCATCCTCACAGCTTATTACTGGAGAATTGAGCATCGCCGATCTGGCTACACAGCAAAACCTACCATCTTCTGACGTCCCAGCAAGCCCATTGAGTGGTAACCATGATCTATCCCCACTCATTCAGTCCCAGCGGTTTCATTCAGCGTCCCTGCCTACGGCGACGGATACACAAACTCACCTATACCCTTTCTTACTGGGCCAGACAAGGTCAAAGGATGCAACCCCGCAGCCAGTGCCCCAACTTCCAGTCACAGATGGGGAGAAACTCCACCTCATTTCCGCTTTTATACGAGAGACAGGTACATGGTGCGAGACAACCGACTCCAAAATGCATTTCACTGTGAAAAGCATTCACGAGATGATGAAATCCTCCTCATTCGTCGCTGCTGCGCTATCACTCGCCTCCCGCCAGCTAGATTCTGTTCATATGCGGCAGGATCGCGTGACATTAGAGCTTTACCAGTTCACAATTCAGCTGCTCCTCAACCAGGACCCCGTACAAGCCGACACGTCCATTTTGGCAACTTGCACTCTTCTCTGTGTTTACGAAATGATGGCCTCGCGTGTCCAAGAATGGAGGCGGCACTTGAAAGGCTGTGCGGGATTTCTGCGGGCCCAAAAATGGAATGGATCTAGCAAAGGCATTGTGAAGGCCAGCTTCTGGGCCTTTGCTCGAATTGGTGAGTAGTCTCACAAACTCCAGACATGAGCCCATGGCTGATTGTGATCGTGAAAGATGTTTGGGCGGCCTTTAATAGCGGCAAAGAGACATTAATCCCAACCAATTCTTGGGTAGACAATATGTGTATTGATTATGTTTTGGCCAACGGAGACTTGGATGACTATTGCAATCTTGCGCACTTAATCTTCGCTAAGATTGTGAATATTCTGTCAAACTCACAGCAATCTAGAAGGAAAATGAGAGAAGCTGAATTCAAACTCTCCATTTGCACCCTTTGGGACGAAATGCAGAAGTGGTACCAGCTGCGACCATCAGAGGTCTGTCCGCTGCTAAGAGAGTTTCCTCCCACAAAGGTTTTTCCAGCTGCGCTATACATACAATCTGCTCCTAGTAAGATCCTACCTCACTGGACAATGAAACAGCGGCTGAATTTCTAGACTGCGGCAACACATTCTACCATACAGGCTGTATACTACTTATACAGACCGGCCTCGTTACACAGAGGCCGGAAAATCCATATATGTCTTTCCAAGAAGAGATCGTGAGTTCAATTCTGCTCTTGAAATCCATTGGTTATTTAACTGACTAGGTCTCAGGGTAATATTATCTGGCACGCACGGGAACTTGTCGGAACCTCGATTTCCAACCCATCGCAGTATGTTGAGCAGGAATCTCCCTAGACCTTGATAGCAGGCAACAAGAACCAGACTAATATTCACTAATGTCAAGTGCCAACTGGGTTAATCAGCTTCAACCATTGTTCATCGCCGGGACAGTATTCGGAAGTTCCGTAGCCTCCCTATCCGTCCGGGATACTCTGTCCGAGTCTCCGGGTGATGGACCCTCGGCCGTAGAGAATTATGATTCTGATGAGTTCTCTTCTGAAAAGATCCTATTATTAAAACATCTAGCTAGAATTGAGCGTGAGACGGGCTGGAAAACCTCGGATCGGGCCACTGAGCTAAGAATGCTTTGGGGATTTGTGTGATATAGCATTGATTCGAAAAATATTTATTCAGATAGAGGTTATTTTGCCAGCAGTGGCCTTCTACATTTATGAGTCCTAAAAATGCGAATCTTCAGTACTGTGCGATTGAACGCCAATTTTCGATTCAAGCGACCGCGATATTCCAGATTCAAAGAGAGGTTTCTCGCAGTAACCGCAGCCTCAAGGACGAACCCACGAGTCGAGAACAGCCTTTGACGAGAAGAAATCTCGAACATCTTTCACGAACAAATCAGGGCGCTCCAAGGACGAGAAATGACCACCCTTCTCGTACTCCCGCCAAAATTGAATGTTGGCAGCCTGATTAGCCCAGTCCCGTGGGCACTGTCACAACCGCGTTAGAATATTTTCAAAATAAATCGATGGACTTGGAACTTTCTTACGTGGAGTTGCTCCTTTGCATACATGCTGACGCCAGTGGGAGCCGACACATACGTCTCGAACGTTTTTTCAGCCTCGTGCATGCCACGACCAAACGCCTCCCAATAGAAGCGCAGACCAGGAGTCGCACCCTGTATCCAGTGCATCATAACCAATGTGATCATGTCATCGTCACTAAATGCATCGTAAACATCGGCCCAATCGTGAATCTTCTCCACAAACCAGGCAAGCAATCCGATCGGCGAGTCACCTAGAGCAAATCCAAGAGTTTGAGGTCTGGTCTTTTGCTGCTCGAGATAACCACTCTGATCTTGCTCAAAGTTCCACCGAACCTGTAGTGCCTTGTGCTCAAATGCCGAGTATGTAAATACCGAAAAGCACCAACGGATATACGCGAAGGGAGCGGAGAAGAGAGTTGGCGGAGGCACTGGGAACATGTTTAGATGTTGAGCCCGGACTTGATCGGGATATTGTATAGCCAAAGAGCGGGTGATGAACGATCCAAAGTCTCCTCCTTGCGTGACAAATTTTGTATAGCCCAAGACTTCTGTCATCAGGATTTTGTAGGCGCGCGCGACAATATTCGGTCCAACTCCAGATTTTGTAGGCGCAGGAGAAAAGCCAAACCCGGGTATAGAGGGGGCAACAACATGGAAAGCTGGGTCTTTGGCGTCCTTTGGGTTGCTCAATGGCTCAACAACCCGGCGTGCCTCAACAAATGATCCTGGCCAGCCGTGGGAGAATAGGAGAGGGATTGATTTGCTCCTGGAGGCGCGCGTGTGAGTATAGTGAAGTACGAGTGTACCATATCCTGGAACATTAAGCTTCACAATGAAGTGGTTGAAAGCATCGTTCAGGATTCTCTGATGAAGAATTAGATCGGTGTTAAAATGACACCACAAAGACTGCAAAAACAGTTGCTTACCTCTTGTGTATCCCAGTCGTACTTATTCTGCCAGTATTCCGCAAGCTGTTTCACACGAGACACCTTAGCGCCTTGGGCCCAATTGTTTTCCCCAAAATCAGACTGCTCTTCTGGGTAGCGAGCTAAAGCCAGCTTCTGCTTGGTGATTTTTAACAGCTCCCGGTCCACGTGCAGCTCGTAGGGAACGGGAGTGTTGAATTTCAACTGGTCGAGGGGAATTGGCGAATGGAGTACCATGCTGGAAGGGAAAGAGGAGTTTTCTGCTACGCTGGTAGTGACAGCCGCAGTGCCGCACAGCTGTTGTACCTATAGTATATTCAAGACTATTGAGAGCCTTTTAAGATGGTGCAGACGACGAGGCTCTCTTAATTTTATGTACCCCTGTGGGGCGGGCTATAGAGAAATAATCCATGCTCATCGTCATGATGGTCCTAGACCTGCCTCTTTTGTCACCAAAGGACGAAACAGAGAGGGCCCGTGAGGGTGCAATTGCAAGCGCAAGCGCCGCTCTATCTCCGCTATGCGGGGTTTTATCCGCAACCAAAATACCGTGCCGAATCTCGAATGCCGAAGACATATACTATAATCAAAGACAATAGATATCTGGACCCCAAATCAAGTAATCCCACTTTCCACTATATTCTAAAAGACGAGGGGCTGTGGCACATGGGGGAAGATATGGCAAGTACAGCCGCTCTCCTATTTTCAATTCGCATCGTGACCACGGAGATGTGAATGCCTACATTTAAATACCAGCCTATTCCAACCGATGAAACTTTTGTGAAACCATCAAGTTAATCCGTATTTGAAAAAAAGACGATTCTGAACAATTCTTGAGTTTGTTGCCATGGATAGATCCAAAGAAGTCATCATCATCGGTGGAGGCATATCCGGCCTTGGAATGGCGGTTCAACTGAAACGTCTCCTTGGCCATGATAAATTCACTATCTATGAGAAGTCAGACAATGTCGGTGGAACGTGGTGGCACAATCGGTACCCTGCTTGTGCATGCGATATCCCGAGTCACTTCTATTCCTACAGCTTTGCATTGAAGCATGACTGGACTACCATGTTTCCTGGTAGGGATGAGCTCCATGCCTGTAAGAAAAAACCTCCTTCGTGGTTGAAATTTTAGCTAACATGATACAAGATTTCTTTCACGTTGCTGAACGATTTAACATTCTATCTCACTGCCACTTCAATGCTATGTGTACCAGCATGACTTGGGACAACACTCGCTCCTTGTGGGTTGTGGCTTTCCAGGACACCAACTCAGGCGAGACTTTCATTCGCGAAGCTGCTGTTGTCGTCAGTGCCATCGGCACTCTCGATCGCCCAGCCATCCCCTCTATCGACGGAGCCGACTCTTTCATGGGCGAGACGTTCCACAGCGCTGAGTGGAATGATAACTTCAAGCCTAATGGCAAGCAAATAACTGTTGTGGGAAACGGTGCATCGGCTACTCAATTTGTCCCTGAGCTGGTCAAGTCGGTTGGGCCCAAGGGCAGAGTGACCCAACATGATCGGAGCTCTCACTGGTGGACAAAGCGAGTAAGTAAATTTCTGCTTTACTCACATCATGACTCTAATCACTGGAAAATAGGGAAATCCAACTTACTCTGAGCCCTTCAAGTTTGCCTTGAAATACTTGCCGTTCGCCGCTCGACTCTACCGTGTCATCCTGGCTTGGCAATTGGAGAGCACTTTTTATTCATTCCAAATGAATAGTAATGGTGCGGCTATGCGTCAAAAGATCAAGGATGCTACCTACTCTTATATTGACAGTGAGGCGCCAGCTAAGTACAGAGATATCCTAAAGCCGGACTATGAGCCCGGTTGCAAGCGTCGAGTCAACACTGCCACCTATTTGAAATGCCTTCATTCTCCACAGATGATGCTCACCAAGAATGCTATTATTAAGATCGGGCCAGACTATGTGGAAACTACAGGGGGAAAGCAGCATCCCACAGATGCAATCATCTATGCAACTGGTTTCCAAACCCAGAAATGGTTGTTTCCTATGAAAATCAAAGGTGTCGGTGGCATGGACCTTCACAGCCAATGGGATGCATCAGGGGGTGCCGAGGCATACAAAGGTACTGTCGTGACTGGCTTCCCCAATTTCTTCATTCTGTACGGGCCCAACGCGGCAACTGGTCAGCACTCGGTCATCTTCCACTCTGAATGTCAAATCAACTACTCATGTCGATTGCTACGCCCTGTACTACGTGGTAGTGCCGACTCAATAATGGTCAAACCAGAAGCCCAGAAACGAGACCTTTCCTGGGTTCACAACAAATTGCAGAATCTCGTCTTCAACAGTGGTTGCCAAAGCTGGTGGATGGACCCTGTCACCAAGAAGAACACTTTCATCTACCCTGATCCCATGTACAAGTACTGGCTACGTACGATTTTCCCTCGTTGGTCTGACTTCGATCTACGCCAAACTACTCACTCACGAAAGAAGTATCTATTAGTGGGCTGTTTCGTGGCAATTGGCTTTATCGGATACTCTGCCGTGGAGGCGCAAGGTGCGATGAACCTCATCGATGAAACTTTGTCTTGGCTGTCGCTTCAAATTTGCTGGCAAGTTGGATCCCTCTTCTGATGTACCTCGACCTCATACAGGGGAATTTTGGCTAAAGATGGAAAATATAGATGGAACGGGACTTTCCCTCGTGGGAGTACACCACCGGCGATCAATCCACCGTTAGGTGACAGTGGAAATATGGCAGGCGAATCACATCATGCGGATGCCATCAACACCTGATATTTACTTTTTTGTAAATTGTAAATTATATCCCATCCCAACTTGTTTGTGCTGTATCTTTTTAAGTGCTTTCGCATATGGTTTTGCGGTGTAAACCACCACCTAATTTAAGTCTTTTTTGGGTCTTTAATGTGGAGCGGGATAGAACGAATGATTAGGATTTGTAATTCAGACACTTGAATCTGCCTCAAAGCGTGAGAAAGGGCGTCCTACACACCTACACCCCCCCTCAGTATAGCTAAGAAAACAATTTGCTTCATTAGTATGTTCTTCACGCTAATTCTAAATTAACTGCTGCAGTAAGAGTGGCCGAGTCAGTGCTAGTAATATAACCTGGGAATGAAAGTCGCTATGGTACGAACTTGTCGTAAAGTCCCGTAGTGGGAGATTTGATGCCTGGGATCCCTGCACTGGTGCTGATATCTGCGCCTGTTCGGGCCACGGCTCGTTTGACCTGGCTATTTTGATGCAATCAACAGTTGGTTGGATATTGGGGGTCATGTCGGTAGCCGTGGCTTGAGGTAGAGTTTTATGGTCGGGCATGGGGCTTTAAAATGAGCTGCGAGAGAAGTCTTTTTCAAGTCGGGTATCATTGAAGCTAGTATAAAAGCGAAAGACGGAGCCCAGGCCACATGATAATAACATAATGTGACCAGAGACATTTTACACTGGCGCAGAGCCTCATGAACTGAGCGATGGCCCAAACAGGCAGCTAATTACCACAAGATCCGCGCCTGAGGAGCCTAGACTGAAAAGATCGACAGGCTGCAGGTTCTGTGACGTGTCGCCTGTTTGCTCTTCAAATAGCGCTCACAAGAAAGAATCTTCAGTGAGTTGAACCAGGAAACATAGTTCATGAATGGTTGCTCCTCATTCACATGGCATAGTGGCGTTCGTCAATTCGGCCAACAAATTAGTCCAATCTGGCGTGTCTAGCTCCGCATAGGCGCTGCCGTCAAGCATCTCCGTCCAAATATCCTCAAGAGGCAAGAGGTCCGACGGAATCTCCGACGAAGAAAGTATCGGTTGATCACCGCAGGTTTGCGGGGCAAAGGTGGCTCTGTTAGAACCCGAGGCTGCTGCCGTATCTGCAGACACAGCTTGCGGTGTGATATTCGACAGGGATGAAGCAGAAGCCTCTACTTGAAATGAACGAGAATTGGGCTTCTTTTCTTGCTTGCAATGTTTTCGCAAGATCTCCATCATCGCACTAATTCCCTCGCGGGCAATGGACGAGGATTGTTGCGCCCGACTCAACATGCAGCAGGCGTCAAGAACTTCTTCTTTCCTTTTCTTTGCTAGGATGTCATCCGAATTAAAGCAGACATCGATTAGAAGGATGACAGCCGCCATGAATACGTGGTGCATGACTGACCATATCATTGAGCTATGCGGGGTAAACACGGGCTCTTCCTCGTCCATCATGCGCTTTACCTCAAGAATCTTGCGGGCGGATTGAAGTGATATTACATGGGAATAGGAGTAGCGAGGGTCTTTCGCGCCGCGCACGAAGTAGTGGCGATGCAGGCGACAAAGTCGGGAGTGGTAGCCTTGTTGTACGGTGGATCGTTGCCATGCTAGAATTGGGCGGTCGCGATAAAGTGCTGCAAACTCACGTCGAGAGGCATGGTCAAAACGAAAGTAATTTGGAATCTTAGCGCAAGCTTTTTGAAGCTCCCGGTCGAGTTCGAGTATCTTCTCATATGGTACTTCTTGCCTGTTGAAATGGTACTCTGCTGTTTCATCCACTATGTGGCGGCATACGACAGCCAACCTCATTCGGCAAATGCTGTAAGACATATCTGTTGGAGATGAAAGAGGCAACCCGGACTCATTATGTTCAATATCATTATCGTCAATATTTAGAGGTTCTCGCACTTTCATGTGCTGTGGCTGGACGGTGTATGTCCATTCCTGGGGTCCACTGAGGAAGCCGAGTAACCTGAGGAATAATTAACAATGCTCCAAAGAGTATATTCAACAGAAAGTCTCACCAATCATATGTGGCCAGATCCCACCATAGTCGACGCTTCAGTTCAACATTGACTTTGTCGAATCCATTTGCCGTGCGCTCATCCACTGATCGTCGGGAATCCACAAGATGTAGACGCATACTAATGGATTGACTGACAAATGATCTGTGCACAAAGAATGAACTGATAGCAGCTGGTAGGTTCATGTTGGACAGATAATGACCAATTATCATAGTGGCCTGTAGTCCTTCGATGGTCGGATAAGCAATGTAGTTCCCTTGAACCAGCGCTGCTCCTGCCAGGAATGTTGTCTCATGACTACATAGATCTGCGTAGTCGGAGGATTCCATCAGACGTTTGTAATAAAGGGCTGAGGCAAGAATACTGAAAAGCAAGGCAACGTGACCAAAGTTCATGCTTTCGTTGCAGGCCACTCGCTCATAAATAGTTTCAATTTGTCGTTCGACTTGGTTTTTGATAATGAGGTGATAGTGGAAATCAAGGTAGTCACAGTAATATCGGAACAGACTCAACGCTGCGGCCTTTGGGGGCAAATACGATGGGAGATGAACTGTAGCAGGATTTTCACGCGCGGCAATTGGATAGCGTGGAGCCGCTGCTGATTGAATATCTGACACTGTGTTCTGCCAGCCAGGCGAACGCTGGATTTGTTGATTTTGTGAAAGCTCTGCTCTCAAGGGGGCAGGAATCGCGCTTGGTACACGGTGCCCCATGACTAAAGTTTCAAGCCAGTCTGCCGTGAGAAACGGCTCATTTCGAATGTTTTGTTGTGTTTCTGTGTCGGATAGGATACTCCGTTGCACGGTTCGATGCGGCTCAGGCCTGATGCTGTCCAACACAGGAGGCTCCTCTTCTTGGCTCCCGGCTTTCACAACCCCTGAGCCACCAGAACTGTATATGCATTCGAGCTTGCGCATGGAACAATTACCACACGGATAGCCCCTATCACATTTGGATTTCTTCTTCCGACATGATTCACAGGAGACGGGGTCCTGTCGGGGCTGCTTTTTCGGAGGTGACCCAGCAACCCCGGAGTATGTCTCAGTATTCGGCCTTCGCTTCATGGTGTTGGGTGTATATCAATAGACCCTGAATATTTCGATCAAAATGGAAACCAGTGAGACATGAGAGTATGCCCCGTGGAAAAGGGCGAAGTGTAGTCAGAATGCTCGGAGCGTCCGCGGAGCCTCCGGTGAGCACTAAGCCCGATTCGGAAACCGCAGCCAAATACTCGAATCAACTCCGAGCATCACAGCGGAGACTCCGGTGATGCATGTTTTCACCTTGCAGACGCAAATAGCCCGATTTTATATAAATGTTGAGACGTCTGCAATAATTCCAGCTTTTCCTCTGTCACTATATATCAGTATCCGGCAGAGACCAAAAGCCATCAAAGTCCAGACAGACAATGGCATCATCTGAATACACGTGAGTGACATATTCATGTCCAAACATACCAGAAATCTTACCTTTTCAGACCTCGGGCATGGCTCGTAATATTCGGGGCCTTCACCTGTCTCTTCTGCACCGTTGGTTTCATGAACTCATTCGGTATCTTTGAAGAATACTATGGCAAGAACCAACTTTCGTCAAGTTCATCATCTACCATTGCATGGCTTGGAGCTATTTCCATATTTTTTCTCTTCTCAATATCCATTGGATCAGGTGCAATGCTCGATATATTTGGACCCAAGGTGAAATCTATCCTTTCAGACTACACTAAAACGAAGCTTACCATGTTGACTGCATAGCTTATGGTTTACACCGGGTCAATCGGTACCGTCTTTTCAATGATGATGATTTCGCTTTGCCAGAAGTTCTACCAGTTCCTGCTCGCACAAGGTGTTCTTTTGGGCATCTCTATGGCTCTTGTTTCATGGCCTATGCTTGCACTGGTCGGACAATATATCAAAGTTAAACGTGGAGCTGCTATGGGCATCGTGCTTGCAGGCTCCTCTCTCGGTGGCATTATTTGGCCGATCGCAATTGACAGACTGCTCAAAAATCCCAGTATCGGATTCCCGTGGACCATGCGAATCGTCGGGTTTGTTATGATACCTTGCTTCATATTTTCTTGTTCTGTTGCCAAGTCCCCCGTCGTACCATTGACGCATGCAACGAATGAGGCATGCGAGGATCCAGCAGACGAGAAGACCGCTGAGCCGGATATCAAGTCGCCAGATCGCAAGACAGAAGTTTTGGACCTTTTCAAACAGCGTTCGCTGCAGCTGTTGTGTCTTGCCATGTTTATTACTTACTTTGGGATGTTCTCTCCGTTTTTCTACACCACATCATTCGCCGTGGAAAAAGGCTTCTCCACAACTTTGGCTTTCTATACTGTGTCGATTGTGAACGGCACTTCATTCTTTGGTCGGATTCTTCCAGGTATTGTGGCTGATAAATACGGCAAATTTAACTGCTGCATCTTAGCCACCATGACTGCAGGAATCGTCGCCCTTTGCTGGACCAAGGTGACATCTGTTGCTGGACTTGTGATCTGGTGTGCTGCTTATGGATTTGCTTCTGGAGTGAGCTTTTGTTGCTTTTTGCTTGTTTGAAGATGATTTTGCTAACCAGTGGTCGTATAGGGTATCCTATCTCTACAACAAGCCTGTGCTGCACAAGTCGCCAGCCCAAATACCCTTGGCCTTGCAATCGGGAGTGTTTCAGGATCCACAGCTCTATCGTACGATCCCCTTACGAAATAGTATTTCCTGTTCTGACAAAATAACAGTGCCATGGCCAATGTGCCTATCAGCGGTGTTCTCTCTGAAAAATATGGATATCTCTCGCTGTCGCTGTTCTCCGGCATATCACTGCTTCTCGGTGGTCTACTGCTGATTGCTGCCCGTATGGCACAAAGCAAACAACTTCGAGCGATCGTCTGATATTTGTCCCATTAGGAATGGAATGTGGGGCCGGAACTGGAGAAAGTGTGGGGGGTCTTTAATAGGCAATCTTGGGAGTATCTTCGGAGCAGACTCGGGCCTCTTGGCTAATAGAGTGTTGCGAGAAAAGCCTTTTTATTTCCGCGGACATACAAATGTTTGTTTTATGAAACAAATGCTAATTAATGTGCTGGATATATGGCCCCCAAGCTCATGCTGCTCTATTCTTCTCAGAGACATAAGACCCGTAGTTCAATGTATGTGCAGATACCCTTTCTGCATTAGACACAGCGCTGCGCTCTTTATAAGCATTCTCACTCATTGTTCAGCCTCTCTGAGGCCAAGCATTGTATAGACCCTCAAATACTGTCACATTCCCAAAGGTAGTTTCTCCCACGCCATTATGGAAGAAACCAATATTCGTTGAGTTTGCATACCAAGACCTGCATATGAGATTGGTTAGCTGTGGTAGAAGACCCTACTGGATGTACTGACCGTGCCCAGGTACTCAACGCAAAGCGGCCATTGGCATAAACCTCCAGAACACCATTGTCCACCACAATAGTCAATTCCAAGGTCTCAATTCTCTCCGCTCCATCGTGAGTGATATCGAAAAGACGCAGACGACCTGACTCGTTCTCGCTGCTGATTCCATCCGTAGTCTTTGCGGCGGCACTGGTATTGCTGCGGTCGATAATGATGGACTCATTTGAGAATTGGTAGTAAATAGATGTTGATTCGAGTTCCGAAGAAAGAATTTTGAATCCAGACTGAATGTCAGAGCCACGAGCCGAGCTTGGGAAAGAAATGTTCGCCGTGAGAGCGAAGAACTTGCTGGATGGCGAGGTCTTGAACGCCACATTTGCAGCTTCGGATAGTGTCCGACCTGCCTCGATAGTGGAGGGACCGGATGTCAGAGCATCATGGGTCTCTCTTGCGATTGAGATCCCCATGGTTTCGAGGTCAACTTGACCATTTTCCTCGCGAGACACGCGCCAAGAAGAACCAGACTCGCGCGCAAGCTTATTATCCACAACATTGGGCAGCGTCTGGACTTTCAGCTCACGAGGGAAAAGAAGGGCTCCAGTCCAGTTTTGCTGAGACGTAGGGAAGCCAGTTGCCAGCTCAAACAGATCTCCAGTAAGCCAAACGTACGAGATGAAGCGATCGGGGGCGCCACTCTTAGTGGAAGCCTTTGAAGTCGCAGGTAGAATCTTTCCTGCAGCTGCATAGGATGACAGACCCCAGTCAAGTACACCGGCCATGGTGGGAGTGAAAGCGACCGAGTCGCCCTTGGTGATATTGCCCGCCACCCACAGCATGTCATGAATGGAAGACACCTGAGGAGTGATAGGCGCCTGGGACCCCTCAGTACCGAGTGTCATAAAAAATTCTCCATCAAGGCTATAGCCGTCTTCATTCAAGCTGAAAACGTTACCAACTTCAAAGTTGAAACCCCATCCTCCAGCCCAGTCACCATTGCCCCAGGTAGTATTGACGGGTTCTTGCCACCATTGCCCCAGATACTCCCAATATTGGAAGTCTGCATCGTGCTGACGGTACAAGAACTGGCAAGGTCCGACACCGTGGACACCACCAGAAATAGCGGTATACCACGTTTGTTGCGTGCTGTTGAGGGCCGAATCCAACGCTGCGCTTTGGAAGACATAAGGATCCCGGAAGGCCGTCACGTTGAGAGCAAATGGTGGCGAAGGAATAACTGGACCTTGACTGAGCTTGGTGAAGTTGTGACCACCATCATATGAAACGGCCAATGACTGGGTTTCGCTCCCCCGAGTGTAGGGAATCGACCAGTGAATTGGAAGATAAGACACTGAAGTATATAGCAAAGTTGGCAAGCCATTGATGCCATTGGGGATCACAGATCCATCGAAGACAGCAAGGGGATCGTTTTTTCCTCCTGCAATAATTGACGGGCTTCCGTGGGGCCTTAGGTCTGTATAGGTAACAAGGTCATCTGTAGTGGCCCCTGCAATTCCGTCGTGCAGCCAGCCGACGTGGAAAAGGCCTGTATTAGGATCGGTGTATTGCATGCATGGATCACCAATCTTTCCAGATGGAGGAAGTATATGGGCTCTCGGTCTCCATGTGTCAAAGAGAGTGGCGTTGGCTAATGTCGATAGGTTTGGAGGTGCAGAGTTGTAATCAATCGAAGAAGTTTCACGACTGAATACAGAACATGCCGCTCGGTCACTCAAAAAGACAAGAATCGCACCAGACAACTTCATAGTGCTGTGAAAATGTGTTGCTCTGATAGATCCTATTTACTTTTGCGGGGTACAACCACTTTTATACATCTACTGTACTGTCTTCAGAACTGATTCTATTTTCCCGAGATTTAGCAATACTTGGAACCAATAGAATAGCAAATCTGCACGACTCTGGATCGCCTTGCGATGTTCATTGCCTCTTTCGATATATTCGGAAGTTCTCCTGAGCCAACGGTAAAACCGCGGGGAATCTCCGGGTGGCAATTCTCCGACGTATTCAAACTGGCTTTGGGGTGCACTTGATTTCTTGTTTCATTCCTGTGATTGAACTTACGCAAAAACGAAGTTCAGAGCTTTGGCCGATTTTTAGGAATGTAATGGAGTTGCTCATACAATCGTAATTTGTATCCAACCTACATGATCCTGCAATCGTGAAACAAGCCATGGAGGAAATGGCAGCCTATACTGGCATCTTGAAGGCTTTTTAACAATACGACATAAATAACAAACTCATTTTCAGTGCCTCGAAGAAACATTAGATGTTTCCTGCACAAGGTTCTCTCTAAGCGAGACTGGCGTTTCAAACGTCGTTCTGGGCTTACTACGGCCTCCCCCTTTGGGTTCATCTCTACTGACCCAATTATCTATGTGAGCTGTCTATTGAAAGGTTTGGATTAGTTTGTAGTAGTGCAGAGAGACTTCTGACATCTGCAGTAGTCGTTGACCTTGTGTTGCATGGGTGTATATGCTCTGGGTCCATATAAGCTGCGTCAAATAATACGAGAAACGCAGGTTTCATTTGGACTGAGATATTTAAACACTCATTGGACTGAACAAACCATCGGCTTTTTTTAAACAGCTTCAGAATCTGTTCACTGCCCTAACTAGAAGCAAGATCCAAAAACGTTGGTGAAAAAAATGGTGAAAAAATCGTTCGACTAGATAAACGTGGTTCAGAACTTCGAAAATAAAAGTGGTCATGGGACATACTTGACGCTGAATCCTTGAGGCTCAATCGGAGCTATGTCTCCTACGCTACGCTGACTGCCAAGGCCCAGTTCCGCCATGAATCAGACCTAGAGGCATGGGGAGGTACTGTACGTGACTCTTTGTATTTAAATTATTTGAAGTCATCTGGTTTTGATTCATAAGTATCTGAAAGTGCGACTCATCCACACGTAGAAATATGACACAGCAGTTGACAGAATGAGGGGAAGATAGTTCAATACCGCCATCAGGTCATGACTACAGTAAGATTCAAATCATCCCGTTTGACTGATGCTTGGCGTAGCGAGATAAACCCTAGAGATGCAAGCTATTAACGCATTCCAACATATGCAGCTCTTGCTGCTGTACAAAATTTATTGTCACGCGTGTTCTCCTACACCATTTCCTTCAAGCGCTCGACCTTCATCTTAATCATTCCTGCCTTTCCTATCGACATGTCCAATCGGCCCACCGAATTGCCCTGAAACTGTCATGAGATCACCGCTTGTACTGCTCTGTGTCTTCTCCCCTCTGCTCAAAAGTTCTTCCGGATCAAGTTGGTCATCCCATTAAAGGCAATTCGTCTCTTATCGAGAAGATCATTAAACTCTTCCGCGGGTCCAGCGGAACCAATGACGATTGTTTCCTTGCCAGCCGCCAGTCCTTCAAATGCAGCCTCAGTAAATTGAGCAACAGGCATGCCCATGCTGCGCCCCTTCTCTTCTCCCATGTAATCATGAAGCTCGGCTAGAATCCAGTTAGTCGAACACTTGTAGAGACCTGAATGACACTTGGTTCAACTTACTTTGCACCACAGGAGGCGATATCTCAATGACCTTAACGTGAGTCTTAGATAGCTGCTCGCGTAAGCATAGTGTGAAGACATTCAACGCCGCCTTAGATGCGCAATAGGCCGGCATGGGGAAAGCAGGCACAATTGCAATATGAGAGCCCGTACTATTCGATATGAGCTTGTCGTCCCGTCAGATTTGGCTTTCAATTATACCCACAAGATGAAACTGGTCGGAGTATCTTTCTTGATCAAGAAAGGCAAGAAGGCATGGGTTAGAGCGACAAAGCTGTTGAAGTTGACGCTCACTTCACTCTGGAACTGATCGAGATCAAACTTGGCCGGGTCGGTCATGTCGTACATGTGCTGGGCACCCGCGTTGAAAAAGACGCAGTCAATGTCGGGCGACTGCTCGATCACCCTGTTTGCTCTGAATCAGTGTGACATTTCCCACATTGAGCCCCGGTAAATCTGTACCTCTCGACGAAGCGGGGAATGGCCTTCAGGTCAGCTATATCAAACACGACTCCACTAGCATTCCCATCGCCGTTCATGCGCACAAATTCATCCAGACGGTCCTGGCGACGACCGACAGCTGTGACTTTGAGACCACTCTCAAGAAGCCGATTGGCCATAGCAAGGCCAATACCGGAAGTTGCCCCGATAAGAAGAACATGTTTGTATTGGAAAGAAGACATGGCTGTGATATGAATTGGGAGTGTAAAAGAAAAGCCGTGAGAAGTAGGCATGAGCAGTCTAGGTATACAACCAAGTCGGACATAAGCGATGCGATAACGCCGATACTATCCTCGTCAACCAATCAGAAGCTCAAATTTCCTTTTTGCGGCCCCTCGGTCGAAATGGTTACCAAACCGGGCTTAGCGTATTTCCCCATACAGTCCAAACGTCACTTGACTTCTACTTCTCCAGGACACCATGGTTTTTCGCGGGCGGCCATCAAAGGCTTGCTCTCGATGTAGGCTTCGGAGATTAAAAGTCAGTCCATCTGACTAACTACATGATCATAGGCTGATCCCGAATAGTGCGATCTCCAACCGGGCTCGTGCGGGTCGTGCCTGCGAGCAAACGAACACTGTCACGGATATCGCGCGGATACCGAGCTTCGCATTCACGATGAGACAGACTTCATTAACCGGAAACTCCGTATGCCACTTCCAAAACCCCTGCAATACGCAATCGAGCTTCAAGCTAGGAGTATCTTCTTCGCACATTATGTATTACCAGGATCAAGGGGTTGGGATTTTCTCATTCAGATTCCCAACTCAGCACCAGCCTATTTGACATCTAGTATTGATGCAGTGTGTCTAGCATTTCTGGCCCATCGGCGCATGTCATCATCCCTGTTCAGTCGCGCCCGTTTGGAATATTCCACCGCTCTTCGAACGATGAATAAGGCGCTTCCGTCTTCGGATATCAGTGCCAAACATTACATGCTGACAAGCTCCATGTGTCTGGATCTATTTGAGAAGATAATCAATACTGGTTCAGGGGGGAACGGGTTTTGGTTAGGGCATATCAATGGCTCACTGGCTCTTGTTCAAGCTTTGGGGTTGAAAAATCTCTCGGATCCTATGTCTTTGCGCCTGTTGGTAAGATTGGTCACAAATTGTACCATTTCTTCGGTGGCGAGTGCCACGGCTATTCCACAGGCACTGCTCGAAATACGATCGCATGTTGAAAAACACTCGGCCATACGCACGGATCCGAAATGGAAACTAACGTGTCTCATGGCGGAGTATGCATTTCTTCGAAGCCAAGTTGCGGAGTCTAAACTGTCATTTGATGATCATGACAGCATGGCCTGCGACCTTGATCTTAAGCTCGTGGAATTGTCTCGAAGTATGCCCGATGGATGGCTACCTGGGATACAGGGACCAACAGATGCTTTCCCTCGAAAAGAGATATATGCAAATCGGCATGTTACACAGGCGTGGAACACAATACGGCTAGTTCGTGTTTTGATTCATGATTTTCTACTACAATGTCGCAAAAGTGACTACGAACAAAAGCTTATCGTCTGGGATAACCTGCAAAACGCAAGTGTCAATACAATTAGGACGATGTCTGATGATATATGCGCGACGATTTCACAATATGCAGATTCATCGTTTCGACAGAACATGGTGTTTGGGATAAATGAAGATTCATCCCAAATCATAAGCTGCTACACACTGTTCTTCCCACTATATGTTGTCGGGAGATCCAAATGGACAGCAGAATATCAACGATCCTGGGCTCTTGAGCAGCTACAGCGCATTGGTCAAACCCAGAATATCCCCAAAGCATTTGAGTTGATACATCTGATCAAAGAATCACCAGAAACAGACCCATGGCATGTATATGCTCAACTTGGGAGTTATGGATTTGCCGCATGATAGAAGCCCCGATATCATCAAAAGCCCACCAGATGTCTATTCATTCTGTTTATTGGTCAAAAGATAGCAAAAAGAACACCAATTTCAAATTCGCTCCGAAGAATACAACCGAATAGGCACGCCTAAATCGTGCATCATAGTAAGATTTGACAACTTGATAGGTTCTGTCCGAGGATGGGGATCCGCATTTTCAAGTGTATCAAAGTGCTGCATCAGACGTACAACTGTATAGCTTGCCTCCGTAAGAGCATATTGTTCTAAGACAGCGTTAGCCACTTTCGATCATTCCGAGGATTGTTGAAAAAACATGATCAACTTACGACCCAGACAAATTCGTGGTCCACCATTGAATGGAAGATACTCCCAGCCATGCTTAGCATTCTCCTCCCAGCGCTCTGGTCGGAATGATGTGGCATCTTTGCCCCACAGATCGGTCCGGCGGTGCATGGCAAAGACATTGTAGGCGACCATTCCACCCTTTTTGATAAACACAGGGGATCGACGGTCTGGCCCGCCACCAACTGGGATTGAGGTATCCTTTGTCGCAACACGAAAGTTCACCGGGACGGGCGGTTGAAGACGAAGAACTAGAAAGTAATTAGTCCCCATAGCCTCAGTACCGTTCTACCACCCTCCGCCACTTACCTTCATTGAGGACATATCGCAAATAAGGGATGTCCTTCAGCTTGGTCTGAGTCATCTCAACCTTGGAACTCTTCCCATCACCAAAGTTCTCAATTATCTCCCGACGCAACCGGTTCCAAACATTAGGATGACGCGCAAGGTAAAAGAAAGTAGAGCTCAACAAAGAAGCAGTCGTGTCCCGACCAGCAAGAAGAATATTCAACATATTATCACGCAACATCTTCGGATCATCGGTCTCCGCAGCCAAAGCCTCCAGGAAGATATACCGACCGTCGACATTCTTTTTGTCGGGATTGCGCTTCGACTCTAGTGCAACATTGACATAATGATCGACGACCTCATGAACCTTCCGGTTCGCCTCGCGGAACTCCTTCGGATTGATAAGCCAGTATAAGCCCTGCGCTCGCGATCGGGAGGCAAGATAATCCTGTGCAGTTCCGAAAGCCTCAGCGAATCCCTGTGCGCTCCCTACCGCGGACTTTTCTAGAACGCCTGATGCCTCAGAGGGCGGAAGCATGCATCCCACCGATTCACCGAAAAGGAAATGCGTCGCAGAATCTAGGGTCAATAGGAAGAACAAGCGCTGAATATCAAAGCTGCTCCTGTCTTTCGGAATTAAATCGATTAAATGCGAGATATGATCGTCCAGCATGGACAGATCGGCGACCTGCATGACTGTCAGCCAAGAATCAACCTTGGACGAGGCTCTTAATTCCCCGAGAAGCCTCCGGAACTTAAAACGTTACTCACTTGATCCCTGGTAAACTGTGGACGCAATAGTCCCCGCGCATGCGACCACCCCGCGCCATCAAGCGTAAAGATCCCATCTCCCAACAGGGGATCGAATTGCTGGTGTCGAGTGCCGAGACAGAAATCTTTAAATTGAGTTGCTAGCACGGCTTTGATGTTCTCGGGCTCGATAGTCGTCGTCAGTGTGCGCGTTAGAAATTGCTGACGGAAAGTGTAGGCGCCATGCACTGCGAACTGGTCGGTGAGATAGTCGATCCAGCGCTTTTCGCGCACAGCCTTGCTGAGTCGCAGGAAGGCTGGAATCCCGAAAAAGGCAGAGTGTCCATTTGGGGGAGGTTCGCAGTTTAGGGCCTTGGATTGTTTATAGTCGTGGTGGAGCTGTGCGAGGAAACGCAGGATCACGAAGCCTGCGTAGATTGCGCCAATCCAGGCGACGGCTGGGCTGAGCATACTTGGATGATTTTAGATCCGACTAAATGAAAGAATCTCAAAAGAAAGTAATTTGGATTAAGTATGTAAAGAATAAAATATGAGAGTTCTCGGTGACCACATTCGCCTCGGTAGAACCACACGTGAGAATCGCGGGATTCGTAGTTCAAAGTGTGCGTTCTTCACACTTCGTGTCAGTCCTCGCTGACACATGCAGACATGGCGTCTGCCGATCCCTCTTGACTGGCCAGTTTACTCGTCCGACTTAATGCTCTGTGGGCTTGAAGCATGGCAGCCACTTTTTCAACGCCTGGTGAAAGTTGTTTCGGGACGGCTTACCCGGCTCAAAGGAAGTGCGGAAATCGAAACAGTGCTCGGCATTGTCCATGATGTATCCAAACAGCGTGTCTTCGTCTGTTTGCACGTTACATGCGGGGATGTCGGTGGTGAAAGCCACGTTCTGTGGGGCGAGGTTGCCTGTCGCAAGAGGGGAGAGTGTGCGCCAGGGGTCGAATTGTCCTCCGCTCCAGTACACGTTGGACGGACGAATTGTCCACCCGCCGGTCTGCTGGTTCATCTCCTTGGCTCGGGGTTGTGGGGGTAGTAGGCCGCTCTTCGCGGCTTCTGGAAATTGTCGGTTGCACACAAACTGCGCATAGTCGAGGGATTGGTATTTGGACAGAAGAGCGTGAGGCCCCTTGTTGATCGTCTGGAAGTATCCCCATTCGTCGCAGTACTGCCATGTCCAACTGATGGTGTCCGGGTCAACGGCTGGAGGGGACAAAATACAAGACAGGTCCTCGCTAGGGTCGAGTTGCTTGCAGTTGGTCTCGAAGTTGAAGTTGATCAGCTGTGTAAATACTGGCCATGAGGCCCACCGTTTGGCCGCATACTCTTTACCACGGAAGCGGGCGAATCCAGTAGGTGGTGCCGGACGTCCGGTGACTCCGTCGGTCTCCATGTGCTCACAGAAGGATCCCAGACCAGCACTGCCACCGGCCAGACCATATGACTGGAAGTATTGGAAGATACCAGTGAGCGCGGCTGTGAAATCACCATGGCTATTGTTTTCAGCGCCATCGCCGAAGAACTGCTTTTTGATGGCCGCCGCAGAACTCTTGTTTCTGGAAAGCTGCTCGTCGATGTATTCCACTGCTGCTTTGATATCCTTGGTGCAGTTGGAGTATCCGTACGCAACAAGTCCAGCATACACCTGATCGAAATAAACGCTCATGTCGATCTTCGCCTGAACTGGGGCGGATGAAGCAAAAGATGCAAAGATACTGTCCGGATACTCATTGCGGGTGAATGCAGAGCGCATGCCGGCGTAGGATCCTCCTACCATGACCCAAGGCTGTGCGTAGGAAGTCAAATCGACATCTTTGAGACTATCGCGAGTAAAGTTCTGCGCGAAGTATGGAATATCCGCTAGGGCCTGGCGATTGTTAAGATACTGGAAGTGCTCCGATGGAGTGTCCTTATTGACGGGGAATGGCAGCGAATCACCATAGTATCTAGTCGGGGTCAGTGAAATGAGGCGATATACGAGCAGAATCCGACGAACCTGTGTTCCCAAACAATACCAACGCCGCCGAACTCTTCAAGCATCTGATAGAAGAACGAAGACGAATTGCCCAGATGGACTTGAGCCGAGCTTTCGGCCGTGGCCTCTCCGACGTCGTAAATAAACACCGGTCCTCCTTCTTTATAATGGTCCGTTGAGGCCCAATATCTGTTCTGGTAGAAACCCACAGAGTGATTGCTATGATCGATGGGAAGCTATGAGATATCAGTACTGATTTTGATGCCCAAACAACCCCGACACGGCCGAACACGATCCAGCTGGATAATCGAAACTTACCGAAACATATTCCGCCTTGACATTCTGATCAAGAGAAGCCCCAGCAACGGCAGCCACGGAAGTCCGCTGCCCAAGCAAAATATCCGGATGGATACCCAACTCAGCAGATAGCTTGATATCTCTCTTAAACTTGGTCGCGCCATGACCCAGACCCATTCCTGCAGCTGTACCAGACAGCGCAGCGAGGGCCACCCACGACCCCCGCATCATAGTCGAAAAACGCATAACGGACAGTGTCACCAGCTCGAGAACGAACCGAACACAATTTGAGAGAGTGTGAGAGTGATCTACATGACTGGGATTCTAGTCCGTATGTACTATATATACGGCCCGGAAAAAGGTCAGCACCTAGTGGTACATGGCACCTTGGCCCGAAAACAATGTGATGAGAACAATATGGTTGCGTTCCCAGACAGGCACCAGTGGATAGCACTGAGAAAGTGGATTCGGGCATTGATCTGGGCATTGGATAATAGCTGTAGAGAGTGGACCACACCTCCATACAATACACCGCACACCTCCGAGACACAATCATTGCGTTCGGTCAATAATTGTTCTCGGGTGACACTGAGGAATACTGTAGTGTGTACTGTCTTGCAGGTTCTGGATTGATTGTTTGTGTCGGATGTAACCTCTACCCGGCAGATACGAGGTGTATTGGCTGGTAGACGACCGACCCCTCGTCGGCTATGCACTGTCTAGCCATATTATAGACACCTACATGCACATTGATCTCTGGTTCAACGTGCATTGCATTAGTGTATCGGACCGCTTCGGGGGGCTATGCGCGGGGCTCACTTAGTAGTGTCGATCTTAGACTCTTTCGGAAGGACTGCGATCGGCCATGCAGGTTGATTCGGTCAAATTGCCATAAGTTACTTACTCACTTTTCAGATCTGGCGCGGGTATGGCATGTTCTCATTGGTGATTTGTGTTTCTGTGTACATATCTCTCCGCTTCAGGAAGGATTAAAAAAGAAACCACGCGAGCCGGGTCGATCCCGCCCGGAACCGGGGCCGTCTTGCCATGCGAGGTCTGCCGGTGGTGCCTTGGCTGGCCATGCATTGCCCGGACTCCGGATAATGGGCGGGGCTTAGTATTGTTGTTGCCCCTGTCTGATTATCTTTTCATTCGTCAATTAGTCAATTAGTCTTCTGCCTACTCGCAGACCCTGAATCTAAAATACCTGGCAGAATAATAGCATTCCTGGGCATTTGCCACGATTCGTGGTGAGAGTGGTGGGCTGGAAACGGTGTTGCCAGATCGCGGAATGTGCAAAAGGCAATCGTGGAATGTCCGCCGGGCACCCGGGAGAACAGTCGGGAAAAAGCGAATTGGCTTTCCAAGGAAAAGGCGACAAAACATGACTTAGGAGAGAATCGGTTTTGTACTTTGAGATTCGGAGTTTTGAAAAGGGAGGAACAGGGTCCTACACTGCTCTATCATCGTTCTGGGATTGTTTCGGGGGTCGATTCCTCGTTTCCCGCGATCTTGGTGGCTCACCTCAATTAACACAGGGGTTTGACTGCGTCTGAAAACCAAAATCTACATGATGCTGTTGTTTTCTAGGCTGTTTGCAATTCCCTCAAACCCCGAACATAACGTTATAGATAGCAAATCCGTTCCAATCCGCATTATCATTTTTCCGGTTCAGTCCCGATCTGGTCAAAACAGGAAATCAGAGCGAGTATTGGTGCTCGGCTCTCTTGCCGTTTATACCAAGCCCCTCCCCCATTTTCCGCTATGTTAATTGACTCCTCGCCCTGAAGTAGCAACCGGACCGATGTTATATTCAGAGATTCTGACGATCGGTGAGATATTCAGTAGGAAATATACCCACACTCATCCCACGATACCGATTTATTGAATGGACTACGTCTCGGCTCAATTTCCAACATGAGTTGCCAACGTATAAAAGGCTTCCTCATGCAGGCGCCGTCTGACAGACATGATACCTTTCAAACCTGACTCTCGCTGCTCCGTTTCTTCAAGTATCACACTCTAGCCGGAAAAGATATCAAGAGAACAATGTCTAGATCAGCCCGCCTACAAGATAAAGTGGCCATCGTGACCGGCGCATCGTCTGGTCTAGGACGAGCCATCGCCATCCGATACTCGCAGGAGGGTGCCAAGCTTGTCTGCGCGGATCTGACGCCAATAGCCCGATCACAGGAAGAATTGGACATCGCAACGCACGATCTGATCACGAAGGAAGGAGGGAAGGCGATATTCGTGCAGACGGATGTCGGGGATGCAGCGCAAATGGAGAACCTGGTTCTGGCCACTGTTAAGGAATACGGAAGACTCGATATGTATGTCCAAGTCTGCGACTGATCATTTGATCGGGTATCTGATCTGAACTGATTATTCACAGCCTCGTCAACAATGCTGGGATAAGCATCGAGGCCCGCAAACCGGCTGTCTTGCATCTCACTGACGAGGAAACTTGGGATACAACAATGCGCGTCAACACAAAGTCTGTATTTCTGGGTTGCAAATTTGGCCTTACACAGATGCTTGCGCAAGCGCCTCATTCGTCCGGAGATCGTGGGTGGATTGTGAATATTTCTTCAATTATGGCTATGATTGGAGGTCCGGAGAACCGTAGGTGTTCCTTATCTATTGGAGTTTTGTTGAGATCATGTCACTGATGTTTTTGGTTAGCATCATACTGTGCATCCAAGGGTGCAGTGAGCAATCTCACAAGGCAGATGGCTTTGGATTATGCGCCTTACAATATTCATATCAATGCGCTCTGTCCTGGTTGTGAGATATGCTCTCTATGTTTTACTCTGCTCAATACTGACAGATATGCAGATACACAAACTGCTATCTTCAAGGAGACTACTACTAATTTGACTCCATGGGAAGATCTCCGACGTCGGCATCCTCTTAAGGGGCCGGGGATGCCGGAAGATATTGCTAAGATGGCTGTTGTGCTGGCTAGTGATGATGCTAATTGGGTTACTGGTATATGTCTCCCAGTGGATGGTGGGTATACTGCTCGTTGAGCAGGTGTAGCGTCATTTTGAATGTGCCAGTATGAACCAGGGCAACTAGTTCTAGATCCAAACCTTGGCTTAGTATTTCAATTTATAACATGAGGGATCCGAAAGTAGCAAGTAAGAAAGCCAGATACAAATAGTTCAGGAATTGCAGATTCTGGTGAAGTTAGCTCCTTGGTATTCTTTCTACCCGACCAAGCAAACCTCTGAGCCCATTCCCAATCAAAAGCGAAGCCATATATATGTTCTTCTAGTTGACAGCGAGATAAATAGCGTATGGACAATAACTCCGTCTTATGTCTGCTAAAGCTTCATTGCCCAAGTACACCTGTGCAATCTCATATTGTCCAGGGATAACAGCCTGATGAAGAGGCAGCTCTTAGTTTGTTTTCGTCGATTGTGCTTTAGGCCAAGAGAAGCTGCCAAGAAGCTGCGCAAGTGATCGGTATCAAGCATGGAAACGTTCTGAGCGCTAATATTCTCTCGGCCTTGGCCGAAATCACCCAACAAACAGATAAAATTGAATTTAAGAATTCCAAGGCTTGGACAAGCCTTTTCCTAGGTAACATTTTATTGAGAAACTCAGTATTACGGGGGTTGATATTGAGCCCTCTTTCGGGTAGTTACTGGGGTGTAGCACAATGAAATATCCCCGCCCAGATTTGCAAGATTTTCAGACCTACCGGAGCGATTTTCTTTGTTAAGACGTCACCCAGAGAAGTCTGTCAATGTTCTACCAATGGCAGTCCCCAGTTCCACGCGGATCAATATTCGGTCGGGAATCGCTAGATTGCTACCGTCAAACCTGAAGCTGTAAACGTACCTCAATAAACAACTCTCCTCAGTTCAATAAGAAATCCCTACTTTTTGTCTACGTCATGTCGCCAAATTTGCCTCCCGTTTGAAATATAAGTAATAAGAAGTCTCGCTGCTGGTGAGAAACACAGAAGCGACACCAAAGCCCTCCGCCCACAATGAAGTCATTCCAACTATCTTTCCAAATCGGTGCCCTTCTCGCAATTTGCGCCAGGGCGTTGGCTGGATCTCCTGATTTTCCAAACAGCTGTGCCGCTGGTACACAACCCATTGTCCCCGGCACTAAGTGTGAAAATGGCGAATGGCAGAAGATTTGATCTCTCTCTCTACAATGAGATGACTATTTCGGTCTCAAAATATAAGATTTAATATAGAGACTGTTAATGATCAAAGCTAATCATACTGATAGCCTTCATTCTGATGAGATGAGACTATCTTTTTGACTTCAGATACTTGTGAGAAGGGGCTCTTTGTTTTCATTGTCGTTTTGGGTCTTCTCTCAAAAGATGTTTGAAGTACCTTCTATTGCAATGAATATATGTTTTTTTTTACTTCACTTTGGTGTTTTACTATCACTTACTTGGTGGTCACAATCCCGTGACAGGTGATCTCCGCGAGGAAGTTCGTGGGCTGTCTATAACAAAATACCGCAAAATAATTTCTTCTAATGAAATATATAAGTCATTAATAATGATAGTGTAGATACACTGGACTGATTCAAAGTCTAATTTAGTATACTAATATACGAGGTAGACATATTTATTCTACTATAAGCACGTACAATGGCTGGGGTTCATTTGCGGCAATATCCACCCCTATAAGTTAAAGCGATATTAACCCAGGAACGGGAACAAAACTGGCATGCTTATAAAGATGGGAGGATTCTAGATGAGAATAGATTGCGTGATATCTTTGCGATAAAGCTGAAAAAGTCTTGTCCAAGCCCTGAGTGCGCCACCAGAAATGCGCTAGCTGTTGTTTTTGGCATTTTGCATCATATCACACTATTATTATGCTTACAACTCTCGCAATTTATGCCTTCCAAATTAAACAAAACGTGCTCGAAAGAGCCAAGTGCGGCGGCATATCGACAGCTCAGACCGAGAACGCCCCTGGGGAATAGAGAGCAGCGACATTCGTAACAGCAGCATTTGTTGTATGAAGTTTGATGATCTGATTCCAGCCAAATGGAGGTTTCTTCTTCTCGTGACGAGGACTTCTGGAACTGGAATACCCCGATAATGTACGGATGACCAAGCACAGACTAGGCGCCGCGTCCGAAGCTAGCTGTCAGATTTGGAGATAATTTGGCACTAATGGGAACATTCAGTTGTGGATACCAGCTACGTTGGAGTATGAAACAGTAGACTATGAATGAGCTATTTGACCTTCGGAATCGGGCTATCCTGGTATAATGGACTGCATATTGGCATACCAGAAATGAAACAGGGCGTGAAGGATTTGACACGGTCAGACTTCCACATCTATCCCCAATCATGTATCTGCACGGAAAATGACCATTTTATTTCTATTGGACTCTGATCTTATCAAGAGCGACCAAGGCGGAAGAGGGCCGAGACTTCGGGGGAGAAGGACCCGAAATGGAAATCAGGTGTTTGAAGTTAGGGGTTAGAAGGGGGATCTCATCCCGAAGCTCAGCTTCACTAGCAACAAAGACGTCTCATGTTTGTCCTATCACACCGCTGACAGGAGCTCCGTGTTGTTGAAACAATCACTCCCCACACGGGATTGGCAGGGTCTTGGCAACCCTAGGCGAGGTGGAGCTCCGGCAGTCCCCAAGGGAGCTGCAAGATGATGGTGATGATGGTGATGACCATGTACTCAATGACGAAGAAAGGTAATATTTCCGTCGATTCTTCAAGTGTTCCGTTCCTGATGGGGAAATCATGCGGAATGAAGTCAGAGGCGCTGCCGAGATTGGTGGAACTATGGCTGAATGCACGGTGTCTGGGGAAAAATATGCAGGAACGGAGGGCTAATAGCTGCCAAATCTCCACCTTTCAGAAGACATGGTTTTAGTTTGAATGATGAGAATTCTCCGGTGGTATAAGTGTATGTCCCCCTAATCCTGTGTTAGGGTTTTTTGTTCTTCGGGTAAATCTCTTGCGTTACGAAACATCATTCAAGATGCTATTCAGATCTGCAGCTTTTGCTTCAGTGGCCCTTCTGGCTCAGCAAGCGTATGCTGCTTTCGGAATTACTACTAGCTCCTCCGCCTATGTTATCGATGCTGGTTCAGCCAACGCTCTCAAGTTTACTGTGAGTCGGACAAGCTGTGACATTACGTCGATCAACTACTATGGCTCTGAGCTGCAGTACCAGTCTACTGGGTCTCACATTGGATCGGGTCTTGGTAGTGCAACTGTTACTGCGGAGACTATTGGTGATTATATCAAGGTGACATGTTCGACCGACACCTTGATCCACTACTATGTTGTTCATAGCGGAGATTCTATCATCCACATGGCAACATACACTACCGCAGGTTAGTTTTTCTTTCATGTTGATTTTGCTTATAGAAATTATACTAAAGATCACCAGAGCCGGCAATCGGAGAACTGCGGTATATCGCCCGTCTGAACGCGGATCTGCTTCCGAACGAAGAGCCCTTCGGTGTCGTATCCAACATCGCAGATGGTACTGCTATCGAGGGATCCGATGTGGTAAGTAGCTTTGGAGCAATACTCAATCAAGTGAAAAGCTCAACTGACGCAATACAGTACCTGGTTGACGGCCAAACTCGAAGCAAGTTCTACTCCAGCCAGCGTTTCATCGATGATAACATACACTGTAAGATGAAATTCGACTCTATACACTGTGGTACCTGCTTATACTTATATTCTCAGGTGTTTCTGGAAGCGCTCACCGCGTCTGCATGATCCTGAACCAATACGAGACCTCTGCTGGAGGACCTTTCCATCGGTATGTCCCTACATCATGGTTGATCGAACCACATTAATATTTTCTAGTGACATCAACACCAACAATGTCGGCTCATACACCGGTCTTTACTGGTACATGGTACGTCAATTTAGATTTCACTAGCAAGGCTCAAGTACTTACTCTCTCAGAACTCCGGACACGTTCAAACCGAGAGCTACCGCCAGGGTCTGCACGGCCCCTACTCGATGTACTTCAGTCGCAGTGGCACTCCCAGTTCCACCCTTGACACTTCCTTCTTCGCCGATCTCAGCATTCAGGGATACGTTGCCACTTCTGGAAGAGGTTATGTCAAGGGTACTGCTTCTGGTAGCTCCTCCTCTTTCGAATCTGTCATCCATTGGTGAGTGACATTGATGTCTTATCACACACAGCAAAGATTTAACGTAGGAACAGGTACAACTCCGCCGCCCAGTACTGGACCAAAGCTTCCTCAGGAAGCTTCACCTCTCCAGCCATGAAGCCCGGCACTTACACCATGGTCTACTACCAGGGCGAATATGTTGTCGCGACCTCGTCCGTTACAGTGACTGCTGGATCAACGACCTCCAAGAGTATCTCCGGCTCTGTCACGACAGGAACAACTATCTTCAAGATTGGAGATTGGGATGGACAGTACGTACTTTTCGTATACATGACACGCTCTCACAAACACGATCACTAACTTAATACTTTCACAGACCAACCGGTTTCCTCAACGCCGCCAACCAACTCCGCATGCATCCCTCCGACACGCGCATGTCTTCCTGGACTCCAGGTACTTACACAGTTGGCAGCTCATCAGTCTCTTCATTCCCAATGGCTTTGTTCAAGTCTGTCAACTCGCCCTTGACTATTAAGTTCACAGCGACGTCTTCGCAAACTGGTGCTGCGACACTGAGAATTGGAACCACACTCGCTTTCGCAGGTGGTCGGCCTCAGGCTACAGTAAGTCACAAGTGGCATCATTCTCTCTTAAGGACATTTTCTGACTTCTCAAAGATCAACAGCTACACAGGACCTAGCCCGGCGGCTCCGACTGACCTCAATTCTCGTGGTGTCACTCGTGGCGCTTACCGGGGTTACGGTAATGTGTATGATGTTTCCATTCCCTCAGGCACTATTGTTGCAGGAACGAACACTGTAAGTGGATTTGAATCATCTATGTTGGGATTCAGATACTAATGGACTTAGATTACTATCAGTGTCATTTCGGGCAGCTCTGGAGATACTTATCTCAGCCCTAACTTTGTGAGTTTCCCTTACCAAACTTCCGCTTTGGTTTGCAAGATACTTATAGGTTATCTAGATCTTCGATTGTGTTGAGCTGTTCCAGTAAGCTCTCATTTTCTATCGCTCACTGCATGTGAGCTAGCGTGGTGGCCCATAAGGCTGGCTTTATGTACTCATCACACAGTTGCCAATAGTTATAAAACGTTAATCAGAAATTATCTCAAGTATAAAATATATCTCCAAGGCAGCTCGCGAGCGCCCCAAAACATGTACAAAGCGTAAATAAATATATGCATCAAACACAGAAGACCATAGTCTCAAAACTGCAAAATCAACGAGCCCAAATCACCCCCTGGTGTGAACCAACCGTCCAGCAACCCAAACAGCCTTCACATTGCGATCATCACCACCCCAAACCCACTTCTGAACCTTCTCCTCCCAGGTCTCCGTACCAAACAAGTTAACATTACCCACAGGCCCAGATCCCACAAGATCAACCAATCCATCCCCACACTCCCCATCCAAAGGACTCCGCTCAAACCCCTGCACACCCCCCAGCTGAATCAACTGCACATCCCACAACATGCCCAAATCAAAGCCCCCAATATCCCCCGCCATATCAACAACCGCAGCACCACCCCGCGTAGCGAGATACAAACTCTCCGGAACAGAAAGTTTCACCCGAGCAGCCTCATCCCCATCCTTCCCAAAAGACTCCGTATGTCCCAACAACCTAGAAGCAAGACACGCCTGTCGCGCCGCTTCCAGAATACTAGGACTATACCCGCCACTCACATCCGTGCCCAGCCCAACCGTAATCCCCAGGTCCAGGAACGACCGCACAGGCGCAATGCCCGACCCAAGCGCCGAGTTCGAAGCCGGACAGTGCGAAATCTTCGCATCGCGCTTCGCAATGAGCGCCTTCTCCGCAGCCGACAAATGCACCGCATGAGCGAGAATCGTCCGCGGCGTCAGCAAATCGTACTTATCATAGACAGCCGTGTAACTCCCCGCTTCGGGGAACAGGTCGTTGACCAGGGCGACTTCGTTTGTGTTTTCGGCGATGTGCGTCTGGATGTGCAGAGGTGGGGTGTGTGATGCGGCCAGTTGGCCCAGGGCTTCGAGGGAGGGTCTTGTGCAGGAGGGCGCGAAGCGCGGTGTGATAATGGGGTTGATGAGCGAGCCGGTTGGGTCTATGGAGGTTATGTGTGCTATTGTGGCTTTTGTGGCGGAGAGAGAGTCTTCGGCTGAGGCGTCGCGGTAGTATGTGGGACAAAAGTCTGGGTTGTCCATGCAGACTCGGCCTATGAAGGCTCTTTGGCCGTGTTTCTTGCATAGGCTGGCGAGAGCGTTCGTTGCTGGGATGTGGATTGTTGCGAAGTAGGAGGCGCAGGTTGTGCCGTGCGCGAGCGTGCGCGCTATTACTTGGTTGTAGATTGTTTGGGCTGGGATGGGGGTTTCAGATGCTTTGGTTGAGAGCTGGTGGCCTGTCTTTCCGTCGGGCTGTGTGCCAAATCCGGATTCCATGGGGAATGTGTAGGTCTCTAGCCAGTCTAGGAGAGTTGAGGAACCGAAGAGGCCTGCGTTTGGGTATTGGGGGGCGTGGATATGTGTGTCTGTTTTGTTAGTTGTCTGTTGTTTGATTGATGCTGGGGCATATCCATACCAATAAATCCAGGGAAGAAGAACTCGTTCTTCTCCTCGCTGGCCGTAACAAGCTTGACTTTCACCTTTGATTCTTGGCCGTTGAGATCGGAATCAACATCCACCCATCCATTTTGGGTCATCAAATTGGCAAAGGCCGTGTCATCATGGGCCTGCCAGTCCCAACCCTTGATACGGCCATCCGCCGCAGATACCCATAGAGCACCCTGACTGCGAATCAGCTCCGGCTTGGCCTTGTCAGAGCCAGTATCAGACAAACGAGGTAATTGAATAAATGTGCCGCGGTAGACTGTCAGACTAAAGGATGTATCTGTAATAGAACCCATCTCGATACAGGAATCTGCTGTATATGCAGGTGCGCAATATAACAATATCGAAAGCAACAGCGATGTATCAGCGCGGAGGTGTAATCAAAATCTAGCAGTATAAAACCGAAGACGATATAAAGTCTATCTCAAGAAAGACAGCGCTGATCAGTCTCCACAATGCAAGCCTCGCGAGTCGGAATCCAAGTCGAAGGTGAACACCGAGGATCAAAATGTTGACAAGAGGGAAAGTAGTCTAATATACCCTCTCCTAGAGATCTGTCCTCGCAACCACCTACCAAAGTAATCCAAAGCCAAGTTCGTGATGGTATGTTTCAAGGTTACCCCTTCTAAATCCGATGTATTCTGAGTAGGGTGCAGCCGCCGTAATTGAACTCTGAGAAAAGCGGCTGAGTTGACAGGGTCGTCCGCATGAATGGGGGAATGTTGGGCCTTTGGCGGGGCGGGGATCGGCTGTCTCCGGCTTGTATGAGTATTTACTGTATTTTTCGATTACCTAACAGCAGTATTGCTGTAACAGGGTGTGTAACTTTGTAGAGAGAGTATTGTACTGTAAGAGGGGCATTGATAAGCTGATAAGCTGATAAGGGGCGGGGTTGCCGGGTTTTGCCGACTTCGGGTGTTTACGATTTGGTTGACTAGCACGAAGTTACTACGAAGTTATAAGTTAATAATGAGGAAGTAATCAATGTTATATTGTATTATGCCCGCTGGACGATCATGTTGAATCAATCCAAGCTGAAAGAGTAATCTTTTTGAACGTCATCATCGTAGCCAAAAGAAAAAAATGTTGAATGTATACACAAGAAGAGCGGGAACCGATCCCTAGAAAACAAAGCCAAGAGCCAAAAGCAAGCAACCAACGCAACATGGGTATCATAGATCATCGTCTAGATCGATCTTGGTCTATTCGCTATCCTCGACAGGACCGCAAGTGCAGAACAAGTTCTGGTCACCGAAGGCGTCGTCGACACGGGTGACGGTGGGCCAGAACTTCTTCTCAAGCAGGTAAGGCACCGGGTACGCGGCCTTCTCACGGGTGTAGGGACGCTCCCACGCGGTGGTGAGGAGGTCACGCTGAGTGTGAGGGGACAGCTTGAGAACATTACCCTCGCGAGGCTGCTCGCCGGCTTCGACCTGGGCGATTTCCTGACGGATGGAAATCAGGGCGTCGCAGAAGCGGTCAAGCTCAGCCTTGCTCTCGGACTCAGTGGGCTCGATCATCAGAGTGTTGGACACGGGCCAGGACATGGTAGGCGCGTGGAAGCCGTAGTCCTGGAGACGCTTGGCGATGTCGATGGCTTCGATACCGCAGGTCTCCTTGAAGCCACGGACGTCGAGGATGAACTCGTGGGCGCAGCGGCCGTGGTCATTGGTGTAAAGGATTGGGAAGTGGGGCTTGAGGCGGGAGAGGATGTAGTTGGCGTTCAAGAGGGTGATCTTGGTGGCGTGGGTCAAGCCGCGGTCGCCCATCATGTTGATGTAGTTGAAGGTGATGGGAAGGATACTGGCGCTACCCCAAGGGGCGGCACTGATGGGTGGGGAAGAGGATTCACCACGCTTGGACTGCAGGTACTCGCTGGTAGGGTGGGAAGGAAGGTAAGGGCTCAGGTGAGCGGCAACACCAATGGGGCCGACACCGGGACCACCACCACCATGGGGGATACAGAAGGTCTTGTGCAGGTTCAGGTGGCACACGTCGGCACCAATCTCACCGGGGGAGCAAAGACCAATCTGGGCGTTCATGTTGGCGCCATCCATGTAGACTTGACCACCGTACTGGTGAACCAGACGGCAGGCCTCCTTGGCACCGGGCTCGAAGACACCGAAAGTGCTGGGGTAGGTGATCATGAACGCGGCAAGCTCATCCTGGTGCTTCTCACACTTGGCCTTAAGGTCCTCGAGATCGAGATTACCGGTCTTGGTGTCACACTTGACAGTGACAACGCGCATACCGGCCATAGCGGCACTGGCAGGGTTGGTGCCATGAGCAGACACAGGAATCAAGCACAGCTTGCGCTTGGAATCACCCTTGCCCTCGAAATACTTCTTGATGACACGGAGACCGGCGAACTCACCCTGGGCACCAGAGTTAGGCTGAACAGTAACATCAGCCATGCCGGTGATGTCGGCGAGCTGCTGCTCGAGGTCATCGATCATGTTTGTGTAGCCCTTGGCCTTGTCAGCAGGCATGAAGGGGTGGATCTGGGAGAACTCGGGCCAGGAGATGGGGAGCATTTCCGAGGTAGCGTTGAGCTTCATAGTGCAGGATCCGAGAGGAATCATAGAGTGGGCCAGAGACAGATCCTTCGACTCAAGGTGGTGGATGTATCGGAGCATCTCAGTCTCGGAGTGATGGGTGTTGAAGACGGGGTGGGTCATGTAGGTGGAAGTACGCTCAAGGTTGGCAGGAATGGGAGTAACACCAAGGTGGCCATCAACCTCAACGGGGGAGACCGACTTGTGTGCGGCGAAGACATCCAAGATTCCCTTGACCTCATCACGGCCAACAGTCTCGTCCAGAGAGAGACCAACCTTGCTACCACCGAGGCGGCGGAGGAACACGTTGCTAGCCTTGGCCTCGGCCATAATAGCATCAGCCTCAGCAGCACTGGGCAACTCAATGGCGAGAGTATCGAAAACGACACCACCGTCACCGTTGGTGCCAACAGGAACGTTGTAGCCAAGACCAACGAGCTTCTCGCGGAGAAGAGTAGTCATGGACATGATGCGCTCGGCAATAGACTTCAGACCAACAGGGCCGTGGTAGATAGCATACATGGCAGTCATGTTAGCAAGCAAAGCCTGGGCAGTGCAAATGTTGCTGGTAGCCTTCTCGCGACGGATGTGCTGCTCACGAGTCTGAAGAGCTAGACGCAGAGCGCGGTTGCCAAGACGGTCCTTAGACACACCAACAACACGACCAGGGACCTTGCGCTTGTACTTGTCAGCGCAAGCGAAGAAAGCAGCGTGAGGACCGCCGAAGCCCATGGGAACACCCAGACGCTGAGCACTACCGAAGGCGATATCGGCACCAAATTCACCGGGGGCCTTAAGCACAGTCAAAGCAAGCAAGTCAGTAGCCACGCTGAAGGTACCACCCTGGCCGTGAATGGAGTCACTCAGGGACTGGAAATCGTAGATACCACCCTCGGTATCGGGGTACTGAGCAAGGACACCAATCAAGTGGTCCTTCTGGTCCTTGACGAGCTGGAAGTCATTCGCCAAGATATCACCAATAACCAAGTTGATCCCGAATCCCTCGGCGCGGGACTGCATCACAGCAATAGTCTGGGGGTGGCAGCGGTGGGAGATAACGAAAGACTTGTTGGCCTTCTTCTGCTTGGAGGCGGGCATAGTGGCAAAGGACATGGTCATGGCCTCGGCGGCGGCGGTGGCCTCGTCCAGAACGGAGGCATTGGCGAAAGGCAAACCAGTCAGATCAGCAGTGAGAGTCTGGAAGTTCAACAATGACTCCAGACGACCCTGACTGATCTCAGGCTGGTAGGGTGTGTAGCTGGTATACCAGGCGGGGTTCTCGAGCACATTGCGCTGAATGACGGGGGGAACAATTGTGGGGTAGTAACCGGTTCCGATGTAGGTCTTGCCAGAGATATCAATCTGTTCGCGGTACTTGTTCAAAAGCTTCAGCATGTCGGTCTCGCCGAGGCCGCCCTGCACGCTAGAGCGGTATAGATTGATATCGGCATTGGGCTCGGAGAGCTCGAGGTTCTTCTTTGAGAGGATATCCTCGGGCAGGACCTGCTTCACGAACTCGTCCAAAGTTGCGACTGGGGGATCCAGCACTGCCAACATCTGCCCGGCGGCTTCTGGGGAAGGACCAATGTGTCGGCGAGGGAAGGTATCGAGAGGTTGGAAAACATCCTGGGGGTGAGGGTCACCGTGATCGGCAATGGTGCTGTTGTACACGCCACGGGGGTAAGAGCTGTGAACACCCCGTCGCTGCAGGTTCAATGGAGAAATTGAAGCTCTGGCAATGGAGGGCATGCGAACACGCGATCGCAGCGCAAGCTGGCGGGTGCCGCGAAGGGCAAAGAGGGATGCCGCCATACTTCAGATACTAGAGCAGGCACTCAACACATCCAATTGCTGAGAGGAGAGGGAGGATAGCAGAATAGCAGGATAGAAAAGAAGAAAAGAAGCAAAGAAGTACAGAAGCCAAAATTAATACTTATCACCTGTGACTTGCCCTTGCCGACGGGCAACTGTCGGGAAACGGAGGGCCTTGATAACCGCTGCTTATCGGACCAATCAGCATCCTTTTCCCCCTTCATCGCCCCTCGACTCCACCAATTCTCCACTGCTTTGCGGAGGGGAGCTCCGAGTTTCCCGACGGGAAACTTATCGAAAGTGGGCTATAACCCACCGAGGGGAAGCAGGGGAAGCTCCGGTCGAGCTTCCGATGTTCAGAGTGGATAATGAAAGATCCGATTGAAGTTGCCATTGACATTGCTATCTGGACTATATGACTCAAATGGTATACCGGAACTGAGCATCGCCCTCGATTTCCCGCTCTCCCCGATCCGCCTGCTTGTTACACCGCTTGAACCACAAACTCAACGCAATAACCAAAATGATGATCAGAATGTTACACCTGCAGAAACATCAGTATCCAGTTTGAGACCAAACCGAGGAGAACTTGAATACATACGCGATAGCGGCATACATTCCGGGCCGATAACCGGGCGCGTCCTGTTCACGGAAAACCAAACTACTCACGATTCCACCAAGACCGCCAAATCCAACAAGAGTAGCGCTGGAGAAGGCACGAGTCCATTGGCCACGCACATTGTTCGCCTGGTAGGCCATACAAGCGGGGATGTTGGCATTGGCGCCGGCGACAGTGAAGAAAACGCCCACATAGCGTGTCGCGTCACTCTTGGCGAAGCCCATCATCGGTAATCCAATGATGGCGAGCAAGGCATTGAAGATCAAGATCGGTCCGCGCATGTGGTATTTATCGCCGACCCAGGCTGTGCCGTACATGACGATTCCTGCGAAGCCGTAGGGCGGTGCGACGAGACATTGCGATTGGCCGACGCCGTAGCCCATACCGAGGCGGAGGATGATTGGGAGGAAATAGGCGATTGCGTAGGTCACCGTTGTGAGGCAGCTGATTCTTGTTAGAGTGTTACATGGACCGCGGGAGGGCATTGTGCTTACAAGAAGATCATCGCAAAGCCCCAGATCTTGATGTCCAATGCAGGCTTCAGGAATTTCTTCAAGGAGAATGCTTCAAGGTGACCATCGTTACGGTCGTTGTTGATGCGGCGGACGATGAACTGGCATTCACGCTCGCTCAGGAATCGCCAAGATTTGTGTGCGCGGTCTGGGAAATCGACGAGGAAGAAGAAGCATAAGATGCCGATGGCACCGGTGATCTGCTCTGTCAGTACAAACGTTCAATTGATATCGCGGAGTACGCACCACGCCTTCGAGGATGAAGATCCAACGCCAGCCAGTTAGGCCATGCTTTCCATTTAACTGCATGAGACCAAAGGCGAGGATTCCTGCCAGGGCCGAGGCAACACATCCAATGAGATAGAAAACGGAGAATCGCTTTTGGACGTCATCTTGGAGTGGTCAGCTATCGCTCAGTGATCATACGCGTTGACCTTACATCGGGTATACCAGCATGACAGCAGATAGACACAGCCAGGGAAATAGCCTGCCTCCAGGACACCCAAAAGCACACGTGTGCCGACCAATTGCCCCCAATCCTTGACGAATCCCATTCCCTAACCCAGTCAGCGGAGTAACAATATGTCCGGTCAAGAGACATACTATCATAATAGCAGCCCAGCAAATAATAATCGATGACAAGAACATAGTCGGGCCCAACTTGCGAATGATAATAGTCATCGGCGGCTGAAAGATGATATAGGGCACAAAGAACATCAACACGATGATAGACTGGAATCAATCAGCATCAATCATCCCAAAACACAATTTGGAGTATGAACATACATATCGCTGTCCAATATCCAACCTCAATTCCTCTTTCAATCTGTCAAACCGTCAACCACTGACCGCCAACAATCACCACTGAAGATGCAGAGGGAAGCCTACCCAGCGACAGCAGCCATACTCAGATTAGTCCGATCCATCAGCGAAATACAATAAGCCAACCCAGTCATAGTAACAAGTCTCAAATCCACGCGCCGAATAATCTTCTTCTGCTCCTCGGGCGTGAATTCCTCATCATCCTCAGAAGGCGGACTCTTACCCGCGATATCCTCGATATTATCAACAGTAGGAGGTTTATCGTCGAAGGAAGCCATATTTCCCACAAGCACACAAAGCGTCAAGTCAAATCAGTTGAAAACGAATCAATTCCTGCGATCACAATCAAAGTCCGGGGAACGTTATCCCAAATACCAAAGTATGAACTTATGAGACTGTAGTATAGAAAAAAACAAGAGAGCAACAAACAGGCACACCGACCATCTTATCTACAATCCTCCAGTCCCACAACACATACCAAACCTATCACAAAGTTCACCTACCCCGGATCTCCACAAGACACCAACCTACATCCCACCCAGTCACAAAGACCATCGCCAAATAACCCCCCATGAATCCCGCCCAGCCAACGCCATCCATTCCAGATCCGGAACCAGAATAGAATAGCCGACAGGGGGCCTCGGGACAAGACAATTGCCTGCAGTATAGTGCGTACGAAACAGCAGCGGAAGGGGGGTTGACGGAGGAGTTGGCAGTAGAGTCAGCGCGTAATAGAGCAATGTTGCCCGAAACAAAGGAGGGGGCTTGGGTTCCACTTTTTGCTGGCTCTACGAGTTAGATGTCTGCTGGGAGGAAAGTTGGAGGCTGCTTTTGGTGGTTTGGATGAGAATCCGGGGGCGTGAGGGTTTAGATGCGGGGGTGACCTACTTGGCGGGCTCTTGGCGGGTGGTCATCCCCTCGATTTTTGGTTCCTAAGGGATGGAAGTTGGAGTTAGGGGTAAGGGAGGCGGTAGGAGTGCTGTTCGTTCGTCTTTGTCCTACCATTGGTTGGTTGGGGTTGGTGGTTAGGGCTTGGGGAAATGAGATTGTTGAGATTGATATTGGCCGTGTGTAATCATAGATGTTATCCCTGGTGCATAATCTTTACATGTATCTAGATATGTCAATTCTCCTTGTATTTCATATCCTACTCTTTGCCTAAAAGCTGAAATCAAGTTGTACGGGTTGTCTTTTTTATCCAGTGGCGAGGCCAGGAAGCCAAGACTCAGCTGAAGCCATAACTTCTATACGAAGAGAGCACCATTTAGCAGTAACACTTTCTTTCTGATACGTCCGCTTCTAACTTAGATCGGATTTACCGAAAGCATAATCTGTTATCTCTGACAGCTTGTTCGTTGGCAGCCTTGGAGCATGCAAAGCGTGCACTACCCACGTACCTACGTACCTACCCTGGTCTCGGCCGTCGGATATCTTCCAATATGCAGGTTATGAGCTCACCATGCATATACTACTTGATCTAGGCTAACACCTAAATGCAATTGAATCAAGCAGATAACCGTTTAGTCGCTCTCTTCGAATTAAAAGCTTTGTTTGTCAGGGTCCTCAGATCCCATAGGATCCCCCAGTATACTCAAAACTCGGGGGGAAACTCTAAAGCGAATTCCGATTTATTGTCTTAGAGCATGTGACTCGCGTTTTCGTCTTGGTAGTCCACATCATTAAAATATACAAAGTGGAATACAGTCCATAAATCAAGAAAGCATTGGCACGGCACTTCAGCGAAATACCGAACCTCGGCCAGCGTTCAAAACCCAACTTTATCGGGCCCGATGCATTATGTTTCACCGGTACTCCTCGTCACTCTCGTATTCCTCCTCCTCTTCCAAGAACTGGAGCAATCTCTCCCTTTCCTCGTCATCTGCTGCGTCTTGTTCTCTCAACCGGCGGACAGCCACGAAAACGAATATCACAAGTGCCATGCCCACAATAAATCCCGCAACTGCCAAGGTGGCATTGATTGGGATTGGATTCCCGTCGAATGTACGGTGTGTCATTGCGTCTAGGCCATATTGGGAGAAATTCGCTAGTCCCGATAGACAGATAATGGCCCCGTAGACGCGGCCGAATGTGGCAAAGCCAAAGACTTTGGTTGTATAATCGCTGTATCAAAGTTAGTCAGAACTTATATAATATCAAAGGGAAAGGAGACGGAGGATGGAGAGGAAACGCACGACATGGCAGAGTAATACAGCGGCCGCAGTAGAACGAACAATACGACTGTCGCATATCCAGCCCAAGTAGCCGGGATAGAATTCAAAACTCCGATGACAGTGGTGAACACAACAATGAGACCCAGCATGGCTGGTACGCTAAGACGATCAAGTAAGAAGCCAATAGCAGGCGTGAAAAGAACACCACCAACTGGCAATGCAACATCAAAGAAGTTTCCAATTTTGTCTGCCTCAACAATCGACCCGAGCATATATTCATATTGCGAGCGGATGGTCGCAATGAAATAGTTCATGCGGATCATCTGGAGGACTGTCATCAATGTAATGAGAATAAACCACGGCGTTGCCATCTGCTTGTGTGCCGGCAAACCGTGCAACACACCCCAAACCCAGGATGTCTGCTGACGGTCTTCTTCCCGGTCGGCGCGCATCTGGCGCTCATCTTTATCGCCCAAGACGGCGTTGATCTGTCGAATTTTCTTCTTCCGCTGTTCGGCACGCTTCCTGCGCACCTTGTTCAGCTCGGCTGTGCTCTCGATCTCGTCGTCGGAGTCGTGCACGTCGCGCGTGGCATCTTCTGCCTTTTCGATTCTATTTTCTAATTGCAGTGTTGAAACATAATCTTTCGCAGGCATTATGGTCACAACTGTAAGTAGGATGCATACTGGCACAATAAGATAGCCCAGGAAGAACTTGTCGGGCGTGAATGTTCTCCCGGTGGCCTCGTAAATGACTCGGTAGAAGAGGAAGACAGCGGCCGACGCGTCAAATGCACCCGTCACCAACGCGACGATCGTCCCCGCGTATTTGGGGAATGCATTTGCGATTTGAAACGATGGCACGAAGATGAATGTTCCTGCCAGTGCAAGGAAGAAATTCCCCGGGATGTACCCATCGAAGCTGGGGATGTGGAATGCAAAGCCCATAACCACCCCGCCGATGGCAAGCAATACAGACCCAATTAGCCAGCAAACTCGCGAGCCGCAGCGGTCCAGGATGGTCCCCACTGGCAAGGCGGACACATTGGCGGTGATGGACGCAATAGTGAAAAAGAGGTTCAGTCTGGCAGCAGTTAGTCACAAATGATAACATCATAGTCGCGGCGACCTCGAACAGGAGAGGGATGAATTACCTCAGGTCTTGCTGAGAACACAATTCAAGACCTTCTTCTATTTCAGCTGGCGTGCAGCGCTCGTGGTAAACACCTTCTTCAACGAGAACCGGTTTCAGAGCCGCGAAGCCAAACACGATTCCCGACGCGAGCCAGCACGCGAGCACGGTCACCACAACCTGCACTGGGACCTGTTAGATGTTTGTTACACCTCGATGGAATTGATCCGTACCTATCCGCTTCACGGGGGAATGCTTGTAAGCTGGGGTTCCAGGACGCAGCTCTGCGACCGGGATACCCTCTGTTGGAGGCTGTAGGACATCGTAGCTGATTTTTCTGCGAATGGATACAAAGTCTTCTGCTACGTCTGGTTCTGGTTCACGATCCACACCGTCGATGACAGAAACATGCTGCACCAGAGACATTGCTCGTGTTGAACGATGAGCTTCAGAAGGATGTGGAGGGGAAAGGGTCTTATCGTGGAGACTTTTCTCTCTTTCGCTCTAGTGTCTTGTGGCAGGGTTTCATGCAGTGCTATCTCGGATTAGAATAAATCCTCCGGTACTGCATGTGAAATCAGCTTGACTCTATTTCTACAGATGCTCAATTTGATTTTGGTTTTGATTTTCAATGTGTGGGAAGCTCTTTAGATCAGAGTTCTATGACACCTGACCTTACTAGGTTTTCCTTGGAACTAATCCAAGCTCCCGTTAGTCTCCAGTTCTGGACTTCTGATTCGCCAAGTTGTATGGGGCCGTTTGAAATATATTCCCGACCATTTTGGCAGGATGATGCATAACTCTCTGATTCTTATGTCGCCAACAATTGAGTCGATTTCGGAATTCTGCGATAATTATTGCTGTGCTTTTGATTTGAGTTTCTTTTTTTTAAGAAGATGGCCCTCGTGGGTCCCATGTTGACAAGGATTACCAAGTGAGGTGTTCGTCTAACCTTGAAACCTGATTGACTCCTTGCCATTTTCTATCTACGCTTCAACTTAGCATCATTCAATATGCATTCCTTTGGAGACGGCGAGTAGGGAAATTAGCCTGTGTGGATCCATGGTTCGGAAGAGCATGGCACGACAGACAATTCGACCTAAATTTGGACGTATATCGCCAAACAGAGAGACTAGTATAGCAACGAATGGGGGTATGCACTGCCAAAAGGAAGTCGCATGTAGATAATTGTCATAGATCATAAGATTTCTGTTTCAACGTATCCTTAGCCTATAAAAGATGCTGGTTCATCCATGTACCTGACTCACGTGATTTAATCTAAACCATGGATGACGTTGCGACGCCAATGACGTAGAGCCGTTAAGTGTCAAGTGCCATGGTTGTGACCAGCCTTTTCGTTTTCTCTGCTTCATTCTGTCAGTGAATCGTTTGAAACCTCATCTTTAACATAGCCGTGGCGCTTGCATAACATCCCACCCGAGAAGGCGACATCAGCACTATATACAAACATGGCCACCGTTTCTATCAGCGCCCCCGGTCTTGGAAGCGGAGGATTCCTCTACAACAATGGAAATAACAATGCGCGGTTGTGTGTCACGGCCGAAACCGAAGACTTCGATATGGAGATCATCAAGAGTTGGCAGGATGAAGGATTCGATGTGCTCTACATTCCCTACAACGGCGGAGGAAAGGAATACGGTGCCAAATTGCAGTCCGTAAAGGATGGGCTTGGTGTGGGTGAAAACTATGGTGTAGTCGGTATGTGACAAATTCAGCCCATCAAAATTTGATATCAAACTAACTACATCTATAGCATACGGTGATGCTGCGAATTACTGTCTCGACTACTACCTCAAGCCTACCAACTCGAGTCGACTCTGCGCCCTTGTCGCATACTATCCTAGCATTATCCCAGACACACGCTCTCGATACGGGATGCAGATGCAAGTTCTGGTGCATTTGGCTGGTGAAACCATCGACGTGCTTGTTCAACCCGTCGCACTGGGTCTGCAGGGCAAGAAACGTCGCCAAACACGTCCTCTCAACCCTGGTGTCGGAACAGGCGAGCGTTTGGATCTGGGATATCCCACCTTCACATACGACAATGCGCAGCCGGGCTTTGCAGAGAGTGATATTGAGGAGTATGATCATCTGTCGGCCGATCTTGCTTTCACGCGAACCTTGAAAGCATTGCGAAAGGGTTACTCGCGCGACCCCGATTTGGAAAGACGCTGGGAGGATCATGTAGAGGGTAGGTGGAATCTTTCGTCTGTCGGGTGGATATGCTAACGAATCTACAGCCAAGTTCTTCGCGTCCAACGTGAAGAAGACAATGGACGGCTACGTGCAGAGCAAAACACCCGCTGTAACTTATACGCCCACAATTACTGGTGGAATCGGCAAGAAAGCCCTCCGCCATTTCTATGATCACTATTTTATCGGAAAACTACCCCCATCAATGCAGCTGAGACTCCTTTCTCGCACTACTGGGGCAGACCGCATCGTGGACGAGCTGTACGTAAACTTTGAACATACACAGGACGTCCCGTGGATGCTGCCCGGCGTCCCACCAACCAACAAGCGGGTGGAGATCATTATCGTGAGTATCGTCAGCATTCGTGCTGGCCGTCTCTACTCGGAGCACGTCTACTGGGATCAAGCGAGTGTTCTTGTCCAAGTCGGTCTCCTGGACCCTAAGCTTCTGCCAACCTCTGTTGTTGGAGTCGATCGACTCCCCGTTGTCGGTCGCGAAGCTGCCCGTCGCATTCTCCATGAAGACACCGAAGTCGAGCAGGAAGACTATCATAACAAGATGATTCGCCGGGCGCATGCTCGTGCCCGTCGCAATCACAGCTCCCGTGCTTCGCAGATTGCCGAGGAGTCGGGGGCTGAAATGAAGAGTGAGGCTGAGCAAAGTTTGCCTGATCGGACTGGTAATAAGGGCAAGTCAGTGCAGAAACAGTCTACTAAGTTGACCGAAGAAGATGAAGGTGCTGAGACTGAGACCGAGTCTAGTGCCAAGGCGAAGTCTGAGGCTGGAGATCGGGATCGGGCTCCTACCGTTGAGGATGCTGGAGAGGATGGAGAAAATGGTTCGACACAGCCATGAAGGCTTACCTCGTATTGTCGTGATCCTTGTCACGAAATTGTCGCAGAGGTGCCTCTGCCCGAGGAGTTTGTGATTCATGTGGACAAGTTCGGTTGGGAGTTCTTATTTTTGGGCGATTGCGTTTTAATCATGAGTGATGTTGCACCTGTTGGGCTTTTCTTGTTGGCATTAATGGCTTCCATAAGTATGGACATGATGATGAACGTGACATGTATGTTTGAACAGATGTTGCAGCAGTTGAGTTAATCCTATACTCCGTGGACTGCCGCTTTAGGCCTAGTGCCGCTTTAAACCCCGACATCCGACGTCATGCAATCTTGAAACGCCCGTCGTGCTTACCCAAAGAAGATGGGACGACGTCGTGATATCCCTAACATCTTTCCTTCTATGTATCTGTCCATATTCCATCGATTCACATATCCAAGGCCGTGTAATATTCACTGTGCCATTACGGCGCCACCAAATGAGCCGACATTCCCACTTCCAGTCAGGTCGAGAGCCCCTACAAGACCAAAGTGACCTGGAATTACGAAGATCCCATGTTTCGGGTCCTGTACATTTCTTGAACCCCACCTGGGCACACTACACAGTAACTAGACAACCTCAAACGAAAGCCCCAGCACCTGGAGAAGCCCAGCCCCATCCACCCATCGAGCATCTCTGGCGATCGCGAGATAACAGAAAAGGCCGACATGCCCTGCGCGTCGATACCAAGGCCATTCCCCAGGAGACAGGGTACACAGCTCCACCGGTGACACACAGCACCTCCGCAATATCCAAAGGCATTCTCCGCATGCTGACATCCGTACCCTACTGGGACGTGTCGTATCTGGTAGCGATTACATTCACCATTGGCTCCATGATCTGGATCATCAACGCCTTCTTTGTCTGGCTACCGCTTGAAGATCCGCAGACTACCTTCTCGGGTGAAACGCTAACAGGGGGTGGCGTGTCGGCCTTTATCGGTGCGACTGTGTTCGAGATCGGAAGTGTGTTGTTGCTATTGGAAGCTATCAATGCTAATCAGACGGGTTGTTTTGGCTGGGCGCTAGAGTCTGTTCTGTCGAAGACGACGTCCGAGGAGGATGAGGGTCATGCGCATACGCCTGCATCTACGAAGATCATGCCGACTATACAAGAGTGTCGGCATCACCATGCGAATCGGAGGTCGCTCTTTTTTGCAAAGCATGCTCATCCTTCTGACAGTCGTCATGAGGATTTAGCGGATTATCCTGGTTATGTTACTTCATCGCCTGATGGGAGGTCATTCCGATGGGTACCGTCCTTGTCGGAATTGCGCTCACATTACTTCCATGAACTGGGGTTCTTGGCGTCTTTGATTCAGTTCCTTGCTGCAAGTATCTTCTGGATTGCCGGACTTACTGGTCTTCCTGGTATCTACAACCATATGAGCCAAGGTGTTGCCGATGGCGTATACTGGGTCCCTCAGATTGTCGGTGGCATGGGTTTCATTCTGAGTGGATTACTGTTCACCCTTGAGACCCAATCTAAGTGGTACCGACCCGCATGGCATGTTTTGGGTTGGCATATCGGTGTGTGGAATTTCATTGGTGGTATCGGTTTTACTCTATGTGGTGCACTCGGGCCAGCGAGTATGCACTCCGGGGTCGAGTACCAGGCTACGCTTGCTACTTTCTGGGGCTCGTGGGCCTTTATGATTGGGTCTACGATCCAATGGTATGAGAGTCTACAGAAGCATCCCGTGGAGCGGAAGTAAATTCCAGCTCGTCTCATCATTCTTTAGTATATTCTTCCCTAGCTAATACTAAAAGGAGTCATAAAGATGCACCGGTGGTCCTGTCTATTCAGCGCGTTATATACTGCACTCCTAATAACCTCACTATGAACAATTCCAATCTTCTATCCCCTCAAGAGATACTCCTCACTGCCTCACAAACTGTGTACCATGGCTCTTGTAAAGCGTACTAGTATCCAAGATCTCCCCAGTGGAAGACCGAATAAACTCAACAGTCAGATGCTGCTCATCCACAAACTTAATAGCTCCATAGCTATAGTCATCAGCATAAGCAAAGGCCGTATAATCCGGCTCAGTCCCAACAGAACTCAATCCTTCAATATTACCAGCCCCACCAGCAACAATGTACATAGGCGCCTTGGGATCATCCATCCCATTCGCATCGGCAGTACCATTATAAACAGGCAAGAACCGCTGCGAGTTATGCACGTGCCCGAAAACACCAAGGTCAACCCCGTACTCGTAGAACAACCCCTCGAATGCTTCCTGGCAAGAATCGCATCCGTTGGATGATCCAGTCGAGTACCAAGGTCTATGACCCGCAACAATCACCCACGGCGTGACCGTTCGGTCGACACTCGCCAGATCAGCAGTCAAGAATTCAATCTGCTGGTTCGTTGTGCCGAACGGCCCGCCGTCAAGCTTTGCAGACCCGTCCTGTCCATCCGGCGCATTGGGGAAGTCGGTCTCCGTGTTGATCATGACGACGTGCGCCATGCCGTATTCGAAGGAATACCAGAATGGCGGGTTGGACAGGGATCGGGCTTTCTTTGCGTTAGTCTGGGCGGTCGCATCTGACGATGACGATGTGAAGGACTGCGGCATGGTGTTGTCAAATCGATGCATGAAATCCGTGAAGTTCTTCTGGCCCTCTGGGCAGAGGCCGTTGAGATAGGGGATCTCGCTGCAGTCGGCCTCGTGGTTGCCCGGACTGGCCATGTACAGCTTTTGGCCGGCGATTGGGGCGAGTTGGTCGTAGAATTGCTCCAGGATTGATTCGTACGCTTCTTTGCCGTCGAGGAGATTCGCGAATTTCAGATACCAGTCGTCGGCATAGGCGAAGTCGCCTGGGTGGATGACTACTTCGTAGTCGTCGACGGTGCGGGCTAGGCTGCCGATTGTGGTGTGGTTTAGTTCTGGTTGGATGACGGGGATGGTGTCTTTTTTCTTGCTGGAGGTTGTGAAGCCGTCCTTGCCGTAGACGCCTAGATCGATTACTACGTCCATGTTGAACGGTGTTTTGTCGCCTGGTGTTCGTGGGCTTAGAAAGTGGCCTACTGTTGAATTTGTCGATTCAATCTTGTAGTAGTAGGTTGTTGCTGGGGTCAGGCCTGTCAAGATCGCGACATTGGACCATGTTCGCGATGTCGCGTAGGTTGTTGATGAGCTTGAACAGGCTTTCGTGTTGAGGTTGTCTGCGGACAGGCCATATTGGACGCAGGTTTGGTTCAACTGCTCATATGTGTTCCAGCCCACAGATACCGCTATCGATATGTTAGTTTCTTGTCTTGGTTTCCCGACACAAAATCAAAGATGGCTATATTCGTACAGTTCGGTCCGTAGACTGCAAGTCGCTGCTGATAAGGAGTGGTCAAGTCACTTGGAATCACAGGATAATTGACACTGGCAAAGGCACTGCTGGCCACCAAGGGCAGAGACTTGACGAGTGTCGACACGCCAACCATAGTGGAACTCGAGATGATTGACCAGATCTGTGTATACATCAGGCAGGACGATCACGTCCGTATATATACTCTCATTTCTCCGAGCATTCCAAACACAATGGGAGTATAACTACGGAGTTGAGAAGTAATCTCAACCAATCACATTCGGCATGCCACCCACGGAGTAGAACATGCAGATCTTCTGCATACCAAGTCAGCTGGGCCCACCACGTTCGCCAGGCACAAGGGCCGCTTAGCACAATGTGGCTTTAATGTCCGAACTTCATTAAATAAGCTTCGGAGATGATTTTGGTCGGATGCTACGCATTGGGGATTAGTGTGCACGTGGAGTGACCAATTGGTTTCCAACGGAGTTCTGTATGGTGAATTCCTGCTCAGTGGAATTCAGTGGAATGGATTTGTTCATGCAGAATTAACGAGTCCCCGGCAGGGATCGGACCGTTGCTAGTGTTTAGATTGCAGCTAAGTCTTTTAGGGTGGAAATATAGAGGGGACCGTGACCGTTGACCGAGGTTCGTTTTTATGCATACTCCTTGCTGCTAACGCTTCTCTTGTGCTGGACAGGAAGCTTCATATTATTGGCCCTACAAACATATTTTCATTTATGCTTATGACCAAAACTGATGCTGACAAAGTGCCTGTTCACAAGCTTCGGGGTGAAAGTCATTGGAAATCAATCCTTTTATGACTGGTCCATTCTCAGGGCTGATTCCGAGCTATATTTCGGGACTACTTTTGACTGGGCAGAGATTCCAGACCATCTGGGGCAAGGAGGGTCAGGTGTCATTCATGGAGAGTGTAGACTTCCCAGTCATCCGCGGGATCTCATGAGTCAGGACCAAGACCATCTCCTTCCCAACTATGATCATTTCTTCATGGTTAAAAAATACCTAGAGTTTTTTGTCAATATCGTACCACCCGAAATTCAGCCTAAATGATTTTACAGAAAGCCGAAGCAAAGATAACGGAGCGGAAAGAGGGCTCAAGAGTCAGGGTAAGGTGATGATGATTAAGTTACCCAGAACTAATCTGACAGTAGTATCTCGCATAATTAAATGAGCGTAAGTGTGCAAATGTCGCACAGGAATATTCAAATCACAAATCGCATCCAGAAAACATCATACAAAAGGGCTGTTTCACAATATTTCGACCATGCCGAAGAATCACCGAAAGGCTGCTCCCGTTCGTTGGGGATCAGGCAATATCAGTCACATAGTTTTGGCTTTAAGCAGAGGCGTTGGCAGATGCATCAGCGGAGGCGCTAGCATTACCAGAGGCGTCAGCCGACGCATTGGCATTAGCAGAAGCATTGGCGGAAGCATTGGCGGAAGCATTGGCGGAAGCATTGGCGGAGGCTTGAGCTTCGGCAGAAGCCTGAGCCGAAGCCGAACCGCTAAGAGAGCCGCTTGCACCGCCAGTGGTACCAGTAGGACCGGGGAGAGCGAAGCTGATGCTGGTGCTCCAGCTAGTTTCCTGGGGAGAAGTGCCAGTGCCGGATCCAGCGCCTACGCCGCCAGAGACACTTGTGCCAGACGAACCAGATCCGGAACCGCTAACACCAGCGGAGCCGCTGCCAGAAACGCCAGCCCCAGAAGAACCCGAGTCGGAAGAATCGGAGGGTGCGGTGCTAGACTCGGGGATGTTGCGCCAGTAGAACTCGCGCCGGAGGAACCGGAGCCAGAAGCTTCACCAGAGGCACCGCCGCTAGCAGATCCAGATCCAGATCCAGAGACATCGCCAGAGGCACCACCAGAAGCGCTACCAGAGCCACCAAGGCCGGCGGAACCGGAAGTGCTAGCACCAAGGGAACCAGTTCCAGAAGCACCGCCGGAGGCACTTCCAGACCCGCCAATTGCAGAGACATCAGAGGCGCCAGCGCCTTGAGATTCGGTACCAGATGCACCACCTGAGGTAGTGCCGGAAGCACCAACACCGGCGGAACCAGAGCCACCAAGATCAGCAGCGCCTGAAGCACCAGCACCAATGGAACCGGTACCGGAAGCACCACCAGAGGCAGTACCAGATCCACCAAGACCAGCGGAGCCAGATGCTCCAGCTCCAAGAGAGCCGGTGCCGGAAGCACCGCCAGATGTACTGCCAGTAGCACCAACGCCAGTCGAGCCAGAGCCACCGAGGCCAGCAGCACCTGAGGCGCCAGCGCCGAGGGAACCGGTACCGGAAGCACCACCAGAAGCAGTGCCAGATCCACCAAGACCAGCGGAGCCAGATGCTCCAGCTCCAAGACCGCCAGTTGCTGAAGCACCACCGGAGCTGCTACCAGTAGCGCCAACGCCAGCAGAGCCAGAGCCAGAGCCACCGAGTCCAGCTGAACCAGAGCCGCCGAGTCCAGCAGCACCTGAGGCACCAGCACCGAGGGAGCCGGTACCGGAAGCACCACCGGATTCACTGCCAGAGCCACCAAGGCCAGCAGAGCCAGAGGCACCAGCACCGAGGGAACCGGTACCGGAAGCACCACCAGAAGTAGTACCAGATCCACCAAGACCAGCAGAGCCAGAAGCTCCAGCTCCAAGAGAGCCAGTGCCGGAAGCACCGCCAGATCCACTGCCAGATCCACCAATACCAGCGGAATCGGAGCCACCCAGGCCAGCGGAGCCAGAAGCACCAGCACCAAGGCCGCCAGTTGCAGAAGCACCACCGGAGCCACTGCCAGTAGCGCCAAGGCCAGCGGAACCAGAGCCAGAGCTAGAGCCAGAGCCACCAAGTCCAAGGCCAAGGCCAAGACCGCTGGAGCCACTGCCCGAACCGCCTAGGCTAGCAGAGCCAGATCCTGACGCATCGCCAGAGGCATCAGCGTCAGCCGAAGAATCAGAGGAACCACTGGCAGAAGCGGAACCACCACCCAAGAAGCCAGGAAGGAAAGATGAAATTCCACCCGAGCTACTGCCGCCGCTGGAGCTGCCCAAGGGCCAGAGACAAGGCTCGCGGGTCTCAAGGGTCTTGTTGAAGGGAGCTGCGAGAGCAGTGCCAGCAAGGAAAAGAATCGCGGTATTCTTCATGTTGCCGGAACAATGAAGGATGGAAAGAGAGAAATAAGGATAGGGTATTGAACTCAACACGGAAGGAAGAAAGGAAAAGAAGAGCGAATGAAATTCAAGTTGATCCAGTCAACTGAAGCAAAAGAAAGGAGAAGGTTGTTGATGAGGACTGATCGGTGCTGTAATTGCCCGTTCTTATAGTTCTCTCGAGGCATGGAGCGGGCCGATGAGTGATTCTTTTTTTAGTAGACGTGGTTGTGTTTGTGACAGTGCCTGTGCTTGATTCGGGCAACCTATTGATCTGCTTTGTGGATGAAACCACGGTTCTGCCCGTGTCTTGTGGTTCCTGTTTCAGAGTACTACAAGTTGGGGCATCAAGCTCATTCTTGGGCTTTTCCGAGGACGGATCGTTTCAAGCGCTTCGTAATAGGGCTTGTTCAATTGTTTTTTTATGATGGAATTATGACTTTATTGACATTGATTCAGTTATCGAGATAAATGCAAGTGGTGCCAAAATCGCAGAAGCTAGATGGTGATCAATTTTGCATGGTATACAGTACAGCTTCAGGCCACTCTATGGACCGTGTGCGTTCAAACTCACCAATAATCAGTTTTGTACACGGACACACAGCGTTTTGATTAGATGAACTGAGCATGATTGATTGGTTGAATGAACTCAAAAATGAGGCTTTTTGCCTTTTTATCTAGAAACTTCCCACAGTGGATCCGCCTTGGGGCTGGGGTTAGTTCCCGTGGCCGAGTATCCCGAACGCCGAACGGTTCGTGAATGGTTTGGGTTCCGTGCGAGATGCTTATTTTTAGGTGGTGCTGTCAGGAGATAATTAAGGAGAAGTGGGCTCTGAGCAGTTTGCAATCCAATCGTCATTTGACTTTATATCCGAATTTTCCCTAGCGTAACTCAAAATTCTTCGAATGAGGTGTATCTGATTCTTTCCAAGGAAGACATATTTAAAAATTGAACTGGTAACCTTTTTTAGTCGGAAGATACGCTTCCATGGCTTCATATAGGGCTTCGAGGTCCAGTGACACGGAGAACAGAGGCAAGTTCCCGTGGAGATAAAATAATGGCACAAACACTTGAACCCAACAGATACAGTTAAGGTTTCTGATGGCGAGACGGACATTGTTTCTCGGCTCGTCTCAGAGAATACACTGTTCAATCGTACCCTAAGGGTCATCGCCACGATTACTCCGGAATGCGCACGATCGGCATAGTTCGTTTCAGCCCCTGCTGTTGGGTTTTTGATAGATTAAGACAATCCCTAACGCCCCACTGTGCAACTAGCATACAGTAGTCAGCGACATCCTTGACGGATCGCGTGACTCGCCTATAGATCAAGCACTACTTACGAACCTATGCTAGTTACATTGAGCGTCACTAATATATCTCATCGCAGTAGGATATTACTTAAGTTATTGTAATTAGCTTATTGGCTAGGGGACGGTCAACTTATAAAGGGGGGTGGTATATAGTGGGGAAATCACGAGATTTGTATGATTACTGCCTTGGGCAGTAATGTCCTCGAGGAAGGGATATAGGCAATCCACGACTGTAAAGAATGATAGACAGATAAAACAATGCCACTGATTTCCTGATTCATGATTTATGACTATTATGCTCCTTGATATACTAACTAATTATCCCTGATAGGCGTTATTTGCCTAGAGCTCTCTAACCTAACTTATTGTTAGGTTTTCTTGCCACTAGTTGTCGACCCGTCTGTTTTGACCAGACTGCCATCGAGTATCTCCTATTTTAGTATATGATTAACGTCGGGTTCCTCGGCTTTCTGCTTACGTAAATCATATTTGAATCCTTTGTTGTGATTATCTCTTCAATTTAATGTACGAGCGACTGAATTGGATCATTCCTTAAGTTAGGCTGAGGGTAGTACCTTAGGCTTAGAAAGCTGGGGCTCTAGGATAAGACGTGAACGAACTAGAGATTGAGGTGAGTTTACGCCAATGAGGAGTTCTGTATTTTAATTTGATGATATAAGTCATTAATTAAGTAATCCGTAAACCGACACTGTCCATCGTTGTGGTTAAGCACCTCGTGATTTGTCTCACCCGAAGAAATGAGCCAGTTTAACGAGATTTTGACCGGTTAAGGCACATACCCGCTGTTACTTGCCGTCCCTCATATATGTTTGTGTGGCTGGGCATGATTGACTGAAGATGGATGTTATTTCACACAAGCAGGGCATTCTCTAACATTCTCTAATTCCGTATAGAATTGAATAGCAGCAGAACAGTGCGGGCATGGTTATTGAGATTAACAACCGCGTGGTGGGCACCTGTTTTTGATTACAATCGGTTAAACTTAGAAGATATTGTACTGTACTGTGTACTTTCAGCTCTCTATATAAAAGATACCATGTGCTTAGTTGGGTGCGGGGAAGAAGAGGATCCTTGCGGGGATCACACGAGTCAAACCCCGAACTGGCGTTCGTCTTCGATCTTGGCGCTAACGAACTCTCAACCATGCAACCTGCACGTTTGGTCGCTCCATACATACCCCTTGGTATTTCCGGTTCTTTCTATGCTAAGTTAGGGAAGCTCTATAGTGTGACCGAAACTGATTGGTAGAACTTGCACCAGCAGAGCATATCTATCGCGAGCGAACACCTCTCGCTTAATTTCACCACTTTCCAACTCCGTAGTTACTTCACATTTTTCATCACATCCCACTATCTTTCCGGTGGCTTCTCAGCTGCGGAACCTCCGCCTCCACAATTACATGCTTTGGTGCGCCTGAATGAGCAGTAGCGCCACGTAATACCACAAGTTCCTTTCACCAACGTAGGGCTTCTAGTACATGCATCAATTTCTTTATCTCCTCAGACTGTACTGAAAACACCCTGCGAATATGTCAAATTAAGTGCTCCCAGACAATTTTCATATTCATTCAACCTCAAGCGGTAGTTGGGTCAAATCGACCTTGCACATGTTGAGAAACTTACCCTAATCAGTCCAGTCAGTCAGGGTCAGATGCGACAGCGAAGAGTGGCAGGCTGAGTATTGCGCTGTGTTCGGTGTCCCCGAGAGTTAAATCATATCCAAATAGCCAAATTAGTGCAGGGCAGTTCCAAATGCAGAACAAACCCGTAAGCCATTGCAAGCCACAACCCTCTGAGCCTGAGCTCAGGTACTGCACATCCTGCAGGAACAAGGCAAAGCACTTCATTGCCTTGTCATGTGCCACGCTCATTGTGACAAAGATATCACCTGAGACACAACCATTGATCAAGAACCGGTAGAAAATGACGAGCTGAAGTGAGCGCGTAGTGTACACTATCCTCTAAGTGTACTAGTGGTATTTGTTTTGCGATGTTGACTTCCAAGTTCGTCGGATTCAAGTTTGAACAAGGCTCGTCCAGCCTCTTGTAGAGACAATCTTCTAGCTTGGCAGTGAAAGAAAGCAATTAATTCCGGTTTTGTGGAATTGAAGTCTTCTTTTCCATTGAATCTATATAAACCCATCGAGTTCCGCTTCAAAACAGATCATTCAACTTTTCTCATCATCTCTGTATCTTTGAGTACATATACACTTGATATATAACTTCTTCCTTGAAGTGAAACCAGCTTTGTGCAAAATGTCTACCGAAAATGGCGTCAACAACTGGGAGACCTCCTTTGAAAAGGAGGTGGAAGTACTCCGCTTAGCCTCTACTGAAGGAAATGTCACGTTCCTGTCAATCTATCAGGAGAAGACAGTGGAGACGGCGGCTGCAGAAGCCAGTTTCCTCTACCATGACCTGGCGGCAATGGATGTCAGTGCCATGTACGACTCCTCCAATGTTCATCAACAGCTGAAGGAGAAGAGCGAGACTGCGGTGAAAGATACGGAGACGAGCTGTGATGTGCTTCGCAACAGCCTGCAGGAATTCAAGGAAGGCAAAGCGGATGCCTCGGAGAGCGACTGGGAGTCATTTCTGGATGAGGAAGTGGAGAAGCACAAGGCCGAGAGCAACAAGCGATGGGACGATCTGAAGAAGTTTGGCAAGGAGAAAATCATGCAGCTGCCCGAGGCCTCACGCCCCGCGGCTGCTCGAACTTACGGTGCTGGACTATCCGTCATCGGAAAGCTGCTGGGAACCGTTATGGACTGGCTGAAGAATGTGCTCAACAAGATTGCCGAATTCTTCCGCAAGGCCTGGGAGAAGATCAAGGAGTTTGCAGGAAAGGCTGTCGAGTGGTGTTCCAACGCCTGGAGCTCGATTGCCGGCATTTTCAGCGGCGTGTTTTCCTTTGCTGCCACGGCCGCAATTGACAAGTACAGCCATTCCAATGCTGCCAATTTTGGCCTCTTTCCTTCATTCGATTCCAACGTGACCGTTGAACAGGCCAGGCAATTCTTGGATCTTTTGTCCAAGATAACTCAGGAGAGAAACTTGAATGGAGTGCACTCGGCGTTGCCTCTGAAGGCTGTCTAGTCTGATGCTGCCAGTAAGGGATGTGTCTGCAATACTTATCCTGTATAGATTCTGCTGAACAACTGTTCAGTGGAAGAGTCTGGCTTTACTTTACCCTGCCTGGCCTCGCTATTTGGCTCACCACTGACTTGACCTATTGTTCTGTCAGTGTCATACTCTTCTCTTTCTTTAACCCTCAATGTTTCTTGTTGTCTTTGTTTCGTTTGTTTTTGTTTTGATTTGTCGAGTCTACTCTTATGCCGCAGAACCATCTGGTTGTTCTCATGCCACTCATTAACTGCTAAACTAGCTCCCAATCCGATTTTGGTCATTTTTCGTCATAATATATCTCTGCTGGTACGTAGTTACGACTGAATGAGGTCAAAACTGTATTCCATAGGGCCGTGGAGGATGACCAAAGGTTTGTAATTTCGGGTGGACCTTCATAAAGGGATGGTAAAGTATCCTCCCCCTCCTGAATTGTTTCATGAAGCTAAAAGCTCAATACTTGCAGCCCGAAATGACACTGAGATGTTGAGAGGATTCCAATCAAAGGAGCGAAAAAGATACAGAAAATTTGTATATACCAACCATTCTAATCCTGTATAGCATATTCGGTGTCATAGAGGGACTTACATTTGTCTCTAAAGATCATCACAGCTTTCAGCATACGAAAGTTATACCAGCACAATGTCTAAAAGCAATTCTGGAGTACGGAAAACTCAATCATCAGTAAGCATAACGTTCAATTTCAACTTCAGACAATGCTGTCCTCCACCGACTAACTTTGTTCCAAGAACAATGACAAAAAAAGATCAAAAGCAACCCCATCACTATTCATTGAGGCACAAAGTCCACAATCGGGGTGGATGCAAGCACCGTCCCAACAGACATCTGGTAAAACGCCTTAGTGGCCGCAATGTCGGATGGCTGAAGCTCAGGTGGTTCACGACGATAGTTCATCACAGAAAGTGGATTGGCCTCACCAATCTGCACAGCCTTGGGGCCCTCCAGTCGACGGGGGTCCATCGCAAACTCGTGGCGCAGGCCCAGAACATGGCCAAGCTCATGTACCAGCACCTGCGAGAGACTGGCCTTCCAATCGGGCTGCAAGGCCCGGGTGTAGACATAAACAAAGTTCAGGTCCTTCTGGTTGGGGAAGTAGGCGCTGGCCAGGACATCGCCCTTGTACCCGCCGTGACAGATAACAAAATTGGCGTCTTTTGCCAGCGGCACGAACTCAAAGCGCACGCCCACGTCGGCCTCATTCCAGACACTGGCGGCCAAGGCCAAGTGCAGCGCCGCGTAGTCAGCATCCTCCTGCGAGTCGTACCCCATTCTCCACGCAGACCATTTGATGACGGATCCGGGTGTCCACCGTGGAATGATGCTTTCGAGCCCGACCATGATAGCAGCTGGATCGTTGGCAAGGTTCTGAGGCGTCGATTCTTGCGTGATACAGACGGGGGCGCTGGGCAGGCCTTTGACAGCGTCTATGGCAGAATCCACGATGTTGGGCTCCACCACTGTTTCCAGGGCTTCGGTTCCCAGCTCCTGGGCAGTAGACTGAAGAAGTATCTCCTTCGCGCTGGGTGAATCGGTCGACATTTCAGGAGAGGTACCACACCAGTTTTCTGGGAAGTGCGCCAGTGTAGATATTGAGTAGCACTAAGTTTTACCGGAGAGGATTTCACAACGGGAAGATTGAGAGACAATGAAAGAAGAATCGAGAGCTGTGAAAGACAACAGAAAATCAGAGGAGCATTGATGGGTTTTTATAATCGTGGTTCACAGCCGTTCTCTCATTAAAGGCTAGCTGAGAAGAGAGATGATACCACCTTCAGGGAAAAAAAGGCAAACGTGCGCGGGCCAGATGTGTCTTTCCCTTCGAGGCTGGCTGTAAACTTACTTAAATCAAGGATATTAGGGAAGAATACCCGAGCTGAAAAGAGGAAGATGTCATGGTAAGAGATGCCGAGTTCGCATATCGACCTACGCCTTGATTCGGCGTTGTCTGACTTGCCCGGGGCAAATAGCAGGACAAAATAGCTCGGCAGTCCTTGTAGATGGGAGCATGAATGTTCTGGCCATAAAATCATCATTCCAATTCCGTATAAAATTGGCCTCATGACCATTGATGCGCTTACAATGTGACGACAACTAGTAAGCCTGCCAGTAGCATTTCATAGTCTATCACATAGGAGTCGCCATCACGAATTTTATCATGCCCAATTACCAATAGAGATATCCTGCATACAGTCTGATGCTTCCAGGCTAGCGCTTAGTCTGGATAGCAGACGGATTGGTCACAGTCCCTAGCTGGGCAAGGTGTAATTGACAAGTGTCCAGCTGAAAGCGGCACATCGCGTGAGGTCTCTTTCCAAGCGTTGTTCCATCCACAGTCGAGTCATTGATTGAATGGTGTCGATGATTCATGTTGGTTAAAAATTACGATCAATGTATGATGAAATGAGGACGCCTCGATGGCAGTCTGGTTAAACAGACAGGTCGACAAATGGCATTAAAACCAAATAACAGGCCAAGTCAAGAAGCGATATGCAGATGATGCCTACTGAAGATAACCTGATACCATATCAAGGAGCATAATAATCGAGAATCATTAATCAATAAATGAGTGGCATTGTTGTCCGTTCTTCCTTACTCCCTACAGTCCTAAATTGTTCATATCTCCCCTCGAAGATATTAATGCCTGAGGCATAGTCGCGTGAACCACCACTACAGTGGATATCTTGCAACTTCATCTCACATCTGCAGGCAGAATCTCGATATATATATGAACATGCTAGACAGCATTGGTTATTGGGAAATCTGCCATTTTATCGCCAAATGGCTGTAAAAAGCGGTGATATGCACAACAATATCTAGTTTCCGGGGTCACTCAGCTCCCTCATCGAGGGTATTCATGAATCAAATACGATGACCGGAGACACAGACTCCGGTATAGTTGAGTTGTGCTCTTCTGGATACGAAGAAATCAGTTATTTTGAAAGTTCGTGGTTCTTTACGGATATCTCCTGAGCATTCAAAAGATAAATTATGAGTTTAAGACCGATAACGCGTGGATTAATGCTATATTAGTGTAACAAGGGCTGGCTCCCGGTAGTATATAATGTTATTTTTATATCCCTAGCCGGTTTAGTATTTACTTATAAAGCCACATAGTACACAAGCTCCTCAAATCACAGTACAAGAATATGAGATACCCCAGCAGGCTTCCAAAGCAAGTATAATTCCAAGATGCATTAAGAAGCCCGACTGGGCCGGTTTCATGCTTTCCCGCGTGATGTAGTCGCACGTATATTGGCTGCTCTTTTCTCTTTAGTCACTCTCTACGAACTAGACTTAGTTTGAACATGCTTCACGCATTATCTAGATATGACTGGATTTTTCCTATTAGTTCCTTCGCTTCGCTTGAAGTCAACTTGCGCTTCAAGTAAGATCTATACCCGTCGATTCCTCAAAGAGTTTGGTTTATCGGCTTATATGCATCCGAGCAAAACTAAAAGCAAAAGCAAGTTCATTGCGAGAACTGCCTCTGAGATTGAGGTTGGGAAAGTTACAAGTGATTATAAAAGCTGAGAGACTTACTAACTTATCAAAATGAGATTTTGCATTGTTATGAAAATAAGCAACCACGGTTTCGTTTGCTTCAATAGAAAAGAATTACTAAAGTCGCAACGAAAAACTTGATCCTCAAGCTTTTTATAGAGCAGGGTGCTACAATAAGCTGTATTTGTACGTCTTCTCTGAATTACAAGCAATGATTTTAATGCAGATTGTCTTTATTGACGCTAGCTTTGACCAAAGTAGAATCGATCGCTCTCAAACCGAAACCCCGTTTGATAATTTTTGGCCTCGGTTGCGGAAGGCAAGTAATCTATCAGTGGATTCATCGCTTGCTGTAATCGACGCCTTGCAATGGACAGTTGCTATCAATGTGAGTGCGCAGTCAAACGCCGATAGCCCGCATTACTATTGTACCGCTAGCCGGCTTCTGTATTCTTATAATTAATCTTATCATTCTCGGGGTTCGAGCATCCAGCAGTGTCTGCTATTTAAAACAGCGAGCACGATCAATTTCGGCAATTGCTGCGAGTAACTTCTAACTTCAGGTTGACAAAACACACCCCAGTTGCAACATATTTTACTGACAAACAAAGAGCTTTGTCAAGTTGTTATTTCACTTATTCACTTTTTTTCTCGTATACCTCATCCTCCTCGTCCTTCTCGTCCTTCACTTCCTCCTCTTCCTCCTCTTCGTATTGTTCTCTGCCAAATCCATGTTCTCCCTCCGAGATAACATCCCCCCCTTCGGCCGCCATCATCCTCTCATTCCGTCGACGATTCGCCCAACTATACATGCTCCAACTCTGTAAGAACACCGATGCTCCTCTACCCTCGATACATATCACTGGCTGACCATGCCTGAGACTGAACCACACCCGGTCGTTCATATCTAAAGCTGCGGCTGTCCCAAGTAGACATATCCAAGTGTGTGCTTCGGGTGCTACTCTCACCCAGGTATCCATGCTACCACTAGATATCGCATATTGTAACTTTCGAACGAGACGCTGCAGAACAGTCATACGAAATGGAGCGACGTACTCGTCGTCAAGAAACAAGTACCAGAATATCAAGGCAGCTGTCTGGCAAGCCTGTGTTATAGCATCGGCGTGCGGCTCGATAAATATGTCGTCATTGCTACCTCGATTTTGCTGGTGATCTGAAGACAACAACAAGTGCTCTGTTTTGGCTGCCCATTTGGCTCGGAGATCTATGGCGCTTGGGTGGTCCGGCAAAAGGCGGGCGACAACATCAATATCTTCGAAGATTTCGATTGCTGCACGGGAGAGGTTGTAGTATCTTCTTTCTCTATGAGCTGCACGACGCAGGATGGCAGATGTGAAGTATGTTGGAGGCGCGAGTGGAGTGGGAGGAATATCTAAGAAAGGTATGTCGAGTTGGGAGTCCATGATGATCGCTTCAGTGAGAACGCATCTACGAGCAAAATAAAACATGAGCCACTAGTTCCCGTTGACATATCATGTACCTGAGTGTCGTACGCACACTGTTATAAGTCCCGAGAGGAACCCACCAAGAGCGAGATGATCAAGACCACCTTGTGCCTTGATCATTTGCATCAATGCTATCTTGTGCATATTGGATGATCCTTTGTCGCCGAAGAGAGCCTAGAACGATGAGGAATGGTCGATTTACTCGATAAGCAGAGGAAATCTAGCATATTACGTACCGAGAAGAAGACTAATGGTGCAATGCAAGCCATGAGAGACTCGCTGAACACCGCTCCAGGGTCCGCTATTCTCTCCTGGAGCAGTTGCAGTGCCGCTGTGTGGTGGTATAGCGTCATATTATTATTTTTGACGCCTCGAAATGCATCCAAGTGGGCCGATGCAGCATAAAGGGTAGTGTGAAGTGCACAGGGGTCGGAGAGTGCTTTTTGGATCCACATCGCTCTAAGAAGCCATGCGAGACTGTTACCGTCAACAGGCAGCGGTTCCATTCCGAAAGTTTCAATGACTACCAAGGACGCTTTTAGTATATTGGTCACAGCGGTCTTTCGCATTGATGACATGCACTTACACGAGTGAATAAGCATAGGCATGTGAGGCCGAGCATCAACTGGCAGTGGCACTGTGGCATCCACCCGGCTAATGTCAAGTGAACGAAGGAACCAAGCACTGGGGCCATTCAGCACAATGGCTTGCTTAGGATATACGCAGCGGCTTCGTTGACTACAGAAATACGTTAGCTGTGTACATATTTTGCCTGTTTCTCACCTGACAGTGGTACCTCGAGCATCTGCTGCAGCTTGACAATATCTTGTCACATTTTCTCTTCTTTGTACGACACTGAAGACATGCACCGACAACCCTCACTGCCTCGGAGGCTAGTGGAAGAATCGCGGCCTGACTGGCGCTATACTGCGGGTGCATGGATACCTCTGGCCGTCGGTCCTCCATGAGCAGCAACCCGGAAAGAATATGAGTACTCTCGTGAGTTGGTATACTGGACGATGTATACCAACATGGTCGCTTATGTCTATTGAGATTAGCCTGGAGACACAGCCAGTTAAGCTCACAGGAACTCCAGTCATAGCACTCACTTGACACAAGTTGAGCATGAAGGAAGACGGCGATCACATCTCCTCTTCTTTTGGGCACAAGACAAGCATGCGCGATCAGACCGGATGCTCATCTCGGTTGCAGTAGGCGCGATTTGGAAGTGGAGATGGCAGATCTGCGAAAGGGTGAGGTATACATATACATGTCACGCATGTAGTGTTTAAAGGCTCAAACAGAAGTTATACTAGCAGTACATACTCAGCAGAGGCCCTTTTCATCTTCGAACCCTTTAAATGGAGAAATTGACCCTATTTCCCCCTGACCAATCAAACGTCTGTCGACTGCCGTGTCGAGTTCGGTTAACAGATATCCCCCGCCGCTAACCTAATCTGGATGTGGTAAATCTGCAAAGAGAGCTAAATCGCAGCCGAAATGATGCAAAGGGAATTAGAACAAGTGCGTGAGGCAAGTTATCTGATCAGTTAGGTAAATGGAACTGCCACACCACCATTAACTGCAACGGCCCGAGTGCCTGCTCCATGTTGAATATCCCCAACGCATTGCCTCTATTTTTCGTCATGTGGCGTAAGATATCTTGAGTTGTGATCTGCATCATATATTCAGGATCCAAGTCATCTATATACCCCAGATGACTGATCTCTTCTCTGTTTTCCTATGGGGCGAACTCGGTCAGTTTGTGGTCATCGGACTATCCTGTCAAAAGTAGTGTACGATAGTCCTAGGAACGAGCTAGTTCTCGGATATAGAATATTAGGAGAATAAGGGATTTTATATTCGGGTTTATTATACGGACTAAGGGGTAGGACCTTGTTACGCACTGGCTAGCGGGTCGTCGCTAGGTTAGAAGACTTTCCGGGTTATACGTGCCTGTATGCTGACTTCCAACGTCAACGATCTGTCTCTTAACCGTACCGTTGCCTAGTAGGTCTTATACGGGCTAGTCCTTTTGAGGGTATCGAGGAGCGAAGCTAAGTAGAGCGCCGATCAGATCTATACCGGAGTATTGGTCTGGTCGTAGTGTTGTCAAGTTATAATCAAGTTGTACGAGTCACTAAAGGTTCTAAACAGTAGACATAAGTAACAATGTAGGATTGAACACGAAGAACTAAACTAGATAAATGAGGTCCCTATATACCCTTAGTTCTTCCCTGCTTACATAGTAGATGGTAGAATGGTAGATGAGCCTTGGCAGGGTCTACCCGTATACCGCATATCACTCTACCACTTGCGTGGTCACGTGGTTGCCGTATGATGATTAATTATAGTAATCCTTGAGACGGCGAGTCGGAGGCCGGAAGTGGCCTTACCGTCACCTAGCGTTGTGGTGTATTCTGGGTGCTGGTAAATCAAGGGCCGAAAAGGGCGCCTGCTTTGTTCGTCCAATCGCAGTTCTCTGATTTTTCGTCACGTGATCACGATGGGTCGGTTGATTGACTGGTCCATGACCACCCATCAACAAGTTGCGGCCCCATACTGACTGGTGCCTGGTATGTCCGTAACAGGCCTATATAGTGAAAGAGTAGATAGTATGGTCGATTATATAGTCAATTATAGGTATAATAAGGCATTTAACCTTACGTAGGTTAAAAGTGGTTAAGCCGAATAACTAGAAGTTCAAAGACTAAGAGGAAGTTACTATAGCAACGCAAGGACACGTCATTTTCTAGCTTACGCTCCTAGGAAATAGTAGGCAGTAGGGCGGTTATTATCGGAGTAATCGAATAGATATAGAGGCAAGACGGGATTGAATAGACCGACCAGGCTAAGCCTCGGGGTAAGCGATTAGGTTACTCAGTGAGCTACTCAGGGTCGCTAGTGAGCAGCTTAGGGCGGCACCGTGACTAACTCAGCAGATACTTTGGGAGCCGATCACTTCCCGAGGAGGCAATTTTACCGTCACCTAGACTACATTTACAATTATGATCATAAAGTTGGGCAAAAGAAATCATTAAATTAACGTGACGAGAGATCAACAAAACATAAATACATAAGTAGTCTATAATCCGACTTCACTGTCGTCTCGATATCGCCTTTATATCTCATGGTAACCGCGCTTCTCAGAAGCCAGTTATATTCACACCAAAGGTTTCAATAGCACACCCATAGAAAGAGCATTACTCTTTATACCGGGTCTCCTCAATCTCCTGACTGTTGTCACCATTGTCACTGCTGCTCATGCCGAGTTCGTTCTTCTCGGCTTCGGCACGGTCAGTGGTGCTCAATCCCAGATCACGAGACTGTTGAACAATTTCTTCGAAGGTGAGCTTGGGCATCTCGTTGGCGACTCTCCAAGCCATCTTGCCTTCGATATGGGCTTTGGCGTAGATGATGTCGACCTCTTCGAGCTCGCGTCCAGCGGTTTCAACATAGAAGAAGAAGCCGAAGATCAAACCGATGAAGTTGAACAATGCGAAAAACAGGTAAACACCCCACGGACTCTGTCCAGAGAAGAGAGGGGTGAACATGACGACTGCAAAGTTGCAGATCCAGTTGGTGCAGGTCGATGCGGCCGCTCCGATGGTACGGGTACGGAGAGGGTTGATCTCGGGGGGTAGATCCAGGGGAGAGGCAATAGAGTAAACGCGAAGAAGGTAATGAAGAGGAAGATTCCGACTGCAGCACCCTTAGAGTTCTCCTCGGTGTCCTTGATCAAGCAAGCGAAGGTGATGACAAAACTGAGACCCTGGCCAAGGAAACCAATTAGGTAGAGGTTGCGACGTCCAACTCTTTCAATCATGAAGAAAGACGGGATGGTTGCAAGAGCGTATACAGAGGCAAAGACACCACCCATGATGAGGGAAAGGTATTTCTCCATTCCCAAGTTTTCTTGGAAAAGCAGTGTTGAGTAGTAGATAGCGGCGTTGCAACCGGTAAACTGCTGGAAGAATTGGCCAGAGCAACCAATAAGAAGGCGCTGGAATTCTTGAGTCTTGCCGAATGTGAAGACTGTTTTCCAGCTTGCCTGGTTGTTCCTCGAGTTTTCTACATCCGTCTTCAGGAAGTTAAAGTCGGTAAGGACATCGTCGGATTCAGGAGAAGATCCCTTAATCTTAGCGAGAACTTGGCAGGCTTCCTTGTCAAGACCTCTCTTGACAAACCACGACGGGGAGTCCGGTAGCAACAAGGCACCCGTGGCGACAATCAGAGCAAAGAAGATCTGGAAGGCAATAGGGAAACGCCACTGGACAGTATCCGCGGCGTGCGACATACCAAAGACCAACCAGTAGGCAATAAAGGTGCCACCAGCAATCATGGCACCTTCGAAACAGACGAGGAAGCCACGGTTGTGTGCGCCAGAGCACTCTGATTGCCAGACCGGGATTGTGGCGGTGTTCATGCCGTTTCCAATGCCAGACACAACACGACCAATAACGAACTGACCGACTTCCCATTTACCAGTAAAGCAGACAGTTGTGAGCAAGGCGCCGATGGTCAGGATGTTGGCACCCATGAAGATCACGCGAGTACGACCGAGTCGCTCGCCGAAGAACATGGAGAACAAAGCGCCGAAGAAACAGCCAAGCTCGTAGCAGGATGTGACGGCACCGCGGATAACGTCGATATAATGTTTCTGGCCCGCGGTAGGCTCATCGGGCATTGCGAGAATAGGGAAAGAGGCCACAAATTCATCTCCGTTGAGCAGACCAGCCATCATACCCTGGTTGTAACCGAAGAGGGAGAAGCCGACGACAGCGGTGATGGTGATGCTCACCCGGAGCGATCGACCACTCAAGCCGGTAGTGGTCGTCCACATGTTGACGGTGCAAGCAAAGCAAGAGCCGTCAGTTTGTGGGGATAAAGGGAAGTGGGGGAGAAGGAGTAGGGAAAAAGATTAGAAGCGATGTCAAGGCGGACGATCGGGCTTTCTTATAGCACTCTCCATGGGGGCCGAACATCCCACTCATACCCCGTCCTTGGTCGGGCCCCAAACGGGAAAGTCCAGCGACTACTCTACAGTTCCACATGGGGAGAGACGCGGGGGAATCCTTTCTCTTGGCTCTTGGCGCATCTGCGACTAATCTGGAGACCCCAGGCCCGATTTGCTGTACAGATGCAGCTCTATGATAGACCTCTATTACTGCACTGTTCTTTGCTCTCTTCTATTCTCTTTTCTCGTTCTTCATCTACATCATTTACATGTGTCCATACTAGCAAACCTAACCATTGCGGTGTACCTGGTACCTGAGGCCGCCAAGGCTTTCTTGCCCCAATATGACATCAGAAAGTTTCCGCCAAGGTTTTTAGTGGCGCTTGAGAGGCAGCCCGAGCCAATCACAGCCGTACAAATTGTGGCGCCGCACAAGGCACACGGACCCAAAGTTTTTGCTCGTGCCGACCCCGAAAACCGACCGGTGCAATTTCGCTTAATGGCGTTTGGTGGCAAGCCGGCTTTTTCCGACCACGCTGTACCGTAGAGGTGCCAGGTGGCATCGGGCCGAGTCAGTGTCGTCCGTCTCCACTCGGGTAGATGTATTGATATTAGAGTTCAAATGAATACAGTATGTTCAGGTGCTTCGGCGAAAGAGGCATCTCATTCTGGCCTCTCCATCTCTGGAGAAACAACACCATGGCGTCAAACAAAAAATTCTGTGCTGTTACGTCACAACGGGGGGCCCTTAACTTCCGCTTGGCAATTGGTGCCTTGGCGAATCTGGGCGGACTTGGCACACCTGACCTGCAACCAATACAGGGCGGAGAACCTTCCCCATAGGCTCCACATAGCACATGGTACTGGCATGCGGAGTATTCAATGGGAAAAAAAGCGAGCCCTTGTCGCTCCACTGTAATCTCAAATCGATGCAAGACAACACTTAGGCTCAATGCAATTTACATGGTGTCGATGTAGATAAAAAAGTTTTTCCGCGCTATCCACCAGCGGCATATATAGAGGACGAAAATTCTGCATCCTGCGCTCACATTGACAAAATAGCTGCCAAGAGATGACCAGGACAGCTCTGATCTGATGAGCCTCGAGTGGACTCGTCTTAAGCCATCGATGTCACTTTAACCGTGAAGACGGGAAGGTACGCCATCTACGTAGGCAGGTTCTGCCTTTGGTCATTTCTTTGCGTACCAATTAGACCCGAACCAAGGCTTCATACATAATGGAAGGTGAAGCGGAGGGTCCAAAGTAATGTGGCTTAATTGCCCCGGGGCGGCAGCGTTGCTTATGTGCTGCCTAGAAAATTCTTGTAGCGCCAAGAGCCCCATTCTAACGCCGTCCCCGGAGTCCCTTCCCTCCCGGTGCGCCACTTACAGCGTCCCGCGAGTTGGGACCCTTTGGCTTGACTGCTAGCATTGAAGCTCGGCCCTTGGCAGAGTGGTGGCGCCCGGCTAACTCGTCCAACTCGGCGTAGCACCGCCCTCTTTCAAATCGGCAAAATCTGTCGGAACCCTTTACATACGGTGTGAGACCACAGAAATGGGGCCAGATGTGGATACGTCAGCTATGATATCACAGTGGCCTTGGCGACACGGGGCCGTGTGCAACTGTGGTCTTGGGGGAGGGCTTTGAGGCATTTTTCACCATATCACCATATTTGATACGCTTCGGCTTAGACCGATATCCAAGACTGACCCAGTTCCGAGGTCTAGAAATCTGTGGAAATCACCCTATGTCAAATTCTCTGGGCCTGTAAGTGTCCAGGGTATCGTGGACATTTGTCGCGTATTAGGTAGTTGATGTGTTTCAGATGCGGCCGAGAAGACGGGAGGCCCTTTTCTCCACACCTGCTCGTATGCACCAGGTTGGCCAATGGAGGGGTTTCTTGGTACATGGAAGTCAGCAGATTCATACATATTTTGTGCTGTAGAGCTTATTCTTAATGCATGACTGGTCTGTAGTTTCCACCTGATCGAGAGTTGAGTAGGTGCTGCCCGTGGGGTTCGGCATACAGTACGGAGTAGGTTCAACGAGAATTTACTTTAGACTCGTTTGAAGTGCCTCGGCTTGTAAAGTACCGATGTGGGAAATTTCATGGACTGAGTACCCATGTCATTTCCAATTCGAAATTATCCCATCCAAAGAGAGAAGGGGGCGCGAGAACTATAGTGTGTTACTGATAGTATCTCTATACCCCATAGGTACGCGGCAGTGCTGTAGATGATTTGGGGGGGTTTATCATTAGTTGAATCGAATCGAATCTGATGAGCTTATAATGAGTTTTAAAATGATAGATGCGTGATGCAAATATCTAATTTGATGGGGTACTGACGCACTATGGTTCGAAATATATATACCACTTCACAAAGGTTCGCTCATAATTGCTGTACCAAGATGACCCTTCATCGGTGTCTGGCTTATATGTGACCAATCAATGTGGCTTGCATAAAATCAGAATGGGGGCACTGCTTTAAAGCTACAGGAGTGAAAAATGTGAGTGCATAATACATGTAGGGTAAGAGCCGGGTGATTGTCGGCCTCCAAGATGCGACAGCCATATTGGCCCACTCAGAGCTATGATGAAATACTATTGGATATTAATTCCATTTTCAAGCACGGAGCCTCAAAAAATCTGCACGCAGCCGTTCTCTGAGATGAAAATTGGACCAGAAAGGACGCTACCGAGTCAGGGGTTTCATATCTAGTCGGAATACCTTCCTGGGCTTACTGTGGATTTAATAGAAGAAGGACATATCAAAATACTGTCGATGATTGGACCGGACGTAGCCGAACCCCGCAAACAAACAAACCCCATTAGACCCAGTAAGATGGCTATGAAGCATGCGAGTCACATTGATATCCCCGCAGTGGCTGCGACAAGCTGGCTGAGTTCGTAGGATCTTCGCTTGGTCATGGGATTCAAAGACGATTTAGGAAAAGCAAGATGGCTAAATGAAACCATGGGGTGGGTAAGAGCATTGTTTCATCCTGAAAAATAAATCACGTATACTAGCCTGAGCGTCTGAGCTTGCTACCATTCTATCTCAGATCATCAGATTCATTGTAATCGGACTTTACCGGTGTACTTGCAGCGTTGTTATTCTAATTGCATCTGCAAATACTACGTTGTTCGGTCATTATAACAGGCTTATCCCTGCAGCAGAGGAACGCAGAACACCAGTTCCCCATTGCACGACTACTGTAGTGAATATATCCACCTAAAGTTGAAAATAAAGCCATTCGCTTCCCCACTCTTATTTGCATAGTCTTATTGATTCTGCCCAGGCACTTTCAAATGTGTAAAAAGAGGTTCAGAAATAGAGGATAAGCCCAACACATAACGCTGCATGAAATAGTAATCACTGCGAAACCAAAGAAATTGTCGACCACCGCGCACTCCTACCAGCTGATTAGTGAAGTCTAATGTATGTAACACTATAGCTAAGCGAAAGATATATATAACCTGCTAAAAATAAATTCGTCGACACTTCATAACCTCAGAAGACTTTCGTGTAGTATTGAATCATTGATACTAAGTAGTATCAGCCAGGGTGAGGCATTACCTGAATTCCCATGCACAGTTAAAAATTTGGTAACCTGATCTCGTTGATCTACCTGGTAGCTACATTTTCTGTTCGTTCAATTGCAAACCTCGCGTTTCGTCCCCTGTTACAAGGAGGTATTCTCAAGGGGCTAAGATGATCCCAACTACCACTGGAACGAAACCAACTTGAATGTGTAACAAGAGCTAGTGGATTGGATCACAATAGCTAGTTCACTGGTGCTTTCCGATCTTCTGTTCCCAGCTCAATAAAAATATGTTTGCTACATCTCTTTCGCTAAAGTCAATCTGGTAAAGCCAACGAAAGCTAGTAGCATTTCCTTCATGTCGTTTACATCATTCAATATATGATCTAGCAGACAGGCAAATTTGGCGATCATAATGCTAATTTACAGTGGTAACTTGCTGGAATGACATGAGGACCTAATGTCTTTGGTGCGCAGATGGGAGACTCCTCTTTTATCCGAATGATTGCCCCCTGGACTGCATCAACGACAAATTCATGATGAACTCTGCAGCATCAATATTGACACCCAGTGGTGTGTTTTGGAGAATAATTTCTTCTTTAGTTGTTTACCCTATCGAAATTGGCGAATACCTATATTGAACAAGGGAGAAAGCCAAAGACACTCTCTTCGAATGTCCACTTGTCAAACCACACTAAATCTTCATGTCTGGTTTACCGATGACCTTCAACTATAATATTGGTTGAACCAATCATAAATCGTCATAATCGAGTCATATCATCGCACCTGGTGCCTCGTCAAATTGGCAGTGAACGACCACCAATAAAAATGCTTCAACTGGAATGATAGCCACCAGCCAACCTCATGTGTGATCACCAATTATTTTTAACCTGCCATCTTACTTTCAATTGACAAATGATATCGCTCGGCACTTGCAGATCAAACATTACCAAGCCATTCAGAGGTGTCCTGCCGTCAATTGGAATGTGGCACCGCGCCTACATACCACACACGATCCTGGATGAACATTATACGAACATTTTGGGACTGGAATGTGGAACTGACCAATCAATGGAATAGCAATCGGATTTCTAGGTGCTTTCCTGCCACCTGGTATGACGCTGGTGGCCCATTTGGCCTCAAGACGCGTTTCACAGCCAGCATGAAGACCATTCCAATCATTCTTCCCCGCCATTCTATTACCCTGGTGCAGTAATGGAATGATAGAAGCAATAGTCTATATAATGAAGGGTAGAAAGCGGCAGACACAATCAGATCATCAAGCAAACTTCCACTCAAACACTCTGATATCATACTATCCCTACTCCATCAATATCCCAGCATCCCCCTTTGCGGATATTGAAGCCCTAAAGCAAAAATGCATTCCCTTACCACATCATTTATATCTCTATCCCTCCTCTCAGGAGCTGTTCAAGCCCAAACCGTTGCCCGAGTCTGGACACATTTCTACCCCAACTGCCCGGGCGACGCCTTCTCCAAGCTGGACACATACGAGAACTACGAAGAAACAGCCCCCGCAAAGGACATCACAGTCGGCAGCTGCGAGAGCATCCCCGTCCCCTCCTACGAGCACAGCATTGTCAGCGCCATTTCCATTGACGGCGAGCTCCTCTCCCACAATCACGACCTCCCCTTCCTAGAAGGTGGCAGCGGCTGCAACATCACCGTGCACGAAGTCCCAGAATGCATCGACCCACCCCTGATCACCAAGGAGATCCGCGATGGTGTCGCCGTCACACAATGCGAAGAACGCGGGTTCGCTGCATACAGCCAAGTATGGGTGAATCTAGTGTGCGACAAGGACATCAATGGCATCGCCGATGGCACCGTGGATGCTAAGGCCAAGACAGAGGAGAAGAAGGCTGACACCGAGCAAATGGATGGGCCTGATCAACCTGTGCGCGCTGAGAAGCAGACCTCCGTTGAGGATATCAATAATATCCAGACTCCGGGGTCGAACTCGGATTCGTGGCATTTGTCGCAGATTACGCATAACCAGCGTGAGCCTGAGCAGGAGAGTCGTGTTAATGATGCTGGGCATGCTGAGAGCCAGAAGATCGTGCATAAGATGATGGAGTTGTTGAAGAATAAGGCGTCTGTGTTTGTTGATGGCAAGCATAATGGCACTCAGGGCGTGAATGCTACCATGCACCAAAATGGTACTGTTGCGGGCAACCGTACTGTTCTCTCTCATCGTCGTCTTTCTGTCTTGCGGAACCGCATGGCTCGGTTTGTTTGAGTGATTGCATTTCAGCGTGCTCTTTTTGATGTTTGATGATATTTTGTCCAGAATACATACATGTATATTAGAAGAATCAAAAGTCGACCTTGTTTAGTGATATCTTGATCTTTCAGTGGTGTTTCATTATTATAGATCAGTAGAAGACCATCGTGCTGTTCACATATGCCCCAACCTGCATGTCATCATTTAATCAATGGATCAAGTTACCTTACAGCTCGAGTACACAGAATGGACATCAAGGCTAGATCAAGACCATATCTAACCTAGAACCCAAAGCTATCCAACAAAGAATTAGCGTCCGGCTCATGGAACATAGTCGGAGGTGGTTTCGGCTTGGGTTTCTCTTCCTTCGATTCATCCGCAGTCTTCTTAGCCGCAAGGACTCGTGAGTCTGCAAGTCGGACCGGCAGGTCTGCCACAACAAGGCTACTCCGCCGACGAAGCAACTTCCGATAATCAACGCCATTATCAGTCATTTCGAAAGAAGTATTAGCATGCATGGAGTCCTTCATAGGTAATCCGCCGAGGAACTCCCAGTGGCGCACCAGATCTAAAGCGAGGAAATCACACCCCATGCGGTCGTACAGTCTGGCGTTGCGGAGAACGAATTCCCATTCTTCACGGGGTCGAACCTTTGAAGCGCCCTTGAGAGTTTGGAGGGTCTTTGCGCGGAGTTGGTGGTAGAGAACGACTAGAGCGGGATCGTTGGAGAGGTAGGATTTTGATTGTAGGGTCACTCGTCCTGGGCTTGCTGGGGAGGTTGGGGTTGGTGGTAGTAATAGCGTCTCGACCGGTGACTAGAGCAGTGTTAGTTGAATTTGGTAGTGAGTAACTCATACAACTGACAATCAGTGTCCGCACTGCCATATCTCGCCGTCCGAGCATCCAGAAAGCCCAAGACGCCATCCAGCGGTTGCCCTCCGATGCAGCTTCGGGTAATGCTCTCTCCTCGAGAATTTCTCGAAGAACTGGTCCATTGTCTCCTTCATATGCTCGCGTGATGGCGATCGCAAGCTGGAGGTCACCCATCTGGTTCATGATCACGTTTGCAGCATCACGTAAGTGGTCTGCCAGAAGGAAGAAAGATGCGGCATATTCTTGATGTACGTTAGTTTTGTTTCTATTTGAGGGGCACTGGACGGTATTACCAAATCGGCGCTTCCCAAGCAATGCATAGGCATTCTTGAGAGCAGATGTCTTCCATCGTTGTTCTTTGAAATCATTTGCCAACAGACGCTGGGTGGCTGCTTGTTCACGGTTCCAGTGCGCAATGCGCCAGAGGCCCTGGAGAACGCTTTTCTTCCCAAGAGCCAGGTAGTATAAAGTGCAGTCGATGGGATTCCGCTCTTCTGTCTTGGTGTATTCGCACCGAGCCAGGATCTCAAGTTGTGTTTTCTAATTAAATAGTCAGTCATTGGCACCCATGGTATATGATATGAGATACATACGACAGCTGCCGGATCCGAGAGCCACATGAAAAGACCACTCTCACGAGCAGCCTTCCATGTCAACTTTCCATTGAATTGTCGTGATACAAGATCTGTGAGGATGTCTTGACTGCTGCTATGATAAGCCCATACAATCTCTCGCCATGAGACAGTATCTTTGTTGGCAACTCCTTGGGACCGTCGCAACATGTGCTGTCGGAAGAACAGAAGGTATCGCGCTGCATTATCGTCCATCGATCGTCTGTGCTTTTCGACCATCGCAACACATTCAATGGTATCAGCCAGGCGGAACTGCTCGTGACTGGAGAGTTGTGGGAGAGCAATGCGTGCCAGGTTCTCGTTAAGTGCAGTCGCCGTAGTTTCATCGATAACAGATGACTCCTGGTAATCGGAGGAATCCATGAAGGAGGAGCGCATTTCTTTTGAGACTGCTTGCTGGGAGCCTTCTTCTTCGTAGAAATATTCAACTGGCATCTCTAAGAAACCATCTAGTTCGTCACCCTGGGTGTAGAACTTCAATTTTCGATGCAGGCTCAGCAGAATTGAATGCACTAAAGTGGTCTTCCCAGCCAAAATACACTGTGCCAAGTATTGTGGATGGAACACAGGTAGTGGACCATTGAGCCGGCTCACGACATCAAACATATCGACCGACGGAAGTCCCCGGGGCGGCATTCGAAGCTCAGACACAAGACGGTCTCCAACATCAATATCCTTATCCCAAACAAAGAGCTGATTACCAGCACCTATGACCAAATGGCCATTGTTCAACCAGCAAGAGTCTCCTATGGGGTGAGGCGTGAGATCCCGGATCCAGATCTCCCGAACCTGAGTCCATGATGGTCGGGAGTCAAGATAATCGTAACGAAGCTGTGAAAGAAGAACAACCTTGTGCGGGAATCCCACAGCCAAGATGGATTGTTTGTCGGGTGTTGAGGTCCAGTCAAGATCCCTAATGATATCATGTGAAGCGAACCGTTCCTCAAATTCCAATTGAGCATTGTTTGTATCCCAAATGGTGAGGCGAGTCCGATCTTCGTCTACCAAAGCTGCCTTTCGAATGGAGCTTCCACTAGCCAGAGAAGGGTTGATGATGCCAGTGTCAACTGTGGACTGCAGCAGCCATTCGGCCTTTGCGTTTACAGGATCAACCTTGGCGGTCCAGGTACGCACAACACCGCTGTATGTATATGAGAGAGCGATATCGGCGGAAAAGGCATCGAAGAAGCCAGAGTGCTTGGCTTTGGGGCCGGCCGGGTCCACAGGAAGGATGTATGCGACGTCTTCTTTCAAGCCCATGTCAAATTCACAGAGCTCTCGGAGATGATAAACTGCGTCACTTCCAGATTTGTTCTGACTGCCCTTAGATGGCCACTTGATTTCCCATGCGATGCCATGCATATCTGCCCAGATAGTCGCTACATATGCAATGCCTGGAGTGATATCCGTGCTAGGAATTGGGAGGACACAGAGCGGCTTGTTATCCCGGGTGAATGGCAATGAAGCCACTTTCTTTGCATGGTAAGAGCTATAATCCCACAGCGAAATGCCATTATGGTGAAGGTTGACAAGGAGACTGCTATTCTCCAATACACATGTCCGGTGGATATGCTCGTCAGAGAGCACCACGCTTTTATGGTTCAATCGTGATCCACCGTCATGGTGCCGTTGTTTCCATACCGTTGCTTTATTCTCGTTGGTACGAGACACAAGTGTATCTCCAATGGCGTTTCTGACAATTTTCTTGACAGGAGCTGTGTGACCTGACCAAGACGCAGTTTGTTTGATTCGTTTTGTTCGAGGTGCAGGGTCAAAGAGAACATCGACATGGGAGTCATACCACTCAATACGGCCGTCAAAGTGATGAACCAGAATGCTTAACGTGTCATCAGAGGAGGTATTTTGGAACGCATGGATTTGAGCATAGTCTTCTTGCGGCGGCCTATTAGTAGCAAATCCGAGCTCCAACCCCTCCACATGGAGGATATTGAAGACACTCAGCTTGGTCTTTGCCTTAGAACCAACGTCTTCCAAGGCCCAGGCGGACATATGACCTTGACCATCAATCACAACACAGATCTCCGGCGCCTTGTTCGCAACTTCAATGATATGCTCCAATGCATGGTTCTCTTTATTCCCCGTGGTCCTCTGGATAGCGCGCTCAGTTGCAGCACAAAAGTCGCGGCCATCCAAGATAAACCCATACCGGCGTTGTGGTCCCTGTTTGTCACCCAAGGCATGTCTAGGTTGAACCGACTCTCCCATATCAATTGCAGCCCAGAACTGTAGCGGCGAGAGCGCATGGTGATCCGTTACAGCCCACACCCGAATCTTATTATCGGCGCAAAATGTGTAGAGAACATTATCCATAGATTGATCAGGATGTCGCGGCATTCGCCAGTGTATCCCAGTCACAACATTCGGGTGCGGGAGATACGAGACCTCAAAGCGGACCTCGTCCGCGCCAAACGCAAGCCGCCTCCATATCTTGGCCAAGCGGTCGTATTTGCCTATTGTAACAATCAAAGCTGAGTCCGGGGAGAATTGTGCGAATTTCACTGGTGTCGCAAGCTGGCGCTTCCATACTAGGCGTGGTTCGTCATTCAAAAACCAGAGGGCGAGCCTGGAATTGCCCACTAGAAGCTCGTTCGCGGAACCCCACGATAGTGTATAGATCGGTTCGTCGTCATCGCCGGCGCGAAACGTGTAAAGGAGAGACCACTAAACAGAGGTAAGCGTTAATGACAGGTTTCGCCAGTTTACGCGTATTTCACTTTGCAAGTCAAGCTTCGGGGTGGGGTTGAATTGTATGCGCACCTTCAATGTCTCGCCCTGGATGCCATACGGCTGGTACACGAATACATCGGGACCTCCACAGACAGCAATCCTCCCGGAGGTCTCCTCGAAAGCTATAGCTTCAAGGGCATCGGTATCGTCGACATAAATTGTTTGTATGAGCTTCTGCGGACCGCCGAGGATAACTAGCGCGTGGCCGGAGATGTATGCCTAGAACGCGCGCGGGCCAAGGTCAGCGACACGGAATCTCCAATCGGAAACTGAAGCTGTAGCAGTATAATTTTAATCTCAAGGAGCACATACAACAACACGTAGACCGTCCCACAGCGCTGTACTGAACGACTGGAGCTTCGCTGGGGGTCTCCCCGGCAGTACCGCTCGCATAGAGGCGGTTGGTTCAAAAGTAGGACGCTCGTTGCGCTTGCGGTCACGTTACACCATTGCCAGCTTGAAATGGTGTATGGGGGGAGGCGTAAGAAGCGAGGAAGTTCAATGATGTCGTTGGTTATGGGGAGGTCTGAATACGCGGAGGCGGGAGAGTTGTCCATTACGCTTTCGCTCCACTCGTGTGACGAATGACCTCGACAGCCTCGTTTTTGGACAAGGAAACCCCTGGAGGACATGTTAGGGCTTGTTTTGTTGTTGGTTTAGTCTACGTATTTTGCTATGCGGAACTTCTTTGTCGGCTTTCATTTGTCACTACTGAGCTTCCCGATAAGGAACGGCTGATCAGTCCTCGCAGTGAGCGACAAGTATGCCGACCTAGATCATTATACCAAGTCTACGCTTTACAGTTAGCACTTCTGAAACTCGTTACAATTACGTTAATGTCACGTTCATTCATGTCAAAGGTACAGTGTATACCAAAATCCCTGAATCCCTGAAATCGCTATTAGTTGCGCCGATTGATGCATGGGAGGAGACAACTATCAACAAGATACGAAGAGGGAAAGTATAATCATGGCTGGTGTAAAGAGAAGTGAAACAGCTGAATAGGCATCATATACGAATCAAGAAGGTCAGGATCGTCGATTCGCTGATCGGCGACCATCCGTCGGAGACTCGGGAGGTTCCTCGTCCACAAAGCGGACGCTTGTGCCTACCGAGGTTCGCCGACCAGTACGAGGCCGGATAGAGGATGTGATTTGGCCAGTCGTGGTACCGGCGCGAAGGAGTCGACTGGCGAAAGGGGTGCGTAAGGGGGTGGCAGGAGTGGTGGACATTTGTGCCAGTGCTCGCGCTCGCGCGGCTCGTTTGGAGGGTGATGCTGTGAAATTTGGGGTTGCGAGGGGAGTTGCGGAGACCGGCTCCTGTGAGGTGTTCGTAAAGTCACTGAGTTTGAAGGGTGTTTCGGCTTCGTCTTGATACCAGGGGTCGAAAAGTGCCGAACCAGCACCGTTGACTTCGCCGAAATTCGACACTCGTGCCGGTGTAAGGGATGGACCGGGGGTCATCAGCGGACCAGCAGAATCTCGAGCCTCGAGCTTCATTCGGGCATCGTCCACCCAGTTGCGGAACATGTTTCTCGAATGCTTTCTGAGGTTCCTTTCGCGCATAGCTTCGGCAGTCTCCGCGGTACTACGGATCTGGAATATGCGAAGACTCATCTTGCGAAGAGAAGAAGCCGAGTGTCGCAGGACATGCAATCGCAGTACATTGTCTGCTTGATCTTCCATCTCACGACGAATGACAAAGGTTTCGGACATTTGCATTAGTTGATCGAAGGCAACTTGTCGGAAATATGAGTTGTCAGCGTCCTGAATATCTTGTAACCTCTTAGTTGTTTTCTCGTGCCATTGGACAAATATCTCAGATGTATCCGTCAGCAACTTGTCACGATCAATATCACTAGCTTGGTGCTCCATCTCAAGAATGTTCCGCGTTTTAGAAGCCCAGGCAACCAACGCCTTGGAGGCGAGATTGACCTTGATCTTGCGTCGAACTTTTGCGTACGACTCTTGCCGCCTTCGTTTGCCGGAATCCACCTTGGCCTGATGCCACTGCTTCATGGTTCTTTTCACCAGGAAGTAGTATCGAGCATCATTGGCCCATCCTTCCATCTTGAGCACATGTTTGTGCTTGGATTGCCAAATGGCAAGAGACTCGGCTGCCAGTCGCGGGGCGTAGAATTCAGATGCTACGTACTCTCGCTCGCGCTGGAGCTGCACTTGATCCCGCCAAATTGCCAATTTGGAGCGCACCAGGTCTTCAGCTCGATTGTCTTCGTGAACTTCTGCATGGAATAGCAAGCGAGTGTAGGTGCCTCGGGTATTTGTCACAAATCGAGAGAAAACTTCCCGCTTGATTCGCTGCTCACGAATTCGCCGCATCAGCTCGAACCTTTCCATGAGAATCCACTTATACATGGCTTCCATCTTGAGCCGTTCGTCGATTCGAGCTTGGAGGGCCAGACAACGAAGTGTGTCATTCCAGGACGTCCATGCATTATGCTGAACACGAATACGGTCCATTTCCTCTGCTTGCTTCGTCATCTGTGCCTTTTCGATCCACTGTGAGAGGGCATTTCGCACGATCCTGGTATCAACCATCTCTGATACACGAGAAGCAGCCGGGGCCAGCCTCGACTGAATTCTCCATTCATCGAAAGTGTCTTTTAGAGCATGCTGGCGTCGAGAACTTTGAACCTCCTGCTCAGCAAAAGCAATTGTCTTTGAGTGGTGAGACCATGCCTGGAGAACAGACTTGAGGGCTGAGCGTCTGTTCTGTAGGTCTAATTCATGGTCACGCTCTCGGTTGTTTCGAAATTTCCGAAGCCAAGCAAGAAGTGAGCGTCTCTTGAGTCGATAATCGGATAGTTCCAGGACACGGCGATCGCAGAAACACCACCACCAATGCCAGAATGACGCCTTTTGCATCTTTGCTTCACGGGACGCAAAAGCTTCGGCCTCTGCCGCTTTCAGATCCTGAAGTTTCTTACGCCATGTATTGAACGGCCTCCGCAAAGCAAAACGTTGGGCTTTCAACTCATTGACTGCTGTGATCTCACGCCATGCGTTGAAATACTTGACTCCAAGAACATGTCGTCTGGCAGCAGAGGTACGAGCCACTTCGTCTGATGTAAGTTGAGCCCAATGACTGAACGCCTTTGTCATCAAGTATAAATCCCGCGCACGGATGGCACGCTCTTCGAGGTGTTTGAAGAACCGTTCCGTTTGGACCGAGTGGCGTTTATCCTGAATGACTCCCCGCCATGGCTCAAATGCTTGTCGAGTAAGGAGATTTCGGTCGTAAGTGATTGCAATAGCTTCTCTGGCTTGCCGTGTTTGCCTTGCCTGGAAAGCCTTCTTGAACCACACTGACAGGATTCGACGGCAGATGGACCGTTGTCGGTACATGTTGAAAGTCGATGCATCCCGAAGTAGATCTGAGAGCTGTGGGCGGTAAATATATTCCGGAGGGACCTCTTCTTTTTCGAACGAGTCGTGTTCTGGGCCTTCAGATAAGATTGACTGCGCATTTTCAGACTCAGTGGCTGATGAATCTGGCGAGGAAGTGTGTTGTTGATGTGAGCTTGATCGAGAACGGGAAACTTCGGTGGCCCTCTTTGAGCGATCACGAACAACCGCCGACCTCGCTGCCACTCCATTTGTCAAACCATTAGTTAGCAAAGGTTCTTCATTGGCCGGGTCATGGGTTTCCACTTCGTCGAATCTGCTTAACAACCGACGGCCAACATCCAAGAACTGGCTGATCAATTGTGTCCGATCTGGTGACTTGTTAGGGCCGGGATCAGGATTTGGCGTAGGAGATAGCTTGGGTTTCTGGAAATCAGGCTTTCCGACTTCAAGTCGCGACATTGACGAGCGAGAGCTTGGGCGATTGATTACACTCCTTTGGGTTGCATCCTCGCCAATGTCGACCGTTGTATTAAACGAGGCGCGTCGTTTCGGGGTAGGTGTAACACCGTTCGTGGCGGGAAATTGACTCTGCTCGACAAGCTCGCTAGGAGTATTATCCACAGTGTAATTGGTGTAGTGATCTGTCTCCTCATCCCCATCGCTGAAGTTGAATTTGATCGTGATGTTCATCTGGTGAAGCAAATTCTCGAATTTGTCGAAGAGAACCTTGCCAGGTACGTCTTTATTGCCCATCTTGAACATGAAGCGCAAGCACGCATGACCTGGATCTGCATCAACGCCATGATCCCTGTGGTGCTCTGCAATGACTTCATCGTAGGCTTCAAACAGTGCGCGGAAGGGGAGCAGCTTGACGGAGGGCTTCCTCTCCGCTTCAGAGATAACCTGGTAGAGAAAGCCGACATCTAAGAGAAGCTTGTGAGTCTCACGTCACGGTCACAAATTTCGCATGGAGTCCTACCTTCGTCTGAGAGAGACGAGTTCTCTTCGGTTACGGCTCGGCGCTGAGAGGATATCGGAGGCATCGAAATTCGCGATCTTAAGGCGCGCTTGTCGCATCTGGGTCATAGAGGCGTACCAAATAAATCATCGCGAAAGCGAGGCATGCAGAGAAGATCCATGCGCATGCAGAGCTTGTCTGCGATCAAATGCGCAAGAAAAGAAATACAGTCATAAATCAGAGTTCTGTCGAGTTGTTTTGGTTGGTCGCGACAGAAACATGAGGCGCGGTCACGTGTGCACATACGCATTAGGTAACATTCCTGGATTCTCCTTCGCTTCATTTTAGGCTCAACATACATCAAATACATTCAAGATGCCTGCAAGAATCCGTCCCGTGGAAAAAATTGCCAAAGCTACGGCCCAATGCTCCGTCGAGGTGCGTATCTCGTGGCTGAACCTTTTGCATTGCAGATCTGACTGAAACAGGTTGCGGCATACGGCAAGTGTGTCGTCACAGATTACAATTCAGTGCATAAAGACATGTGCGCTAAAGAGTTTCTGAGATTGAAGAACTGCTATTTGGTGAGTAGTCTAATAAGTATTTACAAATCTCAGCTTACTGACGCGCTGTTATAGGCAGCCTCCAAGAAGGGCTAGATGGAAGCTCTAGATATCATGTACAACAAAGCGTTTTAAGGGTATGGCTTCAGTTTCAGTAGCGCATATGAGACATTTTAGTTAAAAAAATCTTGAGATTCTCTACTTCGACGGTGGATACAACTTTTATCAATCATAGAAGAAGAGCGGAAAATTGAAATCTCATAAGTATATTTTTATTCGTAAAGCAGTGAAAGGGGAAATGCAAACTGTAGACTTCTATCTACACGAGCTCTTTTGATGTTGTAGACATGAACCGAGCTTGGACGCTCTAAAGCTTGAGAAGACGCAACAGGAAAGTGGCATTTTGCACCTCCTGTTCTTCTTGCGAGATAGTACCCTCGGCATCCGCACTGGGGACCTTGCCGTCAGTGAAGGCACTCTCCTCAACCTGGCGGCGCAGAACCTTCTCAATAGCTTGGGCCTGCGACTTGAAAACCTCAGTTAGACCAATGCTGTCAGGGTCCGAAAGGACGGTGTACTCCATCTTGACATCGTCGGTGGGGAGCAAACCAGCCTTCTTGCGAAGACGCTGGACGCGGTTGATGATCTCACGACCCAGACCCTGGTGAGCCAGCTCGGGGTACAGGTTAACATCAAGGATGGTCAACACGTCAGCATCAGTGTTGGTCTCCATGCCCTTTGAGCCATCATCCTCCTTGATTCCACGCTTCACAACAAGGTCACCCTCGACAAGCTCAATGCCGTCGACCATGATCTTCTTGTTGGCGAGGTAGCCCTTAACGTCATCACTGGAAAGAGAAGGCAGGGCCTTCTTAACCTTCTGAACATCCTTCTTGAGTTTCTTACCCAGAGTAGGCCAGTCGGCATTGACACTGTACTCGACGTTGTACTTGGCCTCGTCGGAAGACAGGACAAGCTCAAGAACGTTAAGCTCCTCCAGAATGTATCCCTCAAGAGACTTGACATCGTCCAAGTATTCCTGGTCCTTGTTGATGACGACGAGGGTCTTGAGAGGGGTCTTGAGACCGATAGTACGGCGCTCACGAGAGATTCGGCCAAGGTCGATGACCTTCTGCATGCGAGAGACTCTGCGCTCAACAACATCATCGAAGAGTTCCTGGCGGACCTCGGGGAAGGGAAGGAAGTGGACACAGCGGCTGTCCTCGGCGCGGAGCGCATCGGGGATGTGAGGAAGAAGACGCTGATAGATGTTGTCGGTGATGAATGGAGTGAAAGGAGCAAGTCCTCGGACCAGGGTGTAGATGACCTCAAAGAGCGTGTTGAGGGCGTGCAAAGTGTCATCAACACCATTCTCACCCTTCAGACGCTTGCGGTTGAAACGGATGTACCAGTTGGTAGTGTCCTCGATCAGCTGGAGGAGACGGGGCACAACGGTATACAGGCGGTAACCAGCCATCTCTTGGTTGACGAAGATCAAAAGACTTTGGCAACTGGCCAGAATCCAACGATCCATGACGTTAGTGTTGGTTGTCTCTGCCTTGGGATCAAACATGAACTCGATATCGGAAGTCTTCTTCAATAGAGCCACCTGGCCTTCAAAGAACTTGTAACTGTTCCACAAGGGAAGTAGAACCTTTCCAACAATTTCCTTGACGCCGGTCTCCTTGAAACGAAGAGGCTCGGCGCGGACGACAGGAGAGTTGATCAAGTAAAGACGAAGAGCATCAGATCCATAGCGGTCCATAATAAGAGTAGGATCCGGGTAGTTCTTCAGTCTCTTGGACATCTTCTTGCCATCCTCGGCAAGAACAATACCGTTCACGACACAGTTCTTGAATGGAAGTTTGCCGAACAAGTGAGTACCAAGAACAGTCAGAGTATAGAACCAGCCTCGGGTTTGATCCAATCCTTCGGCGACGAAATCGCCAGGGAAGCCGTTCTCAAACTGCTCCTTGTTTTCAAATGGATAGTGCTGGGAGGCGTAAGGCATGCTACCAGACTCAAACCAACAATCGAAAACCTCCTCAACACGCTTGAGCACACCTCTTCCTTCCTTGCTAGGAATGGTAATGTGGTCAACCTTATCACGGTGAAGGTCGACAATTTCACCGGTGTATCCACTGAGCTCCTTCAACTGCTCAATACTTCCAATGGCAACCACTTCTTTATAATCATCGGAAACCCAGAGAGGCAGAGGAGTACCCCAGAAACGGCTACGTGAGATGTTCCAGTCGTGGGCATTTTGGATCCAGCTTGCAAATCGGCGATCCTTGACGAAGGAAGGAGTCCAGTGAGATTCAGAGATTCCCTTGAGCATATCAGGGATGATGGGACCAACGCGAACGAACCACGAGGGAACAGCACGGTAAATAAGGGGGGTGTCACTTCTCCAGCAGAATGGGTACGAGTGAGTGATTTGGCTATCAACGAGAACACGGCCGTTGGCCTTCAAGTGCTTGATAATTCCCTTGTCCGCGGCCTTCACGCCTTGACCGACGAAGTCTCGGACTTCAGCTGTGAAGCAACCTTGGGCATCGAGAGGGTTTGGTGCAATGCGCTTCTCGTCGGTAACACCGTGTTCCTGAGCAACTCGGTAATCGTCCTCACCGAATGAAGGAGCCTGATGGACGATACCAGTACCATCCTCATCGGTGACATATTCATCATTCAGTACTCGGAAACCAAAGTCCTTGAACTGCTCATAGAAGTAATCAAACAGAGGCTCGTACTTCCATCCCTTCATGTCGGAGCCCTTGAACCGGTCGACAATCTTGAACTTAGCCTTCTTGGGGTCCTTGTAGATGGTCTTGAGCAAACCCTCCAGAAGGACGTAGTTCTTCTTTGTTGCCTCATCGTAGATCTTGATATACTCGTATTTGGGGTTAACACATAGTCCGATGTGGGACGGGAGAGTCCAAGGAGTGGTGGTCCATGCAAGCAGACAAGTCTCGGGGTCATCCACAAGCGGGAAGGTCACTACAACGGCGGGGTCTTGAACATCCTTGTAATTTTGTTGCGCTTCGAAGTTGCTCAGAGGGGTGTTGAGAGCAGTGGAGTATGGCATGACACGGTAGCCACGGTAGACCAAGCCCTTATCGAAGAGCTCCTTGAACACCCACCAGACGGATTCCATGAAGGAGGGGTTCATAGTCTAATTTCAAAAATAATTAGTATCTACCACCAACGACTGACGGGTAATATCTTACCTTGTAGTCATTGTCAAAGTCGATCCAACGGCCCAGACGTTCGATGGTCTATTTGGAGTGTTAATTCTTAGACTGGCAAGGTAGCGTGCGACCATTCTGGAACTTTACCGAACGCCATTCAGAGGCAAACTTCATAACAATAGCTCTGCATTCCTCGTTGTACTTCTCGATACCGATCTTCTCGACTGCCTCCAGACCGGACATGCCGAGCTTCTTATCGATCTCATATTCAATGGGGACACCGTGAGTATCCCAGCCAAATCGTCGCTCGACATAATGTCCCTTCATAGCCCAGTATCTGGGAATGATATCCTTAATAGTGGAAGCGAGAAGGTGACCATAGTGAGGCAGACCGGTTGCGAAGGGAGGGCCATCAAAGAAGGTGTAGGGTTCACGGCCCTTGGAGAGTTCGACCTGCCGTTGGAAGGCATTGATCTCCCTCCACCGGTTGAGGACGAGCTCTTCCTCGGCAGGAAAATCGATCGACATGGTTGAATGGTTTGCGATTTTCCCAAAGATGCAGAAGGAAGATCCAAAAAAGTGACTCACCCCGCCATTGATTTTTTGCCAGTGCGCGCCTTACGCCCTCCCCTCCTGTTTCACCGCCTTCCATAACAGGCAAATTCGCGAAGTATACTCGGAAGAGACGAGGCAATGCGAGAATTTACAGCAGAAGAGTGGAATAATTGTTTCCAGTAGTGATACAGCCATCCCCAAATGGGGATTGCCTTCAATTGCGCAGCTATATACTCAGCAGAGATTCCTCTATCACTCATCGTCCTCATCCTCATCATCGTCGTCATCGTCCTCAGCCTCCGAGACTTCCTCTCCAAGCTCCTTGAGTCGGTTCTGTGCAACGTCAGTGGGTTTGTACTAGTATCCTTGCTCGCTGAACGTACCTTGTCTTGGGATCTCTTGGCCTCCAAGTCCCCAAAAACAATCAAAAGGTCTTCCAGCTCAGACTGGGCCGTTTGACGAGATTCCTCCTTCTCCTTCGCTTCCACCTGTGCCTTCGCAAGCTGGGCTTGGATAACCTCGAGGGCATCAGCAGCACTGCGAGCCTGAGACTCGGCCTCCTTTGCCTTTTCTTCGGCCTCTTTAGTCCGAGCTTCCAGCGCAGAGGTTTTAGAAGAGGCGTCTTCTTGGGCTGATTGGAGATTCTTGCTGGACTTCTGGGACTCAGCAAGATCTGACTGAAGGCTGGCGACGGTTTTCTTCAAAGTAGCAACCTCAGTCTCATACTCTTTCTTGGCTGTAGCGAGATTAGATGAGGTATCGTCTTGAGCCGTTTGAAGGTCCTTGCTGGACTGCTGAGACTTGGCAAGTTCCGACTCAAGGGAGGCAACCGTCTTCTTCAAAGCAGCAACCTCACTCTCATGGTCTTTCTTGACAGTAGCGAGGTTAGATGAGGTGTCGTCTTGAGCTGTCTGAAGGTCCTTGCTGGATTTCTGAGACTCGGCGAGTTCCGACTCAAGGGAGGCAACCGTCTTCTTTAAAGCAGCGACCTCAGACTCATGGTCCTTCTTGACTGTGGCAAGGTTGGATTCCAGAGATCCAACCGTATCGCTGTGACCAGTAGCCGAGTTCTCGTGTTCTTTCTTAGCCGCAGACAGATCCGACTCCAATAATTCAAGCTTTTTCTGATACTCTTTGACTTGCTTCTCATGGTCCTTCTTAGATGCTGCTAAGGAGGTCTCCAGGCTCTGAATCTTCTTCTCCAGATCAGTGACCTGTCCACCTTGTGATCCTTTGGTGCTCTCCAAGCCTTGGATCTTGTTTTCAAGGTCGGCAACTTGAGCTTCGTGAGATGTTTTGGTGCTTTCCAGGTCTTGAATCTTCTTGTTGAGATCGTTGACCTGACCACCATTGATGCTTTGTAGCTCTTGAAGTTTCTTTTGAAGGCCGGTGACCTCCTTATCATGAGACTTTCTAGAGCCTTCGAGATTTTTTATCTTCTTCTCGAGGTCGGCAACTTGGCCAGCATGAGATTTCTTGCCGTTTTCCAGTTCCTGAATCTTCTTATTCAGGCCGGTGACTTCCCCGTCAGAGGCTTTGTTGGTGCTCTGAAGGTTCTGGATCTGAGTCTTGAGTTCAGTGACTTCTTTGCCGTGAGACTTCTTGGCGCTTTCTAGATCTTGAATCTTTTTCTCAAAATCGGTAACTTGAGCAGCATCAGATTTCTTAGCACTCTCTAGATCCCGTATCTGATTCTGGAGATCAGCGACCTGGCTATCAGAAGATTTCCTGGTGCTTTCAAGTTCCTGGATCTTTTTCTCAAGACTAGCAACTTGATCACCATGAGACTTCTTGATACTCTCTAGATCCTGTAGCTGCTTCTGGAGACTAGCAACTTGGTCATCAGACGATTGCTTGCTGGTTCCCAGATCAAGTATCTGTTTTTCGAGATCAGAGACGTGATTATCGTGACTTTTCTTCGAGATTTGGAGGTTTTCAATCTGCTTTTCGAGTCCAGTTACCTCACCACCGTGAGTTTCCCAGGACTGGGTGATCGTATTTTGCAACTCTTGGATCTTATTGTTCAACTCTGCAACCTGTCCATCATGAGATCTGTTGGTGTTTTCCAGTTCTTGAATTTTCTCTTCAAGGTTCGTAACTTGGGCCTTGTGTGACTCCCTGGACTCGGTGATAACATTTTGCAACTCTTGGACTCTCTTGTTGAAATCGGCAACTTGGCCCATATGCTGCTCCTCGAGGCGAGAGAGCTCTGCCTCCAAGCCACGAATGGTTTTCTGTAGACCAGCAACCTCGCGCTCATGGTGATCTCTGACTTCTTTGGCCTGGCGACTCTTTCTCTCAGACTCAGCAGAAACCTCCTTCAGCTGACGGTCAATAGCGCGGAGCTGGTCAGCGTGTTGGCGCAATAGATCATTGTGGGCATGCTTGTGTTGATCTTCCAGTTTGGACAGCTGGTGTGACAGCTCTTGCGCATTAGCATACTGGAGAGATTGCTGGGCCTGTTGCGCTCTCGTCAACTCAATGGTACCGGATTCTTTGGTCTTTCGGTGATCCTGGTGTTCTTGGTCAAGCTTTCGTTGGATGCTAACAAGGTCAGACTCCAACTTTTGAAGAGTTTGGGTGCGATCTTCAAGTTCTGCACGCAAAGAGTCTACAAGCTCACGCGAGACACCCTTCTCGACGCCGTTGGCAACGACGGAGATCTCGAATCCAGGTTCGCGGTCGATAGCCCGAAGCAAACGGCTGAAGTTATCCTTGAGAAATTCGATGAAAGAACGGTCGAAAAATACCTCGGGCAGTCCACCCTCAAGCGGCCCAGCTGCAGTCTGTGGCAGGACTTCAAAGTCCCGGACTAGTTCGCATTCTCGAAGTCTTGTGATCTTGTCGATATACTGTTCCCTTCCAAGTTGCTCAATGAGCAGCTTGTGAAGCGTGATGCGAGGGATGGGTGAGTCCTTAGTAGAAAACTCATAAATGATACCCAATAGGACAGTGCAAAGACCCGGTATCAATTTACTTGGAACCCGCTGGTGCTTGATCTCCTGCAACAGGGTTTGGATACTGCTACCCTCACCTAGGAGATCGTTCACTACATCCGGGTCTTCGAAAAGCCAACCACAGAGCAACATCAGATAACCAACCGTAATTCTTTCATCATCCCCACGTTGCAAGCCAGTAATTAGGTTTCCAACAACAGATTGAACGCTGGTGACCACTTCCTCGCCGCTTTCAGCATCGCCTTCAGTAACACTCATGGCCAGTGCTTTCGCCTCTCCGTCGTCAAAGATCAGGTGGAACATCAAGACAGATGCCATCCACACTTGATATGGATCGGCATTGCCTCGAGATTCCGGCGCAGTGAGCAGCACGGAGAGGATATTCGGGATCTTGTCTTGGCCACTGGTATGTCCTTCGATTGCTCGCCTGAGAACGTGCATGCGGATACCAGAATGATGGGCGAAAAATGCTTTCATACATTCACAAGCAGCTAGTCGTGCATCCAAAAGACTGTTGGGGGCAGGCTCTAGGCTTAGCTTTAGGAAAGCTTCAATGACATTGATGCGTAGGGGTTCATGTGCATCACCATTGGCGACCTGGTTGTCACGAGTGTAAGAGCCCCATAGCACTTCAATATCACCGAATCTTTCCTGCAGTGGCGAGTTACCGCGAATAAGATCCGCACATGTTGCCAATGCCTTTGAAGTGACATTGACACTGAATCTTTGACCAAACGCGATGCTTAGCACTTGTTCTGTCACACCATTCTGCCAAAATGCTGTCTGATTGATGGGTGTGCTCATTCCGCCACGGATCAAAAACAATTGAATGATGGCCAGAAGCCCCCAGACGTTCTTGTCGCGATGGACTTGAGTCCATTGGGGGACGGGCTCGTCGCCCTCAGGCTCCTGTTGGCATTCATGCAGAAGTGCTGTCACTCGTTTTACAGAACCCGTCTCGCGGAAGAATGATTGATTCGACACATTGAATCTCAGCAATTGAGCGAGCAAGGAAAGGCAGTCTTCGACAACTTCGGTTCCAAGACTCAACGCACCCTCTGCTTCGATGAGTGAAAAGAGTATCTCAAACGCGTTCTCAAATGCCACAAGCTTTTGCAACTCTTCCGATGCGGGAGTCAGGGCGATGAGCAGGACCAGTGCCTCTATAGAACGCAGAAAATAAATCGTCAGTTCCAACCATCTAAATCTTAACCAATTCCAGGTATTGACAGTGACATACCGTTGCGAACCGGTTCTCTCGCATCCGTGAGTGTACTGACGAGCTTGGAAATACCCAATGGCGCTGTGAAAATGCATTCTTGTGTTCGTTCAGGTCGTGCGCTGCAAATGTGGGACATCAATTGGAGGGAATAGAGGCGGGAATAGAACTCTCGGGCTTCGAGGAGGTCAAGTAGAGTAGTGATATTATCTTGTCGCTTTGGTACTGTTAGCTCATACTACGATGATTGGATTAGTTCGCATACCTGGGTGAATTCATCTGCCAGCCACAAAGCGATTTCATCCGAAGCTTCAGGCTACCAAGAGCTATCAGTAACATATCAGGCAGCAATTTTCAAGCATGGGTGGCCTACACTGTTTTCATCGGGCGTAAATAGCATCAAAAGGGTCTCAAGGACCACCTTGATGGTGTCAACATCCTCGCTGTCATTGCGTAGGCTGCTGATCAACGATCGTAGACCACCAGAGGCCACCGAAGCAGGATAAAGCTTTGCAAAGCTTCTGAGTCCCTGAATTGCTGCCCGTCGATCTTCTAGCAATGTAGCACTTTGTAGTCTACTGCTTAATACTTCAATTGTGTCCGTAGCCGTTTGTTTGGCCGGAGCTTGCGACTCGAGGATTCGGAACATCGCAGTTGATTTGCAATATCATGGTCACCGCCGGCCGAGGGCGTATGGGTCGATATTCATCGAAGGGAGATCAAAAATTAGAGGCAAGTCGAAGTGGTTCGTAGAGAAAGCTGTCCTTCTACACTGAAGGGGGTAAAGCCGATCTTGGCCCGAGCAGAATCGCCGACCGCCCGGAATTTATCTTTTCGTCGGCCAAGCTACGCTTTCATCACTTACAAGCTGCACCGCGATCTTAACGGCGGTTGCACTCATCTTTTTTACTGCCTCTTCCCCGGTGGAAGTAGAAGGACTTAGAAGTGAACCCTTTCAGACCGTACTCTCTCAACCCAGAGAGTGATCGCGACTTGCGCCTGCAATCACCCGCCGTCAACCGCTTGCGACAAAGCGATACCCTATCCACCCAAATTTTGACCGCGCAACTGTCGCATCGCTATCATGGGTGTCCCCGCGTTGTTCCGATGGCTCTCCAACAAGTATCCGAAGATCATTTCGCCGGTTATTGAGGAGCAGGCCCAAGAGGTGGATGGAGAAGAGATCCCAATTGATATCACCGGTCCCAACCCCAATGGCGAGGAACAGGATAACCTTTACCTGGATATGAACGGTATTGTGCATCCGTGTACTCATCCTGAGGGAAAGCCCCCACCCGCGAATGAGCAGGAGATGATGCTGGAGATCTACAAGTACACCGACCGCGTGGTCAACATGGTCCGCCCCAGAAAGCTTCTGATGATCGCTATTGGTATGTGGATACCTCAATACATCTTGCGCAGCTCTGTCTTTGTTCCCTATATCGTTGAAATGCCGTTGAGCTAACCTTTATTTCAAACAGATGGTGTCGCCCCGAGAGCGAAGATGAACCAGCAGCGCGCACGTCGTTTCCGCTCCGCGCAAGAAGCTAGAGAGAACGACGAAAAGAAAGAGGAGCTCCAAAAGATGCTTGCCAAGCAGCATCAGACAAAGACCGGCGAGCAATTGATCCAGGAAGAGGTTGTTCAGAAGACATGGGACAGCAACGTTATCACACCCGGAACGCCTTTCATGGACATCCTCGCTGCTTCGCTGCGCTATTGGATTGCTTACAAGCTTAACACCGACCCCGGCTGGGAAAATGTACGTCTTCTGATAATTTCTATCCCGGCATTGATGCGCATTCTGACATTTCGTAGTTGAAAATCATCATTTCGGACGCCACAGTCCCTGGAGAAGGAGAGCACAAGATCATGGAGTTCGTACGATCACAGCGCGCTTCGCCCGGTCATGACCCCAACACTCGACATGTTATCTATGGTCTGGTAAGTCATGATACTCTGTGCAAATAATGCGATGCGACGAGCTAAACAATATCTCAATAGGACGCCGATCTGATCATGCTGGGTCTTGCTACCCACGAACCCTACTTCCGTGTATTGCGTGAGGATGTGTTCGCCCAGGACTCCAGACCTCGGGGGTGTAGACTATGTGGACAGCTAGGACACAAAGCTGAAGAGTGTCTAGGAAAGCCTAAGGAGAAGAGTGGAGAATTCGATGAGAAGCAACATGCTGCTCCTCTCAAGCCATTCATTTGGCTTCACGTTGCTGTCCTCAGGGAATATCTTGCTGTTGAGCTCCGTGTTCCTCAACAAACATTCCCATTCGATCTCGAACGTGCTCTGGATGACTGGGTGTTCATGTGTTTCTTCGTCGGAAACGATTTCCTTCCTCACTTGCCCAGTCTGGACATTCGTGAGAATGGTATCGATACTCTTATCGCAATTTGGCGTGACAATGTCGCCGGTCCGATGTCTGGGTACCTTACGAAGGATGGAAGCGTTGACATGGCGAATGCTCAACTCATTTTACAAGGACTGGCTAAACAGGAGGATGCAATTTTCCAACGCCGCAGACAAGCCGACGAAAGAAAGCAGGCAAACGAGAAGCGACGCAAGGAACAAGATGCAGCTCGCAACGCAGAGCGATCTCAAAAACGGAGACGCAGCTCTCCCCAGTATGATTCGCCTCAAAATAACTCGCGTGGTGGTGGTCCTGCTGAGCCTGCGCCTCCCATGGAATTGATCACCCCTGGTCGTGGCCACTTGGACAAGCAGACCCGTGAATTGACTCACAGCATGGTTGTCAACCGTGGTGCTGTCTACCGTGCTAACATGGAGAACAAGAGTGCCGCTGCTATTTTGAAGAGCAAACTCATGAAGGGTAATCAGGACGAACCTGAAGGCGACACTCCAGCTACGGAGGGCGAGGAAGCCGACGCAGCAGAGTCAACCTCCCCTGCAGTCCTCGGGAAGCGAAAGGCGGATGAAGTCGCACAGCAAGATGCTGAGGCAGGAACACCGGGCAGAGACTCTCCTCCCCCCGTTGCCCCTGTTCCTGAGGCCAAGCCCAAGGGCGATGAAATGCCAGAAGACACTGTCAAACTCTGGGAAGCTGGCTACGCTGATCGATACTACGAGCAGAAGTTCGGTGTTGATCCTAAAGACCTCGAATTCCGTCACAAGGTCGCGCGTGCCTACGCTGAGGGTTTGGCCTGGGTTCTCCGCTACTATTTCCAAGGCTGCCCCAGTCAAGGATGGTATTATCCGTACCACTACGCACCGTTGTATGTATCACCCTTACCTTCAGTTTATATTGAAATTATGTTTAGAAGAAATATTGCTAACACTCTCCAGCGCCGCGGACTTTGTTGATATCGCCGATATGGAGATCAACTTTGAGAAGGGCAAGCCGTTCAGACCATTTGAACAGTTGATGGGTGTCTTGCCTGCCTCTTCTAACCACGCACTGCCAAAGGTCTTCCATCCTCTCATGTCCGATCCCAACAGTGAGATTATCGACTTTTACCCGGAGGATTTCCCTCTGGATTTGAACGGCAAGAAGTTCGCCTGGCAAGGTGTTATTCTCCTTCCTTTCATTGACGAAAAGCGTCTGCTAGGCGCCATGCAGAAAGTGTATCCTCTACTTACTGAGGATGAGAGAAGCCGCAATACCCACGGCTCGGAAGTACTTCTGCTTTCTGACCGAAACCCTTTGTACCAAGACCTCGTTGCGAACTTTTATTCGAAGAAGCCCGGTCCCGCACAATACTCAATCAAGCAAGATTTGAGTGGTGGCCTAGCTGGTATCGTTGAGCGTAGTGACACCTACATTCCCCACAGCTCGTTGAACTCCCCCCTGGAGGACTATGGCATGCCGGGGGTTGATGATGATCGCTCTCTTACGTGAGTTCAGCCTCTTCTTTTAAATAATAACATTCAGCAATACTAACATTTCTTATAGCGTCGAATACACCATCCCGAAGTCTTCCCATGTTCACAAATCCATGCTTCTCCGCGGCGTGAAGCCCCCAACACCAATGCTAGATTCAAACGACATCAGAGCAACCAAGGGCCGCGCCCAGAACTCAGGCCGCTCATATGGTGGCGCACCATTCCAGGGCAGAGGCCGAGGCGGCCGCATGAACTACCAAAGCGACCGGCCGAACCCCTTCGCCGCGCACCTCGACCCGAAATTCAACTCTGGCCCACCTGGTGGTCCTAGCGGTCCTGGCGGGCCACCCGGTTGGGTTCCTCCTGGCCAAAACTATGGAGGCTATTCACGAGGACCTCCTCCCCCACCCCGTGGTGGAATGTCGCACCAGTACCCACCTCAGCAGGGTTATCAACAGTCCGGCGACTACTATGGCCACCAGAATCAATATAACCAGGGTGGCCAGTATAATGGACACCAGCAAGGTTATGGTTCGCAAGATTATCGCGGGGGCCGTGGCGGTGGTGGTCGTGGTGGCGGATATCGTGGTCACCGTGGTGGTGGTGGTGGTGGTGGTGGATATGGTCGGTATTAGAAATTGAGATGGGACTCTAGATCTCTCGTCTTGGTTTTCTTTTCTTTATGAAACCTTTGAATTGGTTTTCAATGCCGATGGTACGTTTTTGAGAAGGTTGGGGCTCTGGGCATAAGGGCCCAGGAAAGAAATGGAGTTCAGGAAATGTAAAATGAAATCAAGTGATATTTTTTTTTTCGATGGACTGTTTCTAACTTTGGATATCCTTATCATTGTACCTTGTAAACTGAGACGATGTAAGTTTTTCTAATTTGTGGTCATTTCATGATGGAAATTTGTCCTTTCTCGGTATGCCGACAGTATGCCCGATCACAAGCTAGATGTAAACATACACAAGCTTTGACTAGTCAACTTTCTCTTAAGTCAGAGATTACCTTCATTTTATATCTAATTGTTTTGTATGTCTTGTTCCATTCATTTTGTAGATTTTTTGATGATCTATGCTGGATGATGAACATATATATCCTGCGACTGTGGGAAGAAATCTCCAGAACCAGCCTCGTTTTATGGCCTGAACTTGCCTAGGAAGACGTTTAGACACAGTCCTATGGCCATAGAGAAGCCTAAGATGATGCAATGAGCAATTATTTTGACGATCATGACCCAAAATACTGTGCATGCAGAAAGACCGCCCAACTACGCCGTTTGCTTGGTTCAACAGGAAGCTTTAATAGTCATTTGCTTCACATCACAGCTCAGCAATAGCAGAGCTTATATGCCTTAATTGACATTATGGCCGCATAGCGAATTTGTTACGAGTCATCATCAAGATACAAGCAAATACGAACACAATAAGCCTATATCTGAACACCCTGAGATTTCTCAACTAACATATCCCTTTAGCCTTCACACCTTTCGGCACGCTGGATCTTTTTTTACACAAAGAAATACCCATTGGGATATCTCTTCATTGATCTTGATCAATTTAAGGAACCAGCATTGATTCCCTCACTGCTCGATTCTACCATGACCGACACCAACTCGTCAAGCCGGGGGGAGCGATGGCAATTCTGTGAAACGCCCGAAATTCTTTATGAGATCAACTACGTCAGTTTATCCAACAAGCACAGCCCATACAATGGTGCCGCACAATTGGCGGTGACCCTCGAGGAACAACCTTTTACAAAGTATACAGAAATATGAAAACGGAGTCAGGAGACCGCCAGTCAACATCTGGTTTGGTTCATTCCCTAGATCGGCTTGATCTGGAAGGAAATACCCCAGCCTCGCCGACTGGCAAGATCACTTTGCTTGGGCACATCACCAGTAGAAACGACAGTGACACACACGGAATATTGTTTCAATTCGCCGACAACCTAATCGACTATTTCAGCAGAGTCTGCGTATCTCTGCCGAGGAACCTGGCAATTCCAACATTGATCATGGTGGCGGTAATGGGAAATCTGTCAGCAAGGATCTGGTAAACCAGGATGCTACCAAGATAAAACAATGCTGCAAAGGAGGTGTTGTTATTCAAAACCAAGCACTTGATGCGCTGGTCAGTCGATGCGTGCGGATCATGGATTAGTGCAACAGAGGGACGTCAATGGATCCCACCCAAGTCAGCACAGTTGATGTGCATACCTCGAACGCAGAGGCCACGGAAAGTAATAGTACTCTTGGTGTAGACATTGTGGATGCGGAGACCGCGGATACGGAGACTGCGGATATCGAGACCACTGGTGTTGACATGGCTAAGGCAGAGACTGCTCATGCCGAGATCGCCCAGCTGGAGACCACTCACCCAGAGATCGGCAGTGGAGGCAACGGAACTAAGACCATAGTCGACCAGAGATCCAACCAGTCCACGAAAAGACCCAGACGCTGTAAGCTGCCTTCGGGCGTTTCGAAAGCCCAGACCGAAGCCCAAAATTCGACGCAAAGGAAGACACGACAGGCTTTCTTGGGGACAGTGATCAAACCGGAGCTGATCGATTGGGAGCTGAATGTGGAGCCCATGAAGATGGAGCCATGAGTCACGACAGATTCGAGGATACTTACTCGGACTAGTAGGTCGATCGATCTACAAGCTGAGCTGAGAGATGCGGAACTTGAGAAAGGAGAACGAAAGGACAAAAAGGGAGAGTTGGGAACCTTGAATATCAGAAAGTCACATATCATTCGTCAAAAGCCAGTCACAGACCCGTCCAAGACCACACGGTGTAGTGCGAGAGTCAACTCGTTCGAGGGTGTAGTTCGTAGGTCCATTTCAGGGGTTCCGATTCACCGGGCGGTCAAGAAAACCCGCGAGATCGGCGGGGGAGGATACACGATCGATTTGCGTTTTTAACCTCTTCCTCTTCATCTTCATTCTCATCTTTGTGTCTCTTTGGTGTCTCTGTCTCGGTACAGGTATGTTCCCTCCCTTTTTTGCAAGGGTCTCATGCCCATTGTTCTCAGTCTACGCCACTAGCGTGGAGAAACCTAAAATTGAAATAAAGTATGAGTCAAGGCTGACCACTTCGGCATTCAGAATGAGATGAGCAGATCATAATTCCTCCAATTCCTCTCTCTCTCTCTCTCTGTCTCTCTCTCTGTCTCTCTTTTGATCACTATGACGGAACCTACAAAAATCAGTATCCTGGGCCGGGAGAGTATTGTTGCCGATTTCGGTCTCTGGCGCAATTACGTCGCAAAGGACCTGATCAGTAACGTACCCTCCACCACCTACGTCCTCATCACCGATACCAACATCGGCTCCCTCTATACCCCTACCTTTCAAAAAACCTTCGAGGCCGCCACCGCATCTATTTCCCCTGCCCCACGACTCCTCGTCTACCATGCCTCGCCCGGCGAAAGCTCCAAGTCCCGCCAGACAAAAGCCGACATTGAAGATTGGATGCTAAGCCAGAACCCACCATGTGGGAGAGACACAGTGATCATCGCATTGGGTGGTGGTGTAATTGGAGATCTGACTGGCTTTGTTGCCGCAACCTACATGCGGGGTGTTCAGTTTGTGCAGGTCCCCACCACCCTCCTCGCCATGGTGGACTCCTCAATTGGAGGAAAGACTGCTATTGACACGCCACTGGGCAAGAACCTCATCGGCTCTATCTGGCAGCCGTCGAGAATTTATATTGATCTTGAATTCCTTGAGACGCTTCCCGTCCGCGAGTTCATCAACGGTATGGCCGAGGTCATCAAGACCGCTGCCATCTCCAGCGAGGAAGAATTCACCGCTCTTGAGGATAACGCGGAGCTAATTCTAGGTGCCGCGCGCAGCGAGGCGAAGCCCGGCCAGGGTCGCTTCGATGGAATTCGCGATATCTTGAAGGCCAGAATCTTGGCATCTGCGCACCACAAGGCCTATGTTGTGTCTGCCGATGAGCGCGAGGGCGGTCTTCGCAACCTCCTCAACTGGGGTCACTCCATTGGACATGCTATTGAGGCAATCCTCACTCCTCAGATTCTCCACGGCGAGTGTGTCGCCATCGGTATGGTGAAGGAGGCCGAGCTTGCCCGTCACCTAGGCATCCTCAAGGGTGTTGCTGTGGCTCGTATCGTGAAGTGCCTTTCCGCCTACGGCTTGCCTACTTCCTTGAAGGATGCCCGCGTCCGGAAGCTGACTGCCGGCAAGCACTGCTCTGTGGACCAATTGCTGTTCAACATGGCACTGGATAAGAAGAATGATGGCCCCAAGAAGAAGGTTGTTCTTCTGTCGGCTATCGGCCGTACTCATGAGCCCAAGGCCAGCGTTGTCTCCAACGCGGACATTGGCGTCGTTCTCGCTCCCAGCGTCGAGGTTCACCCCGGTGTGGCTAAGTCTCTTAATGTTACGTGCGCACCCCCGGATCGAAGAGTATCTCAAACCGAGCTCTTGTGCTCGCTGCGCTTGGATCTGGAACCTGTCGTATTAAGAACCTACTGCATTCCGACGACACTGAGGTCATGTTGAATGCCTTGGAGCGTCTCGGCGCGGCCACTTTCTCTTGGGAGGACGAAGGTGAGGTTCTTGTTGTCAATGGCAAGGGTGGTAACATTGTTGCGAGCCCATCGCCTTTGTACTTGGGCAACGCTGGAACTGCCTCTCGATTCCTCACTACTGTGGCAACTCTCGCTACCCCCAGCACTGTTGACTCAAGTGTCCTGACCGGTAACAACCGTATGAAGCAGCGCCCTATTGGCGACCTTGTCGATGCTCTCACCGCTAACGGTGCTGATGTTGAGTTCATGGAGAGCAAGGGCAGTCTCCCTCTTAAGATTGCCGCTTCCGGAGGGTTCGCTGGAGGCAATATCAATCTGGCCGCCAAGGTCTCCTCTCAGTATGTCTCTTCGCTTCTCATGTGTGCTCCTTACGCCAAGGAGCCAGTCACCCTGAAGCTCGTTGGTGGCAAGCCCATTTCACAGCCATACATTGATATGACCACTGCCATGATGCGCTCCTTCGGTATTGACGTTCAGAAGTCTACCACCGAGGAGCACACTTACCACATCCCCCAGGCTCGCTACGTGAACCCTGCCGAGTATGTTGTCGAGAGTGACGCAAGCTCTGCCACTTATCCTCTGGCCATTGCTGCTGTTACTGGCACCACTTGCACTGTACCTAACATTGGCTCCAAGTCCCTCCAGGGTGATGCTCGCTTCGCAGTCGAAGTTCTCCGACCCATGGGATGCTCTGTGACCCAGTCTGACACTTCCACTACTGTCACTGGACCTGCTGATGGTATCCTCCGTCCATTGCCCAATGTGGACATGGAACCCATGACCGATGCATTCCTCGGTGCCTCTGTTCTCGCGGCAATCGCCCGGGGCGAGGGTTCAAACCACACGACCCGCATCTACGGTATTGCCAACCAGCGTGTCAAGGAATGCAACCGTATCAAGGCCATGAAGGACGAACTGGCCAAGTTCGGAGTTGTCTGCCGCGAGCATGACGATGGTCTTGAGATCGATGGTATCGATCGTTCGACCCTCCGCCAACCTGCTGGTGGTGTTTACTGCTATGATGATCACCGTGTCGCGTTCAGTTTCAGTGTGCTTTCTCTCATTACCCCCCAGCCTACTCTTATTTTGGAGAAGGAGTGTGTTGGTAAGACCTGGCCCGGCTGGTGGGACACCCAGAAGCAGATGTGGGGCGTCAAGCTTGAAGGCAAGGAGCTCAAGGAAGACGAACTTGCAGCCTCAAGCCAGGAAGAGCGAAGCAACGCTAGTACCTTCATCATTGGCATGCGTGGCGCTGGAAAGACTACCACTGGCAATTGGGTGGGCAAGGTCCTTGGCCGTCAATTCATTGACCTTGACACCGAGCTTGAGACATCTGAGGGAATCACAATTCCTGAAATGATCAAGACTCGCGGCTGGCAAGGATTCCGCGACGCTGAATTGGCCTGCCTTCAGCGCGCCATGAAGGACCGCCCTACTGGCTACGTTTTCGCCTGTGGTGGTGGTATTGTCGAGATTCCAGAGGCACGCAAGATGCTTGTTGACTACCACAAGAACAAGGGAAATGTGCTTCTTATCATGCGTGACATCAAGCTGGTCATGGACTTCCTCCAGATTGACAAGACTCGCCCTGCCTACGTCGAGGACATGATGGGAGTGTGGCTGCGCCGCAAGCCTTGGTTCCAGGAGTGCAGCAACATTCAGTACTTCAGCCAACACTCTAGCTCTGCTGAGCTCGCTCTTGCCTCAGAAGACTTTGCGCGCTTCATGCGCGTGGTGACTGGCCGTACAGACAGTCTCGGTCAGATCAAGAAGAAGAAGCACAGCTTCTTTGTCTCATTGACACTACCCAATCTCTGCCCCGCCGGTGATATCATCACAGAGGCTTGCGTTGGATCCGACGCCGTGGAATTGCGGGTTGACTTGTTGAAGGACCCTTCATCCGACGGCGACATTCCCTCCGTTGACTACGTCGCCGAACAAATTTCTTTCCTTCGCCGCCGTACTAGTCTCCCCCTCATCTTCACCATCCGCACCAAGAGCCAAGGAGGCCGCTTCCCCGATGATGCTCACGATGCCGCGATGCAACTGTACCGCCTGGCGTTCCGCTCCGGATCCGAATTTGTGGATCTTGAGATCGCCTTCCCAGACGAGATGCTCCGTGCTGTTACTGAGATGAAGGGTCACTCCAAGATCATCGCCTCGCACCATGATCCTAAGGGAGAACTCTCTTGGGGCAACATGTCCTGGATGCAGTCCTACAACCGTGCTCTGGAGTACGGCGATGTGATCAAGCTTGTTGGTGTTGCGAACAGCCTGGATGACAACACCGCTTTGCGGAAGTTCAAGACCTGGGCCGAGAAAGCCCACGACACCCCCCTGATCGCTATCAACATGGGTGACAAGGGTCAGCTCAGCCGCATTCTGAACGGCTTCATGACTCCCGTGTCGCACTCCAGCCTCCCCTTCAAGGCCGCACCCGGTCAACTTTCCGCGACCGAGATTCGCCGCGGTCTCTCTCTGATGGGTGAGATCAAGGCCAAGAAGTTCGCCATCTTCGGTTCTCCTGTCTCTGGCTCTCGGTCGCCCGCTCTTCACAACACTCTTTTCGGCACCATGGGTCTGCCCCATGAGTACAGCCGCTTGGAGACCTCCAATGTTGAGGATGTGAAGGACTTCATTCGCGCCTCCGATTTCGGCGGTGCCTCCGTGACCATCCCCCTCAAGTTGGACATCATGCCACTGCTCGACGAAGTTGCCCAGGAAGCCGAGATCATCGGCGCAGTCAACACCATCGTTCCCGTTGCCAACGGTGACAAGCCTCCCCGTCTGGTTGGCTACAACACCGACTGGCAGGGCATGGTCCGATGCTTGCGTAACGCCGGCATTTATGGATCATCCGGCGATGAGAGTGCTGTTGTCGTTGGTGGCGGTGGCACTGCCCGTGCTGCCATCTTCGCCTTGCACCACATGGGCTTCTCCCCGATCTACGTCGTAGGCCGCAGTGCCAGCAAGCTCGAGGGTATGGTCTCAACCTTCCCTACCAACTACAACATCCGCGTTGTAGACAACCACAGCCAGCTCGACAGCGTTCCCCGTGTTGCCATCGGCACCATTCCCGCCGATCGTCCCATCGACCCTACCGTGCGCGAGACACTCTGCCACATGTTTGAGCGTACTCAGGAGATCGACGGTGCCCTCGTCGGCAAGACTCCCGAATCTAACAACCCTCGCGTTCTTCTCGAGATGGCCTACAAGCCTGCCGTTACTGCGCTCATGCAGCTTGCATCCGATGCCGGCTGGAGCACCATCCCTGGACTTGAGGTTCTTGTTGGACAAGGCGTTCACCAGTTCGTTTACTGGACTGGTATCACTCCTCTTTACCACGAGGCTAGGGTAAGGACAACATGTTCCTTTAATGATAACTGAGTACTAACATAATTTTCAGGATGCCGTCATGGGCAATACCCCTCAGTCTTCATAAGCTCCGAATCATCGTGTCTCAATTCGGTTTCTCGTTTCATGTATAGCCAAATATGGGCGGGCGGGCTATCAAAAAAGGATTCTTTTTTTTTATATCTTTTCGGATCGATTGCATGCTCTTCGTTGAGTATCTGCATCTATATACATATTTCAAGTCAAATATATTGTCTTTGACGCCATAACATAATTTAAATGCCGACCTATGTCTGCTCTCCATTGTATAATGGAAGTTTTGCATGTCTCACAACTTCACTTCGAAGGTCTTTATTTCAACGGTATCTATTGCCTGCTCCTATAGTACAGTGGCATCTCAACTGATTATCAACAAGTAATTCTCCCCAATCATTCCCCAAACAAACGCTCACTCGGCCTTGACTTCCGGTCTCTTCGAAATAGTGAGCCAGACATCCCTCCAGTACCCGACACCCCCCTTCACCACGAATTTAGGCTCAGGCTTGTCAGACACAGCGGCAAATTTATATTGACGGAAGAACTAAAGAGCAAATCAGCACCAATCCCAACCAAGCACCAAAAGTCCAAACTCACCTGCAAAGGACCCTTGAACAACTCCATCATAGCAATATCCTTCCCCAGGCAAACCCTCGACCCATACCCAAACGCAAAGTTATACTTATTGTACAACTTAGCCTTCTCAACATCCAACCACCGCTCAGGCCGGAACTCCTCCGCATCATCCCCATAAAGCTTCGGATCGCGCTGGACCAAATAAGGATTACAAGTAATCTCTGTCCCAGCCGGAGCAAACCGACCATAAAGCTCAATACCCGGCTCAGGAACATAGCGAGGGAAAATGTTCGGTGCAGAAGGACAAAGCCGCATAGTCTCCTTAATACAACCAACAAAAAACGGCAAATGTTCCAGAACCTCATTATACTGCGGCATCTCTGAGATCAAACCCTTCCGCGCTGCAGTATCAATCTCAGCCATCATGCGCTCGTACGCATCCGGGTTTGTGAGCAGGAAGGTCATCAGCGCCTGGAAGGCTGTCCCTGTTGTATCGGCGCCGGCGAGGAGAACGAGAAGAACCTCCGCGCGGATGTATTCCAGGTCGAGGGGTTTTCCCTCGTCGGTCTGGGCTTCCAGGAAAGTTTGCAGGAGATCTGTAGGGACCTTTTTGCCTGTTTCGATGTCTTTGATGCGCTGGTCGATGAGGCGGTCGCGGAAGCGCATGAGCACGCCGATTCCGGTGTTGTCTTCTGGTTTTGCGACTAGGTATTTCTTCAAGAAGGTTGTTTTTATCCACGAGGTGAAGGGGTGCAGGCGGGCTAAGAGGCCGAAGGCTGGGAGGCCATCATGGAAGCCTTGGATTAGGCCGCCGATGTCTTCGCCTTTTTCTATGAAGCCGAAGGGTTCGCCGAAGCCTATTTCGCTGATGATATCGTAGGCCATGTAGCTTTTATGTTTGTTAGTTGGGGGCTGTTGTTTTTTTGGCTGCCTTTTGCTACTTACACGGCCCACCAGGAGAAGTCGAAGGCTTCGCCGGTTTTGATGAACTTTTCATTAAGCTTGCTCGTCCATTGTTGAATGCGCATGTCGAGCAAGGGTTCCATTTTCTTGATGTTGGTGAAAGAGTACTGTATGTCATCAGTTAAATGATTTGGGTATTGCTGCGCATGCACGATATCGTACCGGTCCGGCAACATGTTTTCTGAATACTGCGTGAGTCTTGTGAGACCTCATGTTGAACAGTGATTCATTTTCTCCAAAGCTTCCAGTGATATAATGACCGGTTTTGTCTACATTGCGGTGGTAGACTTCCGGGAGCTTCTGGTAATCGCTGACCAGCAGCAATGTCGGGCTAATGCGAATAACAGGACCTGAATCAAGTCAATTTCACCGCTTGGAGACTCAATTGAATGAACCAAGACTGACCATGTTCCTTCGCCAATTCATAGACAGTGGGCACCTCTGTTTCCTGCAGATTATGCCATGCGATCCATAGTCGAGTCACAGAGCCCCAGAAAGGACCGGGGAACTTAGAAAGTGAGTGGAAATAACGATAGTAAATGATCTGATAACCAAATTTGAAAACCACATAAGCGATCAGACCCAAAATGACATTGGGCACTGTCAATAGTGACAGGACATTCCCAGCAACACCCATGTTGATTGAGGAATGACAAACCAACACGAAGAGCAGATGGAAACGGCTTTCTTTAGAGGGAAATAGCCCCTCCAAAAAAGTATTAAATCTCCAATTTTCCAAACCCCCTAACCCTTTCAAGGGTTTTGCATTGTAAGGGACACAAGGGCATTGGCCAGAGGGCTGCGCAGTGATAGCCATGTCCACTCAAATTAGTTCAATTCCATCAACCACGCCAGTCTAGACCTGACTGGGTCTTGGGGTTAAAGCTATGTGTTTCTCCGTCCTCGGCATGAAGTACATGTGCAGCGCTACACCGAAGAATCCACCATGCTCCCCCTTGAACCTAGTGTCCTCGGTACGGGGTAGAGTCATAGCATTGGCAACGGTGTGGATGTGTTACGACTCCGCTTGCTGATTTGAAATTGGGCAGCTGTTTGCGGCTGCTTCTCCGCGCGTGTCCAGGCTACAGTACAGTATATGGAGACCGGCGGATGGCGGCTAATGATGCACTTTCCTCATGAAGTAGTGATGCTCTGCAGAGTGAAGAAATAATGGAGAATCTGTGTCTGTTAGCATATGAACAGTTGGCGTTGCGGAGCCACGGCAGTCGGCATCCTCCGTATACTGTGGACTGGGCGAAGCAATGCCATTGCCTTGTTTTGAAAGTACGGGGATCAGCATAGGAGATTAGACGGTCTCCGCTTTAGAGAGGGTCTTGAATGCAGAAAAAAGAAAGATTTTCCGGCTCGGGTCATTTGCACAGGGCAGGTCTCAGATGGCGAGAGAGTATGGAGTACGGAGTACACTATACAGTACTGTACTCCGTACTCCGTACAGTATGCCTTGTTGATTGAGAAACAAAAGTACCTGGCACTAAAGCTAGGTGGAGCACAGGCTATGGCGTTCTCCACTATAAAATTCCCAGCTTCTCACTGGATGTAAACCGGAACTAAAAATGAAGCTGCAGACGCCAGGACAAGGGTGGGCTTCCTGAGTCTTAGCGCCAGAGTGGCTGTTAATAAAGGGTCGAACACGTTCTTCGCGAAATGAATGTGGAGAGATTGGATGGTTCGTGGAGGATGCTTGATTTATCTAATGTGACAACGCGTAATATGTGATGCGTTCGTTTTAGATCAACTGAGACAGGTTGTGATTTCTAGCTGTGGAGATAGGGCAGCATTCTCCACTAGTTTCCCCTAGGGAGAATGTGGTGCGCCAAAGTCTGAGGTTAAGCCGCCACATGTGCAGTACATCATGCGGTTTAAATTCCCGTATATAGTATGGCCGAGAAATGCCAATGTCTTTCATGACTCGTTCAGGGGTGGTTTTGACAGCTTGCCGATCCTAACGGTCGTAAATGGCCGAGAACGCTATTTATTTCGGTGCAAAGACCTGGGGTCCTCTACTTTCGTACTGCACTGTATATCCGAAATAGGCTATTGATCAGGAAAACCTGTAGGCAACTTCCGAGGGCCACTGAGACGCCTACTTCATACGCAGAACGGGGTCCTGCAGTCTATGGATTTTTAGTTCCACTACAATAAAGCCAGGATTTGTCGTGCAGATATTGACTGCAGCTTGAATCTCATGTATAACAATGAATTGTATCACATGTGTTCGTGAGTTCTCAATCCTTTCATCTTCTCTTAGTGCAACGTCTTTGAAGAGGCCTGTTCGCCATTCGGCCAATTTCGCTTAACTATTGAGGACGACCCGCTCTCCACCAAGACGGGTCGGAAGGCCAATGTAGATCGGAAGCATTAAAGCATTAGCCCAGTTTAGCGTCATTGGTTTTTGCCGTCGGGGCAGGCCCATTTGGCCCGGCAGCAAACGGGACAGATCTGTCGCGCACTGAAACGCCCGTCCGCGCAGATCCCACCGCCACTCTCGTGTCGGATCGTCTAGGCCATTTTCCAGTATCAAAGTAAATTAAATTAAACTAAAAACTTTAGACTGCGTTCCGTGAGAGTTTCTAGTTCGCTCCAGGGGAAAGGATAAGGTGTTTGACTTTTTAGCGTGCTGTCAATTGGATTTAGTTTGATATTCGAACAAAGGGGTTGTTCTGTGTACTTCGTATGCAGGGCTCCATCTTTGCTCGGCCAAAGCTCACTGGGGACATTAAGATCACCATCGGAACCATCTCGATAACAATCTCGATGGGAATTTATAAATAACTTGAAATCGGAGATCAACTCGGTCGCTTTCCGTGTACATGTAGATTCAGATCAGATTTTTCGTTCTGCTCTATCTGATCGCCTTTTTTTTTTTTTTATGCAAGTCGGATATGTACCCCAAATATGAGCGATATTCCCGCGCCTACTGTACAGTAGGAAATATTTTGAAATGATCGTCGAGCCGTTGAACGTGTCGACCGAGCCTTTTCCTAGCCAATGCTAACCCTGTCTTGATGTGGATATCAGCGTACTAAACGCAAATATTCCCTGTCCTCCAAGCTAATTCCTGTATGTAGGACCCTATTAGCTAGAGCCAAGTTGGTAGTAAGGCTGGGCAACATGATTTATCAATAATTTTTCTTTGTACGTAAAAATTGAGCAAGCAAAGCTCTTCTGTACTGTACGTCTCTGCGTAGCGAACAGAAATCCTGAACAGGTTTCCGGTCTTCGCTTTTTGGATCACTAAGTCTTAGGCCGTTTCCAAAGAGGCAGGCGGTTCAGACAGGCGATCCTCGGGTGGAGATGGGCGTCTCTGACAGTCTCGTGTCTCGTGTTTCTAGAAAGGGAAAGCCCTTGTCAATCCCTGCCTTGATTTTGCATGTTGCTGGGGTGTGGACCTAGGACTAGACCATGCAGAATGCGCATGTTTAGCAGTGTGTTCACGGTCCTTTTGCTCGTGCTAGTCCAGGGGGATCTGGAATCATATAACTGTAGACTGGGGTACCGCGAACCATTTTTTATTGATCTTTCCGATGATACTTGCAGTTCTTCTTTCTCTTCTCTGTGAGACGGGGATGTGAATCAACTGTCTGTGCCATTCGTTAATAGTCCACTTCGCTCTTTGTTACTCTCCTTTCCTTCTTTCTATTCATTTAACTCATCATGACTGCCAATGGCTCCCAAGGCCCGGTGGTGGTCGGCATCTGTGTTGCCTTCGCCGCTCTGACATTCTGTGTCTTATGTCTTCGTCTCTTTGCCCGTGTATACGTCTTGGGTAAAATGGGTCTCGATGATTGTATGTTATTCATTAATACACCGTCATCAGCGCTGTGCTAACTCGTCCAAGACCTCATTATTGGAGCTTGTGTAAGAAACTTTGACTTGAATTCCAACGGATCTGTAACTAATGAGCACAGCTACTTGCTTGGGCATTTATTGCTGTCACCATTGTTGGTAGGTTCAAGCCCGCTCTCTAATGATGCAAAATCTAACGACATTTAGCCGTCAAAAATGGACTTGGAACACATTATGTCGACACAGACAAGACAAAACTCATTGACTACGCTTTCGTAAGGATATCATGTTTGGCTTCATGTTATGTTGCTGACCTACTCTAGGCTGTCTGGCTGAGCTCAATGTTCTATCTTGCATGTCTCGGCTTTGTCAAAACATCTGTCCTATGGTTCTATACTCGTCTCGGAGATCGTTACCTGACCCGTCTATCCTGGATCATGATCGGAGTTATCGCAGCACAAGCAATCTCATTTGTGCTTGTAGCTGCATTCCAATGTCAACCGGTCAGCAAAGCCTGGGCAAGCACCAAGCCAGGAACGTGTGTTGATATCAACGTGTTCTATCTTTGCAACGCTGCGCTCAATATCTTCACTGATGTTCTCACCTACACTTTGCCAATCAGGGTTATCTTCAAGCTTCAGATGCCCAGGAAGCAAAAGATTGTCCTTGCAATTATTCTCTGTCTTGGTCTCTTGTAAGTGATAACATCTCGATCAGGAAATATTGAAATAACTAACATCCTGTCTTTCCAGTGCATGTGTCTCTTCCATCATTCGAATTACCTATATTCCCGCCATGCTCTCTTCTGCGGACTTCACTTACGCGATCAGTGGTGCCATGTATTGGTCCGTCATCGAGACCAACGTCGGTATCCTCGCTGCCTCGATTCCCTCATTCAAAGCAATTGCCTCTCGCTTCCTGCCTCGCTTCATCGGAGAATACAGCAGTGGGAAAAAGTACGGTCCTTGGTCAGGAAACACTACTGGCAGACGATATGGCTCTGGCTTCACCAAAGTTACGGATCCCAGAAATATCACGATGGGCACCATTGGCGACAAGGATGATATCAACATGGGCACTCAGATTGGAGCTGCCAGCAACTCCAGTGAAGAGAGAATCATCCCTGACGGCAAGATCTTCAGGCACACAGAGATCGAGACCACCGTGGAAACAAACCATGATTTCGGAAGGCTCGGTTCTACATCGCTCGAGCAGGCTCGTCGATGAGAGCTTTCTAAGCTCATGTGTAGTTTACGACAAGTTATAATGGGCGGTTTGTATAGTAGTATTTCGGGTTCATAGGTATACAAAATATCCTTTCTCATGTTCATGCATCGCTTTACCGTACTTATTTCGCAAAAGGATCCACAGCATTGAGGAATCCAACGTGGTCTAGGCTAGTATATTCAAAAATTTGACTCATTATTCATGGTCTGATATTGACATGTCCGACTCTCACCAAGACTTGCGCCAAGCTGCAATCCCAACGCCAAGAACAGCAAAAACCACAGCCCAGCGAGTCAACCCCCTGCGTAAATGATATTTGACCGTCTTCTCAATGGCCTCGGAATCATTGATGCGAGGGAACTCCTTGCCTGTGGGTTCTTCCACCGCCAGAGCCTCACACAAAGGCCCCCACCCATCTTTAACATCAAAGAAGACCAGCCTCTCCTTCGGCACAACCTCCGTCAACCAAGCCATATGCCTCTCATAAGTCTCGCGCCCATGATATCCAGAGACACCCCCATACAGTCGCTCCCACTGCGCAGCAAGCAAATGCCCATAAGGAATGAAATGCCGCATCCCCTCCAACGGCAGCAAGGCCAGCCGCGCAAACCAAACCCCCGTTAAACTTTGCACACGCATCATACTGGGCTCCCAGAGGAGTGGATCCCGCGTCGTGCAGATCACCTTGGCCTCTGGATACAGTTGCATCAGCTCCGGGATGAACTGCGAGCCTGGCGAGTCTGTTATGGCGACATAGCCTGTCAATCGGCGGCGCAGGAGTGGGAGCATTGTCGCGCGGCTGGTCGGGTCGCCTTTCAGCCACATTTGCAGGATAGGAATCCAGCCTTTGATTTCGGCCGGTGGGCCCATTGATGATTGCGTGCCGCAGTGGTAGACTGGGCCATCGAGCAGGATTTCTAGCGCTTGGCTGAAGGATGACGTCCCTGTGCGTGGTAGACCTGCGCCTATGACTTGGATGGTCGCGCCTTCCTTGGGCTTTGATGGGGCTTGGCCCATTTTGACTGGGTTTGGTGTATGTGTTGCTCTATGTTGTTGTGTTTGAGTTGGGGCGTGTTGAGGTTTCAGATTTACTGACGTCCCTCTTGCCCCCTTTTTTGTCTCCTTTCCTCCCCGGACGGAAACTCTTTGCGCTTCTGTCGAGATGATTTGTAGTACTTTGAGAGAATGATTTGTTTAGCAGCAATCTTTCCCAAGAAGAAGAAGAGAGGAGGGGGTTGATATAAAGCGAGTTTCGGAGATCCTTTCGGCCCCCACTCCGGGATTCCCCCTTTGGGGCAATGAAGGCACTTTAGTCTGCCACATTCCCTCTTCTTTCTCTCTTTGGTCGGCCATCACGCATAACTTCCATAATCTATCATGTCTCTATTTCGTCCCGAGGTTGCATTGCGTGTTGTTCTTTGAGATTTTCTACACTGTCACATCCCTGGGAGATTTTCAGGGGTTTCCGAATACGAGCCACATTTTGATCTGTGTTTCGCTGCTGCATATCACACCGTGACAACGTTCTGAATAAAGTCTCATCTACGTTGTTTGACTATATATGCAGTGATCTTAATCTCTCTTGTAGATTTCAAAGGTGACGGGACACAATGAATGGATTGAATGTCCCGATGCCAAAACCTACAAGGGGAAAAGGGAAAGCAAAGCATGCATGTATCATCATCTGCAAGCATGAACTCAGAACACCGTCAATATCACTCACCACTATTTAATGGAATCTGATAAAAGTCAGTTCCGTGGGTTATGCCGATCTTCGGTGGTTGATCTTGACCATGGTGCCAATGGGATGAATAACTGCTGCGATGAGATGTTCTAGTCAATTTCCATGAAACCATTACAGGCTAGAAAGTAGTTCTAGTTCTACGAGCGAGTCAGTTAGTTCTGTGAACGTCAGCCTAGAACAGGGCGTCGGCGAGTCACGTACGGCACTTTGCAGTGGCCTTAAGCTCAAAATAAATTCTGCCGCTGATTAATTATCATGAGTGCCATTTTACATCTTATTTTTTTCTGCAATGGGTGTGTTTACTTTATGCCAAAGCATGAACGAAGAAAGAAAACTAGAAAAATTCCAACGAAACAAACTCAAAGGTAGTGAAAAGGCCGATAGAAGGAGATTTTGATACTGAGCAGTGTAAACTTTTGAATTATTCATTTAGTTATAATGAATGAGGATGTCTCGCATGCATGTATGTCAAGTTCAAGGATCTGTCATTTAGGCCATGTTATCAGGTTATACCTTTATAATATACTCGTGCTAGAAATTGAAAGGCTTCGTAGGATAACTCAGATATTGTGGCCATAGTAAGAACGAAGGCGGTAACGAGCTGTATATGGGCAAAATTTGATTTGAGCTCCAGGCCGCTGGAGACAGCCGTAGTCACGCGCATTCCTAAACATATGGCCTAGCATATACTCTCTTCGAAAATGCATAATGGAAATTAGTGATCTACCTTTTTACTACTTTGCATGATGAGAAATTAAATCACCTTGACGCTGCAACCGATGTCTACATTGTCACATAGCCCATGATGTAGCTCGTCGGGGTCTGAGTGATTTACTTCATAAACCATTGATATATACGCGCGACAACTACCAGCGCTAGCTATTTCAGTAAAAGCCCGCCTCATTTCAATAACAACGAAGCTCAATTCAATAAAAGAGGAATTGTTATGACGTCAGCTGCACAACAAGCTTGGTACCTTGGGCTTCTCCTTTGCGAAGTCGATCAAGACCGAGAAGGACCGCGTTAAGGCCTCCTTCCAGCACTGTAATCGGGGGAGGTTTCAAAGCACCATTACACAGTTGACTCAAGCTAGCATATAAACGCCGAAGCGAATCCCGATCATCAGGAACAACTGAGAACTTTGGACCTAGGGGCGACAATAATGAGAACGGTTTGCCAAAGGCTGTGAAGACCATGAGACTTTTGAACTCGATATCTGCCCTTTTTGGCTTCCCTTGATCCAGAAGCGTGATAACTCGACCATTTTTAAGCACCTCTGCGCAGAAATGAGAAGAATTTCCCTCCGAGAAGCAGTCCAAAGCTTTGGTGATATCAGGATGAGCTTTGGAAATTTCACTGGCCGCCGTTGGAGACCGATAGTCAAACACGGTGTCTGCGCCATAGCGTTTGACCAAATCAAACGACCGTGGTGATGCAGTGGCAATAACATGAAGACCTGCTCTTTTGGCAAGTTGGATTGCAAACAGTCCAACGTTTGAACCACCGGAGTAAATCAAAATTGAGGACTTCGCAGAAGATTGCTTCGTGGCTCCTGAGAGAATATCTTCCCATGCGACATCCAGATGCAGAAGTGCAAAAACTGCAGTGACTGCTGGAATACCATACGTTGCAGCCTCAGATGTGGTGATCGCGTCAGGAATGGGCCATGCAAGTTCTCCATCAACCTTCAGGTATTCGGCAAAAGAGCCGACGTCAGGGTATTGACCGCCGTGGACAAAGCCCGCGACTCTGTCCCCTACATTCCATCTGCCGATCATGTCTTTTCCAACTTTTGCCACCTCTCCAGCATAATCACAGCCTATGGTACTGTTGTTCGGGGAGAGAAAATCGATATTCTTGTTGTCGACTGGGTTGAGTGCAACGGCACGCACTTGGACTAGAATCTCATTATCGGAGATCTCAGGAGTTGGTATGTTGGTAATTTTGGCACATTGGCCAAATGAGGAAGAAGTTGCGAAGTTGAGAATTTGCTTCCCAAGATATCTATTTGCCACAATGGCTCTCATGTTGACGGGAGTTGTGTAGAGGGCAAAACACGGCAGAGATAAACGGTCAAAAGCCTCAAGGCAGTAACTGAAAAGTTGAGTATCTGGGAAATAACTTTCAAGCTTTATCTGAAAGTATAACAATCGGAGTAATTGAAAAGGCCGGCGGTGCACGAACCGGAGTTGTCTCAACTATAGTTCGGGGTTGATTAATAGTCACCCCGGCTCCGGGACCGAGGCACGGGATGATGATTCATCACTTAACTCGAACTGTGTATAACTTCAATAACTTTAACCTGATATTGGAAATTTAGTATCTACTATTTTACAGTTCTGCAGATCTACAGAAAAGGGGATGTCTTTTCTTTTTGGCAAGAGCCACTCTTTCGATCCCAGAAAGGATATACCAAGTCTCTCTGGGCGGGTCATTCTGGTAACTGGAGGCAATAATGGTCTTGGAAAAGAAACTATAAAGCAATTGGCAGCGCACGATCCCAAAAAGATATACATGGGCGCCCGCAACCCCAAGAAAGCAACGGAAGCCATTGATGAAATCAAACGAGAGGTCCCCTCGGCCGAAATCCTCTTTCTCGAAATAGACCTTTCGTCTTTCGCTTCTATCAAACGCGCAGCCGAAACATTCCTTTCCACAAATGACCGCCTCGATATCCTCATCAACAACGCCGGTATCTTTGCGCCTCCGTCTGGCTTGACTGAAGATGGCTACGAAGTCCAATTTGGCACAAACTATATGGGTTCAGCACTTCTGACTCGACTACTTCTGCCAATCCTCACCCAGACTGCGGATACTGGAGCAGATGTTCGCATTGTGAACATCAGCTCCGAGATATATCGAAACGCTCCCAAGGCCGGTATACTTCTCAGCCAGGTCAAGACGCCACTCAACGAGATCAGCACTGTTGCTCGCTATGGCCACTCCAAACTCGCCAACATATACTTTACAAAGTCTTACGCTAAGAAATATCCCAGTATCAAGTCTGTTTCTCTACATCCCGGGCTTGTCCGCACGAATATTGGGGGTGACATGAAAGCAAACCCACTTCTTGTCTTTGTCTTTAAGCTGTTCTCCTCGGTGGCTTCCGTGGATATTCCAACCGGCACGCTTAATCAGCTTTGGGCGAGTACGGCTGATTCTGGCGCAGTGAAAAGTGGCGCGTACTATGTTCCCTTCTTTAAGGAAGCGAACAGGAATGGTATTGAGAGTGATATGGGAAAAGCGGAGGAGCTGTGGCAATGGACCGAGCAAGAGTTCAAGGAACATGGGTTTTAATTATCTTGTTGAATAATTTGTATAAGTAGTCTTAATCCATCTAGCCAGCTTTAAACCAGTGCTAAAAAGTCACGCCCAAGTGCTACAAAGAAATCATCCCCCACTTCATGCTAGCGAATTTGGAGTATTTTATATTACAATATTCTATACGACCAGTCTGGCATTAGACCTCAGATCCATTTACATTCCAATTGCTCTTGTCAAAATTATCTATCATCTTCTGAAGTAGCGATCTTTCCCTAGCTTTACCACCAGCCCCTCTGTTTCACGGACGCTTTCGGCAATCGGAAAGTTCCAGTGTGGAGGTTGTGGCTGAAAGCTCAACAAACAACGCTAGGCTCTTATATGTTGATTGAGCCTTTGGTAGATTGATAAATACGTAATATTCATTTCCTCTCTCTAACTATCTGTCCATTCAATGATGCAGCATACGCTCTAATATGTCTTTCTGTCCTTGCCTCTCATTCCACGGGACTTTCGACGAACTTTTTTCCGAGAGAGGCATCTAAGGTTTCAATAATTTGAAACTACAGAGAAGATCATCTGAGACAGACATTATCCCTCCCCAATTATCAAACTCTCCACAATACTGCACATTATCGGTAAGCAATTTGAATGCAAGTTCACAGCCCACGAGAGAAAAGCAAAGAAAGAGTGATACATACATTTGGTGCTGAGAAAACAGTCACCGCCAGCCGATCAGCGAAAAACTCATATCCATCCTCAACCACCTGGTGTGCCCGGCAAATCAAATCGAAATTATGTCGTGAAAGAAACGCTTCGATAATGCTCTTGTTGAAGCAAAAGCTCACTCCGCGGTCATTTGGCTCCCATTCATGTTCCATGATAGCAGGATCGCTCCAAAGAAGATCACAGAGCAGACCATTGTCGGAGACATCAGTGGGACGCTGAAGCTGGCGGATGTCATCCATTTGGAAAAGAGACGGGGACAAGCCGCCATGCACGCAAAAGATCTTGTCCGCGACCACACATGCGGCAGGTAAACAATTAAAAACGTTTATAAAAGTTTTCCAGATCTTAACATTGCATCGTCGCTTGCACTCATCGTAAAAGCCATATACCCGGGAAACATCGGCGGCTTCGTGGTTTCCCCGAAGCAAATGGATCCTCTCTGGGTATTTGAGCTTATAGCATAGTAGAAGGAGAATTGTTTCGAGACCTTGCATTCCTCGATCAATGTAGTCACCGAGAAATAAGTATGGAGTCGTCGGTGGAAAGCCGCATAGCTCAAAGATTCTGATCAGGTCGGTGTACTGGCCGTGAACGTCGCCAACAATCTCGAGAGGCGCACTCAATTCCAAAAGCATAGGCTGACAAAGTAGAACTTCCCGCGATGCGGCACATACACCATATATCTCCTCGAGAGAAACAGGGAGTCCTCTTTTGTTAGGTGTGGTAGATTTTAGTAAACGTGAAATTATGTCATCCAAATCGATTCGATTTGTGGCGTTCCCTTCCAAATTGTCAAGTTTGCCAACTGAATGGCCGGGGAAATGCTTCTCAAGAAGGTCAGACCAGTCGTAAATCTTCTGCTCTGGTTTGGTGAAAATGTGAGATTCATAACTGGTATCTTCTGGGAAATGGCTTTCTCTTTTCAGACTTTGTTCCAGGTTCGCATTTGTATTGTGTTTGAGATTATGAGTGGATAATGGGGTAGATCCTGGTAGTAGTGGTGATTCCAGAGGCGTGTAGCCTGCTCTCATCCTGGGAACGGACTTGGATGCGTCCATTCGGTGTTGAAGCAATGTAGAATGAAGGTCATTCCTTTCAAACATCTCAAAATTACCAGCCTGTGCGTTTATGGTGCCGTTTGTGGGTTCATTGCCATACGGTCGCGATACACCGTACCTCTCATAAATCTCAGGTAATTCTGTCTCGAACATCCCATTCTTCGAAGTTTCCTTAAAAACAGAAGAGAGCTGCTGTGAAATTTGGCGATCTGAATAAGACGTGATATGTTGTTGTGTCTCATGTTCGCCAGTGATAGGATTCAGGCTCGTGGATTGAGTGTCGACTTTACCTTCACTTGGACTTGACGTCAATGTGGGAGAGCAAAGCTGCTTCAACACCAGGTGTTCAAGTATCAAGTCCTTCTCATCATGCGTAAATGGTTCAATGCTCTCAATCACAAGGCCCCATTCCATTTGCCTTTGGCCTTTGGCGGGTATATCATGACCTGACAATCTGTTGGCAGAACTTTCTGGCAGCAGTTCTCGATGCAAGCTCTCATCAGACTCCACGAAACCATGCGTCTCAAGATACATTGGCAAAGAGTCATCAATTCCATCATGTCCGTCAAGATCTGCATATTTCTCATGATCTTCAAACTGTAGATCAACGAACCTATCCGAATCATTGTAGATTGTACTGCGCTGGTGTGGCTTTGAGGCATGCGAAGTGTCACCATCCGTGTCAGAGTACTCCGACGCGTCGTCTTCATAAGGAGGTAGGGATTTCAAAGCCAAAACCCTCAGATGTCCCACAATATGTTCTTCGAGTGTGCCGTTTGTAGCTTCGAACTCGCCGCACAGTGGACAAGATTGAAAAAGGGGGTTGTTTGGCCGCGCATTCTTGTTAGCCAGGACCCGAACTTGTGCTTCGCTGAATTTTTCCCTGTGGGCATGTCGCAAATGATCTGCATATGTATCTCGTGAGTCAAATACACATGGCTCGTGGGATTTGGAGTTGCAGCGCCAGCGCAATGAATGTTCACGCATATGTTTCAGCCATTCTTCACTGTGGTTATACAACTGATCTGGGGTGTCGCATTCTTCGAAGAGACACACATAGGCATCAAGATCACTCCTGACATGTGACCTGCTAGAAGTCAGCATTCCTTGCATACATGATCGGAGTTGAAGGAAAAGAGACTTCATTCATGTGGATGACTTACTTCCATTTCGAGCCGTCGTTTGCCTCTGCTGCTGGGATTGTGTATAGACAAAATGGACACGTCACTTCTCCTATAGCCTGAACACATTCCTCCCAGTTTCGTTTCATAGTCTGCTTCAGAGTTACTTCAACCTGACCTTTGTTGCTCGCAAGTTCTGTGGGAGACTCAGTATGACCTTTTGTGGATTGAATCTCAGGTGATATTTGATCTTCATCTTCTCTTGCATTTTTCATCTTCTTGTACCTCCGTCTGATATGACCTAAAGGTGCAGGTGGAAACTGTAATTCTTCGTGGCTATTCAAAGCAACTGTCTTTGTCCCTGAAGCTCGTGAAGGGGCGACAGAGGCTTTTTTGAGTTATCCGCAACTAGAGTAGTCGCACTAATGACCGTATGCGATTCACCACTAGACTTTGCGGCGGTTCCTGAGACATACCCGGATTTTTCGAGACGGTTTGGCGGTTCCTGTCCGGCAGCTATCTGTGGAGATTGAATTGACGGAGGGCCTATTTGCCCAACATGGAGTGAGCCGTCTCCGTATCGATATCTTCTGTACAAGATTCTCTTCCGTCGCAGCACCATTGCAGATGCAAGTCGCTGCAATATAGTCTCATCAATTTCCATGAACTTATCCCGAATGTAGTTGGCAAAGATGGCTCTCAATAACGGCTCCGCATCATTTCCCTCCTCGTCCAAAATTCGACATAATGCAGCTGCCTTCTCATTTCGGACATCGCTACCAGCTCTTCTGATGGTATTGGAAAGGCGATGAAACAGGGCTATTTGGCTCGCGATTTCCTTCATAATGGTGTTAATCTGATCATCTACTTCGCTTCTGCTAGTATTTCGCTGAGGTACAACGCAAGTTTCAAGATAAGCGTAGCCTGTTCTCTCTTAGCTTGCGCAAAATTCATCAAAGGGATGTTTGTAAAATCTCGAAGTTAGCATACCCTCCTGGATGCGATCATTCAGCACTTCCAAAAGGTCGATTATGACTTCATGGACCTCTGGTGCCGCCCTGAGGCGATGATCCAATGACGCTCGTCCTGTTGCAAAAACACCGATATTCGCCGTCCATAGTGAGAACCTGGCCAATTGGTCTTCCACCAACGATAAATCTCGCGGCGAGAGATAGGCCGACAGTTGGAAACATTGCTGAAACGACGTGAGGCAAAGCCTAGCTGCATCTGTGATGACTGTGGCCATTGGCGTCGACACCCCACGACTGAAACCCAGCTTAACAAAAGATGAATGAGGTTCTATGAAGACAGAAACTTATGCTGGTTTTTCAGCCCTGAAGACACTAAGTCAGCACAACCCCGCACGTGCACCGTCAGACTCTTCGTCAGCATGGAAATGAAAACCCTCCTGGAGATATAAACCCATGAGCTATCGCTGAGATGGCTGTTGTAGATGGCGAGACAAATATTGCCCTGATTTTAAGTACAACTGAGACAATCCGAGAGATCTTACGCCACCTTCGGAACGATGGGCTTGCCAGAGAGTCCAGGCACTTCTACAGCAGCATCATGGCCCATTGCCTTGTGATTCGCGACCATATCAACCGTATACGGCCCATAATTCAAGAGAGAAATCCTTTGGTGGCCACTATCTTGGTTCGACTCGAGGCGACCGTTCACCCGCGCGTTTTGGGACCACAATCGGGATCTTCGCAAACCGCCTATCCTCGATTGTGGGCACTAAACAAGATGTGGAAAAATAGACAGTACGATATGAACATAACAGAGACGCATTTGCGACCGTGGATGTTGGATCTGACCACCAACCCCGATGATTCTGACCGACTTATTGAATTCCTCGAGAACTGGGAAGATGATATCAAGCACCAATATCCAGATGATCCTGCATCGTGGCCCCAAAATGAGTTTTCAGATCAAAAGAAGCAAGTTGGTCGGCCTTTAAATGCCGTATGGAATGCGTCTCAGTCATTATTTCGTGCCTTTCTGGAGTTAAAAGACTGTGAGTGTCAGCCAATGCATGACTTTGGCGTTCGACTTTGTCTGGGAACATTCCAATATCTTTCCAGTGCCGAAGAAGATGTTGACCCTCTCTGTGCCTTTGAGATGTTTCTGTCCATGAAACAAGAGTGGCACGAGGCTGATGTGCATTTTGCAAAGGGCGCAGCGATGACATTCGGTCAACGCAACACCCCAGGTCCTTTGAAACCCAAGGCACATGCAATGAAAGTGAAAAAGCTCTGCGAGCCTATCAAAAAGCGAAAGCCCTTTGACCGAATCAAGTTGAAAATTGACGAGGATGGTCTGTTATGGAAGCTGCGGTCCGAGAAAGGTTCCTTCACTATTGATGAGACCAAAGCACCAGTCTCGCTGCAGCAGATAATTCAGAACCAGCGTGAAGCACTTACCGACAAGACGAAGCGTATCCTTGCGGTTCTGCTTAGCTATGCGGTTCTTTATCTGCATGAAACACCGTGGCTGCCTCCGACATGGGGACCTTCTAGTATCTTATTCTTCCACACGACATCCGCAGCCATTCCCTTGAAGCCTTTTATCCAGACACAGCTTGCACAAACTTCCACTCGCAATCACCAAGCAAGCTATTCCGCGAGCGAGCCCGCGGAGTGCCTGAGCCCTGAACTTGACCCGGACGATATTGACCCCGATGACATGATGATCCACCAGTGCCCAGAGGTTGTGGCGTTGGGAATCATGCTAATGGAGCTTTATTTGACTACCACATTTGATAAACTGGCGGAAAAATTCAATGTTCCCGTGTCAGAATATACTAGCCTCGACGCAGAGCTTGTTTTTGAAAACTGCAAATCCGAGATCCCTGAGAACTCTCAATTTTACTGGGCAGTTCAGAAATGCCTGGACTCCAAAATCTGGGAAGACGACAATGGATCCAAGCTCAGCGGTCAGGTTTTACGGACAACGATATACCAACAAATAGTGCGACCACTAGAGGATGAGTTAAGTCAGGCATTTAGCTCTATATCCATCGAGGATCTAGATCGAATTGCACAGACCTTGGATCTTGGTAGCTGGGGGCAAACCTTCCAAGGTCAACAAATGGGTGCTCAGAATTTCGATGTTCCCAAGGAAAGCTTATTCACGCACTCATTTGGATCCACGACATCTGGTAATGAATCAAGTTTCTTCCAGCAACAGCAACAAACATTTTCGCTTCCTCTTCACCCTTCGGAAGCAATCCTTTCATCCTTCCCACACATAATGACTGCGCCATATCAGCAATCCCCAAGGACATTGGAACACAAAGGCATGAGATTTTTTGATGACGAAGCACTCTCCGAGCAGCATTCCCTAGAAGGGTGAGTGGTTCTAGAGATCAGTCAGATCTGTTATATTGAGTTTTGGACCTGCAACTAACCCTTATTTTCAATCAGAGTCAAAAACTACTGCAATTGGCGTCAGCGATTAAAGGACGTTTTTGAGAAATATACGACAGAGCTCCCCAAAGATCCTGTTAAAATTGCCGTGCTAGACACAGGTATTGATCTTATCCACCCTGGCATTGATGCATGCATTGAGCAAGTCAAGGGCGAGTACAACTGGATGAACGAGAAATTCGCCAAGCGAGTTGAGGACTACAATGGCCATGGCACTTTTATTGCAGGACTACTTCTGGAATATTCCCCCGATGCAGAACTATACATCTCGAAGATATCAGATGGCAGACCATGCAACCCGAAAATTATCGCCAAGGTAAGTAAATAGTGCGCCTCCGTCTAAAGGACGAAGGAATTTAACATGAGAATACAGGCAATTGATCACGCCGTCAATGAATGGCAGGTTGACATCATTTCGATGTCGTTTGGATTTCCTTCCCGTGAAATTGAGGGATACGATGAGCTAGAGTCCGCCATTCAAAGAGCGTATGCGGAAAACGTTCTTATATTCGCAGCGGCTTCCAACAGTGGCGCAAACCTAGACCGGGCTTTTCCTGCCCGCGACGAAAATGTCATCTGTATCCATTCTACAGATGCCAACGGGAATCGATCCCCATTTAGTCCTACTGCACTGGCTGACACGCTCAATTTCGCAACAGTGGGCGAGCATGTGGAGTCATGCTGGCCTATGCACCTATGCGAAGATGCTTCGGGTATCAAACATAGGTCTGGTACATCCTATGCAACTCCTATCGCGGTTTCCATTGCCGCGTTTCTTTTGCAGTATACCAGGTCATTTATTCCAGAGAAGGCTTTCATGCTGAAACGACAGTCAAAGATGAAGGCAGTGCTGAGGAGGGTCTCCGAAAAGAGCCTAGATTCGCGAACCCGGGATGACTATTACTTCGTGGTTTTGAATTGTTTTTCTGATAATCTTTTTGGTAAAGACCAGGATTTTGTCAATCATGTACTTCGTGATATACTAAGCCAGTAACTAACCATCCCGAGGCTGTAGAGTATACATAGTGAATTTACGACGTTGCAACTATGAAGACTTGTAATCATCCACTATCAGATAAATATTCCCAAGCCTCAAACCGCGACAGGAAAAAAGTAATAATTTCAATTTCTTCATCTCACATGCTCTAAGTTTCAGCTCTCTAATCTAATCGGAACTTTTGTCTTGAAAACATGCTAATAAACCATCAAATCCCGTGGCCTTGTGCGTAAAACACCATGAATAAAACACGTCCCAATGAATGAGCCATGTATGGAAAGGATCTGGCCGGAAATATTGCAAGACAGATTGAGATTTTCTGGAATAGCGAAGATAATCGTACAAAAGATCCCTTTGAATCTCAGTCTTGGTAATTTGAACTTATCATGAGAGTTGGGAAGATGGAGAATATAGGAAAATGTAATGCTGAGAGCTCAACGGTCACGAAGAATTGGAATCACCGATATGATTCTAACTTGTTGCCAGTATCACGCTTTGTTGCAAGCTTCCCATAGAGCACGTGGCGTCAATTCCTCTCGATTCTTACAGGCATTATAAATCTCTTCGCCCCCCTCCATCTCTCGTAGCAGTTGCATGGCTCTGTAATCGCCATCCAAGGCCGTAGCAAGATAATGTAGTGCAGTATTTCCATCCACATCCTGGGCGCGTACATCGATCTTCGCATCAGCAAGCACGCGAAGAGTGCTGAGTTGTGCTTCCCGTTCAGCAGGTGTCATCGGTGTTGGTGGGTTCACAGAATGATTTGGCACTTGCTTTGTTGATTCCAAGTGCAGTGGACTGGGCTGCGAATGCGGGAGCCACTTGGAGTCTAGGGTACGAGCGCAGTGAACACTTCGCACGGCATCAGGGACTTCTCGGTTCATGGACATTGAGGTAAGTGGGAGTGAGGCGATATGAAGCAATGTATGACCCAACGCCGTCGTGCCTGCGCTGGAAAGTGGCATAGGAAGGAAAGATAGGAGTTCAGGGTCATGGCGAGCAACTGCCAAATGAAGTGGATGAAGTTCGAAGATAGGGGTACGGAGGTTCAAATCGATATCTGGATGCGTAAGAAGATGTTTGATACAGGCCCTGATGTTGGGATCATTTGGATCGCATCGACCCAATGCAAAAGAAAGCGGCGGTAAAGCAACTGTGGGAGCTATCATTGCCCGATAGTTGGGAGAATAGTGATACGTATTAAGTAGCCGTTCAAGCATAGCATGTTGACCATTTTCAATGGCTTCATGGGTGGGAGATGTGACGCTTAGTGACGATGGCTTCGTATCATCGAAATTGGCTTGGCCGGAAACGCTGATCCAGGCAGACTCATCTGCCCCCGCTTCGCGAACCAGCGCGAAAAGATCCTCAAAGCCTAGGCCAGCAGCCACTTCTAAAGCTGTGATGCCTTTGTTCATCCTTAGCCGCTGACCTGGGACATTTGGCTCAGTCCAAAATCGTGGGAAGCTGGTGCGTCGCTCATCTAGTTCAGCTTGGGTCAATGGCTGTGTCTGCTCGGTGATTCCTTTGCTTGCTGCAACTTCTAGAATCTGCAATCGTGAAGGGCATGAGCCAAAACTCGAGATATCGACCTTGGCGTCTCGACCACGCATGAACCTCGCAGAGTAGTCAGATAAGTCCCAAATATGGATGCCCGTGGAATCTGCACCACTGGCCAGCAGCGTTCGAACATTTTCCGGTGAATTAACGCGAATGGCAGCCGTGAGTGGAGATTCGTAGGTGCCCATGTTGCTCCCACTGATGTTTGCATTAGGGGAACACCCTGCTAGTTCACGAAGTTTTCTCTTGTGGTAATCCAAAAGAGCACGGAGGACAGCTGGATTGGAGTTACCGGCAGCCCGAATGGCCGCAGACTCCTCCACACCCCAGGTGACGTCTTCTCTGGTGAGTTTATATGACATGGTGTGGAGGTGAAGCTGGAGAAGAGGAAGAATATACGTATTTAACTTGCTCAGGTGCGGGGTTGTCTCGGTGATATCATAGCAGCTATTTGACATGGTGAGTCACTTCATTCTGGCTCCTTCGCTTATATCCTACGGTCCGTGTATCTACACATCGTCATTATCATCCATGCGATCGTTCTCAGCAGCTTGACCCAGGGCATATTCCGGGGTGAAGGGACGACCCTGCCGATAACCTCCCCAGTCAAAGTACCATCGCGTCGGACATTCATCCTGCGGATCGCGATATCGCGTCAATTGACCCCGTTGAGCACCTGTGAACGTTTGTTCCGTTACCAAGTCCTCCTGCTGCAGATAATTTGCAAAACGCCAAATCGCCCGGTGATGCTCATTATCACCATAGTCAGACTCCGCTCCATCTCCAGGATAAAAGTAATGGGTTTGATCAGTCACGTCATTGCCCGTATTGCAATTCAAGACGTGAGATCGTCGATTCTCACCTTGATTGTCGTTGCCATCCACACGAGGATACCTGTTTTGCTCCACGTAGTCTTGGCCATGGAAGGCAACTATAGCGTATATCCCAACCCGGAATTCACCATTGCGCTGCATTATATGGTCGAAGTGGAAATGGAACACCCCGTATTCATCACTGTCAGACTCTCGGTATTCCGGGCCATTAGGCAGTCGCCACACAACTGCATCGTATAAGTAGACGTCTACATTGTGCATTGGGGGCCAAGATTTTCTCACTTACTTTCTAAAATCTCCTCTCCTCTGCTAGTACGAACTAACATCTCATATTCTAGGGTTAATGTGCCGTCAATAATTCCCTGCATCATGTAGCCTATTCTGGTCAGCACGTACTTCAAGTGAGTTGTAAGGATTCATACCCCAGCTTGGTTGTCCGAATTGTGATGAAGAATCATAAAGCTCCTCTGTTTCAGCAATGTTTCTGGCAAATACATTCTTCGCTGCCGACAGCACAACTGATGCATTGGAACGTTTATCAAGGCCTGCAGCAGGGCAAGCCAAGACGCAAAGTTGGGACCCAGCATCCTGAGAGTCCGCAACTTCAGCACTTCCATGGGTTCCCAAGCACAGAAGACTTTCCGTCCGTGCAATTGGCTCCGCATTAGGCCTGTACGATTAATTAGATTGATTTTCCAGAGGAAAGAGATATAGCACATACCATTCGGCCTGAAACTGATCAATCTCGTCCAGGGTCACTAAAGGATCACTAGAATTATACGCATCCTCCATCAACGTCATCTGATAGGTTGGGCTGTTGCCCTTCGCGATGGCGGTCAAATGGATTAGTAGACTGGTCCAGTCTGCCTTGTTCAAACTATGACGCTTTTGCAACCCCATTTCGATGGTTTCCCGCTTTGAATACTGGCGTTGACCTTTGTCGCAAACAGGATCTTTGGAGTACTTCTCTAGCTGGGTCTTAAATGCCGTAACGAGGGGATCATTCTACTCGTGTTAGTAAGGCTTGCGAGTAATATGGGCCACAGGGGAATTTCAACATACACTCGTAGCTGGTGAATCGCAACAGAATGATCCATACCCTGACAGGCACCCAGAAGGATCGGTCGCGATGGAAGCTTTCCCAGCAGGGCACGTTCCAGAGCACTGGAAGGGAACAGAGCCCCAGAATTTCCCACCGTGGTAGTACCAGTCGCAATTCTCGTATGGAGGAGGCTGATCACAGCAGAACGACTTGTAGCCGACAATACAAGGCTCTTCTCCACCAGCACCATAATTGGAATAAGTTAATCGCTCTCTCCCTGAAGGGCAGCCTGCGTTGCTGTGAATCCCAGCACAGAAGGGCGCACTGCCTGACCAACCACATTCAGAAACTGCTTCGTTGGCCGCGGTCTGCGTACAGCAAAGTACTTTGTGCCCAGTCCAACAACTTTTTCCAGTTCCACTGATGCTGCTTGACACTTCAACCTCTCCCTTGTGGCATTTGCCATTGCAAAATGGAGCCCCGCCACGCCACTGGCAAGTGGGCATATTGTCACTTGGGCAGCAGTAAAGACGCGATTTGCCCTTCGAGCATCCAGTGTTTGTACCAGTGTTGCCTCTATTCTTGCCATCACTTCGCTGAGCAGGGCTAAGGCCGTTCGGACAAGATTCGCCGCATTCACCCAACTGGCAAGATTGAACTTGGTCAGTGGTAGAAGCAAGTGATTTGGCCGACAATGCGATTGTGCTACGACCTGTCAACTTCGATAGTGCCGCCGAAGCTGTGCCTTCGGAATCATCTGTCGAAACGGCCCATACCATGGTACCACCAAGACAGTTTTTATTGGCATAGTCCAGCTTCAGCTTCAGAGTTTCCTCATCATCATAGCTGACCCACTGGTTCTCGCCCCAAGTGACCATTTTGACGGCGGCCGTCTTGTCTAGAGACACTTTGGCGTTGCCTTTATCTATCACATTCTTGATCTCTGAGTACGAGAGTGTTCCGACTGAGTCCGTGCAAGACCCTGCATTACCCCCTGCTGAGAAAATACATCCGGGGGTGTTGCAACTGGGATCAGCGAGAGTGAATGACCGGCCATAAAAGCCCAGACCAAGAACGACATGGTCTGGGTCAATCTTATTGCGCCAAAGGAGCTCCATTGCCAAATCAATTTCAGTCAAATTGGTGTGAGCATTGATATAAGGTCCAAGGTATTTATTAGTATTGTCCCAAGTGCCATGCAGATCATAGGACATGATGTTGAACCAATCAATTGTCTTTTCGATCTCGACAATGTCAAAGTGTTGCATATACCAGTAAGAGGATGGGATGGTGATGGTGAGGCCGTATGTATGCCCACTTGACGAGAGGGCATTACGGAGATTCTTGAGGAAAGAAGTGTAATTATCGTAGTCAGCGGCTTTTCCTGAGCGCTCTTCAGCTACTGGATATTCCCTAGAGTCCACAGTAAGTGGTGTGATTACCAATGAAGGGGTTAGGGGGGTCAATACCAATCAAGATCGATGCCATCAAAGCCGTACGTCTCCAAGAAGGAAAGCAAGGATTCAAAGAATTTTTTCTGCGCTGACTCTGATGCAGCCAGGTCTGAAAAGGTGGTCGCAGTGGGCTGATCAGGGTCATTCATGCTCCAGCCTCCAATGGATATCCAAGTCTGAAGGTCAGGGTAAAGGTTTTTGAGCCCAGTGAACCTTTTATACAATGCAACATCCCCGCTATCCATCGGGGCGACTTTGAATGAAGTAGGGTCGATGAAGGCAAAGGCAAAGTTTAGGTGTGTGTATGATCCAAGAGGAATAGCTGTCTAATATTAATACCGCTATGTGCAAGGCGTGTGTGAGCAAGGGAAACATACATTCAGGGTACATTTTGTCACATTTGCGAGTAATTCCCCAGCTCTCATAGTATCCAATTGTACGCTTCGAAGCGCTAGATCCAGAGCAGCTGGGAGATTCGATGGTTTTGTTGCCACAAAAATCCTTGGTGGTACCACAGAAGCCATATTCAGAACAACACACGTTGAGAGGACATGTGTCTGCCGCGGACCACTTGATGGAGTCAGCTCTTTCAATAACTTTGATGGGATGGAATGACAATTACCTTCATGCCCCAACCTGGGTTACAGTCTGACTTGCTATCACAGTTGGATATGCAGCTGTCCCCGCAGAAGTCAGGTCCCATTCCACAGACTCCTGTGTTTGAGCAGCAGCCAAGTTCACATGGCTTGTCGGCGCTACAGGTGTAGTCCTGGCCAAGACAAGGACAACACCATAGTGCGAGTAAAATTATAGCCCAGTAATTCATATTGGGGCCATATAACAATGCAATATTTCAAAGATTGTATGACGGTACTTTAAAACACATCAAAAAGATGCCATAAGAGGAAGACGCGAGAGAAGTGTCCAAGAGATATGAGGCCGCTCTCACCAGGCTTCAAATTCTTTCAACAAGTCTAAATACCCGGATGTCATATGCAATTGCATACTCTAGTGTATGCAGGAACCTTTTCGCCCCAAAATCCCTGTTGATCACACCCTCCATCACAAAGCACTAAATCTCTAGGGGACTTCATTCCAAGTTTGCTTCATGTACCCCTCTTGTAGATGAACAAATGAGAACATTATCAGAAGAATGTTGTTGTTTCCCTGATGAGTTTGACATCACTCGGATGCTGATCTCTGAATCCTTCGGGGCTCCCTGCCTCTTGTAGCATACACTAGTGCCACCGAACGCTTTTAGTTTCGTCAGGGTCTAGTTTCCCCTCGTTTTACCGACATTAGTCGTTTCAGGCCTCCGATCTACATATTCCACCTCGTAAATTCATCCTGTAAGAGACATCAGAAAACACCTCACTATCACATTCGGAAGTGAGAGCTGAGTGCTTTGGGTATACATCCACCCACCCTCCACCTGCTGATCTCAATTGTCAATAATTTTCTCGGTACCTCAGAATATTTCGAGAACAGCTACAGCCATGAAATTCAATGCTATATTTGTTATCACTTACATCGCGTCTGTCATGGCGCAGATCGATCTATATGAGTATGGAACCAACGCCACAGCCTCTATTTCGGATGGATGCACTTCTGCGTTGACAAAAGAGCTGAGTTGCGATCCTTACCTTTTTACGCTTTCCATGTCAGACTACTTTGGTCCGGTGGGCAATGAAACCTTCCAGGATCAATTATGTGATGAAGGTTGTGGTAAGGCGTTGGAGGCCTATCATTCTTCGGTGGTACAGCAATGTGTCGACGATGTCGAGCCCTGGGATGGAATCCCAGCTGTATGGGCGGGAGACGTTCTGTGGTCAACCTGGAACAGGACCTGCCTGAAGGACACCAAGACTAACACATACTGCACCGGTATTTTTCTCAACTCCTGTTGCTGATATGTATTAACCCGATTCACGATTTCTAGATGCGATAGGAGACATTCAAACAGCCCTTGGAGACATTGATACAGCGTTATCAGTCCTATCAAAAGATCAACTTTGCTCGACATGTGTGTTAGATCTGATTCAGCAAATGCAGAAGACGGCGTATTCCAACTACGACGAGCAGTTGGTGGAAGAATATGTTAAGATTCAAGACACCTGCAATACGGGCGCCCTGCCCACCGATGTGCAGCCTCCCGCTACCAATATGACCGCTATCCCTGGCATCGACTACTCCACTCCCTCTAACGCCTCCTGCCTCTCTGGAAATTCCTACTCTGCGAAGTCTGGCGATGACATGCAGTCCATTGCCAAGGCCCAGAAAGTCCCGACTGGCCCACTGAGAACGCTGAATGGCATCTTTCCGGACGGTTCGAACTTGCTTTCCGGACAGAACTTGTAAGATCAGTCCCCAATTTTCATGGAGTGAACACTCACATTTCCAGGTGTCTTCCACGGGCTTGTCCCGTCTATTTAGTGCAGGATGGAGACAACTGTAACTCCATCGCCGATTCCTACGATCTTACCATTTCAGACCTCATAAGCTATAACCCCTCCATTAACAGAGCGTGTTCGAACCTGAACGCTGATGACAATATATGTGTTGGCGCTTCTGGTCAGACATACACACCAACCACAATTGCTGGTGCCACTGCTACAAAAACAGCCCAATACGCGGCCAGCACGGTGGCAGCAGCCGGTCCTACGGGCTATGGAACCACGAATGAGTGTGGGGGCTATTATCCCGCAGCTGACGGAGATGACTGCGAACAGATTTCACTCATATACTCCATTAGCCTGGAACTTTTCCTTGCAATCAATCCCGCCGTCAACGCAGCCTGTTCAAATCTGTTTCCTGGTCTGTATTACTGCGTTTATCCGACCGAAAACTGGAATGCCACTGCAAATGGAACCACTACGTCGACTTATGTGACGCCTCCTGCTCCCACCCCGACAGGAACCACTCCTAATTGCTACACATGGTCAGTAAATAATGAATACTACGCAATAAATTCCGCAAGCTAACATATATTCCAGGCGGACGATCGTCGATGGAGATTCCTGCTCGCTTTTGCAGAACGTTTATGGAGTCACGTTTGAGCAGCTTCGTATTTGGAACCCACAACTCAATGATAAATGTTCCAATTTGCTCCTTGATGCCGCGTAAGCATCTTTACTTTACTCCCGACTTATATGCAGATTTGTTAATTTACTACAGCTATTGTGTTCGTGGTGATACAAACACGACTACCACTTCCACTACTAAAACAGCTGACACAACGACATTGAAAACCACAAGCACAGTGAATCAGCCGACACAAACCTCTGTGTCAGCTCCCGGTCCAACTCAAGATGGTATTCCCAAGAACTGCAATAGCTGGGTTATGCAAAAAGATGGTGAGTGGCGAAACATCGCTGACTGAACACGACTAACAAAGCAAAGGGGTATATTGCTACGATATAGCTGCTAGTGCTGGAATCACGCTTGATAAATTGTACGAGCTAAATCCAGCTCTTAATGGAGATTGTTCGGGGCTTTGGGCTGGATATGCTTACTGCATTGGAGTTTCAGCCTAAAGTAGCAGAATTTTCGATGTTTTGGGCCCTTGAGGTAATGATATTTGGCTGAGGGGACATGTATGATGATTATTCATGGATGAGCATGTACATGGGCTTTCCCAAACTCCTTTTTCGATAAAGAATGCGACTAGGCAGCAGATAAAATTGGAGCCCCATTCAGTGCCTAGCATTCTGATCAAATAAATCCCAAGGCTAGTGTTTTGCATCATCTCCAAATGATCTGATAGGCTTCATTTCTTATTTAAGGTCCACAAGCATGGTGCACACAATCAGCACTGTGGTCTTTGTTGGCGATGAGGGAGTTGAAGCCAGGAGAACATATTTGCATATGGATACCTTCCTCTTGATATCAGTCAAGACCAGCTAAATCTACCTAGGTATCCGCCGGATCCAAAGAGGCCAGTTCAATCTGCCTTATCGCCTTTCATTGCGTGATCGTATGTTGATGCCAATGAAGGGAGTGTTTCAGATGCATTAGAAGAGCCAATCATGATTACCATAGTTCAGCTAAGAAGGTCAGTGCGCCGGTCAGGCGACGGAGGGTGAGAATCACCCGCTCTCACTCAGCTTCTAAACCTCATCTGTAGTGCACTCAGCCAGCTCAGTCACTATATTATGACTGTATATTTTTCTTTGGAATGGCAGAACAGGTACATACGACCACAGGGTGTGGAGAACAGGGCTTCCCGTCCGCTCAGCCGTACTTAAGCCACACGCCGGTAAGTTAGTAGTTAGGTGGGTGACCACTAGCGAATCCTTACTGTTGTATGTTTTTTTGGATCTACTACCTTTAGTTAGATAGAGAGCGGCACGTTTAATTTACTACGATTTTTACGGGCTAGGGAATATTTTTTAAGGTAAGTGGAATATAATAGTGCCGTTAAAGAGCCAACCAAATAGTTGACACTTATTCGGGAAATCAACTTTCTATTCCAAAATATCGAGCAACTTCAATAAGACCTGAGCCTCCAAATTCGATCCAAAGATCGACAATCCCCCGTTCTCTGGCTTGCGTAATGTCTTTACTATCCCAAGTTTCTTCCAAATGTCTCTCGAGGTATATTGTCTGAAACCCGCATCGCTTAGCGGCATACAAGTCCTCAAGATGGGCTGCGACGAGACAACATTGCGAATTTCTGAAACCAAATCTTCGTGCCGCAGCATTATAAACCTCTGGCGACGGCTTATAGGCACCAAAATGCTCCGCGCTGGTGATGTGCTTGAAAGGCAGAGAATTATGCGCTTGTAGTTCTTCGAGAAGTTTGACATTACCATTGGATAATGTAGATGTCACAAATTCGGTGCCCAGCAACGAAAGGCCTGGCACACCATCGGAGTATGCGTCAAGTCGATGCCAAGCCAGTGTCAAATCCTCAAGATCTTCCTCATCAAATAAACCCCGAATAAGCCGTTTGGTGAGAATCTTTTCCAAAGAAATTCGGTTGTATTCATCTACCGAGACAAAGGGCTTAGATATGTCGTACGTGTTTCCGAAGTCCATATATGCACGATGCCACTCCTCGGCGATTTCCTTCCAATCCGAGGTGGACATATCAGAGACACGCGCTCGCACATCGATACTTAGATCTCGAATATTGTCTTGCATAGCCCTTCTTGCGGCAGCATTCAGTTCGTTTGTGATGCAACATCTCCATTCCACAATTGTCCCCAAGACATCGAAGAATAATATTGAAGGAGTTTCATCTTGTGGCATCTTTTTCGAATCTTCTTTGAGAGAAGTCGAAGGATAAAGGCTGGGGCATAAATTGTACACTATAGCTGAAAGTATGGTAGATTCTCGTCAGTCAGTGATAAAAAGTCAACGGTCTCAACAAATGACTTGAACTTCACGAACTGGCATAAAAATCGATAGAAACTATCGCAATGGGACTTGACCTTCTTAAATGTCGACGCTACTAAACACCCAATCATTCATCTACCTCGGGACAATTTTGCTCAAGTTGCATGTGATTGGCGATAGATCGCTCTCAACAAGTTCCTCGGGAATCACGGGCTCAGTATATGAGGCAAGACACCCAAGCTAGTGAAGAGAATTGGATCTCGTAATTAAACCTTAATGCTGCTCATGAACTATTCGTGAACGAAAGATAAGCACTTTTTGCCGCCACAGCCACGTCTATGATTTGACGGGAACAGGAGAAAATAAAAAGCAAATAACGAAGTTCAGCGCCTGGAAAGGATCGAAAGTTCACTCAAATCTAAGCAAAGCTTTCTGTTTTATTCTGGCGTTGCTCTGAGAAGCCCCCGGTGATTACCACAAAAGAATACTAAGATATCAAAGTTTGGTAATGTTGCGTAGTCGAGAGATTGATATTAAGAAATATGCACAATGAAATATACTTGCTTCTACTTGATAATATATCCAAAAGTAACCATGGGGCTTCATTGCACAGTGCTATGTGATCTTGAAACTTAGCGGAAGTCGGGGCTTTGAAGAAAACTGAAAATGAAAATTCGATATAGCGCTTAATCGGAGTAACTTCTGTTTCTATTTTTTTGTCTGAAAAAGCCATATTATTCTAGGTCTTCTTTAATTTCTGTTGAAATTAATAGCAACGAAAATATCTCAGGCTCTCTAGTATTTGAGAAAAAATTGATAAACTGTTAGCTTTTGGTAATGCTAGAATACGAATATGTTGACTTTTTTACACAATTTATAACGACAATCTGTTTGAATCACTTGCATTACGCTAATGTCTATTCCTCTGGACTTATATAAAGTGTCCGTATGATGCAGCATATTATTGCAGAATCCCAAAGGTCTACTCCCGGAGGGGCAACCTCTATTAGCAACCCGGACAGTGGGTTCGACGAGCCCACCTACAGCAGTCCTTCCCCACGCCCGGTTTGGGGCTCATTGAAATTTGAGTGTTGATTAAATTGAGATAAGGAGTGACGTAGTTACAGAAATATAACTGCTATGTGTCTTCTTATGAATTACCACAAGTGAAGATATGTTATTCTAATAATCGACGAAGTGTAAATTTCAACCGGCATCCAATCGTTCTCATGCCTATATACCTACAAGTAATCTGCTGAAGGGATAACGCGTAACCCATATTGAATAATCCAAGTTGATTTGTGAAAAGCGTATAACCAAATTTGAAGCACTTGAGAGATAACCTAGTAAGTATACTATCTACTACAGAAGATGGACCTTCACTGCGACTCTGCCTGCCTCCAATGATCCAATAGAACCAAGATAAACTGATGAAATCACATTCTATACTACAGTATACTATGACTAGTGCGAAATACCAGAACAAGTCACAAACGCACAACAAACCCAAGCCCAAAATAGAACAAGCACCCTCATCCCAAGCCACATATGTAAACCTCCAAGTGGAAATGCACAAACCCCTGCCAATACCTGGCTTGCGTCCCAATTAACATAAACGGTAAAGTCAAAAAATCAATACGCAACTAAGATCATCTTCAAAAAGCCACAAACCCCACCCGCCGACCGTTTCATTTCCAACCCTTCATTTCGTAAATCCACTACTGTATACAGTAGAACTGTACGGGGATAGATCAACAACACAACCACAAGTGACAGACGAGTTCGTATCAAGCCACAGTTCCACTAGATCCACAACACCCACCGTGATCACCCCACCAAGTCCACGGGTGTAGCCTGTACTGTAACGATACAATAACCAACTCCACAATCTCCACTACCCGCCAATGCGAAAACGAGAAGCGCTATATACCTTGTGCTTATTTCCCAGCGTTAAGCTAAGCTGAGCTCAGCTGAAATTACGGAGTACTCTATCCTCTATTGTACCGATCTTCGACCCCCGACCCACGCGACACGCGAGACAAGCCATGGCCCCACAATCCGATTCTATTCCTTCCAATAGGAGGGATAGTTTAAGCCCCCCGCGCTGGCCTGTAACTGCTGTACGGAATTTGGGGTCCACATGAGCATGGGATTGACATTTGTTTCGCATGCGATTGGTATGGTGTGGGCTTTCCACTGCCGGGGACTGAATTTTGGGCTGGGAGTCGGGGTAAGGCAGGGGTTACGTGGAGTACAGTACAGTAGGGGGGAGAGGGGGCCAGGGAATAGGGAGAGGAGTACTCCGCGTGTCCAACTCCATGTTCATGTCTACAGTAGGTTCCCAGCTTTGTACATTGTACTATACATGTGTACGTGGAAACTGCTGGGTATAGTAGTCTCCCAGATCTTGATCCGATTTGCTAAATCGGATGTTTGTTTCAGGGTAATGATGTCGATTTCAAGATTGGATCATAATAACTGTCGTCGTGATGGGGTTTAATATGTTGTATTAATATAATAAATTCGAACCAGGTCATCGTAAACGTAACCACTCGCTTTTGAGTTTCATATTCACTTTAAACTAAACCTGGGAACAAGGATACTGACATCCGAAACCTTGACAGTTAGATTCTCTATTGCCCATGTACAGTACGGAGGTAAGTACTCACTAGCTCCAGCTCCACCCCGCACTCAGCATCAAACCCAAACCTAACCATCGAAAGGATGAAAGTCGGGGCTGGGATTAGGGTAGGGTTGACATTGGTACTGATATTTAAAAGACAGTGGTTGGACTAGAGCACCAGTGAACTTTCAACACAGAACACGCAGCCGAAAACAGCCAAAACCAACAAACTTCCAAATCGAACAACTCAATCACAAGAACCAGTTCCAAGTTAAATCTAAACAAAATACTTGTCCAAGATACCACCACCATTCACACCATGTTCAAGTTCAAGCGGAGTTGTCTCATATCTTATCAGCCCTAATCCTAGGCTTGCGGTTAGTGGTTCACAGATCCCGCGAACCAGGGTCCGCGATCGGGTGTCTACGCAATGATGGGATCATACATGTACATGGAGATCTTGGCACGAGACAACAAGTCCGATGTCCAATTCTAAGAGGCTTCCAAGTTTCGACTTGATTGTGAGATCCATGAGCAATATAACTTGTAAAACTGAGTGAAAAACTTGGAGAATGATATAATAATTATGATCACGAGAAGCCCATGTTCTTGCCAAGAAGCTTCTGTACTGTACAGTACAAGTCAAGGTAGAATGAAGAATTAGCTTTGAGATCCATCAGGTGGAGAGAAATTGCATCCAGAACTGGGTATTATCCTTGCGAACGTGGGTGCTATGATAGTATTATGATACGATTTTGATGGTTCTAATGACTGATGACATCTGTGGATATTGTTTGTAACTGTACTACGTTTAGGCGGGTAGTGACCTGCTGTGTTACCTTACTTTCCCGCAAGGGTATGCGTGTGCTGTATTGTGGCTGAGATAAAGAACCTAGCTACTGTACTGTAGGCAAGAGAATTTGGACTTGTGAATCAAGGGATGGACGAACATCCATCTCATACTGCAGAGGGCCGATTGCTGTGTTTCAGATGATCGTGATCAACATGAACAAATACCGAAGAAACCAATAGCGATGTGAGAGTAGAGGAGTTGGTTATTGAATATATTTCTGATTAATCCCAATGTCCAGCTAATGTACAAATTTTTTTTTTGAAAAAGAAATGTACTATAGTACAAGAGAACCAGCAACTGTACTGCGCTTGAAAAACAAAAGCAAAAACCAAAGGAAAAGCCTATTAGGCTCAAAAAAGTCAATGTACACCAGTCAACACCATATATCCGTTTCCTTGACCATAATCGTAGCGTAAAGCATATACACCACCAATGCAACGCATGCAAACTCGTAAAATCGTACACATAAAAAAAAAGAATAGGAATACACAACGTCATAATGACGTGCCCCGCATTTGGCAGGGGCCCCAAAGTGGGGCAATGGGTCCACTCTATGACGTTCGGCATGCCGATCCGGTGGACCATGACGTAGAAGGCGCGCTCAATCTCTCCTCCTGCGCTGCTTGCCTGGCCAGTCAATTTCAGGATGCACCACTCGCATGTCTGTAATTAATGATTAGTTTAAGAATGTAATGGATCAACGGGTGTAACTTACGCCTTGTCAGAGCATCGTTTCGGCTGAATGTCTTGTCCTCGTTACAGATGTGACAGCGGACCTTTTGCTTGCCCGCTGTATGGATCGTATGTTCATGTCGGGTAAGATCGTAGGGTCGGGAGAAGACTGAATTGCATGCTTTGCCCGTGGATGGGTTGATGCGCTCGCACCGGTGCGGGCCAGCTTGGGAATTGCGTAGTGTGGTGTCGCGGCTGATGAGGTGACCACCGGGTGTGGTTTGCCGGTGGGCTTCACGCTTGTGGCGCTGTAGACGAGAGGGAGAATCAAAGCGGAATGAGCAGCCATGATAAGTGCAAGTGTAGGTGCCGGCATCCGAGGTGGTGTTGCTCGGTCGGGGGATGTCCATTGGCAGGTTGACCTGAGCCTGTGGCGATGTCTCACTGGATTCCACAGATAGAGATGGGAAATCAGGAGTGTGCTGCAGGAGGTTGTTGTGCGATGGACGGTGGCTGGGGGGTTGAGCGAATGCGAATTGAGGCTGCGACATGGCGGTTGTGTATTGAGGGAATGCTTCCATCGGTCGCATTGAGCCGCTGTCGCGACGCAAACCAAGAGCATCGCCCAAGTTAAAGTCTCCCTGCGGGATGCCGGAGGGGAATAGAGCTGGGAGATCTGAGTCTTCGCCATCCTGGAAATCCAACACAGCGTCCTTGGGGGACATAGTCTTGATATCTCCGGTAGCGTTGGGTTGAGACCGGTTC